AATCCGCAAGCGCAGTAGGGAAAGCGTTGTCCGCGCCAGCCTGGACGCCAATTAGGGCAAATGTTCGCGCTTAAGGGAAATAAGTTTGATATGTGAGGCAAAGGGGGTTCAATAAAATAAGCCTCCGTGCTCATTCACCTTCTCATGAAAACGCTGGGTGTAAACTCTATGGGCAGTTTTTGTCTGTTTCCTCCTAAAACTGTGTCGGATGCCGGCTAAAAATTTCGTAATCAATGAGCTCTAATTTTTTATCACAGTCTCACAGTTATGAAAGTCTTATTTTCCCATCGAATGACGAAGTAAGTTGAAGTTTTCTTATTCACGCTTATTTCCCGGAAAGTTCAGGGCACATTGCCCGAAAGAAATTAAAAATTTCACTTGATGAGCAAATAACACCCTTTTTCGTTGTGCAATCGTTCCATCTATTTAGCCGAGGTGATTTCGATCTATTTGATCAAAACCTTCGCTATCAACTCTAAGGAGGGATGTGGACTGACTCGGTCACACAAGATCATTCCGTATGGAATAAAGACTAAGTCAAACTTATGCACTGACAGGATTTTGAAACCAAACTCTTGTATGATAAACAAAATAATATATGAACAAAGGGGGTAAGGTTCTGAAGAAACTGTAATGCTGCGTCGCTGAGAGAGTGTAGCACGTAATTTACTTAGTCGAACACTCGAAGAGAAACTCCATATCTACGTGCGCCCATGTGTTATTCTCTACATATCGTATATTGTGTAACTTTTGTAATTGTTCGTTATTTTAGTTTCAACCCACTTTATTTCGCCGCTGAGGAGTTGTTATGTTTTTTTCAGTCCAAACGTAACTGATTGGTGAGTCTAGTTGCAATGAAATTTCATATGCTTCAGCCGATCTAGCGTATGAATACGTACCAATACGTCTAGCGATCTGTTATGACATCTAATCAGCGGAAACTTTTCAGCCGTTTTTATAGTAGTCAAATATGTCCATTTTCTACATTTTGGATAGCTTTGCAAACTTTTCCTATAACATGGGGAAAAACTGCTCAGTGGCAGCTGTATATGATCATGAATTTCTGTCGTGTATGTTTTTATTTCTCCAGGTGTTTGTGTTCCCCGGAAAATATCTCTACGGATAACTTAAAGTTCACATAGCAACCAGGTAGACAATCAGACATGATCACCAGAGTAGCACCAAACCATGTCTGGTCTCAACGGATTATGAGCTGAGCTCCATGAAAAATTAATTTGTGACAAGAAGATGATGGCAAAGAGAATTTTGCATATCAGTGCGCCCGAGGAAATCGTGTTGTGGGCAAATTGGCGATTGGTTTTTGGTTTGTCTATTATCTTTTTTTGTTTTACTGACCCATATATATTCAACAACATCAATACATTAAGTTCCCATCAAATTTTAATCAACCTTAAACCCAATTTAATTCTTCATTTATAATGAAAAGCGTATACGTTTTCAAACCTTTTTTGGGGGCCTCTTACTGTAAGGCAAAACCAAGAGAATATCAGGTATTGATATTCTCTTTGCAAGACTTAACGTCCTAAAAATTTTGCAGAAATACTTTTGAACTACCCTTGGGTGATATATGCAGAAAAGCGAGGTGGTCTTAATAAAAACAATTGGAAAAATAATTGCATGCTTTGATGGGCAAACTTCCTGAGAATTGTTTGTTCCTATTGGGATGTCTTTTCCATAAACTAATTTGATTGGTTCCTCACACCTGAATTGACTTCTAAAGGAAAGGCGATGTCTAAATTAGTAATCTGCTCAAGAAAAACATCACGAGAGACATCGTTTTCTCGAGTGGTGTGTGAAAGGTAAAATGTTGGATACGAAGTTTGTGTTTTTATTCATTTCAGTTTGGCAAGTTAAGGGAGACTGCATCACAGGAAAATGTGAAAAGATCTCTTTCAAGAAGCAACAACATGCCAAGCTGAACCAAGAGCTTGTTGGCCATGTTTTCCACAATTCTGTTACATCAAACCCAGCTCAGTGCTACTTGTGGTGTATAAACGACTGTCGATGTTTGTCGATAAACTACAAAGTCAAGAACGAAACCAAATATTGCGAGTTGAACGAAGGCAACCATTTTACTGGAAAGAACTCTCTGGTAAACAATACAGGATCTATTTATTACGTACTGCGAAGGGAAACCTTCACTAAGGTAATAAATTTTATAGTTTTAAGAGTTGTTTTCACGAATCATGATCGCCAGTCTTCGTCCAGCTGGGATATGAGACATCTTTTTTTTGATATCTTTTTTTTAATTTTTAAATTCTTTTAACTAGAAATTGACGATAGACTGCAAAAAATCACCACAATTATAAGCAATGTGTCGTGATAAACTTCTTGGCGTTGACAAAGTTGTTCCTCCGCGTGGCTGCTGATCCTATCCGCAAAATTATTTGTATGTTCGGTACATTGTTTATCTTAGACCTGAGATAACAGCTACAGAAAAAGACGTTAAATTTTAAATGTATTTGGAGAAACAGAAAACTCAAAATTTGAAAAATGACCTCAGTATTTGTCTTTAGTTACAAGATACGTACCTCTTTTTTTCGACTCTAAAGGATGATGAAATTTCCTATTGAAAAAAGTAATTATTTTTCGGTTTATAAAATATCAAAGTGGGATCAAAACAATTATCTTAAGCTTCAAAAAATATCAAAGGTATGGGAAAATTTGTGTTCTCCGTGAAAATTCGAACGTCACCTAGTTCCGATCTCGCGGTGAAATGCTTAAAAATCTTTGAGATAAAACTTCTTGACTCTTGCAAGATAAAATGTAACTCACTCCTAAAACTCTTGCTTCGCTGATTTTAGAGATTATTTCTCATTCGGTAATCTCTCTTGGTAGTTTGAGTATAACACTGAAGAAAGATAGTGCAATGAAATATTAAAAAAAACCACCTAGTGTGGGAGATTTCTGGGAAATTAAGAGGTAACCTGCTTGCAAGTTTGATGATTTTTATGTTACATTAAAAAAAAAAGAATAATTTGTATTTTAATAAATTTTTGTACATAAGGCTCCAAACGTTTCATGTGCCACCGACGTCACATGTAGCAACGGCTGCTGCGGGAACAATCCGTGTCTCAATGGAGGAACCTGCACTGAGATCTGTCAGCACACAAATGTTCGGTACAACTGTTTCTGTCCTGTACCGTTTGTCAGTAAACACTGCGAGATTCAGCTGAGAAGAAGCTGTCAGGATTATAAAGCAGCCAGGTTCACCGCCTCTGGATTGTACACCGTCAATGATGACAGAAACCAAACTTTTCAAGTATTCTGTGATTTTGATTCAGAGCCTGGGTTCGCTTGGAACCTGATTGAGTCATTCAATTTGTCCAACAACCATCTTTTTAAGGTAATTTTCCTATGATTTAAAGCCATAAAGAAATATATCTTGTTCATTCTCGTCTACAGAAATAACGAGGATGCGAAAATTATGTGCCCTCAAAAATGAAATGCCTTCATTTTGAATATTTTTCTTCGTAAGTTAAGTTCGTCTGTCTTTTTAGAAGCTTTCGTCACTAATGATATCTTCGAACTATTCTGTCAACAAAAGAAATCTTGTTTTATACATAATGACTATCCAGACTCAAGTACCATCAGCAGTAATGCTTCAAATTGACAATAGTACGTTATAAAAAGTTCAGCCTAATTTTTGTTTCAAGCTGCTAGAATTTTAAGTTCATGGATGTGATAGTGATCTTTACCAACTGAAGTTCACATTTTCTGTCTGCAGCTGATCGTATTTTACGATAATTACCAAGCCATCAGCGGTGATGCCCCAAATTGGCAAGCATACCTCATGAAACGACCCTACCTCCTTTGGCTCAGAGATCACTCGACTCACTGGAGAGCTACTTGCCGATACGACACAGATGGTACCGTACATACAGATTACTTGAGAGCCTCGCTTGAAGACTTCGACATCATTAGACAGGTACCCATAGTGACCGATGACTGTCGACCTTACGAATATGTGAACATCCGGGGAAATGAGTGTGTGAACTGCACAGCGAGAACCTGGTATAAAAAAGGGTCTTTACATCTGGCTATCGACAGTTCCAAACAGAATGGCTGTGATTTCGATGGAAGCATTTCAGACCAAGCCGTACACAGCGAGGACAACTTTGGTTTCTATGACGTGGTCAACCCCAAATTTCGATGTACTTCAAGCCAAAATGCAACGACTCAGTTCTGGATTGGAGGCATTTTATGACTTTCTAATCCCTGACCCAGTTCCTGTTAAAAAGCAGGAAGTTCACTTGACCCAGGCAGACATCTATCCACCTTAAAAATTTTATTGCACTTATAAAGTTAGAGCTCTACAAAATATTTATCTTTGAGGGTATCTTGGCGGTTAGATATATGGGGGTCGGTAACCTCTCTGACACTGCACAGGATGAAATAGCTCAATTAAGTTGCCTTAAAGTAACTTAAAGGCTAACATAAGAACATGAGGTCTCACAGTTGTTTGCGCTAGAGGTTTAATAACGGCGGTTAGATATATGGGGGTCGGTAACATCTCAGACACTGCACAGGATGAAATAGCTCTATTAAGTTGCCTTAAAGTAACTTAAAGGCTAACATAAGAAACATGAGGTCTCACAGTTGTTTGCGCTAGAGGTTTAGTAACCTTGTAAGTTTGGTAGGAAATGCAACGGAATTTAGCAGTTAAAGCTCTGTTTTATCTTTAAGATGTGTTCTTCATTCTAGCTTTTCTTCCCATACTAGAAATTGTGCCATAAACAATAAATTCAAGGCTAAACTGCAGAACACAATAGGCACACTTTCGCACCACCAACCACAGTCGAGAGTTAGTTCATTATTTGAAACAATTTTAGCAATTACTGTAGAATTTGTGAGTGGGCTTTATTGAAAAGCAATGTAACTTTTAATAAGTTAATTGTTGGATTCTCAGTCTGAAAGTTGTAACTTTGTGTGGAACTGTAAGGAAGAAATGTACATGTGTGCCCTTCTAAGTGTGCCAAAGAACTGTTCATAATTCTTTATTGTAGAGAGTTTAATTTTTTGTGAAGTAATCATTAATTGGTTTTAATTTTCATAGTTAATGAAAATACAGTCAAAATACGCTTCCCTCCGATTGTTGTGCAAATGGTGCACAATGACATGATGTGTGACAAACTGTATGACACTTTCCTGCATAGATGTTCTTTCATCAAAATCGTTCAACTGAGTTTCAACCATCATTCTTTTACCACTTCGTTGAGCCATAAATGTTTCTTTTTTGCCAGGGATTGGTCCGGGGAATATTTCATATGTGGCTTGTTTTATTTCAGCACTTTATATATTTGCAAAAGAGACACGAGCTCTAATACAAAGCAATTGAGGCGGGGAGGGGAAGTTCATTAAAACGCTAGATAAAAACTCTATGAGCAGTTTGTCTGTTTACCTCCTAAAACTGCCTCAATTACCAGCTTAGAATTTCGAAATCAATGAAACTCTTATTTGTCCATCAAATGACGAAGTTGAAGTTTTGTTACTCACGTTTATTTTCCTGAAAGTTCAGGGCACATTGCCCGAACGAATAAAAATTTCACTTGATGTGCAAATAAAACCCTTTTTCGCGGTGCAATCGTTCCTTCCCCTTTGCAGTGGTGATTTCGATCACTCTGATTAAAACCTCTGCTATCAACATTGATTGGAGGGATGTGGACTGACTCGATCACATAAAATACACAAGATCATTCCATATGGAATCAAGAACTTAAGTCAAACCTGAGCACTGACAGGATTTGGAAACCAAACCCTTATCGGTACTTTCTGTGAACATCAGTAAAAAATAGATGAGCTCCAAGCCACTGGAATACTGAATTGAAAGAGTTAGTTAGACCCCATTCAAACTGCTATTTCTTTACTTGGACAGAAACAGTACCTAAAAAAAATTACTATTTGAGACAGGTATGGGGAAGGTAAACTTAACTGCAGTAGGTTAAGAATACTTTTAAGATCTTTATTCACAAAGGCTTCGACGTTTTGGCAGAATAAAAACTGTATTGTATACTCACTGGCATCAAGAGTGATCCACTATTTCTCAAGTGAGGTAGATTATTGACTTATCAAATTTACCTTCACAACGACAATATTTCATGCGGCAAAGTAGCGATCGTCGTTTACTGTAGCGTTAAATTTTGTGACAGTGTCAAAAAATACCATAGCAAGCGGACCGTGCGAGTTTTAAGATGGCCGGAGGTTGCAGGATAACGTGCTTCACCAATATAAATCTTATTAGCATGACAAGACGATCCCGAAAAATGACGATTGAATGTCACAGACGTTAATTGCAGCACAAAAATAGAATAATAAACACAATAGTTGCTAATAGAATTAGAAAGAAAGGACTGGTAAACTTTAAGTTCCGTCGACGGATGGGGACTGGTAATCAACTCTTAGACCTCCCGATTTTGCGGTAAGATACTCTACCATTGAACTTAAAAAAACTGATCAGCAAAGGCATGATTTAGATGCAATAAGCTTAAGTGTCCTCTCTACAACTAAGATCAGTACTGTCCTATTTATTTGCACGTTCACTTTCCATTTGTAGCCAGAAAAGCCTTATCACGATCAAGAACGGGAAAATAACTCACATATCTTGCCAAACCATCAGAGACTCTAGAACTTACTCTCTCGCGGCCACAGCGCATATATATATATTTGACAAGGAGCGTGACTTGCCAATTACGCTGTCCTTTTCAGCCCTGTCACTTTAAGATTTGAGTGCCCCATTCCCGCCTCATTTGTAGCCTACATTCAATTGTATCAACTTTGATTCCCTTTTTGTCCAGGGTTAAATATTAGTGAACTTGTGACTTGAAGGTAATGCACTTCTTATCTCAACTACTGCTGTACCTCTCTCTTTTAAAATTTAATAATTTCCTCATATCTTGATTTTATATTATTGATTTAAGAAGAAAGTTGGACCTCTCTAGTTAATGGACTTTGAAAATGATACTTCAGAGTCGAACTTGGAAAAATATTGAGCTTTTAAGTCGAAACTCTTCATATAACAATTGATGAATTAAAGAGGTCCAACGCCGGAAGTCAGAAAATCATACGTCAATAGCCCACAAAACAACTCCGAAATCAAATTTCTAAAATGCGAAGTCTGAGGTCGGAAATAGAACTCAGAACTCCGAACTGGAATGTCCGAAATCTTAAGTCTGAGGTTCGAAATGGAAAAATTTTAAATCGATAGCCGCATCACATGTGAGATTCAACCTCGTAAAAGCAGAAGTCAGAATTACTGTTGTGACGACTGATCCCCCTCTCCGTTCCCCCTGGAAACCATGTGATCCCCCTCCCCTCCCTCCGTGGCCTATAATTTTCATTTTCTTCTGGAACCCCCATCTTGAAGGAAAACAGAACAGCTTTACTTTTAGTTAGCAGAACCTTCGAGAAACAGGCCCTTGGATACACCGCTGAATTATTGATAGCTAATAAAATATAATACAGTCGTAAAATCGTTGTCCAGAATATCAACTAACAAAACATATGAGAGTGAAACTCTGCCTGACACTTTGGTTTTGCGGTAATTTATTTTAATTTTCTCCGACGTTCTTTGGTCTTTTTCAGTCCAAACATGACTGAAAAGTGAATCTGGTTAATTAGAAATGCGTCAGTTAATTTGCATATCAAAAGGTTAAACATCAGTAGAGCTTCCTCGAGTGATCTGTATTCAACTCTCATTAGCACAAGATACTTTCAGCAATTATCATAACGATCAAAAAATATTCACAAACTTAAATACGAACCCCAAATTGTCTACAAATCCCCAGTAGTTTGCAGGTATAAAACATGTTCCCTTTTAATAATAATTAATTGCGGTTAATAATAGTTATTTATTTTAATTGTAGTAGTAGTAATTGTCTTTGAGAAGCTCCCTCGGAGAAAGTCCATAAAGGATGTATGTATGTATGTGTGTATTATGAGTTTCGAGTTTCTCAACTTATCAGAAGCAAAACTAAAACAAATTATGACTACCTATCCTCGTGGATGTTGATGTCTCCCCCAAAAGTATTTCAAAACAGAGAACATCGATTGTTTTGAGCTCGAGGTAACAGCTGCAAAAGATGTTGGAAGATTTAAATTATTGTGCAAAACTGAAAACTTCAAAGAAAAAAAGACATACTATTTTTCCCAGTCTGTATTTCAAGGTCCTCTTTTATTCGGGTCCTAAAAGTAAACACATTTCCTTTTTAAAATTTTTGGAAATCTTTCGAATGATGAAATACAAAAATGGAATCAGACAATTAACGGAGGAACATTCAAATAAAGAAATCTTCCTGGCAGGTGCAACAGCTTCTCACCAGCGAGGATAACGTGAAGATCATTCGCAGGTCAGAATATGACCGAATTTATTTCATAGAGAAACTATATAGAAGTTGTCACGAAAATGGAAAAATTTGTCGTTTTCTCGATTCCGTACTAAAACATTATTTTTAGAAAACGAGATTGACCCGTGTAAACTAAAGACATAAGAAAATCGAAGAATCGCTAGATATTGTCTTGTTTGTTTTGCCAGCATTGAGAGGATACCAAATTGTAAAAAGTATTAGGTATTCAATATAACAACCCGGAGAAGAAGCACTTGTTTTTGTTACTTTTCCGAACCTTGAATATTCATCTTGTGAAGTTATTTTCTGTAAACTCATTTGATTGGTTTCTTACACGTTGATTGACACATAGGGATGGGCGATATCTTAAATAAGTAATCTGCTCAAGAAGGACATTTTCAGAAACATCGTTTCCCCAGCTGAGAGTGAAAACGATAAAAATGATGGTTGCAAAGTTTTTTTGTATACTTATTTCAGCTTTTAAAGTAAAGGGCTACTGCTCCACCGGAAAATGTGAAAAGATCTCTTTTAATGAGCAAAAAGACGCCGATCATGACAAAGAGTTTGTCGGCCATGTCTTCCACAAGTCTGTCACTTCAAACCCACAGCAGTGCTATCTGTGGTGTATCAACGACTGTCGGTGTCTGTCGATAAACTACAAGGTCAAGAACGACACCAAATACTGCGAGTTAAACGAAGGCAGCCATTTTACAAACAATATGTCTTTGATAAACGATCCAGGATCCATTTATTACAAACTTGGAAGGGATGAATTTAATAAGGTATAGGTATAATAACTTTATTATGTCATATCATATTTTTACTATGAATGATTCCGGATCTTTATCTTAAGATATTAGGCATTCGTTGTTTTTAAAACCGATGAAGCTTCTGCCTAACGATGAATTATAAAAATAAGTCTGCACTGCGTACGTGTCTAAAGTGCATAATGGAATAAATGTTTTATTAGATAATTACATGCTTAGAGCTGTGCTCTCCTTTAGGTCTATTTGCAAAGTATGTTGAATAGATAATGGCTGAGTAGGTGTACCAAAGTGTGATAGTTTTCGAGGAAGTTGTTTGATAATCTATTTAACGATAAGATTAGGAGTTGATCCACAGAAGAGTTTCTCAACTAATCAAAAGCAATACTAAAACAATTTGTGACTACCTATCCTTGTGGATACTGAAGTCTTCCCTAAAAGTGTTTTAAAACAGTGAACATCGATTGTTTCGAGCTCGAGTTAACAGCTGCAAAAGATGTTGAGAGATAAATATTATTGTGCAAAACTAAAACTTCCCAGTCCCTGTTTCAAGATCCTCTTTTATTCGGGTCTGGAAATTAAACACATTCTTTTTTTCCTTTTATTTTTATGAAGAGATACGAATCTTTCGAATGATGAAATACAAAAATAGAATCAGACAACTGATGAAGAAATATTCATATAAAGAACTTTTCCTGCAGGTGCAAGAGCTTCTCTCAAGAGAGGATAACTTAAATGGGTCTAAAATAAAATTGAATTTATTCCGTAAAGAAAATATGTTTTAAAAAAATTGTCACAAGAATGGAAAAATCGTTTTCCGATTCATTGGTAAAACTGCAACAGTTTTTACCAAACTAGATTGACCTGAGTAAAGTAGAGACATAAGAAAATCAAAGACTAGGTGATCTCGCTTGTTTAAATAGTAAATATTTGACATAGAGCACGTAGTAAGCGACTTGAGCACGAAAGAAGTGTAAGGAGAAACACGAGACTTAGGCGAGTGTTTCTTCCTCCTTCTTAAGTCAAATTCCTCTGGCATTACTCTTTATTTTCCAAACAACATGCAATATTTGATATGAAAAAAGTGTCGTAACGTGTTAGCCGATACGTTTCTGGGATGGAAACAAAGGTTTGAGCATGCCCCTTTGTATCTACCGATACTATAGGTAAAAGCGTCCGTTTCAGAGTTAGTTATTAGAGTAAGAAAATCAGGCTAAAATCCCATTCACACCAGCAAAGCGTGCTTGGTTAAATCAGCTTTAACTGGATGAAAATCAGAAACAGAGAACTGAAGAACTGAATTTTACATGGTTTTCATAAAGTCACCATCACTGTGTTAGATTTAAGCATAAAAAATATCTGCAAAAACCCACAAAACTAGCATAGGTTATCCAACATGTGTTTTAAACAACACATTCGCAGTTTTGGAAGGAAGAAATTTGAAGTTATGTCTTTATGCGTGGGAAGTGGTTTTAAGTAAACATCATTCTATAGTGCAAAATGGAATAAATGTATAAATCTATATGCATTCTTACAGCTGTGCTGCACTTTAAGTCTATTTGGAAAGTATATTGCATAGATATGAATGGTTGCGTAGGTTTACCTAAGTGTAGTAGTTTTCAAGCTGTTTGATAACAACGATGGTTCAAAAGTTTTTTTGAATACTCCTTTCAGCTTTTCAAGGAAAGGGCTACTCCATTGGAAAATGTGAAATGATCTCTTCCGAGTTGTCTGAGCAAATTGATCCACGAGAGAGTTTCTCAACACATCAGAAGCAAAACTAAAACAAATTATGACCACTTTTCCTCGTGGATGCTGATGTCTTCCCCAAAAGTATTTCAAAACAAAGAACATCATCATTGGGAGATTTAAATTTTTGTACAAAACTGAAAACTTAAAAATAAACCCTATCATTTTTTCCAGTCTGTTTTTAAAGGTCCTCTTTTCTCCGGGTCTTGAAAGTAAACACATTTCCTTTTTTAAATTTTTATGAAAATAGGTGAATCTTCCGAATAAGGAAATACGAAAATGGAATCGCACAACCAACGAAGAAACATTCAAATAAAGAACTGTTCCGCAGGTCAAAAATATGATAGAATTTAATTCGTAGAGAAACCATTGAAAACAAATTGTCACAAAAATGGAAAAATCCGTCGTTTTCCCGATTCCGTGATAAAACATGTAGTTGTTTTTACAAAACGAGATCGACCTGAGTAAAGTAGAGACATAAAAAATAAAAAAACTCGTCAGTTTTAGCAAATATTTGACATTATGTGATCTCGCTTGTTTGAATATTCAAAAAAGGGGTAATTTTTCGTTCGTTGTATTGTTTGTTGCAGTCCAAACGTAACTGATTGGTGAGTCTAGCTGCAATTAAATTTCATATGCGTCAGCCGAATTTGCGTATCAACACGTATCAATACGTCTAGCGATTTGTATTGACCTCCAACAAGCGGAAACATTTTCGCAGCTTTTATAGTAGTAGCTTTGCAATTTTCCCATAACATAGGGGAAAATTGCTTAGTGGACGCTGTACATGATCATTAATTTCTGTCATGTATGTTTTTTATTTCTCCAAGTCTTTGTGTTCACCGAAAAATATCTCTACAGATATATTAAAGTTCACGAGGCAACCAGGTAGACAATCAGACATGATCACCAAAGTAGCATTAAATCATGCCTGGTCTCTTATGAGCTGAACTCCATGAAAAATTAATTTGTGGCAATAAGATGACGGTGAAGAGAAATTTGCATTTTAGTGCACCCGAGGACCTCGTGTTGTGGGTAAATTGGTGATTGTTTTTTTTGGTTTGTTTATTATCTTTTTTGTTTTACTGACTCATATTGGTCAACAGCATTAATACATTAAGCTCCCATCAAATTTTGACCAACCTCAGACTGAATTTAATTTTTGGGGCCGGTATTGGAGTTTAAGTTCGGCTTTGATTCTTCATCGATAATGAAAAGAGTGTACGTTTTTTAACGTTTTGTTGGGTCTCTTTTACTGTAGGGCAAAACCAGGAGAATATCAGGTGTTGATATTGCTTTTGCAAAACTTATTGTTCCAAAAATTTATCAGAAATACTTTTGAATTCCCCACGGGTGATGTATGCAGCAAAGCGTAGTGATCTTGATAAAAACAATTGGAATTGGAATTGTTTGTTCCTGTTGTGATGTCCTTTCTAGAAACTGATTCTTAGAAAGTTTTGCAGAAATACTTTTGAGTTACCCCCTTGGGTGATATATGCAGCAAAGCGTAGTGATCTCAATAAAAACAATTGGAAAAATTAATTGCATTCCATGATGGGCAAACTTCCTGAAAAATGTTTGTTCCTATTGTGATGTCTTTTCCATAAACTGATTTGATTGGTTCCTCACACCTCAATTAACTTCTAAAGGAAAGGCGATGTCTAAATTAGTAATCTGCTCAAGAAAGACATCATGAGAGACATCGTTTTCTCGAGTGGGGTGTGAAAGGTAAAATGTTGGAAACGAAGTTTGTGTTTTTATTCATTTCAGTTTGGCAAGCTAAGGGAGACTGCCTTACAGGAAAATGTGAAAAGATCTCTTTTAATGAGCAACAACATGCCAAGCAGAACCAAAAGCTTGTTGGCCGTGTTTTCAACAATTCTGTTACGTTAAACCCAGCTCAGTGCTACTAATGGTGTATAAACGACTGTCGATGTTTGTCGATAAACTACAAAGTCAAGAACGAAACCAAATATTGCGAGTTGAACGAAGGCAACCATTTTACTGAAAATTTTATCTTTATCTTTTTTTTATCTTCTTTTATTTTTATCTTTTTAAATTTTATCTTCAATCATCTTATCTACGAAATTATTTTTATGTTAAGCTCATTGTTTATCTTAAACCCGAGATAACAGCTGCAGAAAAAGACGTTAAATTTTTAACGTATTTTGCTAAACAGAAAACTCATAATTTGAAAAATAACCTTGGTATTGGTCCTTAGTTGCAAGATACGTACGTCTTTTATTCGAGTCTAAAGGATGATGAAATTTTGTATTGAAAATAGTAATGATTTATTCGGTTTAAAACATATCAAAGTGGGATTAAAACAATTATCTTCAGCTTCAAAAAATTATAAAGATCTATAGGAAAATCTGTGTTCTCCGTGAAAATTCAAACGTCACCTACTTCGCGGTGAAATGCTGAAAAATCTTTGAAATAAAACTTATTGACTCTTGCAAGATAAAATGCAATTCACTCCTAAAACTCTTGCTTTGCTGATTTTAGAGATTATTTCTCATTCGGTGATCTCTCCTGGTAGTCTGAGTATAACATTGAACAAAGATGGTTCGATGAAATATAAAAAACCCTTCTGGTATGGGAGATTGCTGGGAAATTAAGAGGTAATCTGCTTGCAAGTTTGATGATTTTTATGTTACATTTAAAAAAAAGATTATAATGATGAAATGAAAGAATAATTTGTATTTTAATAAATTTTTGTACATAAGGCTCCCAACGCTCCATGTACCACTGACGTCACATGTAGCAACGGCTGCTGCGAGAACAATCCGTGTCTCAATGGAGGAACCTGCTCTGAGATCTGTCAGCCCACAAATGTTCGGTACAACTGTTCCTGTCCTGTACCGTTTGTTGGTAAACACTGTGAGATTCAGCTGAGAAGCTGTCAGGATTATAAAGCAGCCAGTTTCACCGCCTCTGGATTGTACACCGTTATTGATGACCGAAACCAAACTTTCCAAGTATTCTGTGATTTTGATTCAGAGCCTGGGTTCGCATGGAACCTGATTGAGTCATTCAATTTGTCCAACAACCACCTTTTTAGGGTAATTTTGCTCAGATTTTAAAGCCATAAAGAAATAACGAGGATGCGAAAATTAAGTTCCCTCAAAAATGAAATGCCTTCATTTTGAATTTTTTTTCTTCGTAAGTTAAGTTCGTCTCTCTTTTTAGAAGCTTTCGTCACTAATGATGTCTTCGAATAATTTTGTCAACAAAAGAAGGGTACGTTATAAAAAGTTCAGCCTAACTTTTGTTTCAAGCTGCAAGAATCTTAAGTTCAGGAATATGTTAGTGATATTTACCAACTGAAGTTCACATTTTCTGTCTGCAGCTGATCGTATTTTACGATGACTACCGAGCCATCAGCGGTGATGCCCCAAATTGGCAGGCCTACCTCATGGAACGACCCTACCTCCTTTGGCTCAGAAATCACTCGACTCACTGGAGAGCTACTTGCCGATACGAGACAGATGGCACCGTACATACAGATTACCTGAGAGCCTCGCTTGAAGACTTCGACATCATTAGACAGGTACCCATAGTGACCGATGACTGTCGACCTTACGAATATGTGAACATCCGGGGAAATGAGTGTGTGAATTGCACAACAAGGACCTGGTGTAAAAAAGGAGCTTATCATTTCCATATCGACAGTTCCATACAGAATGGCTGTGATTTCGATGGAAGCATTTCAGACCGAGCCGTACGCAGCGAGGACAACTTTGGTTTCTATGACGTGGTCAATCCTAAATTTCGATGTACTTCAAGCCAAAATGCAACGACTCAGTTCTGGATTGGAGGCACTTTATGACTTTCTAATCCCTGACCCAGTTCCTGTTAAAAAGCAGGAAGTTCACTTAACCCAAGAAGACATTTATCCACCTCAAAAATGTTATTACACTCATAAAGTTAGAGCTCTATAAAATATTTATCTTTGAGGTTACCTTGGCGGTTAGATATATGGGGGCTGGTAACCTCCCAGACACTGCATAGGATGAAATAGCTCATTTAAGTTGTCTTAAAGTAACGTAAAGACTAGCATAAGAAACATGAGGTCTCACAGTTATTTACGCTAGAGGTTTAGTAACCTTGTTAGCTTTGGTAGGAAAGTCCACGGCCAGAGGAGTTTAAGCTCAGTTTTATCTTTAAGATGTGTTTTTTTTTCTAGCTCGTCTTCTGAGGCTAGAAATTATGCCATAAACAATAAATTCAATGCAAAACTGCAGAGCACAATAGGTAAACGTTCGCACCATCAACTACGGTCGGAAGTTAATACATGATTTGAAGCAATTTTAGCAATCACTGTAGAATTTGTGAGTGAGCTTTATTGAAAAGCAGTGTAACTTTTAATAAGTTAATTGTTGGGTTCTTAGTCTGAAAGCTGCAACTTTGTATTGAACTGTAAGGAAGAAGTGTAAATTTGTGCCCTTCTATATGTGCCAAAGAACTGTTCATAATTCTTTATTGTAGAGTGTTGAATTTTTTTGAAGAAATCATTAATTGGTCTTAATTTTCATAGTTAGTGAAAACACAGTCAAAATACACTTTCCTACGATTGTTGTGCAAATGGTGCACAGTGACATGATGTGTGACAAGCTGTATGACACTTCCCTGTATAGACGATAAGGGTAAACCAAAGATTGAATCTTTCCTATTTGAGCGGAAGGCAAACCATTAAATGCATTACTCCTCAGACTTTCAAATTACATTTCACGGAGACCTTTCGATCAAGAAGATTTTTCAAGAGATATAGATATGTATCTGAAGGTTGAACTAATCAATGAGACCTAACTTTTCTGTGACTCTAAGTTTCATGCTTACGCGATCATCAGACAGATTTTAATCTTATTGATTAGTTCAACCTTCAGATACACCACACTCTGCGAACGCATCGAGCCCTATACCGCAAAGATAGACTATAACCAAGATATATATGTATATATTTGCTCTTTCATCAAAATCGTTTAGCTGAATTTCAACCATCATTCTTTTACCATTTCGTTGAGCCATAATTTTTTTTTTTTTGCCAGGGATTGGTCCGGGGAATATTTCATATGTGGCTTGTTTTATTTCAGCACTTCATAAATTTGCAAAAGAGACACGAGCTCTAATACAAAGCAGTTGAGGCGGGGAGTTCATTAAAACGCTAGATGCAAACTCTATGAGCAATTTGTCTGTTTACCTCCTAAAACTGCGTCGGATTCCAGCTAAGAATTTTGAAATAAATGAAACTCTTATTTTCCCATCAAATGACGAAGTAAGTTGAAGTTTTGTTACTTCCGTTTATTTCCCTGAAAGTTCAGGGCACATTGCCCGAAAGAAATAAAAATTTCACTTGATGTGCAAATAAAACTCTTTTTCGCAGTGCAATCGTTCCTTTTCCTTCACCGTGGTGATTTCGATCACTCTGATCAAAACCTCCGCTATCAATATTGATTGGAGGGATGTGGACTGTGGACTGACTCGACCACATAAAATACACAAGATCATTCCGTTAAAAGTTAAACCTAAGCACTGACAGGATTTGGAAACCAAACATTTATTGGTACTTTCTGTGAACATCAGTAAAAAATAGATGAGCTCCAAGCCACTGGAATACTGAATTGAAAGAGTTAGTTAGACCCCATTCAAACTGCTATTTCTTTATTTGGACAGAAACAGTACCTAAAAAATTACCATTTGAGACAGTTTATGGGGAAGGTAAACTCAACTGCAGTAGGTTAAGAATACTTTTAAGATCTTTATTCACACAGGCTTCGACGTTTTGGCAGAATAAAAACTGTATCATTGGCATGAAGAGTGATCTAGTATTTCTCAAGTGAGGTAGATTATTGACGTATCAAATTTACCTTCACAACGACAATATTTCATGCGGTAAAGTAGCGATTGTCGTTTACTTTAGCGTTAAATTTTGTGACAGTGTCAAAAAATACCATAGCCAGCGGACCGTGCGAGTTTTACGATGGCCGGAGGTTGCAGGATAACGTGCTTTACCAATATAAATCTTATTAGCATGACAAGACGATCCCGAAAAATGACGATTGAATGTTACAGACGTTAATTGCAGCACAAAAATAGAATAATAAACACAATAGTTGCTAATAGAATTAGAAAGAAAGGACTGGTAAACTTTAAGTTCCGTCGACGGATGGGGACTGGTAATCAACTCTCAGACCTCCCGATTTTGCGGTAAGATACCCTACCATTGAACTTAAAAAAACTGATCAGCAAAGGCATGATTTAGATGCAATAAGCTTAAGTGTCCTCTCTACAACTAAGATCAGTACTGTCCTATTTATTGGCACGTTCACTTTCCATTTGTAGCCAGAAAAGCCTTATCAAGATCAAGAACGGGAAAATAACTCACATATCTTGCCAAACCATCAGAGACTCTAGAACTTACTCTCTCGCGGCCACAGCGCATACATATATATTTGACAAGGAGCGTGACTTACCAATTACGCTGTCCTTTTCAGCCCTGTCACTTTAAGATTTGAGTGGCCCATTCCCGCCTCATTTGTAGCCTACATTCAATTGTACCAACATTGATTCCCTTTTTGTCCAGGGTTAAATATTAGTGAACTTGTGACTTGAAGGTAATGCACTTCTTATCTCAACTACTGCTGTACCTCTCTCTTTTAAAATTTAATAATTTCCTCATATCTTGATTTTATATCATTGATTTAAGAAGAAAGTTGGACCTCTCTAGTTAATGGACTTTGAAAACGATACTTCAGAGTCGAACTTGGAAAAATATTGAGCTTTTAAGTCGAAAGTCTTCATATAACAATTGATGAATTAGAGTCCGATTTTAAAAGTTCTTAGTCAGAGATTAGGACAAAGAAGGCTTAGAAGTTGTAGGTAGACAGTTAGAGGTCCAACGTCGGAAGTCAGAAAATCATACGTCAATAGCCGACAAAACAACTCCGAAATCAAATTTCCAAAATGCGAAGTCAGAGGTCAGAAATAGAACTCAGAAATCCGAACTGGAATATCCGAAATCTAAAGTCTGAGGTCCGACATGGAAAAATTTTAAATCGATAGCCGCAAATAGAACTCCGAAATTCGAAATCGAACGTGTGAGATTCAACCTCGTAAAAGCAGAAGTAAGAATTACTGTTGTGACGACTGATCCCCCTCCCCGTTCCCCCCGAAAACCATGTGATCCCCTCCCCCTCCCCCCCCCTCAGTGGCCTATAATTTTCATTTTCTTCTGGAACCCCCATCTTGAAGGAAAACAGAACAGCTTTACTTTTAGTTAGCAGAACCTTCGAGAAACAGGCCCTTGGATACACCGCTGAATTATTGATAGCTAATAAAATATAATACAGTCGTAAAATCGTTGTCCAGAATATCAACTAACAAAACATATGAGAGTGAAACTCTGCCTGACACTTTGGTTTTGCGGTAATTTATTTTTATTTTCTCTGACGTTCTTTGGTCTTTTTCATTCCAAACATGACTGAAAAGTGAATCTGATTAATTAGAAATGCGTCAGTGAATTTGCATATCAAAAGGTTAAACATCAGCAGAGCTTCCTCGAGTGATCTGTATTCAACTCTCATTAGCACAAGATACTTTCAGCAATTGTCGTAACGATCAAAAAATATTCACAAACTTAAATACGAACCCCAAATTGTCTACAAATTCCCAGTAGTTTGCAGGTATAAAACATGTTCCCTTTTAATAATAATTAATTGTGGTTAATAATAGTTATTTATTTTAATTGTAGTAGTAGTAATTGTCTTTGAGAAGCTCCCTCGGAGAAAGTCCATAAAGGATGTATGTATGTATGTGTGTATTATGAGTTTCGAGTTTCTCAACTTATCAGAAGCAAAACTAAAACAAATTATGACTACCTATCCTCGTGGATGTTGATGTCTCCCCCAAAAGTATTTCAAAACAGAGAACATCGATTGTTTTGAGCTCGAGGTAACAGCTGCAAAAGATGTTGGAAGATTTAAATTATTGTGCTAAACTGGAAACTTCAAATAATAAAAAACATACTATTTTTCCCAGTCTGTATTTCAAGTTCTCTTTTATTCGGGTCTTAAAAGTAAACACATTTCCTGTTTAAAATTTTTGGGAATCTTTCGAATGATGAAATACAAAAATGGAATCAGACAATTAATGGAGAAACATTCAAATAAAGAAATCTTCCTGGCAGGTGCAACAGCTTCTCACCAGCGAGGATAACGTGAATATCATTCGCAGGTCAGAATATAACAGAATTTATTTCGTAGAGAAAATATATAGAAGTTGTCACGAAAATGGAAAAATTTGTCGTTTTCCCGATTCCGTACTAAAACATTATTTTTAGAAAACGAGATTGACACGTGTAAACTAAAGACATAAGAAAATCGAAGAATCGCTAGATATTGTCTTGTTTGTTTTACCAGCATTGAGAGGATACCAAATTATAAAAAGTATTAGGTATTCAATATAACAACCCGGAGAAGAAGCGGCTTGAGCAAGAAAGAAGTGTAGGGAGAAACAAGAGACCTAATCGAGTGTTCCTCCCTCCTTCTTGAGTCAAATTCCTCTGGCATTACTTTCTATTCTCAAAAAAATATATTTCTAATATTTGATGTGAATATTGAATATTCATATTGTTAAGTTATTTTCTGTGAACTCGTTTGATTGGTCTCTTACACGTTGATTGACACATAGACATGGGTGATATCTTAACTAAGTGATCTGCTCAAGGACATTGTGAGAAACATCATTTCCTAAGGTGGGGTATGAAAACGATAGAAATGATGGTTACAAAGTTTTTTTGTATACTTATTTCAGCTTTTCAGGTAAAGGGCTACTGCTCCACTAGAAAATGTAAAAAGATCTCTTTTGATGAGCAACAAGATGCCAGTCATGACAAAGAGCTTGTCGGCCATGTCTTCCACAATTCTGTCACTTCAAACCCACAGCAGTGCTATCTTTTGTGTATGAACGACTGTCGATGTTTGTCGATAAACTACAAGGTTAAGAACGACATCAAATACTGCGAGTTGAACGAAGGCAGCCATTTTACCAACAAAAACTCCCTGAAAAACATCCACGGAAGCGTTTACTACGTACTGCGGAAATAATACACTACTAAGGTACTAAATTTCTCAATTTTTTTAAAATTTTATTTTTATTTTTGTATTTTTGCAATGCATCTTTGTAGCCTTCATCTTGAGATAAAAGGTGTTTAATAGAGAATAATACATGGGCGCGCTTACATTTGGAATTTCTCTTCGAGTGTTTCACTCGATAGCTCACGAGTGAGCACAACGAAAGAGAAGAATTTACCAAGTTATTAAACTTTATTACGTCATAGGGTATTTTTTTCCATGATTGATTCCAGGTATTCATCTTGATATATTCGCCATTCATTTGTTATGTTAAAAACCGAAGAAGCTTCTGCCTGATGATAAACTACAAAACTAGGTCCGGTGGATGTTAATGTCTTTCCCAAAAGTATTTCAAAACAGAGAACATCGATTGTTTTGAGCTCGAGGTAACAGCTGCAAAAAGATGTTGGAAGATTTAAATTATTGTCCAAAACTGAAAACTTAAAAAAAACCCTACTATTCTTCCCAGTCTGTATTTTAAGGTCCTCTTTTATTCGGGTCTTGAAAGTAAACACATTTCCTTTTTTAAATTTTTATGAAAAAAGATTAATCTTTCGAATGATGAAGAACAAAAATAGAATTAGACAACTAACCGGAGAAACATTCAAATAAAGAAGTGCTCCTGGCAGGTGTAACAGCTTCTCACCAGCGAGGATTATTTGAATATCATTCGCCGGTCAAAAATATAATAGAATTTAATTCTAGAGAAACTATTGAAAACAAATTGTCACAAAATGGAAAAATCCGTCTTTTTCCCGATTCAGTGGTAAAAAATGTAATTGTTTTACAAAACGAGATTGACCTAAGTAATGAAGAGAAATAAGAAAATCGAAGACTCACTGATCAGTTTTATCGAATATTTGACATTGGGTGATCTCGCTTGTTTGAATATTCGAAAAAGGGTTAATTTCAAGAGACCATTATGGCATGGTCAGTATGAAAAATAGCCTATCAGAACGAGGCATTAGAGATTTCGGGAGCGATCGTGATTGCTTGCAAACTTGATGAGAGGAAAAGCTAGGTTTTGCAACATTTTTCTGTCAAAAACAAAACAAGATCATGATATTAAAATAATGATGAAAACATGTTTCAATTTTTTCATTAATTTTTGCATAGAAGGCTCCTAACCACATCGTTCCATGTACTGTTGACGTCATGTGTACCAATGGCTGCTGCAGGAACAATCCGTGTCTCAATGGAGGAACTTGCACTGAGATCTGTCAGCCCACAAGTGTTCGGTACAACTGTTCCTGTCCTGTACCGTTTGTCGGTAAACACTGCGAGATTCAGCTGAGAAGAAGCTGTCAGAATTATAAAGCAGCCAGGTTCACCGCCTCTGGATTGTATTCCGTCATTGATGACAGAAACCAAACTTTCCAAGTATTCTGTGATTTTGATTCAGAGCCTGGGTTCGCTTGGAACCTGATTAAGTCATTCAATTTGTCCAACAACCACCTTTTTAAGGTAATTTTCCCAAGATTTTAAAGCCATAAAGAAATATACCCTGTACATCCTCGTCTACACAAAATAACGAGGATGCGAAAATTAAGTGCCCTTAAAAATGAAATACCTTCATTTTGAATTTTTTTCTTCATAAGTTAAATTCGTCTGTCTTCTTGGAAGCTTTCGTCATCAATGATGTCTTTGAATGATTCTGTCAACAGAAGAAATCTTGTTTTATACACAATGACTATCCAGACTCAAGTACCATCAGCAGTAATACTTCAAATTGACAAGTGTACGTTATAAAAAAATTCAGCCTAATTTTTGTTTCAAGCTGCTAGAATCTTAAGTTCATGGATGTGATAGTGATCTTTACCAACTGAAGTTCACATTTTCTGTCTACAGCTTATCGTATTTTACGATAACTACCAAGCCATCAGCGGTGATGCCCCAAATTGGCAGGCATACCTCATGAAACGACCCTACCTCCTTTGGCTCAGAGATCACTCGACTCACTGGAGAGCTACTTGCCGATACGACACAGATGGTACCGTACATACAGATTACTTGAGAGCCTCGCTTGAAGACTTCGACATCATTAGACAGGTACCCATAGTGACCGATGACTGTCGACCTTACGAATATGTGAACATCCGGGGAAATGAGTGTGTGAATTGCACAGCGAGAACCTGGTATAAAAAAGGAGCTTATCCTCTCCATATCGACAGTTCCAAACAGAATGGCTGTGATTCCAGTGGAAGCATTTCAAACCAAGCCGTACACAGCGAGGACAACTTTGGTTTCTATGACGTGGTCAATCCCAAATTTCGATGTACTTCAAGCCAAAATGCAACGACTCAGTTCTGGATTGGAGGCACTTTATGACTTTCTAATACCTGATCCAGTTCCTATTAAAATGCAGGAAGTTCACTTGACCCAGGCAGACATCTATCCACCTTAAAAATGTTATTACACTTATAAAGTTAGAGCTCTATAAAAGATTTATCTTTGTGGGTACCTTAGCGGTTAGATATATGGGGGTCGGTAACCTCTCACACACTGCACAGGATGAAATAGCTCAATTAAGTTGCCTTAAAGTAACTTAAAGGCTAACATAAGAAACATGAGGTCTCACAGTTATTTGCACTAGAGGTTTAGTAACCTTATAAGTTTTGGTAAGAAATGCAACGGCATTTAGCAGTTAAAGCTCTGTTTTATCTTTAAGATGTGTTCTTCATTCTAGCTTTTCTTCCCATACTAGAAATTGTCCCATAAACAATAAATTCAAGGTTAAACTATAGGCACACTTTCGCACTACCAACCACAGTCGAGAGTTAGTTCATTATTTGAAACAATTTTAGCAATTACTGTAGAATGTGTGAGTGAGCTTTACTGAAAAGCAATGTAACTTTTAATAAGTAAATTGTTGGATTCTCAGTCTGAAAGTTGTAACTTTGTGTGGAACTGTAAGGAAGAAATGTACATGTGTGCCCTTCTAAGTGTGCCAAAGAACTGTTCATAATTCTCTATTGTAGAGAGTTTAATTTTTTGTGAAGTAATCATTAATTGGTTTTAATTTTCATAGTAAATATAGTCAAAATACACTTCCCTCCGATTGTTGTACAAATGGTACACAGTGACATGATGTGTGACAAACTGTATGACACTTTCCTGCATAGACGATTAAGGTAACCCAAAGATTGAATCTTGCCTGTATGAGTGAAGGCAAATTATTATGTGCATTACTCCTCAGACTTTCAAATTACATTTCACGGAGACCTTTCGATTTTTCCAGATTGTATATATATATATATATATCTCTGAAGGTTGAACTAATCATTAAGACATAACTTTTCTGTGACTCCGAGTTTCTCGCTTACGCGATCATCGGACAGATTTAAATCTTATTGATTAGTTCAACCTTCAGATATACCACGCTCTGCGAACGCGTCGAGCACTTTACCGCAAAGATAGACTATAATCAAGATATACATATAATTGTTCTTTCATCAAAATCGTTCAACTGAGTTTCACCCATCATTCTTTTGCCATTTCGTTGAGTCATAACTGTTTCTTTTTTTACCAGCGATTGGTCCGGGGAATATTTCATATGTGGCTTGTTTTATTTCAGTACTTCATACATTTGCAAAAGAGACACGAGCTTTAATGCAAAGCAATTGAGGCAAGGGGGGGTTCATTTAAACGCTAGATGTAAACTCTATGAGCAGTTTGTCTGTTTACCTCCTAAAACTGCGTCAATTACCAGCTTAGAATTTCGAAATCAATGAAACTCTTATTTGACCATCAAATGACGAAGTAAGTTGAAGTTTTGTTTCTCACGTTTATTTTCCTGAAAGTTCAGGGCACATTGCCCGAAAGAAATAAAAATTTCACTTGATGTGCAAATAAAACCCTTTTCCGCGGTGCAATCGTTCCTTCCCCTTTGCAGTGGTGATTTCAATCACTCTGATTAAAACCTCCGCTATCAACATTGATTGGAGGGATGTGGACTGACTCGATCACATAAAATACACAAGATTATTCCATATGGAATCAAGAACTTAAGTCAAACCTAAGCATTGACAGGATTTGGAAACCAAACCCTTATCGGTACTTTCTGTGAACATCAGTAAAAAATAGCCACTGGAATACTGAATTGAAAGAGTTAGTTAGACCCCATTCAAACTGCTATTTCTTTACTTGGACAGAAACAGTATCTAAAAAAATTACTATTTGAGACAGGTATGGGGAAGGTAAACTTAACTGCAGTAGGTTAAGAATACTTTTAAGATCTTTATTCACACAGGCTTCGACGTTTTTACAGAATAAAAACTGCATCATTGGCATCATGAGTGATCTAATATTTCTCATGTTAGGTAGATTATTGACTTATCAAATTTACCTTCACAACGACAATATTTCATGCGGTAAAGTAGCGATTGTCGTTTACTGTAGCGTTAAATTTGTGATAGTGTCAAAATGAACCATAGCCAGCGGACCGTGCGAGTTTTACGATGGCCGGAGGTTGCAGGATAACGTGCTTTACCAATATAAATCTTATTAGCATGACAAGACGATCCTGAAAAATGATGATTGAATGTCACAGACGTTAATTACAGCACAATAATAGAATAATAGACACAGTAATTGCTAATAGAATTAGAAAGAAAGGACTAGTAAACTTTAAGTTCCGTAGACGGATGGGGACTGGTAATCAAATCTCAGACCTCCCGATTTTGCGGTAAGATACTCTACCATTGAACTTAAAAAAACTGATCAGCAAAGGCATGATTTAGATGCAATAAGCTTAAGTGTCCTCTCTACAACTAAGATCAGTACTGTCCTATTTATTTGCACGTTCACTTTCCATTTGTAGCCAGAAAAGCCTTATCACGATCAAGAACGGGAAAATAACTCACATATCTTGCCAAACCATCAGAGACTCTAGAACTTACTCTCTCGCGGCCACAGCGCATACATATATATTTGACAAGGAGCGTGACTTACCAATTACGCTGTCCTTTTCAGCCCTGTCACTTTAAGATTTGAGTGGCCCATTCCCGCCTCATTTGTAGCCTACATTCAATTGTACCAACATTGATTCCCTTTTTTGTCCAGGGTTAAATATAAGTGAACTTGTGACTTGAAGGTAATGCACCTCTTATCTCAAAGTCGGACTTTAAAAGTTCTCAGTCAGAGATTAGGACGAAAAAGGCTTAGAAGTTGTAGGTAGACAATTAGAGGTCCAACGCCGGAAGTCAGAAAATCACACGTCATAGCCGACAAAACAACTCCATAATCAAATTTCCAAAATGCGAAGTCTGAGGTCGGAAATAGAACTCAGAACTCCGAACTGGAATGTCCGAAATCTTAAGTCTGAGGTCCGAAATGGAAAAATTTTAAATCGATAGCCGCAAATAGAAATCGAACGTAAAAGTAGAAGTCAGAATTACTGTTGTGACGACTGATCCCCCTCTCCGTTCCCCCTGAAAACCATGCGATCCCCCCTCCCCCCGCCCCTTCAAGGGCCCAAGGGCCTTTTTCTCGAAGGTTCTGCTAACTAAAAATAAAGCTGTTCTGTTTTCCTTCAAGTTGGGAGTTCCAGAAGAAAATAAAAATTATGGGCCACGGATGACTACCAAGCCATCAGCGGTGACGACCCAAATTGGCAGGCATACCTCTTGAAACGACCTTACCTCCTTCGACTCAGAGATTACTCGACTTATCGGAGAGCTACTTGACGATACGACACAAATGGCACAGTATATACAGATTACCTGAGAGCCTCGATTAAGACTTTGATATCATCAGAGACGTACCCTTGGTGGAAGAAACTTGTCGTCCGCACGCATATGTGAACATTCGGGGAAATGAGTGTGTGAATTGCACGACAAGGACGTGGTATAAAAAAGGAGATTTTCCTCTTCATATCGATAGTTTCTATCAAAGTGGCTGTGATTTCAATGGAAGCAAAACAGACGCGGGTTTGATGAACGAGGACAACTTTGGTTTGTACCTTACAATAAATCCTAAATTCCGTTGTACTTTAAGCGAGAATGACACCACCCAGATTTGGATTGGAGGCAAGTAGTTTCCTTACATATCAACACACCTGCAGTTTTAATTTCACTCAAGGAAGTTGGTCCAGCTTAATTTAGACATGGTTTATTAATTTTAATTTAGACATGGTTACCTTTAAAATGTGATCAGTTTTACTACACGCCTAATCATCAGCTGAGTAGTTTTGCAAGTAAGCAGTTTACAGGCTCGAAAAAGACATAAAAAATCCTCGTTTAATTCCTGTGTTACCAGATGCATGTAAATATAACAGTCCGTTTTAACAGTATGTGAAGATGAAAATTACATGGTTTCTGTATTATTATACTACATCACAGCTGTATAAGCAATTTGCAGGTTTGAAAAATGTTTGCGAGATTTTTTAGTTATGCTTGTAAATATGCAACTTTGTTTTGATTTAAATAAGAGCGAGTATGTAAGGTCAATGATATGGATGTTTCGAAACAATGTCAATTTGTTAGTTGTGTCACAATAAAATTTACCAGATCCTCCTGTAACTCTGTAATATTCTAATGATCCCGCTTCATCGGCAGTCAATTTCCTATAGTCCCCCCTTAGTACTCTGTTAGCGACGACTGACCATCCCCGCCCTCTCTGTTCTCCCTGAAAATCCACCCATATGAAAACGCCGGCTGAACACTTTATATCTATTTTCTGTAAAATCTATTCAAGGTGGTGGCTTCCACAGAAAGCGAAATTGTCGAAGGAAATTGTAAAAGTAATTATTACAAATTTTTCCTCAGTTATTGACCTTGAATAGATTGGAGATTATTTGCTATATTTATCAGTTTTTTCAAACTCTTAGTGAAAATCTCAACTCTAGAAACCGATTGAATATTGCATTCCTCTTTTTTACAACAAAATCGAGAAATATTTCGTCAAAACGCTGTTTATAATTAACTCTATCGCCTGCTTTTCATTCAGCAGCTGTAGTTGGACATTAATCGATGTCAAAACTCAACTTTATTTTGGAATTATATGCACCCTTTTGAAATGCAATGAGTTGCCGTTACTTTTGAAAACCCGTTTTTCTTTCCCTTTGGAGTAATATCGCAAGAACTGCGCACAATATCCTGATTACAAAGTGAGAAAAAACAAGGCTCTATGAACGTTTTCTAAGAACCATCTTCTAAACGTTTTCCGGAGGGGTTCCTTGACGATAGTTTTCTGTATTTTAATCACTGATATGAACAAAGCAATGATTTCAAAAGCGTGATATTATTCCGCAAGTCCTTGCTGGTAGACAGTGAGCGTAACAAGTTTGCTTCATGAATAAACCAACTGAATTCTCCTCACACCGTAAACTGACATTGCATCTGATGAACTTGTATGGTGAAGGTTATCACTTATTTGGCTTCAGGATATCAATAGTTAATCGTTCAAATTCATATATAGATATTGTCTTGTTTGTTTTGCCGGCATTGAAGGAAAACCAAATGATAAAAGGTATTAAGTATTCAATATAATCACCCTATTTTGCATTCCGTACGCAATTCTACCAGTGTGTTATTTTAAAAGAATAAAGAAGCCTTGAATGTGCTCAGTACGTTCTGTTATAGAGCACGTAGTAAGCGACTTGAGCACGAAAGAAGTGAAAGGAGAAACACGAGACTTAGGCGAGTGTTTCTTCCTCCTTCTTAAGTCAAATTCCTCTGGCATTACTCTCTATTTTCCAAACAATATGCAATATTTGATATGAAAAAAGTGTCGTAACGTGTTAGCCGATACGTTTCTGGGATGGAAACAAAGGTTTCAGCGTGCCCCTTCGTATCTACCGATACTATAGGTAAAAGCGTCCGTTTCAGAGTTAGTTATCAGAGTCAAAAAATCAGGCTAAAATCCCATTCACACCAGCAAAGCGTGCTTGGTTAAATCAGCTTTAACTGGATGAAAATCAGAAACAGAGAACTGAAGAACTGAATTTTACATGGTTTTCATAAAGTCGCCATCACTGTGCTAGATTTAAGCATAAACAATATCTGCAAAAACCCACAAAACTAGCATAGGTTATCCAACATGTGTTTTAAACAACACATTCGCAGTTTTGGAAGGAAGAAATTTGAAGTTGTGTCTTTATGCGTGGGAAGTGGTTTTAAGTAAACATCATTCTATAGTGCAAAATGGGATAAATGTATAAATGTATATGCATTCTTACAGCTGTGCTGCACTTTAAGTCTATTTGGAAAGTATATTGCATAGATATGAATGGTTGAGTAGGTTTACCAAAGTGTAGTAGTTTTCAAGCTGTTTGATAACAACGATGGTTCAAAAGTTTTTTTGAATACTCATTTCAGCTTTTCAAGGAAAGGGCTACTACTCCACTGGAAAATGTGAAATGAACTCTTCCGAGTTTTCTGAGCAAATTGATCCACGAGAGAGTTTCTCAACAAATCAGAAGCAAAACTCAAACAAATTATGACCACTTATCCTCGTGGATGCTGATGTCTTCCCCAAAAGTATTTCAAAACAGAGAACATCAATTGTTTTGAGCTCGAGGTAACAGCTGCAAAAAGATGTTGGGAGATTTAAATTTTTGTGCAAAACTGAAAACCTAAAAAAAAACCCTACCATTTCTTCTAGTATGTTTTTAAAGGTCCTCTTTTATTCGGGTCTTGAAAGTAAACACATTTCCTTTTTTAAATTTTTATGAAAATAGGTGAATCTTTCGAATAAGGAAATACAAAAATGGAATCAGACAACTAACGGAGAAACATTCAATAAAGAACTGTTCCCGGCTGGAGGATAATTTGAATATCATTCGCAGGTCAAAAATATGATAGAATTTAATTCGTAGAGAAACTACTGATAACAAATCGTCACAAAAATGGAAAAATCCGTCGTTTTCCCGATTCCGTGATAAAACATGTAATTGTTTTTACAAAACGAGATCAACTTGAGTAAAGTAGAGACATAAAAAATCAAAGACTCGTCAGTTTTAGCAAATATTTGACATTATGTTATCTCGCTTGTTTGAATATTCAAAAAAGGGGTAATTTTTCGTTTCGTTGATTTGTTTGTTGCAGTCCAAACGTAACTGATTGGTGAGTCTAGCTGCAATTAAATTTCATATGCGTCAGCCGAATTTGCGTATCAACACGTATCAATACGTCTAGCGATTTGTATTGACCTCCAACAAGCGGAAACACTTTCGCAGCTTTTATAGTAGTCAAAAATATGCACAATTTCGAAATTTTGGATAGCTTTGCAATTTTCCCATAACATAGGGAAAAAAATTGCTTAGTGGACGCTGTACATGATCATTAATTTCTGTCATGGATGTTTTTATTTCTCCAAGTCTTTGTGTTCACCGAAAAATATCTCTACAGATATATTAAAGTTCACGAGGCAACCAGGTAGATAATCAGACATGATCACCTAAGTAGCATCAAATCATGCCTGGTCTCTTATGAGCTGAGCTCCATGAAAAATTAATTTGTGGTAATAAGACGATGGTGAAGAGAAATTTGCATTTTAGTGCACCCGAGGACCTCGTGTTGTGGGTAAATTGGTGATTGTTTTTTTTGGTTTGTTTATTATCTTTTTTGTTTTACTGACTCATATTGGTCAACAACATTAATAAATTAAGCTCCCATCAAATTTTAACCAACCTCAGACTGAATTTAATTTTTGGGGCCAGTATTGGAGTTTTAGTTCGGCTTTGATTCTTCATCGATAATGAAAAGAGTGTACGTTTTCTAACGTTTTGTTGGGTCTTCTTACTGTAGGGCAAAACCGGGAGAATATCAGGTGTTGATATTGCTTTTGCAAAACTTAGTGTCCTAAAATTTAGCGGAAATACTTTTGAATTCCCCACGGGTGATACATGCAACAAAGCGTAGTGATCTTGATAAAAACAATTGGAAAAATGAATTGCATGCTATGGTGGGCAAACTTCCTGAGAATTGTTTGTTCCTGTTGTGATGTCTATTCTAGAAACTGATTCTTAGAAAGTTTGGCAGAAATACTTTTGAGTTACCCTTAGGCGATATATGCAGCAAAGCGTAGTGATCTCAATAAAAACCATTGGAAAAATTAATTGCTTTCCATGATGGGCAAACTTCCTGAAAATTGTTTGTTCCTATTGTGATGTCTTTTCCATAAACTGATTTGATTGGTTTTTCACACCTGAATTAACTTCTAAAGGAAAGGCGATGTCTAAATTAATAATCTGCTCAAGAAAGACATCACGAGAAACATCGTTTTCTCGAGTGGTGTGTGAAAGGTAAAATGTTGGAAACGAAGTTTGTGTTTTTATTCATTTCAGTTTGGCAAGTTAAGGGAGACTGCCTCGCAGGAAAATGTGAAAAGATCTCTTTTGATGAGCAACAACATGCCAAGCAGAACCAAGAGCTTGTTGGCCGTGTTTTCCACAATTCTGTTACGTCAAACCCAGTTCAGTGTTACTTATGGTGTATTAACGACTGTCGATGTTTGTCGATAAACTACAAAGTCAAGGACGAAACCAAATATTGCGAGTTGAACGAAGGCAACCATTTTACTGAAAAGAAATCTTTTGTAAACAATCCAGGATCTATTTACTATATACTGCGAAGAGAAACCTTCACTAAGGTACCAAATTTTATAGTTTTAAAAGCTGTTTTTACGGTGCATGATCGTTAGTCCAGCTGGGATATGTGACATCTAAATCTTTTTTGGATATATTTTTAATCGTCTTGGTTCTATCAAAATTCTCTTAAATAGAAATTGACGATAGATTACAAAAAATCACCACAATAAAAAACCAATGTATTATGATAAACTTCTTATTGCTGTCAAAATTGTTCTGCCGCGTGGATGCTGATCCTATCTACGACATTATTTTATGTTAACTCATTGTTTACCTTAAACCCGAGATAACAGCTGCGGAAAAAGACGTTAAATTTTTAACGTAGTTTACAAAACAGAAAACTCAAAATTTGAAAAAAAAAACCTTAGTATTGGTCCTTAGTTGCAAGATACGTACGTCTTTTATTCAAGTCTAAAGGATTATGAAATTTTCTATTGAAAAGAGTAGTGATTTATTCGGTTTAAAACATATCAAAGTGGAATCAAAACAATTATCTTGAGATTCAAAAAATTAGAAGGATATATAAGAAAATCTGTGTTCTCCGTGAATTCGAACGTCACCTACTTCGCAGTGCTGAAATGCTGAAAAATCTTTGAAATAAAACTTATTGACTCTTGCAAGATAAAATGTAATCCACTCCTAAAACTCTTGCTTCGCTGATTTTAGAGATTATTTCTCATTCGGTGATCTCTCTTGGTAGTCTGAGTGTAACATTGAAAAAAGATAGTGCGATGAAATATAAAAAACCCTCCTAGTATGGGAGATTTCAGGGAAATTAAAAGGTAATCTGCTTGCAAGTTTGATGATTTTTATGTAACATTAAAAAAAAGGATCATAATGATAAAATAAAAGAATAATTTGCATTTTAATAAATTTTTGTAAATAAGGCTCCTAATGTTCCATGTGCCACTGACGTCACATGTAGCAACGGCTGCTGCGGGAACAAACCGTGTCTCAATGGAGGAACCTGCACTGAGGTCTGTGAGCCCACAAGTGTTCGGTACAACTGTTCCTGTCCTGTACCGTTTGTTGGTAAACACTGCGAGATTCAGCTGAGAAGAAGCTGTCAGGATTATAAAGCAGCCAGGTTCACCACCTCTGGATTGTACACCATCACTGATGACAGAAACCAAACTTTTCAAGTATTCTGTGATTTTGATTCAGAGCCTGGGTTCGCTTGGAACCTGATTGAGTCATTCAATTTGTCCAATAACCACCTTTTTAAGGTAATTTTTGTAAAGATTTTAAAGCCATAAAGAAATATACCTTGTACGTTCTCGTCTACAGAAAATAACGAGGATGAGAAAATTAAGTACCACTCTCGCTAAGAGCGGTCTACTCAACTTCCCGTCGGAAAAAAGTTTTCTTTTATTTTTTGCCCATGAAAAGGGTTTAGGACACATGTTTCAAAAATAGTTTAGTTGTTCTCCAATTCTCTTTTTTTGCGTCGCCACAAGCCAAAAATGATTTTTGGCCAGACCATCCCTGTGGACAGCGATCGAAAGTGTAAATTTCAAAGATTTTGTCCAGCGCGCAGCGACTGCAACAATGTAGCTAACGGAATTCTACCTTGCTACAAGTTACAAGGCGTATTCAGTTAGTTCACAGACAAAATATGGAAACTTTATCTGAAATATTTTTCATACCAGCGTGATCAGAGGAGACCCTTCTCTTCGAACTTAATTTGCATATCAAAAACTCACTACTTTGTACGAAAGAATTCTCAAAATGCAGGCGTTAATCGGGCTGAAAAAGCATATCAGTGCATAGTTTATACACCAATGAGGTCACAAATTGCCTCAAACCCGCGGGTATATCTCTAGCTTCCATCCACCAACTTCTTAAAAACAACGCAAATCCATGTGTTTGCTCAATTGCGTACTAACTTTTTCAGCCCGAGGTGGTCTGGCCAAAAATCATTTTTGGCTTGTGGCGACGCAAAAAAAGAGAATTAGAGAACAACTAAACTATTTTTGAAACATGTGTCCTAAACCCTTTCCATGGGCAAAAAATAAAAGAAAACGTTTTTCCGACGGGAAGTTGAGTGGACCGCTCTTAGCGAGAGTGGCACGTAAGAGCCCTCAAAAATGAAATGCCTTCATTTTGAATTTTTTTCTTCGTAAGTTAAGTTCGTCTGTCTTCCTAAAAGCTTTCGTCACTAATGATGTCTTCGAATAATTCTGTCAACAAAAGAAATCTTGTTTATACATAATAACTATCCAGACTCAAGTGCCATCAGCAGTAATACCTCAAATTGAGAAGGGTACGTTATAAAAAGTTCAGCCTATAACTTTTGTTTCAAGCTGCTAGAATCTTAAGTTCAGGAATATGATAGTGATCTTTACCAACTGAAGTTCATATTTTCTGTCTGCAGCTGATCGTATTTTACGGTGATTACCAAGCCATCAGCGGTGATGCCCCAAATTGGCAGGCCTACCTCATGGAACGACCCTACCTCCTTTGGCTCAGAGATCACTCGACTCACTGGAGAGCTACTTGCCGATACGAGACAGATGGCACCGTACGTACAGATTACCTGAGAGCCTCGCTTGAAGACTTCGACATCATTAGACAAGTACCCATAGTGACCGATGACTGTCGACCTTACGAATATGTGAACATCCGGGGAAATGAGTGTGTGAATTGCACAGCGAGAACCTGGTATAAAAAAGGACTTCATCCTTTCCATATCGATAGTTTCCACCAGAATGGCTGTGATTCCAGTGGAAGCATTTCAAACCAAGCCGTATACAGCGAGGACAACTTTGGTTTCTATGACGTGGTCAATCCCAAATTTCGATGTACTTCAAGCCTAAATGCAACGACTCAGTTCTGGATTGGAGGCACTTTATGACTTTCTAATCCCTGAGCCAGTTCCTGTTAAAAAGCAGGAAGTTCACTTGACCCAGGCAGACATCTATCCACCTTAAATATGTTATTACACTCATAAAGTTAGAGCTCTATAAAAGATTTATCTTTGAAGGTACCTTGGCTGTTAGATATATGGGGGCTGGTAACCTCCCAGACGCTGCATAGGATGAAATAGCTCATTTAAGTTGTCTTAAAGTAACGTAAAGACTAGTATAAGAAACATGAGGTCTCACAGTTATGAAAGTCTTATTTTCTCATCGAATGACGAAGTAAGTTGAAGTTTTGTTACTTACGTTTGTTTCCCTGAAAGTTCAGGGCACATTGCCCGAAAGAAAGAAAAATTTCACTTGATGTGCAAATAAAACCCTTTTTCGCAGAGCAATCGTTCCTTCCCCTTCGCCGCGGTGATTTCGATCACTCCGATCAAAACCTCCGCTATCAACATTGATTGGAGGGATGTGGACGGACTCGACCACATAAAATACACAAGATCATTCCGTATGGAATCAAGAACTTAAGTTAAACCTAAGCACTCACAGGATTTGGAAACCAAACCCTTATCGGTACTTTGAGCTCCAAGCCACTGGAATACTGAATTGAAAGAGTTAGTTAGACCCCATTCAAACTGCTATTTCTTTATTTGGACAGAAACAGTATCTAAAAAATTACCATTTGAGACAGTTTATGGGAAGGTAAACTCAACTGCAGTAGGTTAAGAATACTTTTAAGATCTTTATTCACACAGGCTTCGACGTTTTGGCAGAATAAAAACTGTATCATTGGCATCAAGAGTGATCTAGTATTTCTCAAGTGAGGTAGATTATTGACGTATCAAATTTACCTTCACAACGACAATATTTCATGCGGTAAAGTAGCGATTGCCGTCTACTGTAGCATTAAATTTTTTAACAGTGTCAAAAGGAACTATGGCCAGCGGACCGTGCGAGTTTTACGATGGTCGGAGGTTGCAGGATAACGTGCTTTACCAATATAAATCTTATTAGCATGACAAGATGATCCTAAAAAATGATGATTGAATGTCACAGACGTTAATTACAGCACAATAATAGAACAATAAACACAATAATTGCTAATCGAATTAAAAAGAAAGGACTGGTAAACTTTAAGTTCCGTCGACGGATGGGGACTGGTAATCCACTCTCAGACCTCCCGATTTTGCGGTGAGATGCTCTTCCATTGAACTTAAAAAAACTGATCAGCAAAGGCATGATTTAGATGCAATAAGCTTAAGTGTCCTCTCTACAACTAAGATCAGTACTGTCCTATTTATTGGCACGTTCAGTATCCATTTGTAACCAGAAAAGCCTTATCAAGATCAAGAACGGGAAAATAACTCACATATCTTGCCAAACCATCAGAGACTCTAGAACTTACTCTCTCGCGGCCACAGCGCATATATATATATTTGATAAGGAGCGTGACTTACCAATTACGCTGTCCTTTTCAGCCCCGTCACCTTAAGATTTGAGTGGCCCATTCCCGCCTCATTTGTAGCCTGCATTCAATTGTACCAACATTGATTCCCTTTTTGTCCAGGGTTAAATATTAGTGAACTTGTGACTTGAAGGTAATGCACCTCTTATCTCAACTACTGCTGTACCTCTCTTTTTTAAATTTAATAATTTCCTCATATCTTAATTTTATATCATTGATTTAAGAAGAAAGTTGGACCTCTCTAATTAATGGACTTGGAAAAATATTGAGCTTTTAAGTCGAAAGTCTTCATATAACAATTGATGAATTATAGTCGGACTTTAAAAGTTCTCAGTCAGAGATTAGGACAAAGAAGGCTTAGAAGTTGTAGGTAGACAGTTAGAGGTCCAACGCCGGAAGTCAGAAAATCATACGTCAATAGCCGACAAAATAACTCCGAAATCAAATTTCCAAAATGCGAAGTCTGAGGTCGGAAATAGAACTCAGAACTCCGAACTGGAATGTCCGAAATCTTAAGTCTGAGGTTCGAAATGGAAAAATTTTAAATCGATAGCCGCAAATAGAACTCCGAAATCCGAAATCGAACGTGTGAGATTCAACCTCGTAAAAGCAGAAGTCAGAATTACTGTTGTGACGACTGATCTCCCTCTCCGTTCCCCCGGAAAACCATGTGATCCCCCTCCCCTCCCTCCGTGGCCTATAATTTTCATTTTCTTCTGGAACCCCCATCTTGAAGGAAAATAGAACAGCTTTACTTTTAGTTAGCAGAACCTTCGAGAAACAGGCCCTTGGATGCACCGCTGAATTATTGATAGCTAATAAAATATAATACAGTCGTAAAATCGTTGTCCAGAATATCAACTAACAAAACATATGAGAGTGAAACTCTGCCTGACACTTTGGTTTTGCGGTAATTTATTTTAATTTTCTCTGACGTTCTTTGGTCTTTTTCAGTCCAAACATGACTGAAAAGTGAATCTGATTAATTAGAAATGCGTCAGTGAATTTGCATATCAAAAGGTTAAACATCAGTAGAGCTTCCTCGAGTGATCTGTATTCAACTCTCATTAGCACAAGATACTTTTAACAATTGTCATAACGATCAAAAAGTATTCACAAACTTAAATACGAACCCCAAATTGTCTACAAATTCCCAGTAGTTTGCAGGTATAAAACATGTTCCCTTTTAATAATAATTAATTGTGGTTAATAATAGCTATTTATTTTAATTGTAGTAGTAGTAATTGTCTTTGAGAAGCTCCCTCGGAGAAAGTCCATAAAGGATGTATGTATGTATGTGTGTATTATTAGTTTCGAGTTTCTCAACTTATCAGAAGCAAAACTAAAACAAATTATGCCTACCTATCCTCGTGGATGTTGATGTCTCCCCCAAAAGTATTTCAAAACAGAGAACATCGATTGTTTTGAGCACGAGGTAACAGCTGCAAAAGATGTTGGAAGATTTAAATTATTGTGCAAAACTGAAAACTTCAAAGAAAACAAAACATACTATTTTTCCCAGTCTGTATTTCAAGGTCCTCTTTTATTCGGGTCTTAAAAGTAAACACATTTCCTTTTTAAAACTTTTGGGAATCTTTCGAATGATGAAATACAAAAATGGAATCAGACAATTAACGGAGGAACATTCAAATAAAGAAATCTTCCTGGCAGGTGCAACAGCTTCTCACCTGCGAGGATAACGTGAATGTCATTCGCAGGTCAGAATATAACAGAATTTATTTCGTAGAGAAAATATATAGAAGTTGTCACGAAAATGGAAAATTTTTCGTTTTCCCGATTCCGTACTAAAACATTATTTTTAGAAAACGAGATTGACCAGTGTAAACTAAAGACATAAGAAAATCGAAGAATCGCTAGATATTGTCTTGTTTGTTTTGCCAGCATTGAGAGGATACCAAATTATTAAAAGTATTAGGTATTCAATAAAACAACCCGGAGAAGAAGCGGCTTGAGCAAGAAAGAAGTGTAGGGAGAAACAAGAGACCTAATCGAGTGTTCCTCCCTCCTTCTTGAGTCAAATTCCTCTGGCATTACTTTCTATTCTCAAAAAAATATATTTCTAATATTTGATGTGAATATTGAATATTCATATTGTTAAGTTATTTTCTGTGAACTCGTTTGATTGGTCTCTTACACGTTGATTGACACATAGACATGGGTGATATCTTAACTAAGTGATCTGCTCAAGGGCATTGTGAGAAACATCATTTCCTAAGGTGGGGTATGAAAACGATCGAAATGATGGTTGCAAAGTTTTTTTGTATACTTATTTCAGCTTTTCAGGTAGAGGGCTACTGCTCCACTAGAAAATGTAAAAAGATCTCTTTTGATGAGCAACAAGATGCCAGTCATGACAAAGAGCTTGTCGGCCATGTCTTCCACAATTCTGTCACTTCAAACCCACAGCAGTGCTATCTTTTGTGTATGAACGACTGTCGATGTTTGTCGATAAACTACAAGGTTAAGAACGACATCAAATACTGCGAGTTGAACGAAGGCAGCCATTTTACCAACAAAAACTCCCTGAAAAACATCCACGGAAGCGTTTACTACGTACTGCGGAAAGAATACACTACTAAGGTACTAAATTTCTCAATTTTTTTTATTTTATTTTTATTTTTGTATTTTTGCAATGCATCTTTGTAGCCTTCATCTTGAGATAAAAGGTGTTTAATAGAGAATAATACATGGGCGCGCTTACATTTGTAATTTCTCTTCGAGTGTTTCACTCGATAGCTCACGAGTGAGCACAACGAAAGAGAAGAATTTACCAAGTTATTAAACTTTATTACGTCATAGGGTATTTTTTTCCAGGATTGATTCCAGGTATTCATCTTGATATATTCGCCATTCATTTGTTATATTAAAAACCGAAGAAGCTTCTGCCTGATGATAAACTACAAAACTAGGTCCGGTGGATGTTGATGTCTTTCCCAAAAGTATTTCAAAACAGAGAACATCGATTGTTTTGAGCTCGAGGTAACAGCTGCAAAGTATGTTGGAAGATTTAAATTATTGTCCAAAACTGAGAACTTAAAAAAAACCCTACTATTCTTCCCAGTCTGTATTTTAAGGTCCTCTTTTATTCGGGTCTTGAAAGTAAACACATTTCCTTTTTTAAGTTTTTATGAAAAAAGATAAATCTTTCGAATGATGAAGAACAAAAATAGAATTAGACAACTAACGGAGAAACATTCAAATAAAGAAGTGCTCCTGGCAGGTGCAACAGCTTCTCACCAGCGAGGATTATTTGAATATCATTCGCCGGTCAAAAATATAATAGAATTTAATTCTAGAGAAACTATTGAAAACAAATTGTCACAAAAATGGAAAAATCCGTCTTTTTCCCGATTCAGTGGTAAAAAAATGTAATTGTTTTACAAAACGAGATTGACCTAAGTAATGAAGAGAAATAAGAAAATCGAAGACTCACTGATCAGTTTTATCGAATATTTGACATTGGGCGATCTCGCTTGTTTGAATATTCGAAAAAGGGTTAATTTCAAGAGACCATTATGGCATGGTCGGTATGAAAAATAGCCTATCAGAGCGAGGCATTAGAGATTTCGGGAGCGATCGTGATTGCTTGCAAACTTGATGAGAGAAAAAGCTAGGTTTTGCAACATTTTTCTGTCAAAAACAAAACAAGATCATGATATTAAAATAATGATGAAAACATGTCTCAATTTTTTCATTAATTTTTGCATAGAAGGCTCCTAACCACATCGTTCCATGTACTGTTGACGTCATGTGTACCAATGGCTGCTGCAGGAACAATCCGTGCTTCAATGGAGGAACTTGCACTGAGATCTGTCAGCCCACAAGTGTTCGGTACAACTGTTCCTGTCCTGTACCGTTTGTCGGTAAACACTGCGAGATTCAGCTGAGAAGAAGCTGTCAGGATTATAAAGCAGCCAGGTCCACCGCCTCTGGATTGTATTCCGTCATTGATGACAGAAACCAAACTTTCCAAGTATTCTGTGATTTTGATTCAGAGCCTGGGTTCGCTTGGAACCTGATTGAGTCATTCAATTTGTCCAACAACCACCTTTTTAAGGTAATTTTCCCAAGATTTTAAAGCCATAAAGAAATATATCCTGTACATCCTCGTCTACACAAAATAACGAGGATGCGAAAATTAAGTGCCCTTAAAAATGAAATGCCTTCATTTTGAATTTTTTTCTTCATAAGTTAAATTCGTCTGTCTTCTTAGAAGCTTTCGTCATCAATGATGTCTTTGAATGATTCTGTCAACAGAAGAAATCTTGTTTTATACACAATGACTATCCAGACTCAAGTACCATCAGCAGTAATACTTCAAATTGACAAGTGTACGTTATAAAAAAGTTCAGCCTAATTTTTGTTTCAAGCTGCTAGAATCTTAAGTTCATGGATGTGATAGTGATCTTTACCAACTGAAGTTCACATTTTCTGTCTACAGCTGATCGTATTTTACGATAACTACCAAGCCATCAGCGGTGATGCCCCAAATTGGCAGGCCTACCTCATGGAACGACCCTACCTCCTTTGGCTCAGAGATCACTCGACTCACTGGAGAGCTACTTGCTGATACGACACAGATGGTACCGTACATACAGATTACTTGAGAGCCTCGCTTGAAGACTTCGACATCGTTAGACAGGTACCCATAGTGACCGATGACTGTCGACCTTACGAATATGTGAACATCCGGGGAAATGAGTGTGTGAATTGCACAGCGAGAACCTGGTATAAAAAAGGAGCTTATCCTCTCCATATCGACAGTTCCAAACAGAATGGCTGTGATTCCAGTGGAAGCATTTCAAACCAAGCCGTACGCAGCGAGGACAACTTTGGTTTCTATGACGTGGTCAATCCCAAATTTCGATGTACTTCAAGCCAAAATGCAACGACTCAGTTCTGGATTGGAGGCACTTTATGACTTTCTAATACCTGATCCAGTTCCTATTAAAATGCAGGAAGTTCACTTGAATCAGGCAGACATCTATCCACCTTAAAAATGTTATTACACTTATAAAGTTAGAGCTCTATAAAAGATTTATCTTGGTGGGTACCTTAGCGGTTAGATATATGGGGGTCGGTAACCTCTCACACACTGCACAGGATGAAATAGCTCAATTAAGTTGCCTTAAAGTAACTTAAAGGCTAACATAAGAAACATGAGGTCTCACAGTTATTTGCACTAGAGGTTTAGTAACCTTATAAGTTTTGGTAAGAAATGCAACGGCATTTAGCAGTTAAAGCTCTGTTTTATCTTTAAGATGTGTTCTTCATTCTAGCTTTTCTTCCCATACTAGAAATTGTGCCATAAACAATAAATTCAAGGTTACACTGCAGAGCACAATAGCCACACTTTCGCACCACCAACCACAGTCGGGAGTTAGTTCATTATTTGAAACAGTTTTAGCAATTACTGTAGAATTTGTGAGTGAGCTTTATTGAAAAGCAATGTAACTTTTAATAAGTTAATTGTTGGATTCTCAGTCTGAAAGTTGTAACTTTGTGTTAAACTGTAAGTAAGAAATGTACATGTGTGCCCTTCTAAGTGTGCCAAAGAACTGTTCATAATTCTTTATTGTAGAGAGTTTAATTTTTTGTGAAGTAAACATTAATTGGTTTTAATTTTCATAGTTAATGAAAATGCAGTCAAAATACGCTTCCCTCAGATTGTTGTGCAAATGGTGCACAGTGACACGATGTGTGACGAGCTGTATGACACTTTCCTGCATAGACGATTAGGGTAACCCAAAGATTGAATCTTGCATCTATGAGTGAAGGCAAATTATTATGTGCATTACTCCTCAGACTTTCAAATTACATTTCACGGAGACCTTTCAATTTTTCCAGATATATATATATATATATCTGAAGGTTGAACTAATCAATAAGACATAACATTTCTGTGACTCCGAGTTTCTCGCTTACGCGATCATCAGAGAGATTTTAATCTTATTGATTAGTTCAACCTTCATATATACCACGCTCTGCGAACGCATCGAGCGCTATACGGCAAAGATAGACTATAATCAAGATATATATATATATTTATTCTTTCATCAAAATCGCTCAACTGAGCTTCAACCATCATTCTTTTACCATTTCGTAGAGTCATAAATGTTTCTTTTTTGCCAGCAATTGGTCTGGGGAATATTTCATATGTGGCTTGTTTTATTTCAGTACTTCATATATTTGCAAAAGAGACACGAGCTTTAATGCAAAGCAATTGAGGCAGGGGGGGCTCATTTAAACTCTAGATGCAAACTTTATGAGCAGTTTGTCTGTTTACCTCCTAAAACTGCATCAATTACCAGCTTAGAATTTCGAAATCAATGAAACTCTTATTTGTCCATCAAATGACGAAGTAAGTTGAAGTTTTGTTACTCACGTTTATTTTCCTGAAAGTTCAGGGCACATTGCCCGAGAGAAAGAAAAATTTCACTTGATGTGCAAATAAAACCCTTTTTCGCGGTGCAATCGTTCCTTCCCATTTGCAGTGGTGATTTCGATCACTCTGATTAGAACCTCCGCTATCAACATTGATTGGAGGGATGTGGACTGACTCGATCACATAAAATACACAAGATCATTCCATATGGAATCAAGAACTTAAGTCAAACCTAAGCACTCACAGGATTTGGAAACCAAACCCTTATTGGTACTTTCTGTGAACATCAGTAAAAAATAGATGAGCTCCAAGCCACTGGAATACTGAATTGAAAGAGTTAGTTAGACCCCATTCAAACTGCTATTTCTTTATTTGGACAGAAACAGTACCTAAAAAATTACCATTTGAGACAGTTTATGGGAAGGTAAACTTAACTGCAGTAGGTTAAGAATACTTTTAAGATCTTTATTCACACAGGCTTCGACGTTTTGGCAGAATAAAAACTGTATCATTGGCATCAAGAGTGATCTAGTATTTCTCAAGTGAGGTAGATTATTGACGTATCAAATTTACCTTCACAACGACAATATTTCATGCGGTAAAGTAGCGATTGCCGTCTACTGTAGCATTAAATTTTTTAACAGTGTCAAAATGAACTATAGCCAGCGGACCGTGCGAGTTTTACGATGGTCGGAGGTTGCAGGATAACGTGCTTTACCAATATAAATCTTATTAGCATGGCAAGATGATCCTGAAAAATGATGATTGAATGTCACAGACGTTAATTGCAGCACAATAATAGAACAATAAACACAATAATTGCTAATCGAATTAAAAAGAAAGGCCTGGTAAACTTTAAGTTCCGTAGACGGATGGTGACTGGTAATCCACTCTCAGACCTCCCGATTTTGCGGTGAGATGCTCTTCCATTGAACTTAAAAAAACTGATCAGCAAAGGCATGATTTAGGTGCAATAAGCTTAAGTGTCCTCTCTACAACTAAGATCAGTACTGTCCTATTTATTGGCACGTTCAGTATCCATTTGTAACCAGAAAAGCCTTATCAAGATCAAGAACGGGAAAATAACTCACATATCTTGCCAAACCATCAGAGACTCAAGAACTTATAATCTAGCGGCTACAGCACATATATATATTTGACAAGGAGCGTGACTTACCAATTACGCTGTCCTTTTCAGCCCTGTCACTTTAAGATTTGAGTGGCCCATTCCCGACTCATTTGTAGCCTGCATTCAATTGTACCAACATTGATTCCCTTTTTGTCCAGGGTTAAATATTAGTGAACTTGTGACTTGAAGGTATTGCACCTCTTATCTTAACTACTGCTGTACCTCTCTCTTTTAAAATTTAATAATTTCCTCATATCTTGATTTTATATCATTGATTTAAGAAAGTTGGACCTCTCTAGTTAATGGACTTTGAAAATGATACTTCAGAGTCGAACTTGGAAAAGTATTGAGCTTTTAAGTCGAAAGTCTTCATGTAACAATTGATGAATTAGAGTCCGATTTTAAAAGTTCTCAGTCAGAGACTAGGACGAAGAAGGCTTAGAGGTCCAACACCGGAAGTCAGAAAATCATACGTCAATAGCCGGCAAAACAACTCCGAAATAAAATTTCCAAAACGCGAAGTCTGATGTCGGAAATAGAACTCAGAACTCCGAACTGGAATGTCCGAAATCTTAAGTCTGAGGTCCGAAATGGAAAAATTTTAAATCGATAGCCGCAAATAGAACTCAGAAATACGAAATTCCGTACAGCCCCATACTACATCATGCATTCAGTTCTTGGATAGAGAAAACAATAACAAAAACAATACATCGCCACTGGGAAAACAGATTTGTTTTACAATAGTATGGGCCTGTGCGGAAATTTTACCCATAATAGTTAGCTAGCTAGTTTAAACGAAAATTTAAAACGAAGAAGTCTATTTTGTTACGTATAATTTTTAATGGCGGAGATAATTCTTTGAAGCTAGCTTCACCTTAAAAAAATAAAAAAGCAGCTTACTTTGCAGTCTGTTTGGTTTTCTTCATGATCAGGAGCACATGAGAGGTACACTGGGTCCCAATTTTTCTCTTACTTTTCAAAGCTTCCAACGGTCCTCGATGAAAATAAATAGCACATCTATGTAAGGAGGCCAGAATAACCCATTTCTCGAAGATCTTTTTTCAGTGGTCAGGAACCTTGGTCGCTGTCACAGTTTCCAAACGAGGAGTGTCCGCTTTGGTAATCACGTACAAAGTCAGTTGTTCTGTTCCATCTAAAACTCGCTATTTCCCACCTCTGATGACCTTGAACTAAACAAAAGAAAACAAGAACTGTGTTAATTAGAAATACCTCTTTATCCATTACAATCGTAGTCATGGTTTTCATGAAATGTTGAAGATGTTTGTAATAGTAAAGATACATGGTTTGTCGTCATTCATATACATATCTACTCGGTTTTTAGATAAAACATGTAATTTAGTGTAAATTTAGATTTAGGTAACGTGATGTTTCTGATGATATCGAAATCTAAGAGACGTTGTTTGCGAAAATGAATACGCATTACAAGACAAAAATTGAATCATATAAAGTAATCGTAGGAACTTTGTGCCAATCTATGTCTCACACTTGTTTGCCATTTCATCGGTATAAAGTTTTATCACGCTGCAACTTTCTAGTAACTAAAAGTCTCTTTTACCATGTTGTAACCCGAAGCCGGTCCAGGTATTTTGCGGAAATGTTGAACACCAGGGTCTTTCTCCTTTCGCGTCACCCATTCTAATGAACGACTCAAACCAGCCCACGGTTGTTTAAAGTTGTAAACTGTTGGTAACTTGGTGAAGTGTGGATCCGATGTGTGATCAGTTCGCAGGGGTTTTGCAATAAATGTTCTGAGAAAACTCGTCTCAACTTCGCTGTTAAGACCTGCACCATGTTTGTAACTGTCTTCCATGAACAATGACTAAGACAGTCACCAAATGTAATTGTAAATGAAGGATTTCTAACGAATCCGAACTTTTCAGTGTCGTAAAGTAAACAATTACCGTTTACAATTACCATTTGCCATCCAAAGATTTTTAGATCGGTTGAGCTGCGCATGACAGTAGAAAAGGTTGTTGGAATTCGAGGAGATTACGTTCAAAGGCGCAAAATTTTCGCCTACACCAATCATTGCTCATTATTTCAAATTCTACTTCTGTAACACCTACTGCTCTCCTTTTTCATTTGCATATGAAAAAGAAATTTTCCATGCATTGGCCTGGGTGACATGTTTTTACCAAACAAAACATTATTTGAGTGATGTCGGCCGTTTTAGGTCTTGGTTCAAGGAAAGTAAACCACTTAGTGCAAGCATTTTTCCATTTTTTTGAGAGTAGTGCTGCTAGGTAGTGTAATCCGTTACGGTAAACTCACCAGAGTCATGACTTTCTTGATCTCTAAGATTGATGATTTTCAAGTTTAGTTCATGGTTCAGTTTAGATTCAATTTTGCCATGTCTTTGGGGAGGAAGGTTACCGCAGTACTGAGTCGTTCGTCGTCTACAGGACAGGGCACACCGGAAGTAAAGCTTGCGTCTTTCCCATGCGGTTCCCGCTTAAAGCCGCTTTTACACACAACCAAAATGGCGTTGAAGAGCAACCTGTCACAAACATCGTGCATTTTGACATAATTATTAAGTCACCGCATCTAATCCGGAATTGAGTTGTCTTATCGCTAAACATCTATGTAACTCAAATAAAGAAGGTTCTAAAATGCTTTATGAGTAAAAACTGCGTAATTTACACTTGTTTTGTATTTCTTTTTTTTGAAAGGCATATTTTAAGGAAATGAAGTATAATTTTAAAAAACGGCTATAATCTTGAGCATAATTTGGAATAATAATAATAATTACAACTTTATTTATGGAGGGTAATACACAACAGTAATTCAACTGATGAACTAGTGGCCATCGATCCTAAAAGTACCGTAGTTAGAATTAAAATGTATTCGAGGATTATAAAAACAGGTCAACAGATCTATAAGGATGCAAGCTAAAAATAAACAGATAAAATATAATATGCCGTTTGGATCAGGTTAAATCGCATTCGGACTGAAATGTTCTACTTCATCGCAGCTCGTTAGAAGATTTCTGTGAAAAGCCTTTCTGAAAGAAGCAACTGTTGTCGCCTCCTTTTTCAGTTTAATGGGTATTTGGTTCCACAGCCTAGTCGCAGATACGCTAGAGGTCCTTCCTCCCTCCCTCGGTTTCGCGATTGAAACGAGGGCAGGCGAAATTTAATTTACCATAACGACCAGTTCGTGTGTGTAGGTCTGCATTCAATTTGAGTGGATCGTACATATATGCAGGACAGCTTCCTTGTAAACGTTAAAAAAAAACTAAAATACTCTTATTTAACTTGACTTCGTCATAAAAAGGGAGTCACGCTAATTTCTTAAAGAGTTTCACGCTGTTCGACCTTGTATCAGCTTCCAAGATAACTCGGGCAGCGCGTTTTTGAAGCTTGAAGACTCTCATTATGTTATCACTTGAACAGTTCAACCAATGAGCAATGCTTGTTTAATTTTCTATTTTTGCCAACACAGTCTATAAAGGTCTAGTATGGGGGCTCTCGGGCCCTTTTCTGTAGGCATCTATGTCCTTTCGCTCTGACGAAGGGCTAACTCTCGAAACCTCAGCTTTGAAACTCTTCACGGTGGCTAATTTACGTTACCAACTCAGCTAATAATGCTAAATTACCCTGTTATACTCTCCCACCAACACAGCATCACAGTTTCTGTAGAAACTTACCGCCTTTATCCATGTCCAAGCTTTCCTTAAAAGAGAGCTCTCTTTACAAAGGCCTGGGCTGTCGGGGCATTCTGAATCCATCAATGCGGATGATGAGGTCTTCATACCGGCCACCTTGAAGAACTGTAGCCGGTGAAGAACCTTCTGGAGATCGGCGCGGTTAAACGACATTAACAACTCCATTAGTTTAAGTACTGCTTATAGTTACATTCTCACTGCCAAAGGGTAGGTTAAGAGAACCACGCGAAGTTTCCAAGCGAAGTTCTCACGCGACGACTGAAAATACCTCCACTCCACTTGGGCCATGACGAACTTTGATACTGACTTGATTACGCATATGACAAAAAACGGGAGCTAGCAGGGGACCCCATGGGTTATTTTTGCCCAGGAGCATGATGGGATAGCCGCACTTTAAGTTCCGCCATGTTGGTTTACTTCTGCCCGACAATGGAGTCAAATTATTGGGTAATTCCTGTGTAGTTTCTAAATTACCGACCGAAGCAAAAATGGGGGACATGGAAATTGTAAGGCAATTCAATAGTGAAGTAAGTATGATGTCATGTCGGAGGGTTTTCAATGAAAATCCTTTTTGCTGCGCGGCTTCGAGAGTTCTCTTCCGCTCCTCGATAAACTTGTAAGCTTCGATTTATACTTTCAGCTGTCGACAATCTATGAAACCAAGCCACCTATCTCTAAAGCAAAGGTTGCATCTGTAACCAGGCTTGCTGTTAAAGCCATCAAGGTATGCGTTGTGTTCATATATAATACAAACAACCGAAAAGAGACGTTATGAAATTCCAGCGATTTACCTCAGTAACTTAACTATCATCTCATTGCAGTATTATAAACACGTGGTACAGAGCATCGAGAAGTTTGCTCAAAAGGTTCGTCCAGATTCCTTGTCCTTTTCCAATTGTCAATGATATGGTGGAATCATTAATTTTTTGTTAATGACAGTTTCGGAATCAAGTGAACTTTATTTCTCAAATTTCCTCCGTTGTTGCAGTGTCGGCAGGAGTATAAAGTTCCAGCTCTGTATGTAATGGATTCTGTTATACGGCAATCGCGACACCAGGTGAATCTTTGTGTTAATTTTTTTGTAATATGACATGTGCATTTATTTGCGATCTAATATGTGTTGGGGCTGTATGATGTTTGACGTTTGCATACTGTAGCTCATTTGCATTTACTTGTTGGAAAGTCGATATCACTGTTAATATGATCATCGCTTTGAAAGTCTACTTAAACAGCTGAATTATGAAACAAATTTCAAGAATATAGAAGTTTCTATGAGAATGGAAGTTGCCTAATATTTAGATTTTTGTATTTCCCAATGAACTAAACTAATTATTGAAAAAACGTTTAGGTGAATGAACTAAAATGGGAGATTTTATTGCCTATTCTGCATCTCCTAGAATGCTGAAAGAAACAAATTGAACAGCCAATTAATCTAACTAGGCCAGACATAAACTTGATCTAATGATTGGACACAATTCAGTCAAGCAATCAAACCACAAACAATTATAGTAGTTATTCAGATCTGAAATCTTCATTTTTTTATATTTGGTTCTATGAGGGTAGTTGGCATTATACTGTGACAATTTATGGTTAAACCTTTAAATCCCTAGATCTTAATAGTAATTGTCCTTACTGTCTGCCATACGATTCTTATCATGTTAGTTCAGAGAATGTGGTACGGGATTAAAAAACAATCTATTTTATTCTCATCCCTTGTCTGCTTAATATTGTATTGATATGGTATGGAGAAATTCTGTCTTGGGCACTCATGGGAGTTCAGTGGTTGTCATTCCCTATTTTTGTAGTTTTCTGACTTTATTTCAAATGATTTTTTTATAATCATTCATTGATTGTTCTCTTATTACATGTAGTTTGGTGCTGAGAAAGATGTGTATGGACCACGCTTTGCGAAAAATATAAAACCAACCTTTCAGCATATTTTTAGATGTACTCCAGAGGAGCAGGTAATAATAATAGTATTGATGATGATGATAATAATGATAATAATAATAGTAATAATAATAATGATAATAATAATAATAAGCTAGCAAAGGTCATTCCACGAGAAGGCTATTCCTGTGTCTTGTGGATGGAGGAAAACCAGAGGACCTAGAGAAAAACCCTCAGAGCAAAGACGGAAACCAAAAACAAACTCAACTAACATGTGATGCCAGGTCGGGGAATTGGAACCCAGGCCACAGCAGTGTAATGTGAGCACTCATGGCATTGTGCCAACCCTGTGCCATCCTGTCCCCTTCCCATCCCTTTCAGGTCAGGGAAAGATATCATAATCGCTGATATACTGGAGAACAAATACTTTTTCTTGAACTGTAGTGTTCCCTGTTAATTTTGCTTGTCTTTTGCAAACTTGTGACTTATAAAAGTTATATGATCAGTGGAAAGGGTTTCTATGTGCTTTTAGTCCAAGTCCAAAATTGTTACTTCATTTTTGTGCTCTAATTTTCAGGGAAAAGTAATTAAGGTCTTGAACTTATGGCAAAAGAATGGTATATACGCACCTGAAGTAATTCAACCTCTTCTGAACTTACCATCAACATTAGTGGAGGGCAAGTAACTATTTTTGTTACTTACATGTATATAGTAGTGGAGCACTTTAGTAACAATTTGCTAGATGCTTGCTTGCATTTAACAGGTTGGTTTCTTGACAAGAAACTTTGACATAATGAAAGCATACTAAAATAACAATTGTCTAGAGATTTGTCAAGCAATGGTTTCTCCTACAATAATGGTGCGGCGTGCAGGAAGTAAAAGTGGAAATAGGTTCACTTACCCCAATGCACAGGCAGCCTGAACAATTAGTTCTGTAAACTAGCAAACTTCTTGTTAGCTAAGTGTAGGCTGAAACTGATACCAAATTTTCAATATCAGAGATATTATTCCTTCTTAAAAGTCAGTACAAGAGAATGATCAGAGAAGCCACAAAGGGTTTGTAGGAGGCCCCATAAATGTGGAAAGTCCTGGAATTCTAAAACTTAGCACTAAATTGATTTGATTGATATTTTCATTGTGAATTTGTTTAATGTCATTACTTGTCATTTTGATGTTGAAGGAACAATTTGGTCTTTCCTGAGAGTTTAAGGGTTAATGTGAATCTTTGGAATCCTGAAAAAATCAGCCTGAGATGTGCAAAAATCCTGAAATGTTGATTTTTGATTAATTGCTGCAAGTGCATCAGTAGTTTATGTTGCTTTGTGCAGTCAATATTGGGAGCAGAGTTTTGCTTCTTGTGGGAAGTGGTTGATGATTTTATTAGTGAGTAACATGACTTCATTTTGGAGCAGTGGTCCCTTATAGTGAGCTTGACAGTATTCATAACAGTATTCATAACAGTATTCATAACAGTGATATGTTTTTATACAGAGAGTGAATTGCTACCTGCTACAGAGACAGTCAATGCATCTGCTGTAGAAGTGCCAGAGAATCAAGCCACCCTAGCAATGACTAATCCAGGTTCCACCAGTCTTGAGGAGCAACAGCAGGAACATTTACGACAGATTCAGCTTCTTCAGCAGAAGCTTCAAGAGCAGCAGCGCATAAATGAACAACAACAACAGCAGCTGAGGCAGCAACAGCTTCTCCCACCGGGGGTGGTCACAGTACCGCAGGAAACCCAGCCTCAACAGCAAACAGAAGGGAGCACATCTGCAATGGCGGAATCTCAAAGAAGCAGCATACCTCCAACAGTAGTGGGACAACAGCAGCCTAAGTTTCAACTGCAGCCAGAGGTTTATGCACAGATCCAAGCCCTTACAGGTGAAAATTACCATGGTTTGATGAATTTTCCAAAAAATTCAATAATAGTGCTGGATTGTATTGTTTTTGTAATACCATGCTCAGTTATTTGTCTAGAAAACTTGGCAATCTGGCAACCAAACAACTACAGACAAATCAATCATGACTTTGTCATGCAGGTTTTTTTTCTTTTAGGTCAAGTTCTTGCTCTGAATTGTCACAGGCTCTTTGTTCTAACTAAGAAGCAAGTAGGACTCAAACAATGGCATAAGGGAGAATAATTTGACTCTGGATGACCTTGTCTAATCCTTGAAATTATGCTATAGGCTTGGTTGACATTATGGCCCACTTCTAGTTCCCTTTAAAAATTTCAGATTCCCTTTTACATGTCATTTTGGTCCTATATTGCCAAATTTTGAAGTCTTCTCAATTAAGTGCTAATTAAAATTCTTTGAACTTATGTTTAGATAATAATTTTGTTATAGGTATGAATATACGAATGCCACAGACAAACAAGTCAGCTGCACCAGACTCATTGATAAGTTCATCTCAGGCACTTCTTCCCCAAGGGAATGGTGATGACTCTTTACAACCCAATCAAATTACAAGATTTGCAGATGGCTCTAATTTTGGACCCTCCAGGAGCATGCCTGCCTGGGTTCCTAATGAAATGGATCCTGGAACTCAACTTGGTCCCCAGTCTGGAGAGGAGAGGAGACCAGTGAGTAATCTGCACAGTGTTGATCAGCTTTCTTTTTTGTCTTTGTGGTTGTGAAAGATGAGCATGGTTAATTAAGAATTTTTTAAATATGTTTGGTATTATAGGAATATTTAATTGTGGTACACAAAAGTCATGTAGTAGATAGAACCTACATGTAGTTAACTAGAAAAAGGTTAATTGAATCCCTTGCCACAAACATCTCATTCTTGAAGCCCAGTATGTCTTTTTTCAGTTTTACTATGAAATACCATTGTTTATGAATGGCATATTCTTGCTTAAGGAATCTGCTTCATGTTCCTTAGACTCTCATAGATGATTTTGATTATGGGGATGATGATGATGATGCTGCAAGAATTGCTGAGCAACGACGGCATTTGATGGAGGAAGAGAGGCGTCTGAGCCAAGAGTAAGTCAACACTTGCCAATTTATAAGACAGTTCTATACAGGGAATAGAAAGCCTTTAGTGTGGCAATACCATACATGAGTTCCAATAGTTATACAGATTTAAAGGAGCATTTATATTCTCTTTGCTGCAATTTTGTTTTCCTTGTGCTTGTAGTGAATAATGTAAACAGTCCCTGCAGGTTTTCCCCTGAACTGTGTCACAGATTTTTTGTGAAGTGTCCCTGTCCTTGTCTTTGCATTTTTTTTGGCAAAGCTATCAGTTAACAATGTTAACCAGTAACAATGTAGCACAATTTTCTGTTCTAATTTAGTTAGGTATATATTTTAATACTATTGAATATTTATAATTCTTAGAACTCGTCCTCTCTTGGGTGACTTACAAGGTGAATTTCAGAGCACTTTCCGACCAGTAGGGGAATCTCATGACCGACATCCTGATCCTGCAGGTACTAAACTTCTTTTGGATGAAAATCACACACCTTTTTAATGCTTTCCTACAGATTTTTCATGTTAAATGTAATTTTAAGTCACATATATTGCTTTTCTTTGCTTCAAACCTCTCCTCCCTGATTCCCTCATTTCTATTCCTTTCCTCTCAGCTAATTTTTTAGCACAAAAATTTGCAATCTTTAAGACAAGGAAAGTGTAGGTATCCTGCATTATCTCACATCCTAGCAGTATGCATGTTAGCAGTATGCATGTGTTATTAAAGAATTACAGCAAAAAAAAATGCAAGCTTCCTACTTAGAGTTTAAGAGGCAGGGGTTTTGTTTGTGTTCTTTTTTCTAAGTTGTTGAAAAGTTAGCAGTACTGGGTATTACTTGTTACAGTCTAATATATTTTCTAGAAGGCTATGTATTAATTGGAGTTAACAACCATGATAGTGGGTAGAATGCTGCAAATTAACTGGAAAGTTTGCCTCATGTAGCTGCTAGGCCATATACATGTACACAATCCTGAGCAAGTATTCATATCTCACCACTGGAATTGTTATTCTGTACCAGGGCCATTTGGGAGAAGATCTCCTGATATGCATTCTAGAGAAAGATCTCCTGGCTATTACCATCGATCTAGGTCTCCAAGAAGACGGAGCAGGAGTCCTAGGTGGAGAGATCGATCACCTCGACGACGATCACGCTCACCTCATGGAAGAGATCGAGAAAGAGACCGGGAAAGGGATAGGGACAGAGGGCGGAATCGGGAAAGAGACAGGGATTGGTACAAAGATCGCGACTCTGATAGGGAAAGAGATAAAGAGAGAGGTCGTGGCAGTGACAGAGAAGTTGAGAAAAGAAAAGATTGGATTCCAGCACCAAAGAAGGAAACACTTAGTGGTATGTTTTTTTTTCTGAAAGAGTTATTTTAGTATGCAAGTAGTAAAAGAAGAATTTGTCTAAGCCACAGAGAAACTTTTAACAAAATGAAAGATTGAAGATTAAGTCCAAATTTTTACCTCAGTGAAGTTGATCAATTGTAGATGTAAGATAAGAGTTTGATAAAAGTATCTGACCTTTTAGTTCTTATCATACCTGGACATTTTATGTGTGCTTGTTCATGGCTTTGGTGATACCTGTTATCTTGGATTTGTTAAATTTACATGCAAAGGGTTTCATTAGTTGGTGAACAGTCAAATGAAAACTGATGCACAACAATTGAAAAGGTTCACAAGAAAGAAAATTTATAAAACACTTTGATATGACCAAAAAAATTACTCTTGATTTGTGCATTTTTTCCTTAGTGTTTTGTTAAACAACCTGGTTCAAAAATTTGGCATGTGAAATCCTTAAAGAAAATCTGAAAAGCATCATAATACAGGGGCACGAAACTGATATGTGTTCTGCTGTTATTTAGTTTGTAGTACAACAATCTGGGTTGGTCATTTGGCTAAGACAGTGATGAGGGAAAATTTACAGGAGACGTTTGAGACCAAGAAGTTCACAGTTTCATCTATTGATGTAAGTTGAAAGTTGGTGAGAGCCTGATTAGCAATCAGTAGCTTCAAATAAAGTCCAGAATCAGTGTCTGGGAGCCAATACTATGGAACATGATGATATAATAGAGACGGGCGGTCAGTTACAAGTTTGCAAATCTGCGGCTTGATGTTGATTGTCTCTTTCTGATTCCATGACTTTGCTTTACTTGCATAGTTAATTACCAGATTTATTACATCTATTTGAAATCACTGGTGATCCTTGCAATCTGATTGGCTATCATCAGTGTGTTTTTTTTTTTTTAATGAATCACACCATTTTTGGCTCTAAATTGCCCATTTTTTCCACCCAATTAGAATTGAACTAAAACTTAACCAAAAAAAATTGCAGGAAAAGGAAAGACAACTTTTGCAATGCACTTGTTTGATTTTGAAATCATGCATATGATTTCAAACCAAATTTGCACCCCATGCAGTTCAATAACCTTTATTAATTTAACAAATGGTATGGGGTCCAATCCTGATCAAGCCTGAGTTTTATCAGTTTTTTTTTTTTTAATCAGTTTTTTTATCAGTTTTTACCCTTTACGGTGGCTAATTTACGTTTTCAACCCAACACTAAATCACCTGAGTTTTATCAGGTTCTGTTTTCACAAGTTGAATTTCTTACTGTGATGTTGATCCTAAGGATACAAATACTCAACAGTCTTTTCCTTTGGATCACTTTTACTCGGGTATGCTGTATTATGTAAAGTGGTTATTAAAATCTTTTGATAAGTGACCTGTCTAATTTGTACAGATGGTCCCACCCAGAGGTTGTGCTTATGTTGTGATGGCAGAAAGACAAGAAGCTTTAAAAGTGCTGGTTACCTTAAAGAATGAAAGGCTTCATGGTAATTACCTCAAGGTTTGTATTCCACCTGTCTTATCTTTACATAATGGGATGTGGTTAATGTGAGGGTGTAATGTTAAGGTGTAAATATGAGGAGTTCTTCAAAATCTGCAGTTAAATTCTGTGGGCTCGAGGGACTTTTTTGTAGCAAACTTGAGATGTTTGCTATAGTTAACTTTTTAAAAACATCAAATTTGAGGCCCCATGCGCTCACTTTTAAATAGGTTTGCAGTAACTTGAATGACAAAAATTATGTCATTGCATTAAGTATATACTGTTGCAAAACATCTGAGCCAGATTGATTGTAAGGAAGTCTCAGGGGCATCAAGTGCGAGGTTGAATTTCCTGCTCTCTATGCTTTTCTAAAGGTGTTGACAAGGAGAATTTGTTTAGCAATCAAGATATTCTTTAGTCAGTGATCAATTCCTTTATTCTTGTGACCTTAATGTTTGATTCAAGGGTGATATTGTAAGGAGAAATTAGATATTAGTCACTCTTAGGGATCAAAGGGTGAAGGACTATTCAATGATTCTTTCCCTGTGAGACCTATGCAATAATATTCATCATTACAATGGCATTATTGATGTGTTGTTGCAGTTGGCTTGGGCACCTGGAAAAGGAGTGAAAGGCCGAGAATACAAAGAATATTTCGATACAGAGCAAGGTGTAACATTCATCCCTTGGAGTAAGCTGGGAACTAATGTGGATCTACAAACACTGAGTGAAGGAAGTTGGATTGACCCAGAAACTGTACCACCGGGACATCAGAACACTATGAAGGAGGGTACGTGTAGTTTTGCTTATACATATCTCTGGGTCAGAAAAGCTTAAGTTGTTGTTATTCTTAAATGTTATTACTAAGAAAGAGTACATATTTCCTCGCAATTGAAACTGTAATCAGCACTTTATTCAGGGAATGACAAGCATATTAAGTCCCATCCCACAAGTTATCAGTTTAAAAAACAAAACAAAACGATCAACAACGTTTGATAGTTTGTATGACCTCCTTCATCTCTTTGTTGTGGTCTTTCTCTACAGGATCAGAGGCCGGTAGTGCAGACACAAATACTATTAAAGATGATAAAGATCTCGGAAATATGAGTCAAGAGGAGCTCATGAAGCTGGCAGCTGCTCAAGCAGCAACTGATGAGAAGAGTACAGAGCAACCTCAGGCTGTGAACGCAATTGGACAGGCTCCTCCTCACGTTCGCCCACCGGGACCCCACATGTTCCCAGGCCATCCTCCTTTGATTCCTCCACCGATGTTGATGCAGCATCCGTTCCCTGGAGCTCATCTGCCTCCCAACATGGTACCACCAGGAGCACCACCTCCACTTATGACAGGAGTACCACCTCCGAATATAGGTGGTCCCTCACTACATCAGTTTAATCCAACCAGACCACCAACTGTAGGAGCTCTTAAGGGCCCGCCAGGTCCATCTTCAAACGTAAGCAGACCTCAAGAAGGAGGGCAGTTTCAGTCAGAAAACAGCCGATTCCCTCCTTCTGGGGTTCCACAAGATTCTAGTCAGTTTCCTCCCAAAGATGAGGATGGTCACCACCAGGCCAGACCGCATGAAGTTAATCAGTTTCCTCCCCATCATCCTAGTAGACCTCAAGAACGAGGACAACATCCCTCACACAACCCAGTCAGACCTCAGGATGGGCCGCCTTTTCCTCACCATCCTGGTAGATTTCCAGACAGTCATTTCCCTCCTGTGCATCACGGACCACACCCATTCCAACACCGACCTCATCACATCAGAATGCCACATTTTCATCCAGGAGGACCTAGGTTCCCTCATGATCTACCTTCTCTCGTGCCCACTGGAGGACCAATGCGTCCTCCAGACTTTGGCCCATCTGGTCCAAATCCTTGGGGACCAGGGCCTGGTCCTATGAGAGGTCCACCGCCTCATGGTATTCCACCACCTGGTTGGCCAGAGGGTAGACTACCAGAGGATGCTCATAATTCTGAGGCGCCTGAAGAATGGAATGAGCAACAAAAGAAAGAAGGTGAAGATCATACGGAAGAGATAAACACAGCTAACCAAGATAAAACCATGGATATCCCCAATGAAGAGCGAGACCGAAGGCCAAGAAAGGAGCACGAGGATCGAGATCGTGAACGGCCTCGGGACCGAGATCGTGGACGTGATCGAGATGATCGTGACCGTCGAGAACGCGACGATCGTGGTCGAGGCCGAGACTGGGATGACCGTTTTCGTGATCGCGGTCGTGATCGCGATCGTGTCCGCGATCGTGAACGTGACCGAGACCGTGAAAGAGGGCGTGATCGCGACCGCGATCGTGATGACCGACGACGTGAGCGCGACGAGCATCGATCACACAGGGACGTCAACGGTGAAATGGATGCTTCTAGGAATGGTTCGAGAAGAAGAAGTAGGTTTGAACCACTCGAACAGAAACCTGACCCAACCGAGCTAGAAGCGGGGGAAAGGAATAGCAATGAAATAAAAGAAGCTTCCGTTGATGGTCCTTCAGCACTTCCTCAAAATTTGGAAGTTGAATCTAGAGGAGAGGAGGGTGAAATTGTAGATGGAAATGACAAAGAAGTTTTCGAGAATGTAAATGCTCTCAAGGACAATGAAGACGGAAGCTTTCCTAATGATTGCGAAACTTTAAACGTTCCTCAGAACAATGATGAAAACATTCCCAAAGATATCGGAAATGTAAACATTCCCCAGGATATTGATGCAATGAGCATTCCCACAGATGTCGATATCGAGAGTATTCCCAAAGATGATGACGTCATAAATACTCACATGGAGATTGCACCTGAGAACGGTCCCAAAGTCATGGAAAATGTAGACACTTCTCAAGGATTTTACGAGCAGAATAGCTCCAAAGAAACTGTTAATTTATTGAACTCAGATACCAAAACTGACGATGAACTCGAGCAAGCAAATTCCAGCTGACTGTTTCACAAACAAACTTTTTGGGGGACTTTGCTTTTTATCAAGTGTCCTAATAGTTGATTTTATCATGTATTCCGGTCAAAACCGCATTTTTTTTTATCGAAAACCAATCTTTTGACGCGCTATCCATCCACTCCTTTTTTCGTTTGAATTGTAAATCCTTGGACTTCAACTGGAAAAATTTAATTTTCCGTAGAAGGCTAATGTTATCGCTGAGAGAAATTGAACAATGAATTTTTGGCATAGGTCTCTCTGTCTTATTAATTTCACAATAAAATTACGGCTGGCCATTCAACCTAAATCAAGTATTTTACAACGGTAAGAATGGTAAAAAGGGGGCGTAACTGTCTCCTTTTATAAAAGAAAATAGAGAATAACAGGAAGAAAGGTAGATGATGAGTTTGCACAACTTAGACCTTGTTTGCGGAGATAGGTCTCTATTTTTCATGATTGAAGTGAAGTAGACTGAGAGATCAAACAGCCTACTTGAGTAAAGCCGCGTAACTAACTTCTTTAGGTAGAGTTAAAGAAGACTCGATCGTGGATTTTTATTTCAAGGAAATGAACATTTTACTATACTCTTACGTGCTGTCGCCATATTGAAACTTCGCGGCACTACCCATGAGGCTTTTCGGGAATATTGTACATGATGTTTTGCAACGACTTTGCAGGAATTGTAGCTTTACTATCATTTCAAGAGAGGTGTGTATGTTTTCTTTTTTCATTTTTATTATGTAGGGTTGTAAGATGAAGTTCAGCTGGTAGTGTTAAATGGAGATTAGCAAAGCCCTTTAATTTTCCTCAGCCGGTTTAGTTTATTGTAATGGCTTATGCCGGAAGCAAATTACTTTCGATTCTTTGAGAACAAAGCAATTTCAACTGACGTTTTTTTTAACGTTGAATGGCAGATAGCAGCAACATTTTCCACTGTATATCACCATCGTTTAAACTGATTCTTCGAGCCACTAGTACAACTCGATGTCCACCGTAATTTGTTTGTTAGAGTCCGTTTGCCGTACTTGTATAAAGTGCAGTTGGCAATTTTAACTTCCGTGCATTTGTGACCCAGATATTTGATTATTCAGGAAGCATCTTAGACTAGTTTCACACAACTTAAATGGAACACGAGAAGAACGAAATACTCATCAGTTCTGTGTATACTGAGTTAAGAAATAATTCTTGTAATAAATTTCAATTCTAAACGCTTAAACCTGTTTTCTGATCCTCGTACTGCTGAACGTGGTGGAGCTTTTACCCACTGTGATTTTTGCATATCAAGCCGGTTATTCCCGGTTATTCTAATCAGTCTTCTATGGAGCCAGCATACCTTATCAAGAATTATTGCCAATTAATCCAACAAATAGGGGTTATGACTTTTGCAATGTTTCCTCTCAAGGGTTTCACCTCTTTCATCCAGGTATTGTTCACTTAGTTTCGGTCAAGATTCGCAACGCAATTTGAAAAACGGTTGTGTTTGAAAATATATTTTTTTGTCATGTAACTCATTTTGTTAAAAAGATAGAGGATGTTGGGTGTCAATAAAGATCAAACAACTTCTCTGAGGGAGGCTATAAATCTTGTAAGACAAGATTGATAATTTCATAAACATTTTTAATGCGGGGGGGATGGGATGGTATAGAAAGAAGGAGTTCACCTCTGGGCCTCAATTGTTTGTATGTTTCGGGGTTGCTATGGATTGTTGGAAAGGAGCTCTCTTATTGTAAAATATGATCCATTCTCAAGGTTGGAGAAGTAGGGAGTGACCGTGAACAACATGAATTCAGCAGGTAGACATTTTACACAATTGGAAGATTTTCTTTGAAACTTTCACCTACGTATATCAGTTTTACCCTGTGCTGCTACAAAACGTGTGAACTAAACACTTATTTAGTTTTATCTTGTCTTTGTGTGGATCAGCAAGGCAAACAATGAACATATGGAATAAATAGAATGGTTAGGCTTTGGATCATATGGTGTGTGTAGATAACTTTGTAATGATATGTCTGTGCAAACTTGCTTTCCTGAAGTATCTTGTGTTGTGTTTTTGTCTTCCTTCTATACTGAATGTTACCCAAAACTTTGAAACTTCAGTGAAATTTACTTATCATATATAGGTCAATATTACACTAATTCAGTTGTAATTAAATTGTTCTCATCATTAATTTGTTTTTAGTCAGTGTTTTTCATCTTTTCCTCTGGCACAGGCATGAGTAACACATGATGGTATCAAAAAATTCAGTCCAAGTGAATATCATATCATGATTAATTAGTGTTGTTAGTTATTGTTTTTTATGTGTACTTCAGGTACTGGCATGCTTAGTGGATGATCATCTCTAAAGTTGTCCAAAATGTCAGCTAAAAAAGTTGCTATTTCTATAAATGTTGTGTATAATGATGACATTTATAGTCAAGAGAGTCTTTTCTACTCAGGAGAAACAACCTTGCTTCCATGTAAGCTAAGTAAACTATGTCAATTTTATGTCTGAATTTCCTTGTGTTTGATACATGTTCAGTTAATTTGCCCTGCTTTGTCTTTAAATCAATGGTAAAGGGTTCAAGATTGGATAGTAATACATCACATAGCAAATAGATGTATAAAACAGGTAGATTCCATGTTGCTGTGGGTTTTTAAAGTTACTGTAAACATGTGCAGAAGATATCAAAATGTGGTGAGAAAATCAGTGACACACTTGGTTGTGTCTCTTGTGCCACTGTTACCACATTGGGACATATTCTGTGATCTATTACTGAACAGATATACTGCAGCATGGAATATATTTCTTAGGTGAAATGCTTGAGACCAATTTGACATGAGGATTTCCTTTAAATTGTTGGGTCCTCAAGAAAACCCTCTCTATCTATTCTTTCCTGACAAGGTAGCTGTTTCATTTTGAAATGTTTATTTTCATATTACTTCTGTTTCAGTAATTCTACCCCCAGCCTGGACATTAACTGGGACATCTATTCCATTTTGTGTAAGATAATTTTAGAAGTCAGTTTAGTATGATTTAAAGCAAATCTTTGCTGACTTTAACTCATAAACAGTACCTGTTTCATCATAATCAGCTATGTTTTCTTTGTTTTTATTGTCTCCTGCTGTTTCTTTTTGCAACTCCGTCCCCAACATTGTCCAAAAATTACAAACTCTGTTAGTCAGCCGGCTCCACACTATGTTTTCTTGTGCAGGATAAAAGCAGGCATTTCCTGGGAGGGCAAGATGGGCCCATCTCACCCCCTTGGGTACAGCCAACCAGAACACAGGATTCCCCCATATTGCCCACAGGCACTACCAGTGATTTAATAATGTTTATTATCATAATTATTGTTATTACAATATAACTTTTGAAGTAGTAAAAAAAATGCAGGAGTTTGTATTTTACTAAAGCTGCTCTAAAGTCAAACCTGTGCCTTTTGGTGATATTTCACACTTATTTTAGAGAGGTCATAGCCATTTCACTATTACAAGCTTTTTATGTTTCAACTTTTCAGGCTCTTTTTTATTTATTTCCATTTTAATTATTGAGACACAAATTATTTCATCTAGTAAAGTATGCTATCATTGACAGAAATTGTTTGGCAAAATTTTGTGCACACCAATATTTCTTTTGTCAGTTTGACACCACCAAAAATTCAGAAATACATGTATCTTTTTACCAACTAAATTTTATATTTTGTGGTTTTAGGCCACAGTAGAGTCATTGAGTGATCATGTTTTGGGATACAAAGAAAGGCTTCAAAACATAACAGCAATGAATGTTTACTGTAGCAAGAGTACTGATGTAAGTAAGGAAATCAATTTAGTGACTCATTATTTGCCTTTGAGATACTACTAGTCTTAATACTACTAAATTTTATGTCTGTTTCTTTAAACATATATATCATTGAGGATTGATAATAATAAGAGTTAATGAGTCTCCTTTGAAGTTGTCTCTTGGTGGCATGATCAAACACCCAGAGACTAAAAGAGGACAAGGACAAGTCTCAGTGCTCAGATCAAAATAAGACTCTATATCAAGTCTTGAATGAAATGTCTGCCATAATATGTGCAACACCCTGAGGGAATTATATCTTTCAAGTACCTTAGTTTTAAAACTGCTTTGCAAAAGTAAGAAGCATTTAGAGCAAGTTTTACTTGGTTCTTGCGAGTTATTCACAATTGCATTTGCAATTGCTCTGTGATTGGTTTGGAAAACTACCAGCACCCTCTTGACCAGTCACTTGAGGTCTTGATCACTTATATATTAATACATTTATTAAATGAGTTCCCATAGGTTCATCCTTTTCTTTGTTCAGTTGTGATTTAACTTTGGTTTAGTTTTACAACTCTCAATCCAATGAAGACGGTTATTTTATTTGTTTTACTGAAGAGTTTGTCTCCTCCAGAATGTTCAAGGACAGTAAAGAAGTCAGAGATCACTTGAATGAATAGACTGTAATCCTGAATATGATGTTCCTCCTCCAAGTGAAAAATTTGTTAATATTTAATGCTTGATGGAGGAAAACTCACTGATATACTTTTTTAACTTATAGGAGTTGCGCTTAGAAGACTATGAATACCTTGAGAAGTCTGGGAAATTATCAAAAAGAAAAACAAGAACAAAAATAGGAGTCCTACTTCAAGACACAAATTGTCCCATGTAAAATATGCATAATTACATTAAAATACAGATCCATGACTTTGCAAAACATATTACGTACTAAATATTTTCAAAAGTATACGTGCAGTCAGGATTTATTGGGCTAGGTTGTGTTTTTGGGAAAACACTTCACTCTTGATTAAGAAGTGCCCTCCCTACCCTGGATTTTTGTTTTAAAGGGGGGAGGGAAGAGTCATGTCGGTAATGCTAGTGTTACCACTTATTTTGGAGAGTAGGGATACTTCATGCTCCGTAATCAAAGGCTATTTCATGGTATGGGAAACAGAAGACGCTTTGTTAATTAACTTTAACCGCTGAACTTATGAGCCTGTTTATGATTCTTTCGCAGTTTCGCTACGATTGGTACCCAAGGAGGAGCAGTCAAATCCTCCACATCTGGTCCTTTCAGTCAAAAAAAACAGGAGGCAGCAAATATTTGGTCTAAATCATCCAGTGCGGTGGTTTTTGCAAGCCAAAGTAAGAAACCTCACACCGTTACCTTTATGCCTGGCCTGCTTAACTGAGTGCAACTTAAATTTTCTTCTAGCAGCTTACGTTTTACTTTTTAATGTAAATGAAACAATTGAAAAGAATATCTTGATAGGCAGAAAACGCTTGGAAGAAAAAAATATATAGTCATTCTGGCTTTGTTGATGGGATCGTACCTGGAGTGGCTGGTAAGGGAAGGAAAAAAAAACACGTTTAAAAACAAGCTGATAACCTATCATTCCTTATCTCGCCACAAGACAGAAAAAACAAGGGTGCGGTGAGTGGGGAAACTTGTAGAGGGAGCTTACGAGAGCAGGTATACTTACAACAGGGAAATTTCTTAATCATTTAAATTCAGTGCGGCAAATACTCAACTGTTTTTAACTTTCTTTTCAGTGGCCACAGATCCTGGCACAGTTCGCACTCAAGCGCAACCATCACACAAGTTTTCCTTTTCTCCGATAATAAATTTTACGGCGCAAACTTCTGCAGACCCTAGCAAAGTTTTTCTCCCCCCAGCTGGCGAGGTAGAGCCAGCGCCAACCGTGACTGTTTCAGAAGGGAAGGAACTTATGGACTCCCTCCTTGAGAGCATTATCAAATGCATGCAAATCCAGAATTCTCTCTACAGACTTGTGTTGCTGAAACTGGAAAAGCGAGCTGCTGAACCTAAAGATGAAAATGATGTTCTCCCGGGGCCCAAGGCGAGTGACGAGAAAAGCGCTGGAAAGAATCAGGATTGTGATCTAGGAACTCTCCTGTGTGAGCTCAAAAGCCCCTTAGAGGCCTTAATGCGCTCTGCAGAAATTCAAAGAGGACTTTTTCAAAGAATGGTCGCCGTGAACTCGATGATGACTGACGAATCTGCTGACCCGCCTAACGATGGTGCATCTTCTAGAGAGGGTCAAGGTGAAGTAGTACTTAACACTACATGAAAAAATTTTAAACAATGTACATTCTCAACAATTTGCTTTCGTGTCCTTGTTATTTTACAGAATCCCGTCAAGTTAACATACTGACAGTTCGTTCCGACCTCGAAGAGATCACTTTTAAAACCAAAATGCCGTGTTACTATGCAAGAAACCCTTACACCAACCAAGAAGTTAAGGCAATAACTAGCGACGATGTCCTACATCATGTATGTCAGGATGAGCGGCCCTTAAGCTCTCGAGCCGTCAGGGTTGGGACGAGTGGTCAGCGGGAACTTCCTCATGGATTTGGAACCCTAAAAACCGTGACAGGGAAGCTTTTATACAAGGGAGACTGGTGCAGAGGTAATCTGCATTGGCGGGATATTTTGACTCCTTTTTTTTGCGGTATGGAAATTACCGTGAGGGAAATAACTAAATGTTGACATGGAAAGATAACTAATTGAAATTAAACGAAAAGGACAACCCTCTTGAGTAAATGCAAAGGATAAATAAAGAAAAAAAGGGGGGACAACCCTCTTAAGTAAATGCAAATGATTAATAAAGAAAAGGAGACTGTGTAAGGATTGAGTTGATGAACACAGATGGTTCTGCATTAGATTAGATTGCCAAGGAGATTAGGACCTCTAGTACTCGTTCCTTACTTGTACCCTACTCATCCTCTCCACTTCCCTCGCGTTTAAGGTACCTCTTACACATCACCATGATTCTTCTCCGTACCCTTTTAAAAGCTTTTTTCCCTTCTATCCAGGAGTCTTCATAAACGGTGCTAAATTATCAGTGAAGCGATTAGATGATGTCCTTTGAACTTATTTCTTGCACTGCAGGCAAGCGACATGGCAAAGGTGAAGGACTTATTCTATCAGTGCCGTTAGTGGGTAGCAGCCCAGGCACTATCGAAAATGGATTCTACAGTGGAGGATGGAAAAACAACATGAGGTACGTTGAACAAAATTTTGACGGTGCACTCGTAGACACCATCTTCTTTCCGTAGTGAAATTAGTAGATTTTATGGACAAACAATTTTGAAGGGTAAGAGCAAAGTGTAGACTAAGTTAACTCCTTCGAAAGGAACACCTCCCCTGATAAACAGAGAGTCCATCCCAGCCGATCTAAAGTTTTAATCAGAATAAATCTCCACTGTCTTTGGAAAGCTAAGTCCTGTCTATGATGATCTATGGGGGACTCGTTTGTCCATTAAGAAGTTATCTATCTTTGAGAGAGTTAACTGTGGCCCTTCCAGACGGGTTTTGAACGATCAGAAAAATGCATTTATAGTTATCTTGCTTCCTCCATTTCTCTTTCCCTTCCTTTTAATATACTCTCATCCGGCCTAACTCAGAATTTGCTTTAGCCCCTCACGTTAATTGTCGATCTTTTCTCGAATTGGAAAGCAAAAGACTTTAGCCCAAACTACTTATTTTATTTTCAGGCATGGCAAGGGGAAAATGACGTTTGTGTCCGGGGTCGTATACGAGGGTCAGTGGCAGTATGATGAAATGACTGGATATGGGACCCTGAAGTGCCCGGATGGAACCATTCAAGAAGGGAATTGGAAGGACGGGTCGTTGGACGGCTGTGTTCTCTTCACCTGGCCACATGGTGTCACAGAGTACCGCGAGTATAAACAAGGTCAAGGTTAGTTTTAACTAGATGGCCTGATGAAAAAGTGAAATGCGTCATTTTATTGTGAATCTTTTGAAAGACTGAACGGCGAACTCATAACGAGTGAGAAAGTAATGCTAACTTTGGCTGTGGTATTTAATCGGAAAGAAAAATGTGCTCCGATAAGGAGAGAAGTTGAAAGTTGTGGACACTGCTTGTGTATATGGTATGGCCGTGACATGCGTCTTGCACCCGATACTCGATAATTTCCAATATATACTGATCATTGAACTAAGTAAAAAACAGTTGAAAGTTGAAACCTTTTTCGCTTTTTTGAAACCTTTTCCAGGTCAGCTACCTTGCTCTAAAATTGACAAAGAAACTGCTGTAAAGCTTACGCAGATGAGTCCCATTAGATCCCAGCTCCTAACACTGCGTGAATGCGCGGCTGAGTTGAAGGACGAGAACCTGGCTCTCAAAGACGAACTGAACACATTGAGAGTAGGACAGGCTGAGTTAGACAAAAAGCATGAAGCGGCTCTTTTGGAACTTCGCCAGTACTTTGACGATCAACGCGAGCTCGACTCTGAAAAACTGCGAAAAGAGTTCGAACAGAGGGTGAAAGATGCAGAAGAGAGCAAATCGAAAAGCTCCGAAAGAATACGAGAATTAGAAAAGGAGCTGGAAGAAGCCAAAGGAGGGCGGCTGTGCCAGATTTGTTTTGAAAACCCACGTGACTGTATCATTATGCCCTGCACTCATTTGCTGTACTGTAGGACATGTGTGGCAGAGCATAAAAGGAAAGGTGACTCCCGCTGCCCTACTTGCCGTGGGCCTATCTCCGGAGAAATGTTGTGTAACGTGAATCACTAATCAGGGAAAGTCTTAACGTTTTAAAAGTGGACTCAAGTGTTAGTCATTAATGCTCCTAAATGAAAGAAAAATTCACTAGTCACGTAAATTTCTGGAAACGAATCACGCCTCGCGCTGATTCGTAAGTTCACGGAACACGTTGCCTCGCTTTCTGGAAAATTCACGCATCACATAAATTTTGGCCTTAATCCTTCAACTCCCAAGATCTTGTTAGAAATTCTCTTAACTGTCTGCTATGCAATTCATATGATGTTATCTCGGAGAAGTTGGTATTGCATTAACTAATAATCCCTTATTGATGTTTTCTTTATTCTCATCACTTGTCTGCTTGATATTATGATGATAATGTAGAGAGAAATTCTGTCTTGGTCACTCATGGGAGTTAAACGGTTAATTACAATCACGTAAAAAACCCTTTGACACCCACCTCTCTGGAAAAACCACACTCTTTATTCTATAAGAGCGCGTACAATTTGGCTGAGTCCAGATGTTCGAAGCTACTTTTCAACAGCAACTGAAATGTAATCACCGCTTGGCCATGGAAGGTCTGGGTACGAGACTAAATTAATCTTCGTAATTTATGCGACGTTGCATTACGGAATAGATCTTTTAGTTTGGAAATAAAGATTTTGTGACAACTTTGGTTCTAACATGGGCATGTCATCCATCGTCTGTCGTCCAGAATTCATTTTCACAAATTGGGGAGGGTCAAACCTGTTTTATTCGCAACCGGGGGAGGGCCACAGTTTTTTTGGCAAGGAAAAATTACTTCATGTCTTATTTGTTAACAAACACGCGAAGTGTATACAAACCTAAAACTTGTATATACAAGCAAAGCTATCAGCCAAGATTAATCTAAATTATTTACAGGTGTCGAAATATAATATCAAAAAACATATCTTCTCCCAGCTAACATAATCGTCTCTCTCGACCCGTGGCCGCTTTCGTCCATATTTTGACGGCGGTAATGTTTCCGCGCGGGGTTCTGGTATAAAATTAGTCTCCGGTGACGATTCGTCACTTAAGCTACTCAGGCTTGAACCGACAACTCGATCTACTACGTCATTTTGCGAGTCAGTTTCAACCTCGGAAATTGCGGTCACTTGTTGCTGCACATTTCTTAGTGGGGGCTGCCGAGGTTGTCGACACTCCATTGAATCGTACAGCAAGCTGCCAATGTGCGCTTTGATCATTGCGACCTTTTCAGCTTTCTTCCCTTTGAAGGTGATCTTGTAAGAAGAAAAGTACGAGGATAGCTCGTCCACCCTCAAGGACGACAGCTTATCGGAGTTGTACAGTCCAACGCAGTCAATGTCATTAGACTCCCAGTTCAGCCGTTCCTTTCGCTCCCTTTCAGTCTCCTCTTTCTTCTTCTCCTGGGCATTTTTATCCGGGCAAGGTGCTCAACATACTCTGCCACAAGCTTTTCGGGGACAGTATATTTATCTGAAAACTTTCTAATAGCCACGCTGTCGCCACTAACTAGTTCACTTTCCTCAAACAATCGCTTAATCTGAGCTCGAGGCTGGAAGTCGTCCAGCTCACGGCCATTGGTGGGGGGTTGCATTCCAAGAGAGAATGGAAGTTTGGTAGTTTGCCATACTCGGGATATGGTCGTCGAGTTAGAAGTGGAGCGCTGGTAGTCTCATCCTTATATAAACTTAAAGTTTATATGGTTGCTCATTTCGCTCTTGACACGACATACGCCTATACTCCAAATAAAGCTCCATGAATCTCCCGGCAGCCGCTGGATTATCAGAAGTCACAAAAGCCAACATGTGATTTATTGCTTTCAAAGCCCCGTGAACTTCCCACAGGCGCTTTCTTTCAGTCGCGAAACAGCGGCGAAAGCTTCCTTGTATCGACAAGTGGTCCAAAAGGACAGGTAGAATTTTGGCAGAATACTATTTGAGAATTCAGTATATTCGCCCTTTGGGTTCGGGAACCACCCCAGGTCTTCATCTTTCCACTTCTCTGGACTTGCACTTTCACTTGTTCACGCACCTGATGTGCCATCAACAGAGTCAGATGTGCCACCAACAGAGTCAGAGGAGTAGCGGGCATCCTTTTTAGAATGGCGAGTCGGCAAACAGCCACAACAGCCACAAGTTGCTCCATCTGACCTCATGAAATCCTCGCATTCACCACAAGCGCATTTCCCTCTTTCTATACCTCGTACAGCCTGTACCCTTTTTCTAAACACATTGCCCATTTTCAAGTTTTCACCGTGCAATCACACGGTACGCAATTAACTGCTTTGTGCGCAGATACGTTATGTGAGTTACACTTCAGTTTAGTAATTTTCACTTCCGGTTATATTTGTCTTGGAGGAGGTGGGGGAGGTATTTGTGAAGAGTCACACATTAATCCATTCTGGGAAGTGGGAGGGCTACGACTTTTTTCGCAAAAAATTTCTTAAATACCCCGATCCACCCCCTCCCCCCCCCACCTAATAAAAAACGTACCTTCCAATCACTGCAGGAGCTAAGCGCCAGGTTCTAGTTCCATAAGTCCTTTCGGGCAGTCTAGTGTGTAGGTTGATACCGAACTGAATAGTTGGCGAGAGTTTTCAAATAGTTTTACGTACACTTTCATGGATGGCGAACTTCCGATAAATCTGCAAATTTTGGGGATACAGTGGATAGTTACAAGTGTGTATGTAAAGGTTGCTTTCAGTAATTTGGCTTGGTGTTGGCTAGCTTAAACCTGTAAATATTTATAATAATCTCAGCCGTCTACCCGGAAGTGAGTTGTGTTCACTTTTGGCTAAAGTATGGGGGTGTTTAGTGTTCGTTATTTTTCGTTGTGGTGTTTAGGTCGCTGATTTTCTCATGATCGAAGAAGAGCTAGAACATGTCAATGCAAATTTCGAGCCACAACGAAGTCCTACTGAACAATCCAGCGAGGAACGCTAAATAGGGCAATATCGCAATATCAGGAGAAATAAGCTTGCCTTATAGTATAACACAGCGTTATCTTAGAATTTGAAGAATGATCTAGGAAATTAATCTCTCTGGTACTGTAAATTTGTCAAAGAAACTTGTACTCTTTTAATTTATCGGGAGGGTGGAGGACTATAAATTGTGTCCTCAGTGAAAAAGTTGAAAGGAACATTCAAGAAGTAATGAGAGGAGAATGATTGTTACTTCAAGACAGGCAAAAAGAGTTTAGAGGGTCGTTCAACAATCAGACTTAATTCGCGGCCATCTAGGTTGAGCGGTGCACCAGATTGCCCACTCTTTTCCCTTGCCCTAAATTATGACCTTAATCTTTGTGGAAGCTTCCTTCATTAAGCCCACCCACCCAAAGGCTCAACTAACAGGCATGTGTTGATTTGAAGTTTTCCAGTTTAGCTATTTTTACCGCAGGAACTTCTTTCTCTTGTTTTGTGTCAAGCAGTAATTTTTCTGCACAGTTTTTAACTCCTCTAATGTTCGCATTCTTTTTACACCTGTGAGAATTTATTGGGCATTCACAATGCATTTGCATGCTAGCTGTGATTTACTACCAAATTGAAGGCATATATCTCAGCACGGTGCAAAAATAATTAAACCTCAACTTAATTTTTACAGTCAATGTTAAAATTAATACTCTAAAAGTCATGTTCTTTAAATCTTTGGAGTTAAAATCGTACTGCTGTAAAACACTCTTGTCAAATTGGGCCTGCCCAATGCAACAATCTGGCTTGGGAGATAATTTAAATTCCCTGCAGACAGTGTAATCAACAGTTTTCATCTCAGACTGTAGATGACGTGATACACATATGACATGATATGCATACCTTCTCCTAAAGAAGAGGCTGCCCTTTTTTTAGGTGAATGGCACCCTTTTCAAGCAACTTTAATTGTTCTACTGACAGTACAATAGTGATTTTGAAATAGTATCTTGCACCATGTGTTGAATATTTTTATTTTACATAATTATATTTGATGATCTTTGCTCTGAAGAGCCTCTAATATAAAATCTAAACAAGAGGTAGAAATTATCTTTCTGAATGTGTTTTGAATAAAGGCAATCAATATATGATCCAAAACTTGATACTTCAAGTGACTACCACATAACCTAGATATATGTCATTGAGTGTTTGCTTGACAGTAGGGCATCAATGACAACTTAGAGAATAAACTCTCTAATAAGTTGTTTATTTTTTTATTTTATTTTGTTTTTATTCTATCAGTGTTCATGAAGATCTAGATGTGTAATGTAATTAGAATGACTGTTTTATTATTCACATAGATCAGTCATGTTTACTCTTCTCTCTTCAATTTCAGGAACATTTGGGAGATTTTATTGGCTGCAGATAACCACAATTGTGCACTGTCTGTAAGCAAGAATGGCCTTATCCTTGGAAACAGCTTTACATGTTGTATTTGAAGATGACAACTGTAGTGAGCCAGAATTATTTTTATACTCAGGAGAAACAATTTCTACTCCCTGTAATTATGAAAATTTATTTTGATAATTAATAATTATTTATTAACCTTTTAACTCCTGTAATTGATCAGGACAGAGTTTCTCCTTATTATATCATTCTATACAATATCAAGCAGACAAGTGATGAGAATATAGAAAATTATCAATTATGGGATTATTAATTGATCCAATAAAAAATTCCCCATACGAACCTAATGAAAATCATTTGGCAAACAGTGAGGAGAATTACTGATGAGATCTTGAGAGTTAGAGGGTTAACTGGTCTATACATAATATATTTATACTATGTGCTAAAATTGGCAACATGTGACTCATTACTGTTGGTACACTTAATTACAGTTCAATTATAAATGTCCATCTTAAGTTGTAAATTATGATTAATGATTCAAAGTTATGGACAGGGACAAGCAAAATGATTTCAATAGGAATCTCTTTTCATGTAAGGGCATAAAAAATTCAGATTGAGGCAAGTTTGACAAATCTAAGGCAAGGTGAAAATAAAAAATTTTTATATGATAATGTTGATAGTAATGCTTATGGCATGTTTTATTTCACATTCTAGGTAAAAAGCTTAAGACATGGGAGACAATTGGAACGCATCCAATACAGTTTCGTGTAAGTTTTTCTATGTAGTTGCAGAGTGATTATTGAGTCATTATCACAATTCACTCTCAATGGATGATTTCCACCACTGATGGTACTTCAGACTGTAATTGCTCAGCTTGTGACAAATTTAATGATATGGGTAGCTATGCTAAATTAGATATTGATCGACCATCCCACACTCTTGATTTATGATGAGACGGATTTAAAAATGGTGAAAGAGGTATCATTTTTGTAATCATCTGATCCATATGATATTTTCTGTACATGATCTTATTTGGTCTTACAGGTCCAATCTGATTGTTGGTCTAAATTAAGAAATATTAATATATACTTATTACATGCATTGTAAATTTAAGGAGCTAAGACAATTAAAAATTGTATTATTTATTGTTTAAATTCAATTAAGATTGAAATCGCTTCCAAAAAATTGTTTATTTACTCTTTGGTGGTTTATGTAACTTAGCATTGAATAGCGGCAAGAGACTCACAAGTTTCAGATCTAGTCCCTAGGATATTTTTGTAAAGGAAGTGGGGAGTTATGTGGTTATGTATGACATGTGACTGTATGGTTTTATAGATTATTTAAAGACCTTTAGTGCATATAGTTTAGTTATCTTGTCACTTATGCCATCACAACCACTGGCTTCTGTAATATTGACAGATAATTTAGAGGTTAAGGAACCACTAGGTGTTTGTCTGCAGTGATAAATTTTGTGAAAAGAAGTGAGATGACCAAAAATGGTAATGTGCTTCTGCAGATAACCAAAACATTTGATTGGTTCTTTAATGAAATTTCCAATTCTTATTTCAAAACAATGTTGATTTGTTTCATTGCATTCAATCTTTTGTTTGTTAATCCAACCATTTTTGTAAACTTTTTTTACTGTCTTACATGCCATCTCTTTTTTTTTTTTCTATTGTCAGTAGTAACTTTATATTCAGAAGTTTGACTGAACAGTGGCTTAGATGATTTCTAAAAGTGAATCAGCATTAAGCTGACTCTTGATGAGTCTTTGTACCCATAGAGCAAATACTGAAATCAATATTGGTTCCAAAAAAAGGTTGCATTCCTTTAGCTATGTTAACCATTGATATTTTTTCACACAGAAACAAAATGACTAAATTTTTACTCTAACAAAGTCTTTTAGAATTGCAATTCAAAATGATCATGAAAAGATTAAATTAAAACAAGAAAAAAGGATGTTTGAATTATTGCAACCCTGAATTTAAAAAAAAAACACAATATTTATATTTTATTAAATTTTCTTTGTGAAAAAAATTTATTGAACTTAATAAATATATGAGATAAACCACGATTGTAAAGAAATTGAAATAATGGGATATGGTCAAGGAGCTATTTTGAGTGAATTTATTAATTTGCTAAATATTTCAAACAATTTCATGTACCAAGCTATTAACAGAACTTAATTTGTACCTTTACTTAATTAAAGATATAGGTAACATTAAATTCCTAAAATTTTTTTTATTTCACACTCTTAGCCTTGCTTTGGAAAATGAAAAATAAATTGTAGTACCTCAATAGTGATCTAGTGAAGGTATTTTTTGAATTAGTTAGATATTTTCTGCAATTAACATTCTGATAAACTTGAAAATGTTTCGGTGTTAAATTGCTGTTATTGATGACATCCCATTCCCTAGTTTATGTCCTTCTTTAATTTTTGAATGACTGTTCTTTTTTTAGACCACAGTGTCACTTTCCAGTGATGTACAGTATAATGAAAGATTTCAAGCCATAACTATGATGGATGAATATGCAAACAAGAGCATTGAAGTAGGTTAAATAGGTTATCAACGTAAAAATTAATAGGCTCTGAGTATTTGCCAAATAAATGCTCAATTTTTTTGTAATTCCATGAGGCATCTGATCATGATCTTTTATTAACTTAATGATATATAATTACAAATGAATAAAGGGGGTAAGTTTCTAAAGAAACTGTGGTGCTGCATCGGTGGGAGAGTATAGCAGGTAATTTAGTGTTAACGACTGAGTTGAAAACGTAAATTGGCCACCGCAAAGAGTAAAAAAGCTGACGTTTCGAGCGTTAGTCCTTCGTCAGAGCGATTGGACGAGGAGCTAACGCTCGAAACGTCAGCCCTTTTTAATCTTTACGGTGGTCAATTTACATTTCCAACTCAGTTGTTGACACTAGATTACCTGATATTAATTACAGCTGAGTATGACTTATAATTCGAGTATGTCAATAATATATTATAGGAAATGATTGTCCATAGATGTAAGAGCCAATAAATCACTCATTCTGGCTCCCTCTCATTATGACTGCTGGAGCATGAAATCTCAAACATAGTGACTTAAGGATAGCTAACTTGTCCTTAAGAGTAGACGTTTTAAATTGCTCAGGAGTTGCGCTTTGAAGACTTTGAGTACCAGAATAAGACTAGTGCCCAGAAAGAGCCATTTGGGAAGAGTTCTTCAACCACGTGCTCCTCGTCTGCTACTGATAGAAATGAAAACTATCTTTACACCCATTCTGGATGCAGTTCTTTTTCTTCATCGTCTGGCTTCCGTACCATGTCCTCTAGCTCTAGAAAACCTCGCAGTTCTCGACTGAGCTATTTTTCCCCCTCGACACCTTACAAATTTACGTCGTCAGTGTATGAGCACAGCCCTTGGTCACTAAAATACAGTCCTTCGTCACCAACATACAGTCCTTCGTCACCAAAATACAGTCCTTCGTCACCTACCTACTATCCTACGTCACCAAGCTACTGTCCTACGTCACCAAGCTACAGTCCTACGTCACCAAGGTACAATCCTACCTCACTACGCTACCGTCCCACGTCACCAACCTACAGTCCTTCGTCACCTACCTACACTGTTTCATCCAGCTCTTCTGCGGCTCGTTGCAATTCATTTTGGTCGTTTCTGGAAGGTGAGGGGCTGAATCTTTGTCTATTAATTGTAAATGTTTTAGTTTGGTATCAGCGAACTCTGAAGACTCCCGAGATGAATTAGAATATTTTTTTTAAAATTTGTTTTGACGATCTTTCCGGAAATATTATGCGTAGGGAAGATAAAGGAGAGAGACACTCCCTTATGGGCCGTATGTCTCAGTTATTTTCAGAACACTTTAAATTCATGCACACGTCGGAGGGTCTTGGAATAAATGTTCTCGTGTACGAATCTTAATCAAATTTCATGCGATATCTAAGCTACACGCGTGACTTAAGTAACATCATTCCTGAAGAAGCAAACATATTGAGTCTAAAAGTAACTTAGTTTCAGTCTCGTTCCTTGATCTTCTCTTGACTTGGTTAGGAAATAGTTGAAAAAAAACACCTTTGCAATCCTTTACCTCCGTGAAAAGTTCATGGTTACGGTACAAAAGAGAATTATAAATCAAAGTAACATACTTGAAATGGGTACTAGTGAGTGTTATTAATGCCAGAAATTGTTATCCAGTTGTAAAGTAGGTCTAGGCAAGTACTACTACCTTAAAGTGCAGTTCTTGTGGTTTTAAAAGGGAAGACTAAAGCGGTTGCAGTTTTATTTAGGCGTTATCAATTTTCAGCGTCATTTTGTTTTTACTACCTGTTAGCTCGTTTCCGTGAAATACAGTCAGTTCTTAGAAAATAACGTCTCGCTCCTCGATGTGACAGAAAGTTAATTTCATCCACGAAATTGCTTTTAGTTTATCTTTCTTTACGATTCACAGGATTCGATGCCGCAAAATGGGACCCAACTGACATTGAAGTACAAATCAATGAAACGTACAAGGTAAGTTATTACTGAGGTTAGGAATTGAAATTTGAGTTTTCCCTGGTTCTTCTGTCAAAGAAGAAGAGCAAGTACGCGCACAGTACATCGGCACGCAGAACTATTTTGCCTTCTGCTGAAGCATAAAAAGCTAATGAAATGGCAGCATGATGAAAGTTAAAGACAATTGAGGTCTACCTCTGACAAAGCCATACTCGGAAAAAAGAAAATCTGAATTCTCGCGTAAGGAATGAATCCTATTGCCTTCCAACTAAAATTTTGGAAGAAGTGAGGAAGGGGCTGGTGGTGTGAAAAGTCACGAAACTAGGTCAACGCGACAGTCACCTTGTATACTGCTACAATGGATAGTCGACGTTAACGGTGTGTGTTGTAAGCCTTGTGCTCAAGGAGAAAGAGTATTTCAAAATCCAAGACTGTGGCATACTTGTCGCCTAAATATTTAATGAAAAGAGGTATGATGTTCAAACTGAACTTTTTGCGACCTCAAAATCCAAAAGAGGGAAATGGCATAGGTGATTGAATCGACGAGGATGAAAAATAAGGAGGGAGTCAGTTATAACTGTGTAGGTCCGTAGACTATAGAATTGTGAATGAGAAAAAGTAGAGCATGGTAATAATGAAGTGGTCGTATTTTCTGTCAAAGGGACATTCGTTCAGCGAGATTCATACTTCCTCCTTTTTCCCTTGCATGTGTAACATTGACGTGACTCTTTTGATTTGGGTACGATCCTCTATTCACAGGCAGGTAAGAGGCTGATAAACAAAAAGGGTGTGGTGCGCTCAGTAAGTGGACGCCAGTGTTTAGTGAAACTATACGATGAATACCACCCGGTCCTCATCTCGATTGAAAATATTGATCCGGTGAAGTTATCTAAAAACGACAAAGTAAGTATAGCTAAGTTACTCTCAACATTGCTCATCGTATTTTATTAGTCCGTATAGAATTAACCTTGTTTTTCCTTTTATAGCTAGCATCCTTGTTGTTGTTGTTGGTATTTTGGGGCTTTGTAACAAGAAAAAAATGGCGAACAGAAAATCTGGCTGAACAATAATTATCTAAGCGACCCGTTACACGCTTATTAATCAGTGACTAGACTCCCTGGACAGGACATGATGATGTTCTAATGCTGAATTTTATATCATGTGTATTGCATTCCTATTTCATTCAATTGTCAGAATTCATATTTGGTTTCGATATACATCTAGATCTAATGTTAACAACTGGGTTGAAAACGTAAATTAGCCACCGTAAAGGGTAAAAAAGCTGATGGTTCGAGTGTTAGCCCTTCAATCGCTCTGACGAAGGGCTAACGCTCGAAACGTCAGCTTTTTTACCCTTTACGGTGGCTAATTTACGTTTTCAACCCAGTTGTTAACACTAAATTACCTGCTATACCCTCCCACCGACGCAGCACCACAGTTTCTTTAGAAACTTACCCCTTTATACATCTAGATCTGCTTACTTGGTTTTGAAAAGGATATTATTTGGCTCTTCACTTACCCGTAATGTCCTTTAACTTTTAAGAGTAAAATTATGTTCGGAGATGGCCGTTCAAGAAGAGGAACATTAATCAATATCGACTACCCTGATGCAATTTTGAAAATGGAGGATACTGAGGAACTGAAGATTTTACCGCTAAAATTCCTTGCTAAACTTGGTAAGCTAAAATTTAATTTTGATGTTTACATGTATTTGAATCGTTTTATTAAACCGTTAAGATATTAGTCATATTTGATAAGTATTAAAACTTAGTGTTTTCAATAAGATTTGAAGACGTTGGCTACCTCGGTAAAACACCCGTCGGCGAATAATATAGAAAACAAATTTGAGTCAGTATGTTGTTGGAAATTAAACTCAAAATTTTTTTTTCGCTGGAAATGTATGAAATGTATGCTGGAATATATGATAAGACAATATCAATCATTTTTGTCAAAACTTGTTTATAAGGTGGAAGTCGATCGACTGAAAGAACTATCGAAGATCTCGAGGTATTCTGGGTCACACTTCGTGAGTTTTCTTGAAAACTTCCAAACTATACCCGGCAATTCACAACAGAATACCCACCGGAGCGCCGGCGGGTGCCAAGTCTTATTGAAAGCACTGGGCTGAAACGAAAAAGGATCTTTGGCTAAAGTGTTGATAATTTTGATGAAATGTTTCCATTTTTAATCCGTTTTGTATTTAATTAGGTAGAGACAATAGCCAGGTTCGTTCATTTGAAACCCCAAGTATAAAGAGAAGAAAGGATAAACCCTTGAAGTCGCTGTTTGACTCCACCGTGAAAGAGGAAAATGCAACTCCAAGTGAGTAAAAATTGGAAAACATAGGATTGTCTTTTCTATTGCTCAGTAGCACTTTGTTTTATCAACACTTATTTCAGTAATATATTAAGAAAACTGATTGGTTTCGTATTTATTGGCTAGACCAAGAGATTACACCCTCTTAACAACAACAATAACAGTAACAACTACAACGACTTTATTTGTACCCTACATTAATTTTCATAATACAAAAAATAATATTACATGAAAAAATACAGGCTACCTGTAATAACCATTGAGGTCTAAAAAGATAGGGCAGCCTTACTTAGGTTATTAATAAATGATTATATTAAAGGGTCAGGTACCACACACGCACACACACTTCACAAAAAACGTAAAGAGAAAAGAAAAGGCTAGCATAAAAAGAAAGGCGACAAAAGAAAGCCAAGTATTCTAGTTTTAAACAATGGAAAGCCAGAATAAACTGTTGTTTTGCTAAATCTGCAATTAATATTTCGCAATAAGAATTGGCTTAAACTTTTTCTTAAAACGTTTGAGGGAGAGAAGCTTTATGTTGGAACCTTATGTTGAAAATTCCATAATTTGTTTTGGCATAAGTCATCCTGGAGGACAACCTAGTGTTATGTCTATGTATATCCCTGACAGGATTGAAAAAAATATCAAAGATTGAAGGTAAAAGTTGGTAATGGAACTTATACATAAACACTGCAAGTTGAAGGGCAATGATATCACACAGCTTGATAAAATTCAAGTCTTCAAATAAAGGACTTGAGTGTTCAGTGAAGCTGGAAAAGGTCATTATTCTTATAGCTTTCTTTTGTAATATAAATAAAGTTTGCACAGTTCACTAATAGGCATTACCCCAAGCAATTATACAATAATTTAAGAATGGCTCTACTAAGGTATAATACAGGCTTAGCAACGTTTGATTAGGCACATCCCTGTATTGCAATCTTTTTTTTTCGAATCCGGATCAATTACTTGAAGTGTATCATGGACTCCTTTGGTGCGCCATTTTATTTGACCTGGTCATCCGTATCAGCTCAAAAAAACATGTCCACAATTAATTGGGAACGAAAGGATTTTTTAGAGACTACAACATTCTGAGCACTATTTCGTTTAAAGGTCGCGCTAGTCTCGGCAGGTTTTCCTCCAGATGGCTTGAAATTATCAAGCATAGGTTTGTCCTCACAACATTTAAACTAATGTAGTGCCACACTTGTCTCGCCAGTGATCATAGAGTCCGGCGCAGAATCAGTTGACGCTAAACAACTACGATCATCTGAACAAGATTTTTTCCGCGAATCAATCGTTGGTCTCACCTCGAAAGTCAGTGCTCATCCGCAAGTTGAAAAAGAAACGGGTCAAATGCTAACAGTTTCTGAAGGAAAACAGTTGTCAGAAGCCCTGCTGAAGAGCATCATGAAGTGTCTACAAATCCAGAGCTCCCTCTACAGACTTGTTCTTTTCCAAATAGCTGGTCGTGCTTCATGCTCTTCAAGCCAACCTGACACCGATGTCCAGGGAAGTGTTCATACCTCGGATAAACACGAGGCTTCTGATGTGAGAAGTACAGGAGAAAATTGTAAACATGATACACAGGTTCTCCTCAGTGATCTGAAACAACCCATGGAAGCTTTGATGCGTTGTTTAAGCATTCAAAAAACACTTTTTCAAAGATTAACAGCAGTCAGCTTGGCAACTCTTGAGCTGTCGAATGGCAGTTTAGGTAAAGTGATACAGTGTAGATGATTGATAAACTAATTGATAAACGTTGTTTAGAACTGGGTATCCTAATTGAAGTTTTTTCTCTCTCCGATGCTTATGTTAACAACTGAGTTAAGTTGGGCATTAACTAACGCGGTGAGTGCTAGTCGTTGTCTTACCCTTCTAGAGAAAAACCAAGTAATATTATATTGACCAATCCGGTGCATATCCTGTTGTCGTTTATACTGTGAAATAATATTAAACATACGAATATTAACAACAATCACATGTATGGAACGAATGTCAATTGAAACTTAAGAAATTTTATGATAGCCTTTCTACGTACTGCCGAAAGCCAAATCACGCCCTTCTCTAGGTAAGGTTGGCCCTCAAGCGGTACTCAGTTTTTCGGCATTAATTTTTTCAGTGTGTTGTTCGGCACGTTTAGTGTTTCCTGACCCGTGACCATGGCGTCCTTTTTGCAGAAATGAAAAGCAAGCCACGGGCAGACATTTTGGCGGTGCAATCTTTTCTTGAGGAAGTTATCTTTAAGAACAGAGTGGAGTGCGGATATGTACGAAATCCTTTTACAAATAAACAACCCAAAGCTTCCACAACAGAGGATGTGGTACAGCATGTATATCACGATAAACTACCGTTCAGCGGAGCTGCAGGTACAATTTTGGTTTAGGGGGCGTCAATTTGTCACAATGCACTTGTTTCCTTTGTCCTGTTTGCTTCCTTTAGATATGAGAACCAATGTAGGATATTTAATCGATAGTTGAAATCGACGGTTAATGATTATTTTTTTCCTCTCCGAGATCCACCAGACAAAGAAACGCTAAGAAATGGCGTTGATGTGCATTTCAAGTTAAATATGACCCCACCTGTTCCTATTATAGGTTGCCTGAAGAGGACTAGTACTTAATATACAGTCAAAACGTAGCGCTTCACACTGGCAACTTCAATCTCGTGACACACGTTAGAACACGTTAGAAAATTTTTTTCTTTAAGTTTATCAATGCTCTTTTTCCGCTTCTTTCAAATCTCTTTGCATGAATGAGGGAAAAAATAGGAACCAATATATACTTAAGACCACTTCTGAGTAGTTTTTCATACTTCCATTGTGGTAGCAAGGTACAAAAACTACATAGACATCTTCAGATAAAGCTTATCACTTACTGCATCATTATTTTCTTGCAGTTACCAACTACAATGCAAGTTGTCAAAGGAAACTTCCACATGGTCATGGTAACCTTAAAACGGTGATGGGTAAAACTTTGTACACAGGAGACTGGTGTAAAGGTAACGCTCAGTCTAGTCAACTGTCCAGCTACTGTTAGAAACTATTCAGTACCATTTAAAAGGCTACAAAGCGAAAACTGATCATCGGTATTTACATCATCGTCGATGAAAAGCGAGGACAATTACCTCTGTCTCTGTGAATCATCGTTAACTGTTATTTTGCTTCCCCGTGTTATTATTCATACCTGATAAGTATCAATTAGTGTTTCATTATCGCGCCCTATATAACTTTAGTCTCATTAGTAGTCTTTATTTCTTCACGAGCTAAAAATTACGTATCTTATGCCACAAAGTGAAACGTAGCAAAAGTAGTAAAAAGGCCAAAAATAGTAAAAATATGTAATGTAATTCCATCCCTACTCAAAGATAATGCAAGGCCAAGGCATGTTAATCGCCCATGAGCAAGACTTCACACTCAGCAAAATGCTTAATTTTGAGGAATATTTAATGACTGGTCGTGCAGTATCATGCGCAAGAAAGTGTAACTCTTTAATAGTAATGGAAGATCTCTGTTTTGCACACAGGCAAGAGAGATGGGATGGGTAAAGGTCTCATCCTTTCTTTGCCTTGCGACAATCTAACAACAGCTAAACATGGAGTCTACAGTGGTGGATGGAAAAACAATATGAGGTAAAAACAAAGTACGGGCTGAAGACGGTACGCAGATATCTGCTGAAAAGAGATATGCATTGACGTGTTTAGTAGACGACTTAATCAAAGAAACAATCACCGAGATAACCAAGAAAAAAGAAGTCCAGTAACAGCTACTACTATGAGAATTAACACCTGTGTTAATGCATCTCTAAGGTCATCGCGCAGAAAGAAGACAAAGAAATTGGTTTCAAATGATCGAGCTTCAAACTTCCTGTTTCGGAAAGACTTGTAAGAGCCTCAACTCGTTTCTGACTAAGTACACACGCCAACATAGAAATATAAGATGGTTCTAATTTACTGAAAAGGGCGTAATTTGCTTTCAATTTCGCTTTTACACAGATGTACTTTCACATAGACTATGTATTCTATTGCTTAGTTCAACCGAGCCTTACGTGTTGATGAAATTGTTTGGGCTTACTCTAGGCATGGTCATGGAAAGATGATGTTTTCTTCCGGTGCTGTATACGAAGGTGACTGGCAGTACGACAAAATGACCGGCTATGGGACTTTGACGCTTCCGGATGGTACTGTTCAAGAGGGGAGTTGGAAAGATGGGTGCTTAGATGGATGTGTGCAGTTTACTTGGCCTCATGGAGTCACTGAGTTTCGAGAGTATGATAAGCGTCGAGGTTAGTGCTTTAAACCACTCGATTGTTTTGTTTAAGTGAGAACAGATGTTCACCTCACGACATTCGATGTACATTTCAACATCATCAATGGGTTGAACTAAAATTTAGCCCCGCGTTTCGATAAAAGATGTTTAAATTTGAGAGGTGTTTCCATCATATAACGGGCGTAGTTTAATTCATTTTGATCAAGATCTTAAAGTAACTAAGGAGAAGGTTCTGCCTTTGCTATAGCATCTGCAAATGGTAAGGTGCTCTAGTCTTCTCAGATAAGGATGATAAACAGTAGTCCCCATCTCATCGCCTGCATCTATACCGTACTGTTGGCGGGGTACGTCAAAGAACCCGTGTACTTCTCGCAGAGTAGGTGACGTTGCTCTCAGTGTTGTGTTTTGGCCTAGTTGTTGTTTTACACCGGATTCCATTTAAACCAGCTTTAAGGCTGAGCTGGGCCATACCACAAATAAAAAAAATTAATGAATAACTAAATATTTTCCCTATAAACAAATATGTTGGATTTAATTTATAATGAATAGTAAGGGAATTGATATTGAGTTAAATTATAAATTGATTGTTATTACTCGGAAAGGGGGACTACTCCTGGTATAGAAGTAAAATTGTTCTTTTTTTATCTATTTTGTCGTTTGATCCTCAGGTCTCCTGTCTTCCTGTGCAATCGGTAAGGAAGCTGCTCAGAAGCTGTCTCAAATGCGTTCCATTCAGTCCAAGATTTCAGACATGAGTGAATTTGTAATTCAGCTAAATGCCGAGAAACTACGTCTCAGTGAGCAACTGAGCATGCATAATATGGTACAAGCTGAGTTGAGAAGTCATTACCACACTGCAATGTTTGAAATTCGTGAAAGTTTTAGGGAACAGCTAGAGCGTGACTGTACGGAAAAGCGAGAAGAGTTTGAGAAGAATTTAAACAAGGTAAAAGAATCCGTGGCGAAAAGTGCCCAAAAAGTTCTCGATCTCAAAATGGAACTCGAAAAATCCAGGAGCTCTGTGCTTTGTAAGCAGTGTGCCAAACAGCCTCGTGACTGCCTCATCATGCCCTGTGGCCATTTTTTGTACTGTAGAACTTGTGTAAAAGAATTAATGAAGGGCTCCTCTATCAAATGCCCTTCTTGCAAGCGGGATGTCACCGCTAAACTTTTCTGTAATCTTGATCATTAAACCATACATTCTCAATAAACGAGAAAACTATTGTCGTTCAATTTTTACTCGAGTTGTTAACACAAATCGAACTCAATGTATAGTCATTATATCATTGTAAATGTTAAGACAATTATTTTAATATTTCTTACGAATAAAATCATTTAAGAAACGTAAAATTCGTTTTGTAAGAATGACATTTCTTAAAGTTGATCTGGTAATCTGATCGTCCGGGTGAGATTCGTCCTGAGAAGTACTGTTGCCGGTTGTAGCGCCTGACGTTTCGTTGTTGTTTAGTTGTACATTGTGGAAACAGGAGGACGACAAGTTGACCGATTACGAAAACACCTTCGCAGCGTGGAAAGAAATGACAAGGACGCACCCAAACCAGTCGCTGGACACTTTAATCTCCATTATCATTCTAAGAAATATATGGCAGTTTGCGGCCTTTCCCTACATCTAGGCAGTTCGGAAAGCCGCCGAAATTTGGAACAAAAATTTATCTTTCAAATAGGCACTCTTAATCCCCACGGTATCAATGAGCGCTTTTCATTCAACCAATTTATTTTTGTTTTTCTCGTCACCATATAACGTAGCTCCGTTTTCTACATGTAAACCCACACACAACCCAGATTTCCTCCAATCGCTCTGCTAAGGGCTAAAGCTCGAAACGTCAGCTTTTAAATTCTTTATGGTGGTCAATTTACGTTATTAACTCAGTTGATAATACTAAATTACTTTGTTTGATGGTAGTTTATTAATTTTATTTCAAATTGGTTAAAGATAGTTCCCATTTTAACTCTTTTAGGCCGTCATGAGATATTTACTTGATGAAGGACTTCGATCACTATATACGTACAAAACTCGAAATAATACGACAACGTTTACTTCCACGTTTACCATTGCTTGTGCCACTTGGTGAAGAGGAATTACGCTTCTAAAGAGGCGATCGTGGGATTATCATTTATTTCCCGAGACGTTAGGTATCACCTTTCATCTATTTTAGCCGAAAGAGGTTATGCCAGTGCTAATAGGTGAATGAGAATATACAGATAATCAATGAACAGTTGGCTCGTTTATCGCTGTATCAATGTCCAATAGCGGGAATGGCAACTTGAAGCGGGAAAGGAGGACATTATCAATTTATTCAACTAAATCTTTGAAATAGAGACGGTCATGTCATGCTCAGCTTGGGACTTTCCGGTTTATAAGTAGACCATGGGCAGAATTTAAAGAGGTTACGAAAGGAACTGCCACACATCTTAATTTGTGAATATCGTGGTTATGCCAATTTGTCGCCAAACAGGGGCTTGATCCGGAAGTAGAAGTCAACAATTTTATTGAGCAGTCATCTTCAATTTATAACTTTCGAAAAAAAAAAAAAAAAAAAAAAGAGAAGAAGATAAAAATGAAAATCTCTAGACATTAAGCTGTGTTGAAGATGACTCCGCTAGACCTACATTCACACCCGCTTTGCTAAAACGGGACTCTATCTACCCCAGAAGTCATTTCGGTCATGCTGATCAAGCTTCCGTGTCTCATCCGGAGCCTACAGAGATTACCTAAAAGCTACTTAATTAAGGACACTTCTGCTTCACAGAGAAGTATATAAGCAGAACGACTTTGCTCTAGGAATTTTTTCCAGCTTATTTAATCACGTTTTGCACAAGTTTCACTCTTACAACCGGAAGGAGGCTTCTGGATATCGACGAGGTTTGACTTTCGGTTTTTCCTAGACCAACAGAACAACAACTCAACAGAACCGGAATTCGGTTGAGATCCGGTCCCGATCACGTTGAGGTGAGACTGGCCAGGGATTATCCTGGTAAGTCCTTTCTTCAGTAGTTTTCCGGCTTCCATTTTTCTTCAGGCTGTAAATCATGCACATTTGATATAATCGCGACAGAACATCATATTAAGAAGAATTACACAATTAACCAACTGCCATTGAAGAAAGACATTTGGATTATTTTTGGCACATTTGACAGCTTACCCAAAATTACAACCTGCGATTGGTATCAAATGGTACATTTTCCACTGACGTAACGGGTTATTGCTGAGTGTGTAATGGTTACCAACAAATTGATGAAATGATGAAATGCTTGGGGATAACCTTGTGATGGGATTTGAGCATACCATTCAGGGGGAAGTGGTAATACTTCTAGTAGCTTCATGCCAAGGAAACTGGGATAAGGTCTGGCTCGGAGGGAGGGGAGATGGCAACTTAATGGCTTGAGTACAGACCCTAACCCTTACCCCTTAAAGCCTGTACCCTCTGTTGTGATCTGTAGGAAGACACTGATGCATATATCATGTCACAATGCATGATTACCAAACTTCTGCTTCTTTAACAAAAATTAAGAGTTTTAACTGTCTCAGGTTGATTAAGTCCATGGAGTCTGTGCTGTTGTATTTTTTAATTTTGCAGAATTTGCTGACATGCAAAGATAATTCAAGTGTTTTTATCATGGCTGCAGAGTTGGCTATTTGTTGGAATGTTGCGTTTGAAGAAGATGATCATCAGGAATATCTTTTGTATTCAGGACAAAGTATTAATCTACCTCCATGTAAGGCAAAATTCCTTAATGTGCCAGAATCTTATTTTGCATGGCTCAGCTTTTTTCAGCATCCTCCTTTTTTACAAGCTTCCCTCATGTTGATATTTTTTGCTCCATTTGCACCTCTAACTTTAACCCACAAATTCTATGTTACAAATAGTCAGGTTAGAAATACGTCAGGAGCATCAGTTAGTAGAAACATAAGATAAAAAAATTCCTTAATTTTAGTATTCACCTTGGTTAAGAACTGTAACCTAGCTCTGTCTTTCTTCTATTTTGGATGAGTGGAGGGGGCATTTCATGTAAAATTAATATACAAGTCATGTTTGTCTGAAGTATATTGATTTGAGCCTCTTTGACGGATATCAGTTTGGATGTGGCTTTAAACCAAAAGAGTACTGTAATGAATTTGACCTCATTCAGGTAACATCAAGCAACGACTACAGAAGAGTAAAGCCTTAATGCAGAAATATTGAGGTTTCTACAATGAATTGAAAACTGGTCTTGCATGTAGCCTATATATAGTTCCACCAGTCCTGTAAGTGGCACCCAACTTTGATGATTGATATTTTCAATGATTTAATTGTGTAATGAATTTTTACTTTTCAGTAATTCATCCAAATGCATGGACACTCTGTGGAACACCCATACAATTTTGTGTAAGTAGCAGACTCAGAAAGTTTTAAGTGCACCCCAAACCTTTTTGACAAGGTCTAATTGGATGGTTGCGAAGTAGCTTTCCTCTGTAAACAACAAATTATACTTCTTTTATGAATGTTATTTATAGAATATTTATATATTAAATCTATGTTTGACCTGTTGTTATGATTGTTGTTCATAGTGTACTATAACCCTTTCTGATTAAGATGAATGTCTCATTATTACACTAGGCCACTTCATTGTCATCACTTGATCTTCAAGGATTTAAAGAAAGGTTTCAAACCATAACCATGATGGAAATTTATTCTCAAAAGAGTGTGGAGGTAAGTACAGTTAACTTTTGCTTGGATGATTTTGCTATTAATAGAAACTTATTTTTTTGTCTAGATGCTTATGCACTTGACTCTGCCTTGTAGAACACTGAATATATCTCCCACACATCTTGGCACTGATAAAAGACCACTATAACCTGGATTTAATTATGCAGAAAGGTGATTTGAAATTAATAAAACTTGGTTAAAAAAAAATCAACTGTTGTTCAATTAATTTCTATGGTTACCTTTAACCCAGTTTCAGGCGAAAGCCAAAAAAAGCAACCATATGACAATTTTTCAGTAACTCAGTTAACTGTAATAAATTAATTAGAAACAACTTGTTTAACTCCTGGGTGATTATGTATCTATCTTTGTAAACTATTTAGGAGCTGCGTTTAGAGGACTATAAGTATGTGAAGAAACCAAAAACCAAAAGGTCAGAAAAACAATTCAAAAGTTCAGCTAGAAATTATTCAAGAGGCTTTACCTTACATCATTGGTCAAATTCAAGTGTTGAAATGAAGAATCCCAGCCCAAGTAAGAAAAAGAGTTATTTATTTTATAATTTAACTTTTTTAATAAGGAACAGCTTCAGTTTATTCACACAATTTATGGTATAAAGAAATCAAGATAAAATCAGGATATATAAAACTAGTTTCTTTTTTCGCATGCTCCTTAAAGCAACTTATGTTGTATGTAAATGACAGCAAAAAGTACAAGAATTTCAAAAAGTTTAAATTATCAACAATCTTTCATGGATAATATTTTGTGAGCCCTGTCCTAAGGATTTTGCATTTGTTTCCAGTGGACACAGATTCTATCACAATCAATGCTCAAGAGCAAACATCACAGAGCTCCCATTATTCCACCACACAACCATCAACTGATCCCAGTGAAGTGTCTCACCAATCAGCTGAAGAATCAGAGCAAGCACCAATGGTGACTGTTTCAATGGGAAAAGACCTCATGTCCTCTCTGCACGGGAGCATTATCAAGTGCATGCAAATCCAAAACTCTCTCCATAAGCTGGTGTTGCTCAAACTGGGACAGAAAGCTGCCAGATCTGAGGGCCATAGAGACACTGGTTCTAATAGACTGGAGACCAGCCATGCAGAAAGCTCTGCTGAGAATCCAGATGATGATCCAAGGGATCTATTGTGTGAGCTTAAGGATCCTTTAGTGGGGCTGATGGGCAGTGCAGAAATTCAAAGAAGTTTTTTTCAAAGATTAATCACCTTGAACTCAATGATTACTGGTGAATCAGCTGATTCATTAGATAATAGTTCATCTCCAGGTACAGATACTGATGTCTGTGTCTGCTCTTAGAATATTGTAATGCACACCAGTACTTATCAGCTTACATGTAGGGGCGACAGTGAAGGATTACTGCTTATGTGAAGTGAAACTGAAATGACAAAACAGAGATAATATAAGAGTGAAAATAGGAATGCAATTGAGAATGTGAATAGTGATGTCTGCAATGATAACATTGATTGTTTGAAAATGATTTCCTCAGTGCCAAATTGTTTTTTCTGCTTCAAGAAAATCAAAAAAGCTTTCATTCCTATTGATATGAAGCCCCTGTTAAAACTTTAAAAATTCAAAAACATTTAACCCTGTAACTCCCATAAGTGACCAAGATGAATTTCTCCTTACAATATCAACTAGATAAGTGATGAGAATAAAGAAAATTATCAATTTGGGGATAATTAGTTGATCCAATACCAAATTCTCAAACCTAACATCATAAGAACTGTATGGCAGACAGTAAGGAGAATTACTAATGAGATCTTGGGTCAGTTAAAAGGTTAAGCTATTCCTGGATTTTTGCATGTTTTCTACTAGAGAAATAAATGTAAATAAAAGACAGAAAACCATGTTTAAATGCATGTAGTGTCCAAGAAAAGGTATCAGTTTGAGTGGAAACATTTATTCGGTGTTACATGTCCCTCAAAAACATATATACCTACGTATGTATTCCCTCTTGTGCAGAGACTCAGATGATGGGCTGGTTATCAACTTATTTGGAGGAAGTGACAACCTTGCTGACTGAACACCCCAGAATTGCTCCATCATGTTACCTATATAAAAAAATACGTTTGAAATTGAGAGCCATTAATAAGATACTTACTTGTGTTGGTTTCTTCCTGCTCAGAATCATCACAAGGTAACATGCAGACTGTTGGTGCCAATCTTGAGGAGATTGCACTTAAAACTACAATGCTTTGTCGCTATGCAAGAAACCCTTTTACCAGCTTCCAAGTCAAAGCAATGACCAGCAAGGATGCACTGAAATGTGTATGTCAGGTTAATGGACCTGTAACCTCCCAGGCAGTCAGTGAGGTGAGAGGTCAGCGGAAACTTCCCCATGGATATGGAAGCCTGAAAACTGTGACAGGGAGACTTTTATACAGAGGAGACTGGTTCAGAGGTAAATATCTGGGACAACTGTCAGATTGGTTTAGAGGGATACAAGGATAAGGAGAAATGTGAGAACCATTAGGTGTAATATTCTTGGAGTTTGCCCCAGACATTATGCCGTGATGGACTTGATTGAATTTCTCACCCCAAGTAGCCACCTTGAGCTTGCAGCTTCTATGTAGCTTATATGAAATTGTATTGATAGATTCTGTAGTCATATGATGCCTTGATGTTCCAACTGAGAGTATCTAAAAAGACCTTTGATTCCTTTATACAGGGCCTCCCAGACTCCTTGAATTAGAGCTCCCCCAAACAACTTAAGTTGACTTGGTCATTTTTGAGAAGTGTTTTTTGTTTCATGATCTGAGGATCATTTTGGAGGCAAAAACGAAATTGTTCACTCCTTTTTGATGTTGATGACATAAAAAATTGGCAGAGGTCAAAATAGTATTATTGTTTGTTGATACGACAGTACAGTAAGAGCAGGAGGAAGGTGTAAGAAACACTGAAACAAGTTTCTATCAGTAAAACTAACGCCATGCATCTAGTTTGTTGGGGAACTTTCTGTTATTGTTACATGTGGTGCAGGTATGAGGAACGGTAAAGGGGAAGGCTTTATTCTGACAGTACCTGTAAAAAGTGACAGCCCAGAAGTCAATGAACATGGGTTTTACATTGGTGGATGGAGGAATAACATGAGGTGTGTCGAGAAAATAGAGTTGTATTATTAAGTTGTAAAAGCAACAGAGCTGTAAACTGTTTTGAGCAAGACCTAGAACTGGAACAGCAAGGACAGAGTCTGAGCTTCCTAAAAGCATAGCTTGTGGTAGAGAGTGTGCATGTAACCTTTTCTTTGTATCTTGAGTCAATTAATCATAGCAAACCAACCTGGCATGCTCCCAAATACAAGTAGAACGCACAGGTAGACCTACCCCCCTTTCTGAAAATCTTGCCTAAGCCCCATGGTCCATGTAAGTAGGTGTTCACTAAGAGAGAAGTGACTGTTAGTTGAAAACTCTATGAACTAAGAACAGCTACTCAGGGCAACACAATGCAAATCTCTATTTTCAGCCTTAAAAAGCAAACTGCCAGATATTAAAGAGAAAAGGAGAGAGATTTTTGCCTTATGCCCAGTCTTCTGTTTGCTAGGCATGGTCATGGAAAGATGACGTTTGTATCTGGTGCTATATATGAGGGTTTGTGGCAGTATGATAAAATGACAGGATATGGGATCTTGAAGTTACCAAATGGGACCATTCAGGAAGGGACATGGAACGATGGATCACTGGATGGCATAACTCTTTTCACTTGGCCCCACGGTGTCAGTGAGTACCGAGAATACAAACAAGGCCAAGGTTGGTACCTAAATAATTTAATATGAACAAAGTTTCATTAAGTGTCAAGTGAGTGACGCTCTAGCATGCGTGACGACATGCGCTAAACAAGCAATTTGTAGAAGAGAAGTGCCATGCACTTGAAAGTTATCAAAAGGAACCCAAGTTAGTATCCCCTCCCTGTGCTTGATATCACCTGATTAATTCGCCAAAGTAATTTAAGAGTTTTAAAAATTTTATGCTGGGCGATGACAGTTAAGAAAGTTGATGGCTCAATCCATGGTTTTGTGTTTTTTTTTAAGTATTTGTAGGTCAGCTGTCTACTGGTCAAGTTGATGAAGAAACTGCTTTAAAGCTTGCACAGATGAGTTACATAAGATCCCAGCTTTTTTCTTTGGTTGAAAGTGCAACAAAGTTAAAAGACGATAACTTAGACCTCAAAGGCGAACTGGACTCTTTGAGAGCTGCTCAGGCAGTGTTGGACAGAAACTATCAACTTGTACCTGGTCTTTCTGAAATACGCCAAAGTTTTGAAATTCAACGCAGGCAGGTTTCTGATGAACTGAGAATAGAGTTCGAGCAGAAGTTTAAGGACGCAGAAGAGAGCAACATGAAAAACACCGAGAGAATTGGCCAGTTAGAGAGAGAGCTAGAACAATCTAGAGGATCGGAACTGTGCCAAATCTGCTTTGAACGACAACGTAATTGTGTCATTATGCCTTGCATACATTTTCTTTACTGTGGAAGATGTATAACTGAGCATAAGAGCAAAGGTGATTCTCGTTGCCCCACTTGCCGCGGGCCTATTAATGGAGAATTGGAAGTAAGGAAAATGTAAGTGTAGAAATGAAACTAATAATGTTCCAAATGGGTGCGAAGTTGATAGCTCTCGTTATTGCAGGTCTATCAATCTTTGGAACAAATTACCAAGGGACTTTAAAAGCGTGGACTCATTTCATACTTTTAAAAGGAGGCTTTTAGATTTTTACGATGAAAAAACCGTTTCTTATAATCTTCCAAGTCGTGAGGGTGTAAGTTAATGAACCTATTCTTAAATTGACTTGGTTGTAAATAATATCATATGATAATTAGTGCTAGTTTTATTACTACTTTCACGATTATAATTATTACTACTATTTTGTTAATATTTATTGGGGTTGAATATCAATTGGGACATCGTCCTGTTTTCTTCTCCAGTTGCCGATACTATTCTGTACGTGTAACATATTTCAATAAAGATAAAGACAATAAAGACAAGCTATCAATGACATCATGCATGTTGTCCTAGCATGCAGACTGCATTTCTTTGGTGGGCCTTAAAAGTTATCATCTTGGAAAACTCAGAGGGGAAAATAGAAATGAAGGGAAAACAAAACGGGTCACGAATGACATCGCTATTTGTGCCTTACATCACATGATTACCTTCTAAAGTTTGTGTCCAGATGTCAGAACAACCCTCTATCTCCATTGGCGAATCCCGTTTTTTTCTTTGCTCTGAGTATTTCCAGCGAACATTAAAAACAAGATTTATTAACAGGATTGAAGTACTTAAATGATGAGTAATGTGTTTTAATTTAAGAAACTGGTTCGATTAATACCCTGTCTAAACTTAAGATCAGTTACAGAAAGTGACCCTTATAGCTCAAGAAAGACTTAGTCTCGTAAAGAAATTTGTTCGTTTTGTCATGAGCTTGGGACAAAAAAATTTATTCTCCTATGAAGAATCAAAGTTTAGTCCAGCTTCAAGTTGGCAAATCCAAAGTGGCAAATTAAGAATGCTTCCAACATTTCTGGTCCCAGCGGTACGCAGAACGCTTTTCATATGTAAACCAAGTACACGGTCTACTTCACTATCAAGTTTCCATAAATTCAGTGGTAGAGCATCAGACTGAGAAAATCTGGAGTGTTGGAACTGTGGGATGAATGGGGCAGAGATTCCAAACGTGAATTTAGCCCCTCGCTCTCAAGAAAAATTATGTGGTAGGCAAATTAAACAAATGCTAATTGTTTACGCAGCATTTTTAAAGATCATGCTGTTTAAATTCAAGTTCTCTTTTTGTCTTGCTTGTGATTCCAATGTCCCTTTTATTCTTGTCAAGGTTTTCATTTTGATTGGCACATTTGAAACTGAAACAAGTAAGATCTTGATTTGGAGATCTTGATTGTAAGGCTACACTAGCCATTTCCTGCACCATTTGAGAAAGTAGTCATAACAACAATGAGGGACAAAGGCTTTGAGTGAGAGAAAGAGTAAATGCCAGCTGGAATGATCATCTATCAATTCATAGAAGTTTTGAATCTGATTGGCTAAAAGAGTAACGATATGAGATTTCCAGACCAAATTGCAAAGGAAAATTCAGTTCCCAAATAACTCCTAACTATGATCAAGATTGTTCATGACCTTATAACTCAGTTTGTTAACTGCCAGTTTCATGACACTTTGAGTGATTCTTTTTAAGAGTTTAGCTGACATTCTTAGGAAAGGAGAAATCCATCAAATATAGCAATATTGGCAACACTGCATCAAAAAAATTAAACCCTAACCACTTTTACTTTATGAGGCATTCCCCCCTCAATCATAATTCCACAATATCATAAGGTATTAATGTATTAATTTCATGCTTGCACATGAAAAGAACTGTAATTTTATTATATCACTCAGCAACAGAACATTCTGTGTATCAAAACTCTCCACCAAAGGTATCACTGATGAGAGCCTGAATGAATCAGGTCATTGCTTTGCATAGTGTAGCACAAATTCCCACAGATCCCTCTCCAAAATGGCCATCAATCAGAAAAGTATTCCATGAAAAATGTTGCATTTTATTGATGAAAAACATTTCCTTGCAAATTGAGATTTTGTCAATAGATATTGTTCATTTGGATGGTGTAAATTTCCTTATTTTACTCACATATAAGTTACCTGCCATTCTGTAGATGGATCTATTCACAATAAAAGTCACACACTAAAACCTGGTTCATGCTATACCTTTCTTTATCATAAAACACAACATCTCAATAACACTTCCCTGGACTAACTCCTAGGCCTTTGAGAGACACTCGCACAAAAATCTACTAGGAATTATAGATACTTTTCCACTAAAAATAAAGAAACAAAAATAGTTTAAATATCAAAGAGCACCAAAGTTTCATTGATAATCTGGTGTAAAGTAATAACTGAGAGCCATATTCTTTTCCTCCACTGAGTAGATGGTCCTTACCTATTATTTCACAATAATTTAATGTCCCCTGACCAATCAAAATTAACTTATTTTAAGTTGTTGCAACTCGGTTACACATCACATCTGAAACCCTTCATGATTACATATATCATGCCTAATAACTACAATGTATTCTGTGCAATTGACACAGAAGCGAATTATTAAAAGCTAAAAAAACTTGGTATTATTATTGTATTAATATTTACACCATGTTTTAAAAAGAAATTAAATATTGATACACCAAACTCCCTGAAAAAATACTTTAAGAAACAATTGACTTTGTTTAGCTTGAAGGAATGACTTCAACACTGTGGTGCTTTTGTGGCCCACCTTCCAGCCTACAAGTAAAGAATAATTGATATTTATATTAACCCTTTACACCCCAACATCAGTATTCATATTCTCCACACCATTCATTAGACACTTCCTATGAAACTCATAAGGAAAATTTGTTAAAAAAATCAAGTTCTTTTATACTTGGCTGCCATTTTCTTTATTTTCATGATTTTAAGTTTGATTCAGTGGTAATTCTGTGAGGAGAAATTAGATGCTAGTCAGCCTCAGGGAAGTAACAAAGGCAGCAGACCTCTTTCATTTCCAACTACCACAACTGGTTCTACAAGACCTTTGACTCCCTTGTATTAGTAGATACACCAATATCCTTCACATAAAGTTAAAAATAATTGCCACCTCTCTAGTGAGCTCAGTAACTACCCTGCACAAGTTTGATGGACAATTTTTGTGTTCTGTTCATGTAGGAAGTTTCAGCTTCGTATCTGTAGCTGAAGTGTTATTGGTATAAAAATAAAGTCCTATCCAAGTTACCAAAAACAAAACCTGAGATCTCCATAGCAAGGCTAAGTCCCTCTACTCAATTGAACACCTCAGATCAGTACAGCAAGATCTAAGATACTAAGGTAGTTAAGTTTGTAGAGCTGATGGGAAGAAGCCATGTGATAAACAAGCTTTACCTATATTTGGTAAATCTTCCAAGCTGAACAAGCTGACAGACTTCATTTGAAAAGTGGCAAGCAAACAAGAGCATATTCCGTGGTTGAACCTTCCATGCAAACCTCATAAATAACATGGAGTAAATGCAGAGTGCTAGGAGAAACATAACAACCAATTATTAACCCTTGTTTCAACTACCAAAAAGTTATATAGTCATACACTCCGTGGCTGGCATCTTTCAATGTAACAACTTAACAGCAAGGCACAGGGAACACAAACTAAGGAAATGCTCCATACCCTTTGTTTGTTTCCTCTCAGCCTCATGAGATACCAAGAACAATTTTCAATAATTCAAAAGAAGCAGATCAAAGAGTTGCAAGTTTTGTTAAATTATGTTATGCCAGTAATCAACACTGATTATCTCCAAGTTGACTTTTTCTCTAAGCACAATTTACTGTAAAAGGTGATAACTTTTCCATGGATTTTTTTTTTCATCACAATTTACTGTAAAAGGTGATAACTTTTCCATGGATTTTTCAACAAGATCTTAAGTCATAGAAAAGTTTTTTTAGAAGAAACAGTTGCCATACTCTGTAGTGTAAGCTTTACAAACAGGAAACCAAACTAGAATGTATCCAACCCTTTCACTCTATGATCTCATTAGTAGTTCTCCTTACCATCTGTCATACAATTCTTTTCATGTAAGTTCTGAGAATTTGGTATCAGATCAGCTAATAATCCCCTAATTGATATTTTTCTTTATTCTCATGACTTGTCAGCTTGATATTGTATTGATATTGTTGGGAGAAATTATTTCTCGATCACAATTAAGCACTGCCAGAAACCAGTACAACATCAACAAAATCTGCCATACCTGTTGTCATTTTTCCACTTATATATTCTGGGTCTCTCTTCATGTCAGACATGGCAGCCAAAGGCAGACCCCAGTTGGCAACTAAAATAAAATCAATACATACATTTTTATATCAAGAACAATTTTCTTAAAATGCCATCAAGATACTTCTATAAACATCTCTTTAAAGTTGGATATTGACTAAGCTCAAGTTTCCTACATTATCTTGTTAAAGGATGCTTTATCAACTGCAGATCTCAACAATGTGCAAGACACTAGTCACATATTAACTCTGTATATGGCCTGTCTCTGTGAATCAGTTGGTTGAAGATTCAATAACCACAGAAGCCAAGCTCTCCAAACCTCATTCATTGACTTTTCACTTTGTTGCAAAAAACTGCTGCAGAGAGATACTTATTCAAACTGACTGATAGGGTGGACTTCTGCTACAACATTTGAGACTGAAATTAGTCCACAAGAACCAATAGAAGTATTGGTGGTTGAGAGATCAGAGTGTCTTCAAAGAGGTGGTAGTCATGTTGGTTAAACACCTAGTTCATTGTTTAAATGATGTTGTCATCCATTTAGTTCATCCTTTTTTCTCCAATTGCAATTCATACTTAATTGACAGTTTTCTCCTACACACATTTGATAAAAAAATATTGCCTTTCCCTGTACTTCACAGGATGATAGAAGGCTGTACAGGCCTTGATAAAATGTTTTCCTTTTCATTACAGGTCCAAAATTAAGTTCCCCTCGTGTAAATGAAGCCAGAAAAACAGCCAAGTTAATGGTGTTCGGTAGGTTGACCAAATATCTAGATAAGTTGACGACAAGGTTAACCACAGATGTTAGTGAGTTAACAAAAGGCAATTTGATGTTTTGAGCTGAGAGCCACCAGAAGGATATATTTCCGTAAAACCCCATACTATTCAAAAGCACGGCCCTCATCCCAAATGCAACCTATTGTTTTTGCCATCGTTTTCTTTATCTAAGAATTGTATGCATAATGAAGTAAGGGGCTGTGCGGAAATCTCGCCGAGGCTGCAACATGCACAGGCCAAGATCAGTCGAAATCGAATGGTTTGCAGGTGGAGTTCGTATTTCGTGGAACCAATTGCAGAGAAGAGCTATTTTTACTCACTTGAAATACGATTCTCACTACGATTTTAATTACAATCCAGACATTATTTACATTTGTGCGATTCATCCGGGAACATACGCAGCCGGCAAAAACAGTTATTTTCTCCGCCTCCGCCTCTAAGCTGATGCGTTGTAAATAAATAAATCAAGCAGTGATGTAATTGATGTATACACCCGAGGACTGGATGAAATGAAAAAACAAATGTCGTATAGTTTGATCCATCAAAAAAGCCGGCTTTCGTTTGCATGCTCAAACAAGAGAAACGACCTTTGAGAGAGGGGCCGAACATTCGATTCCACGAGCCTAATCAAAAAGTAACACTCGTGGCAAATTAGACAAATAAGTTTAACTTCCATGATGTAAAACAATCAACACTCACCTGGTCCCCAGAAATGCTGTAACATATGCATGAAAACAAACAGATAAGATCAAATTTAATTGCGAAGCCACTTCAACCGGAAGGTCAAAATTTCGTACAATATAAACGTCTGAAACAAGGTGGAACTTACCGTGCTGAAAAAGAACGAAAACATTAATTTAGTACGACAAAGAAAACGTGATGAAAACTTAGAGACTGGGTAATCTTACCTGAGTAAATAATCCCTAAATTCTTTACTTTTAAGATGGTCGAGTCCCTTCCTAAACAATCTGGCAGCCATTTTCAACGTGATACGAGCGTGAACAACTTAGTAAGCGATTGTTCTAAACAGCCAATGCTCCGATTTCTGGCTCACACGGTCACTGCGCAAAAAGCCAGCGGTTGAGAAACAATGACAATCTGGTCGTGTAACGCTCCATGTGGATGTACCCATCGGGGACGTCGTTTGGTCTGCTATGTTGATATACTCTTGCTAGGTGACCCAAGAGTTATTGTGTGCAACATCTCCTCGTATTTTCCTTGCCATGTCAACTCACAATTCCGTTGCTTCTCCTAATCGCCGACGAGATAGCCAGCAGAGTTGGACTGGCTCGGAAATTTTCCAATCTCAATCACCGAACGATGTCGTCGTCCAAAACAACTCACAGGCGAAACTGAGCGGGAAAGCGTGGGGAAGAATCAAAAAGTTTCTTCTTTGCAAAACTGACTTTCCGTCGAGTATCTACTACATCGTAGGAAATGAATTCTGCGAGAGGTTTTCTTACTATGGAATGAAAGCTATCCTAATCCTGTACCTTACAAGGGTTCTTATGCTTGGGGATGATACTGCGACTGCGGTCTTTCATAGTTTCTCTATGTTATGTTACTTTACCCCTCTATTTGGGGCAATGTTAGCCGATGGTTGGCTTGGAAAATACCGGTGAGAATAAGAGAACTTTACCACTCAAAAATTTTTCTCAGTAATACCATCACTGTAGTTTCCTTGGAGCAAAAGAGAGTTAAATTCATGTTTTGCATAATAAACTTTCAAAAATTTATCAACCCTCTTCCACACTCCATCTAGCCACACCCCCATTACCCCCTCAAGAAAAAACTGGATGAATGATTTTCTTTTTTGAGTAAGTTTAATTCATGTTGTGGTAGAAGTAGACTGGGCATGGTTTGCAAAATTAAAATGGTTTTTTTGTCAAAATTAACAACTTCTTTAGCATACATGTTTTGTTTCCCTAGTGGAGGTCTCAAAGGAATTCCACCCTTTTGACTTCTTTCAAGGCTCTAAACTGTGACTGCTCAATGAAGTTAACAAATTGACAGTGGCTTAGGATGGTCTGTACCTACTCTTATCAACAACAATATTTGTCATCAAAGTGGTCAAATTTTGACCACTATGATGACCAATATCTTTGCTGATAAGAGTAGTTTTTTACCACAATACCAATGTCAAATAACTCATTCTTTCACTGCACTACCACTGTGTGCTCTTATTGGCAAATCTGCCAATCAGATTGCCACTTAACTGCCAATTGTGGTAAAATATGCAAAGTAGATAATTTGTTCACAAATTTACTGCACAATCATAGAATCAAAAATTTAACATCAGACAATCAGAGGATTCTCACAAGTAGTGAAACTTACTGGTAATATCTAGTTTGGTTCAAAATATGCTCAATATTAACTCCAACTCAATATTGTAAATGATATTTTTTAGAGCTATTTACCCTGTACACCTCAGCATCAGTATGTATATTCTCTAAACAATTCTCTATTCATTTCCTAACATACTGACAAGGAGAATTTAGGTAACATTAGAAGAGCCTTTTTAGTCGATGAGCATTTTCCTTATTCTTTTAACCTTAAGATTTGATTCAGGGGTGATACTGTAAGGAGAAGTTAGATGCTAGTCACCCTTAGGGTCTAAAGGTTACAAGCCACATATTTTATGCCTCTATTGATATAGAAGAATGAGTTACTAAGTTACCAAAAACACTGTTTGTCTGGCATGACATAATCATCATGAAGATGTATATTCAAGCTGTTCATTACCCAATTTCAAAGTTTATTGTCTTCCACTCATTTCTTGAATCTTCATTTTCCACAGAACAATTTTGTATGTCTCTGTTATCTACTGCATTGGGAACCTGATTGTGTCAATGACATCTCTTCCTCCCCTTGGTGCTGGTGAGATTCCTGGTCCTATGATTGGTTTGTTCCTCATTGCTCTGGGTACAGGAGGTATCAAGCCATGTGTGTCAGCATTTGGTGGAGATCAGTTCACATCTGATCAGTCAAAACTACTTCAAAGTTTTTTCTCTGTGTTTTATTTTGCGATTAATGCTGGAAGCTTGTTGTCTATGCTAATTACACCTGTACTGAGAGGTATGTACACCAGTGTTGGTTACATATTGTACAATGAAAATTTGAACATACCTAAACATAACTCTTGCCCCAGAATGCTCACAGACTTCATTATGACCTGTGTGTATCTCAATAAAAAAATGGCTGACTGGAAGTTATTGGAAAATATAATTGGTGATTGATTGACTGCTCTCATTAGGGCTGAATTTCTATTTTGGCTTAAAGTTTTTAAATTGCCTCAAGATACAAAAATAAAGAAAAAAGCAAAGTTTTGCGTATGATTTGAAGACAAATTCAATCCCTTGCCTCTTTTTACCCTTTAATTAGCAATGCCCCTTGTGCATCTGGTCCTTTGAGGGAGAATACAGAAAGCCATCTTGTTTTTTTGTGTGTATCACTAAATGGTCTTTATATTAACAGGAGATGTAAAGTGCTATGGTGATGACTGTTATCCTCTGGCCTTCGGTGTTCCTGCAGCCTTGATGTTAATGGCTATAACATTATTTTGGTTTGGCCGAAATAAGTACAAGAGGGTTCCACAAACTGATAACATTTTGTTGCGGGTGACAAAGGCTGTCAGCTATGCACTCAAGAAAAAAATAACCTCAAAGGTATCATACACTTGTCTGAATATGTCCACCATGGCACAGCATTGACCTTTTGTGAAACATGACCAAAAAAAGATACTTACTCTATTTCCTGGAATAAGTGCCTCTGTGCCTATTCAAAATTTGGGCCAAAGAGAGGGGCACTAGTTGGAAGGAGGGCACTTATTAAGAAACTGTCAACCTGTACTAATTCAGCTGTAGGTGAAATTTAAAAAGTTATGGATAAAGTGGAGATATAAACAGGTTTAATTTGTACCCTTACTATTCGAGAAAGAGAGGAAGTAGACTTGGGACACTTATTCTAGGGGGGCACTTGTTTGATAAATTGCCCAAGGGGTGGGTGCTTATCAGGGGGAGGCTCTTATTTGACCATGGGCGTTTATTTAAAGGAGGTGCTTGTTTGACAATATGGCCATAGGGGTGGCTCATACTTGGGGGATGTGCATGGGTGCTTATTCTTAGAAATAGTGTATTTCATTAATTCTGTAAAACAAGCCCTGGTCTTTCCTAATCTACCCAGAATAGTAACATTCCTCTGAAGCCACCAACATTCAACATTTCACTGTTTCGTTATTTTGGCATACACTCATCTCTCAAACAAAGTCACTCTTATTAATGCATAATGTTCTGCCTGTGGTGCATTACATATCTTCCTCATTGTTATTCCAGATATTTTATGTTCTTTTTTCATGATTTTCTCCTCAAGGGAGAGAGAAAAGCTCACTGGATGGACTGGGCCAGTGATAGATACGATGCTCAGTTAATAGAAGACATCAAAGCTCTGTTCAAAGTGTTGTTCATGTTTCTTCCACTGCCTGTTTTCTGGACATTGTTTGATCAACAGGGCTCACGGTGGGTTTTGCAGGCTGGGCAAATGGATGGTGATGCTGGTAAGTGGGTAGTGTCTTAAACAATTAACAAGACAGAAGGTAAATAATGTGATGTATGGTGGTGTTGGAAGGACAGTAGATACAGTTTTTGCTTATGCAGGTGTAAAACAGAACTGTCAGTAAAAGCTGAAAGCTTACCAAAACCATGTCATTGTACCAAAAGTGCAGATGGAAATGTACAATTATTGAAATGCCATCAAAGAAATTTTTTACAGCAACCTTTTCCAGTTTTTAGTGGAGTTGAATGCATTATTTATCAGTAGCAGGTTTAGATGAGTAAGAAAAAAAAAATTTTTAAATTTGTTTGAAGGTTTGATGGAACTTTGTGGAACACCTCAGACATTTCAACTGAATAGTTCTCAGTATTGCATGTAATCTGATCAAACAACATGACCTCTATTATTTCCTCACTACCTACTAATCTGTTTAATAACCATCTACTTCTGATGTTATTTACAGCCTTTTAAAAGTGCCTCAGGACTTTTGTCTAAGATCATAGGTGCCTGGAAAGCTTAGCCCATTTCCACCACGAACAATGATTTACAACAAAATTTGTTTGATTGTTTTTCTTTCTAGGTTGTGATACTTAAACCTGATAATTTTTCAATGATAATTTATCAATTAGTAGTAAAGACCATAACGATTTTGATCTTGAAACAGGTTTCTTGGGAACCATGAAACCAGACCAGATGCAAGCATTCAATCCTCTTTTCATCATTATCCTTATTCCACTGTTTGAGACTGTGATATACCCATTACTACGGAGGCCAAAACCACTCAAGCGAATGTGCGCAGGAATGTTTCTAGCTACAGTGGCATTTATTTTTGCTGGATTTCTCCAGATGAAGATACAGGTAATAGTGATATTGTAATTTTTACACTTATAATGGTATACAATTGTTGTCATGCACACTCAGAATTGAATTGTCAATAAATATTCAGTGGTTCATTTTACATTTTTGCAGAGTGAAGAAGTCATCAAGAATGCACCCTCGGAGGGACAGGCAAATTTACAAGTTATTAACTCATTGGACTGCCCAGCGTCACTGTCCATCGGCAACAAGAATATCACAGTGACACCTTATGGACACTCCAGTGAGTTGAACTTGCCAGTAACTAAGAATGTGTCGACCAGGATTCAAACATCTTCAAAATGTTACAATATGTCAAGAACAGTTGAAGATAGCCTTAGTCTGGAAGATAAGGAGTGGTATAACCTGATAATCAGTGAATACAAAAATCAACTTCGTACACATCTGGTCAAACAAAACGTTTCATCTCCTCCTCCGGGGAAAGCCAAGTTGTGCACAGTTCTTTTGCCATCATTAGCAGACAGCGAAATGTTTGATATATTTCTGGACGAGACTAAGATTCAAGAAAAGGTGGATGCTTGGGGAGCAACAAATTGTGTTGTAAAAACGTCAGATCAATATAAGCTAACTGTAAAAGGAGAGAAAACAAAGACAACGTATGTGTCTAGTAAAATATCTCTTAAGAACGGTGGCATTTACACCGCCGTAATAGAGCCGAACAAACCAGGGAAAGGAGGTAATGTCACCTTGTACAAGGATCTGGAGGCAAGAAATGTCTCAATGTTGTATCAGATCCCACAGTACTTTGTGATCACGAGTGGAGAGATAATGTTCTCTATAACAGGTGAGTCTTGGCATCATTTGAACTCAGAGAGGTTATTGAATATATCACACACTTTCTCTCTCTCTCATCTCCCGTGGAACACAAGACACCATCAATCTCTCTCCATTTAGGGGGTCAGTTTCTAAAGAAATTGTGGTGCTGCGTCGGTGTTTTAGTATTACCAACTGAGTTGATAACGTAAATTGGCCACCGTAAAGAGTTACAAAGCATTCCATTCGTTCTGACGAAGGGCTAACGCTCGAAACGTCAGCTTTGTAACTCTTTACGATGGCCAATTTACGGTACCAACTCAAGTGATAATACTAAATCACTCTCTCCATTTAGCCCTGTTTTGCGCAGCGTGTTATGCCCCACGCATTGTTATTTTTACCTCACCGAGATCAGCCCGAACAGCTCGATGGTTTTTGGCCAACCACGTTCACCTTTACCAGGTTGTGTCCTGTGCAGGGTTATCTAAGGGATACGAATTTCTTACAATTTCATCACATTCTCCTGTGAAAATGAGATAAGAACAGACAATCATGAAAGGTCAAAACCTTCTTTCTCGTCAGACAATTTTTGTTAAGAATCACTGTTTGGTTTCTTTTACAGGTTTAGAGTTTGCGTATTCCCAGGCTCCTGCTTCTATGAAGTCATGTCTTCAGGCCGCTTGGCTAATGACAGTAGCATTTGGTAATTTGATTGTTGTCATTGAAGCAGAATCTCGTCTCATTACAAACCAGACAACCGAATTTTTCTTTTTCGCCGGCATGCTGTTTGCGGTGATGGTAGGGTTTGCAGTAATGGCTAAATTTTACCGATATGTTGAATCTCCAAGTGGGGACCCTGTGGCCGTGCCTGTGGACAGCATTGATGATAAAACTGGTATCGTAGATTTGGACGAATTATCACGGATTTAGGACTTTTAAAATGGTGTATTTACCTGTTTTGTAGATAGCTATAGAATAAAACATAAAGTGGAATAGAATTGCCTTTTTCGAAGGTTAAGAACTGGCTTAATCTGAGAGTTTCACCAAGCTAACGCAATATGCAATGCAACACAACGGAAAGTGTTGCGCGGCGTTACGACGTAACGCAGTGTAACGCATCACAGTATAACGCAACAGGAAATGTTACCCGCGTAAGACATCTTATTGTTATATATTCACACGTACTCTTGTAAAATATCGGTTTGGTGTCTAACACTCACCTTGTGTATTTGTTGTTTTACACGGTCATTCATTTGCTTGGCAGATGACGTTTTAATCAAATTTTGACTTCTGAATTATTTCCCTTTCCGACAGAAGTCAGGGTTAGGCAAGCTATTAAGTGGCTGCTGGCCATTTTGTCTATTTGAGACCGTGCCCTACAGTCAGAAATATTCACCGAATTCCCACAGAAAACCTCATGCAAACCTAATGAGTGTTTGATGTTTGTTTAGAAATGCCAAGAAATTCCAAACATTTTGACGGTTTTTATTTAACGAATTTTCTGAGCTTCTGCATGCCATGAAATTGTTAGGTCAGAAATATTATGTGAGTCTCGAAAGTCTAGCGATTTTACGGTATTACAAGCTCGGAAAATTCGTCGTTCGAAAAAAGAAGCAAGTTTTGCAATCGCTTGACATTTCTAAACAAACATCTGATAATCTTGAAAAGCTTGAAAGAACCTCGCAGGGAAAATTATATGGAAATTTCTGACTGCCGGGCATCTAGTCCATTTAAGACCGTGCCTGGCTGCCGGGCACTTAGACACAGTCTTAAAAAATACAGTGAGATTAAAGAATGTTATATTTTTTCATAAATTGTAAATGCTAGTTATTCGATATGCTCTGTAGAAGAAGAGAAGTATTATGTTGTTATACATTTTGTACAGAAGTTAACTTAAAAGTCATCGAACTTTTTTTATGCAACTGTAGATAGTAGTGGCATGAATCACCCCATCTATCAGGCAAAAAAATTAGTTATGTTAGCTTTCATTTAACTTCTCAGTTGAGAATTTTCCGATTTAGCGGTGAAAAATTTCTCCGAGTCAAAAAATCAATTTTTTGGAAATTTGAACAAACGCCTAATGTTCTCTGGTTCTGCTCATGGCAACGAAAGAAACAGTAGCAACAAACATTGTAGTTAGGAATATCGTAAATTCCTTATTATGAAAACTCGGAAGGTTCCTTCTGATCTCGGACTCTGATGTCTGATCAGACGGAACCTTTTGATATAGATCAGAAACGCCTTGGTCAGACTTCAGGGTCCAAAAACCGCATTTTTAGGCGCAGTAACTTCTAATGTCTAGAAAAAAAAACTTTGAACACTAGCTTTGAAGTTTTTGGGAACTAATTGAAATTTCTTCTAAAGCTTGAGGGGAAAACACCCAAAGGATTTAATGAACAGTTGTTTGTTGAGAAACGAGCTGAAACTCTTCCGCTTTATGACAGAACGTCATTGGATTGAATGAGTATTTTAAATAGTTTCCAAACCAGTGAAAAGAAGCATATCTCAAAGTGAACCGAGCTAGCCAATCAGCGCGCGAAAATTAGTGGCACGTCCATGGGAACTGGAAATAGTTGTAACCAGTCTTTGACCGTTTTTATCAAATATGGCGGACGCTTTGGGGGATGAATGGTGGTTGAGTGAAAAAGACGTCGAGGATACAGGTAAATTCCCTGCTTTGTGAATTTTCTTCCTTTTTTGAGAAAATAATGATTATTAATTATCTTTACTTGAATTTTACCATAAGAGATTGAAACAGAACGGAAAAATAAGCGGCGAAAAGGTGAAGATGTCGAAGGTCATTTGGAGAACAACAGCAGTAAACAAGTGAGTAAAGAGTTTGCCAAACTGTCTTTGTAGCCTTGTATTTGGTTATTTCTTTAGTCTTTGTAGTCATCCTCTGCTTAAAATAAGGCGCATGATCGAATTACCGGATGGGACGCGTCTCCAGAAAGTTATTTTGTCTATCTTGCCCACCAACCGGCAGAGAATAGGTCTCGTTGATAATTTTTGTTGTACGCTGTGTATCTTTCACTGAAATCCTGTGTTATTTCTTGTAGATAAAGCTCAGTGATGATGGTCCAAATGAATCAAAAGCAAAGAAAAGGAGGAAAAAGTCTAAGGTATTACTTCTTTGTAACTGAAAGATACTGCTGTAACTAGCCAGGATCTCCTCTGTTAGTATCTTCTTGGAATTATGATTGAGACAGGTTGAAATAGGTGTGCCATAATTGGAGTGACACTTATTCGTGTGTCTTCTTCCAGTTGTAGATTAACCTTGCCCCCTTTTTTTTAATGGTTGATTTAATTAGCTTTTAGTGGTGTATTCACAAAACTTGTGATTACATTTGACAACCCTTACAGCTAGATATAATCATGAATGCCCTTTGCAAATCTGGAAGGCTATATACTGAGGAAGTACTAATATATTTGTTTGGAGAATTTCCATGCTATTGTCATCAAAAATTTTAATGATTGTAATATGTGAATGCTGTAACATTTTACAGATTGAAAGTATATCAACAAAACTTCATGGCTCAGAAGCACCCAATGTATTGTGGTCAACTTTCTGTGACAGTACTGCAGGATCACTGACAACATTAGAACTTGAAGATGTGAGCATTGATGGTAAGAAGAGATTATTTACAGCACCAAGGAAGACAAGATGTAGCTTTAAAGCTTGTGCTTTTTGTTGACCAAATTGCATGATGATTTTGCATCCTATTAAGCATCAGTCTAAACAGCTTGAAGCCAAAAATTGACTTTCTTTTTCATACCTACCCCCCTTCCCTCACTCAAAGCTCACCCATTTAAAGAAATGAGATATCCAATGAAGATCTCTACTGACCCCTTTTTTTCTGTGCACTTAAACACAAGTAGTTAAGAGTCTGTTGAGAATCACTGTCCATGTCATTTGAAGGGTAGATTAACCAGAAATTATGATAAAGAAAGTTTTTAAAGTTATTTTTAAGTTATTTTTTTCTGTAAACAGTGTGAAATAATAAAACTTGGAAACTTGGAAACCTTGGAAACTTAGCCAAAAATATTGAACAGTAATAGCTATACTCTTTGTGAGAGACATAGCTGCCTTTTGTGGTGAATTCTTTTGTAATTGGACATCAAGATCCAGATTAACACCTTGGCAAGCATCTTTGTTATGTGTTATTTGCAAAGAAAGTTAATTTTCACTCTGCTTGTCTCCAACCAGGAGTATAAGAATTTCTGATCATGGTCTGTTAGTTCTCTGACTCCCAGTTGACGGGCACAGGGGAACTGTTCACGAAATTTGACAGAACTTGAGAAGGGTAACCTGGTATAGACTAATAATGTCCCATCCAATAGAAGTAGCAAATGTTTCTAGTTGCTTTACAATGTGCAAACCTGAGTTGGTCAAACTATGCAAGTTATTTTTGGATGCAGGCTTGCCTAAGCACATTCCTGGAAGGGCCAAGAGCTTGTAGCCTTAATTCTAAATGAGACAGTGAGTTTGGAATTTCTGAAGTTTAAAGTCTCTCAGCTTTGTTTATTGCTGTGGTATGCAATAATTTGTATGGTAAATTTAATACAGAAGATTTTGGAAGTAGTTGTTTTCAATTTTTATATTTTTAGATTCCTGTTGTTTGGTGGACGATTCTATTCACAGCGGATCTCTAAATGAACTCCTTTCTTACCTGAATAATGGTGGGTGTCACAACCATTTATGCTATGCCTGTAGAGTGTACAGCTCTATTGAACTGCACACATGTGATAACCCAACACATTTTGATAACAAAGAACACTTTGTGGGACATAATCAGTTACCTGACTTGAACAGGCAATTTCTGAGCCTGAGAACACTCAGTTTGAAATGAGGCTACAATGTAGGTGCAAACCTTTCTTGAAAGGATTGGTTTTCTCCCCATGAAAATTACAAACATTACCATAATGTCAAGAGAACAGAGGGGAGAATATGAACTCTAATGTTTGGGTGTAAAGGGTTAAGTGTTAAAATGGGAGGAAAATTACCACAAAAGATGATGTTTATGGCCCAGTGTATTAAGAAAAAAAATCCACATGCTCCAACTCAAGTTGAAGGTGTGACCTTTCAGTTAGTTCTTCGAATCCATCACTGATTGTCTTTCATCTGATTGCATCTGTTGCAGTTGTTCCTCAGTGGACAAGAGATGTGGATAAACTAAACAATAAAGGTGATCATGGCTCTCCCTTGCTCCTGTTTGTTTCATCAGCAGCTACAAGAGTTGTGGAACTTAACAGGTTAGTAAGGCATTTATGATGTATCCTAAACTGATTACAGTTTAAGCGGAAGGCAAGTCCTGTAAATAATGTGCAAGGAACAACAATGGGGTAAACGGAAAAGATGGGTTGGGGGCAGTAGGTTATAATCCAAGGGGTAATTGAAAAGATGGGATGGGTCATTAGACCATTATCCCAGGGATAAGGGGAATGAGAGGTCTAGAGATCTCAAGAGATTAATCTACTTGGTGAATTACCTGAAGACATGAAATTCCTCTTACTCTCTACAGGGCAGCGACAGAATTCAAAGGAAAATGCAAAACGGTTAAATTATTCGCCAAGCACATGAAGGTAGAAGAGTTTACATGTTTAAGGCAAGCTCTGTGGGTTTCTAGGTTGAGAAATTAAATTATTTGGGCTATGAAGCCGTTTCGACGATAAGAAATGAGTTTGGGAAAATATTTTTGGGATAGGTATCCGCTTTTCCAACGCTTTTTAAAAGAACCATCGCGCAATTTGACATCGTGGTGGTGTGACCGTTTGACGCCCATCTCCTTTAGTTCGCGCTCAGTGAACCAGGAAAAATGTCATATTTCCTGAAAACCAGGCGATAAAATCGCCTTTTTTGTCCTTGAAACTGTTATGGCGCGCGTGACGTGTGTGAATTTTACCGCTTTCAGATCTTCATCGCTCATTCCAGGTGGAATTTATTTCTGCAGGTTTCAGAACAGGAGCGGTTTCTAGAGTCCCAGGTGGTTCATTTCGGTATTGGAACACCAAGTCGAATTTTAAAGCTAATACAGAATGGTGAGCGGGCTCTGTTTGTAATCAGTCGACTCCAAATTGCCTCTTTGCATGCTTTTAGCCATGACGCTCGATTGCTGAGCAAGCCTCGGAGTAGCCCCTCGATATTAGTGCTTCGGCACGACCACGGCACAAGCGTTTCTTCGTTTCGTTGGGAAAGTACGAGGCCTTGAGCTACACGAACCCCGGAAAACCTATCCCTGCATGACTTGTCTCAAATCTCCCCGCGGGCGGAGAAACGCGCGTCCTGCAGCGCTAATAATAAGAGCCTACTGGGCAGCTATTGCTAAGCAAGAGTGCTGATTCGTCTCAGTAACTGAACATGCTTAGAGTAGTTTTACCTCAGCCCAGTTTTGCATCTCTCTCAACAAGAGCCCTTTAGCTCATTATGAGGTAACGACCCACGAGAATCTGGGGGGTACTGGTTCGTACCCCTTCGAAACCTAAATTGTTTTCAGACTTCCTTTTCTGTAATTTCTTCCATTGCAGTTCACTTGCGAGGATCATTTTGTTGATTAAAGATTCTTTTTTCACACTTTCAGATTCATTAAAAACTAAAAGATTGAAGTATGTAATTCTTGACTGGACATGGAGAGATCAAAAGCTGCGGAGAATGATAGATATACCAGAAGTACGTAGTTAATCATGTCCGTGGTAATAAACCTCTGTTTACAAAGCCAGACAGACTGAAAGGGTTCTTGTATAACAGATGTTTATTTAAGCAATAAACCGCACTTTTTATTGGTTTCCCTTTACAATACCTCAGTCGGGATTTTGGAAGAACACTATTGTACTGCTTGTTATATATTATTTCTAAACTGGGAGTACAAGAGAACTCTCCAGACCCTTCTTGTCCATGCGTTTCTCCTAAACTATGGGTTTGCTTTTGCCTGGGATTGGTAAACGCCAGTCTGTTGGTAAGACAAAGGCCCACAAACGGCCAGCTCCAAAAGGTCTGATTTTTTTATTACGTGTTACTTAAATAGGCATTAATTTATTAATCCCTGAAATAACATTACTATAAGCGACTAATCAGTGGCCTTTCTGATGTTCTCTTTCCTGATTTCATTTTTTAGGTGAGAGGAGAACTCATTTCGTTGTTGAAGGATTTTATTTTTCCTTTAGCAAAAGCTTCAAAGCTCAAGATTGGATTATTCTAATGCTGGAACATGCCCCTTTTTCCGGTGGTAAATGTACATAGCTAACTGGCACGGAATGCAGATCCGAATTCCTTTGATTACAGCGAACAAAGTTTATTAAAATCTGTATAGACTTTCCCATACGTTCTTCACACACAACTTTATCCATCACTCCCTTCTTATTCTTTTCAATTACGAAATGTCTTATTCTCCAAACCGAGTCAGTTTACAACACTCCTAAAACATTAGAACTCTCGTAAGATCATGTAAGGAAGGGTGTTTATTTAAGAATGGCCGTAATGTGACCCAAGCCTCTGTCTCTAAATCCTTCGCCTTCTGTTTAGACCCAAGTAAGGCCTGTCTCCCTTTGATGCGTTTCAACTTTTCCTGTTGTAGCTCTTTCGTTTTCTCAGATATTAAGTTCCTCAAGGATTCTTTTAGCGCACCCAACTGATATTCTGTGAGTTTTTCCAGTTCGTCGCTTGTGAATTTCGCTTCCGTTTCATGCTGGAACAAAGCCGCGAAGAGTTTGCGCAGAAAGGCAAACGGACTGATCGCGCTATTGGATTTTACTTTGAAACGCTTCAACTTCACGTCAATATTTCGTTCTGCTACTAAATACTCCCGAATCCTGGAGTAGAGAGTTTGCCTTTGCGTTTTCTTTAATATTTTTACGCAATTCCTGCATGTAGCACTTTGATTTCTTTGAGAGCGAATCTCTACGACGTAGCTTGTATCTGTAGGGTCTACAGGTTCACTTCCTGTTGTGCTGTTGTAAGCGACAGTTTGGTCCTTAACATCGTCACAAACGGAATCTGCCATGGTTTGCTTCTTTTCCCATCAACGAATAAGTTACTTTCTTAAACCAAAATGTGCGTCATAAGTGAACAAACACGTGAAGCGCGCGCGCTGAGGAAGCGAAAGCCGAGGGGACGCGCGTTTCTCCTCCGGCGGGAAGATTTGGGACACGTCGGGTAGAAGTTTACCGGGGCTCTAGCAGAGCTTGACCTTTCACAGCCATCTTGCCGGCTCCCGTCGATCAAGGCTTCTTATTTTCTCGCGGGCGGGAAAACGCTCGCGCCGAAGTGCTACTAACATGACCTGCTCGTAGGCTAACTGTGAATTCTTTCATTGAGGTCAGAATTTTAATAATCCTTTCTCCATTACAGCGCAGCCCGAGGGAAAATGGCAAGATCTGGCAATTTCGTGTCAATGAAACCATAATGACTTCTCTCACTTATGCTTGGTTTGGTAAGGCTCATGATGGAGTGAGGAAACTTTAAACGTGGATTATATCAAAACTTCATCAAATTGTAAAAGCTCGGCGAATCAAGGGAGGCCTCAGATTGTTTGATATCCATATTTGTCGGTAATTAGCACAAGTACGACAGCACGCTCTTTGAAAACCAGTCTCTTTAATTAAACAAAAGTTCGTTATAGGACGAAAAATATACAGTAAAAAAAATGTGTTGTCCGAGTTATTATACATCAAACCAGTAACACGGCAGAACAGATTTTTATCTGACTCTGTCCCACCTCCATAACGTTCCGTCATCACAAACAGATATTAGAATCCTGAAAAGAAGGAAATCAGAAGTAGATTCGATATGTAACAATTTCCAAAGTTAACGATATGTAAAGCTTAACTCTGTAGACATTTCAGTGCAGACTTACTTGCCGTCCTTACTAAATCCCGTCTGTCTGATGGCCGATACACACTTGTTGTGCCCAAGCGTTGTCGATCTAAGATAACAACATGCAGTTTATGCAAATAAGTCTACCCCTAGGATATTATTGAGAAAAGAAATAAGCGTATCTGAGAGGTTGAAGAAATGGTTAACCGAGATTTTATAAACTACATAGCAGTCATAATTTTGGCGGGCTAGCACCAAGTACTCTTGGTGAAAATAATAGTTGCCATCTTTGATTTTTACAGCAGCGGAAAACTCGGAAAGTCGATGAGCGGCGGTCAAAAGGAAGGAGGGGAGGGAGTGGGGCCTTTCCCTGCCCCCTCCCCCACCCTTCACTTCAACTCTAAATCAAACATGGCTGGTCGGATAAACGACCGCGATCTTCTAACGTTAACGCCCAAAAAAACCAGCAGAGCAGGTTAAGATTTGTATACTTTACTTGAAGTTAGTTTCACGAGATCACGTGGTTGCTTGTCATGCATGTATGTAAATTTCGTAGCAAAATTGCCTGGCTTTGCAATGGTCACGTGTCTTCTACATGGCCTTATTTTCAGTATTTGGCAACCACAATGAATGATAACTAACCACGATTATGACCTTCTCACCAATGTCTAAATATCTCTCCAACACAAATTTTAATACAAACCAAGGACACGAAATTAAAAAAATTATTTGAACTTGAATAGAAATGTATCGTAATAATTTGCATTACCTAGCTTTTGTTGGATCGTCAACGCCAATATCCCAAACGAATGTCTTCCCTGTTTGATTCCCAACAGCCATTAGCTGGAATGCAATAGAAATTGTAATAAAATATATGATGTGGTCAATTTTGCGCTCTCAGTAACAGTTGCAAAGCGTCTTAGCTGCAAAGAGTGTATTTCTTTTTTAAAGACTTAAAAGAAAGGAGTTAACCGCGTCTTAATACTTTAATACCTAACAGTACCCAGCCTCTAATTTCTCGGGACAGTATTACTTCTGAATCAACCATTAAGGTCGTAAGAATATTGGAAATGATCACCTATTGAAGAGGCTCTTGATTTTTCCACAAATTCTCCCTGTCAGTACCATAAGTATGTAAAGACCACAGCAGAGAGAATACGCATACTGATGTTGGAGTATAAAAGGCTACGACAAACGACTGTTTCCGTTTTTATTTCTTGGTCTCAGCCATTTAAAAGGCAAGCAACTAAAGAAAAAGTCCTCTTCACTTCATCTGCGTTTTCTTGGTTAACATACTGAATAGTGTTTTGACACATTTCCGAATTAGAAGTTGTTGGGTCCAAGAACCAATGGCGACTCTATGTGACTTAAAACGACTAATGTACCAGAGAAGGTAGGGCACTTTGTGAGAGACATGTCTTCTGCAAACAAACCTCACTGTTACTCTGGTCAGAGCTCAAATACCAAGCTCTCTCGATCCAGACTCCCATGTGCTCACCGTTGGGTTGATAACGTCAGTAAAAGATTCTGAAAATAAATGCTTACCCTTTGCTCGTAATCTAAAGAGAATCTCATGTACCAGATATCACACTGGGAAAACTCGAACCTGTACAAAAAAAAAAAAAAGAAAAAGATACTAACATTAAAGAATGCAAAAAGTCCCAGCATAAATGAACACTTGAGTACGGAAAAAAAGATTTTTCCTTATGGAAACAATCCGCATTTCCTCACCGGTGAAGTACTGTTACAACCCGATCAGAATTGAAAGGCTGCAAAAGAGAGAGGGTAAGGAATTAATTATCACTTTTGTAATTGTTTTGACTCGCTCATTATGGACGCAAACTTCACCAACAAGGATTAATGGGAGGTCCTTATAAAAATCAACTCACTTAATAAGTTGATGACCTAACCACTCTGGAGACCAAAAGGGAAAATGATAACTACGAGGTACATACCCTCTGTAATGAAATAAATACATTCTCTATTTCTTACCCCATTAAAAATGTCCTCAAATTGCTCTTGTGGTTTCCAGCATACAATGCAGTTTTCACATGACTGAAAACAAGATATTCATTGAGTTATTAACCGATGTATAGATTCATAAATGGGAAGGTTCAGTTGCGTTTAAAGAGGGTGAATTCAAAGATCCTCCAATCCTGAACACAACTGTTGTTACAACTGTAATGATTTTCAAACAAATCTACCCTTCCCAGGTCTCCCTCTTACCCGTATCAATTTTTTTGTTTTTTCTTCATCTACACTCAAAATCCAAAGGTAGAAAACCAGGTTTAGTTAAAGTCAGTTCATCTATATTTTATTATAAATATAATATCAAAGTAAGTTCTTGTGCCAGGTATCTGTGGAAATCACAGAGGAAAGCTTCAGAAAGGGGTACAATATTACGTGGTGTTAATGTGCTATTTATCAGGGGGTCAAATAAAGTGCCAGCCACACCCCGATTGCTCTCTTTGTGGACTTGATCAAAATTTCAGATAGATGCTTTTTCATAACAGAGCTTGACTATTCTACAGTGATAAAAGTAACTGACCTTAGACAAGATGAGGTCACCAAAGAAGCGAACACTGTCCACATAGTTTCTATGAATGTCGCGGGTGGTGAAGTCAGGGTAGTGGAGCTTGACAGTGTGAAAAGCTCTGCAATAAAAAGACAACAAATCACTTAGAAGTCACCACTAAAGAGTATGGGATTATTTTATCCATAACACGACCAGTGCTAGAAAAAAAGTTGTCATAAACATATGAACACAAAGACCAAACAAACAGGACAGGTGGAGAAGAAAAACACAGGCACGCAAGACAGCCTTTTGCTAAAGTAAAGCTGACTGGTTTTGGCCAATGCTCCTCTCTCCTGAGTGATGCTAAGGGGCCAACTGCTTAGCATTTAAAGACAAGAAACTGCATTTATTTTATACTTTAGTAAAATCCTGAAACTAATCAAATTAAAACCTAAAAATAGCACCACATAAAGGTTTGTGTGCTTGCCAACATATTATCAAATGGATGTGACTGCTATTACTGGATACAAGAGGAAAGTGGCACTGAGAAAGTAAAGTGTCTTCAAAAAGAACAAATCCCAATGATGAGGCCTAGGCTTGAATCCAGCTGCTTGAATACATGGCAAGGACATTAAGCATTAAGTTAACATAACATGTCTCTTTGTCAACCTCTGTTGTTTAACTTCCAACAGCTGTCACATAAATTATAACACAATAACATGTGTCACTATTGGATAGAGTCTGATAAACCCCTAAGTATCCTTCTTTGCAGCTGCTGTCTGGTTTGAGACCAAAATGTGGGTGGAGAGGAGAGTTATTTCACGACAGGTATTTCTTGAACCATGCATTTCAAAGACAGTAAATTCTGCCTGGGAAATACTCACTTCTCAGTTTTGCTTTGATCGTAAGAATGGGACTCTGCAATAGCCTAAGACAAGAAAGAGGAAAAAATGAGGAGAAAGCAATCAAATGTTAAAAGATAAATTGTAACTTAGATTAAACACACATTATAGCTCATCCAGCTTTTGGTATCATGTCTCCCTCAAAGATACCTTAACAATTATGACAAAACTCAGTGCTGACATTACAAACAATTACTGTATGTAGAACATTACACCGGGGCTTTTGATTGCATCCTGAGATAAATTTTAGGAATTTACAAGCCTGAAAAATCTTCAGTTTGATTTTACCTTCTTGACAGCATCAGTTTGAAGAGACCATATCTTCAGTGAGTGATCCATACCACAGGACACCATCTTTTCACCCAGAATATCAAAGTCCTTGAACAAATCAAAAGACACGTCAACAAGAACAACATGACACCTCACACTTTTCCTGTGAAAAGTTAACAAACAATCTATTACAAACAAAACAAAGCTTGAAAGTTAATGTTTAACTTAATTGTAAGTTAATTTCAGAATGATTTCACAGTTAAAAAAAGCCTGTCTTTAAAATTTCCATTTGGTATGTTTTTATCACATTGAGAGGGGTACTGCTTCAATCTATTAACTGAACTTGGACAAAATATTAAAAGGATCACAGAATTCAAAACTATCAAAGAAAGCAAAGTGAATTGAACATTAATAGAAAAAGGAAACAGAATGCAGTGAAACTGGCCAAGCCCCAGAGAAGTAGTATACTGCATTTCAATTTTTATATTTCTTTAAAAGCCCAATGAGTATGTTAATTGGCTCCATGAGATGATGAGGGAAATGAAAGGAGAGAAAAAGAAAACAGAGGAAACAAGAGAAAGAAGAAAAACTATGAGATACTTTTCTGAGATACATACTGTACTGAGGACTTCATCTCTGTGTCCATCCACTCCACCAAATATTGCAACTAACACATCTGTTTTGATATTCCAAAGTCTTAGACTGTGATCTGCCAAACAAACAAAAAACTGAAATATAACCTTAGCTTGCTTTGAGACAAATTATCTTTACCTGCCTTGATAGAATGAAATGGTTGTCATACCAACTGTGTGATGCATAAAAAGCTATGTGATCTTTAGGCACAGAGCAAAGCAGACCAAAAGCAATGTGATCCCAGATAACTTGCTATACTTGATTAAAAAGCATGCAATTGTGTTACCTTTGCTTGCTGATAGAAGTAAATAAGGATCCACTGGATGGAACTTGAGTTCATTAATGGCTCCTCCATGACCAATATAATGCTGTGAGTAACAATCAGCACACACAAGTGACAAAGATATCAGTGAAATAATCACACATTTCTAACTAAATATACCGTCAACGCCTGCTTATAAGCCACACCCTTTCACCCAAAAATTTCTGCACAGATAAGGGCTGCAGCGCATTAAAGAGATCAATGGGAAACCAAAATCAAGTTTATAAAATTACTATTGGGTTAGTGTTTTCATACAGAAAATCACTACATCACCAGTAAATACATCAAGAAGTGCACAATAAATTTGGTCCTTGCAAATAACTAGAAAAAACTATACAAACTCAAAAAATGATTACTAACCTTGATACAATTCATGCTTATTGGACTGAAACAGAATAAAACACATTTAAGTAAAACACCTTTAGTTAATGAGACAAACTTTTTCCATTGGGAACTGTTATGGTTTTCCAGTGTGTTGTATGTTGTGTGTTACCATATATGGTTTGCTCATGCGCACGCATGAGGCTTCATTAAAAAGTCTTTTACTTGCCGAACCGCCATATTGTTTGGGGTGTGTAGTTCTTTAGTAATACATGACAGGAACTTACAGTAAAAGTTTGATGATCTACCATATTCACAAACAAGTAATAGGACATCAGATTTAGGGAAGAGAACGACAAGTTTAAATAAAAAACACGAACCACTGAAATAGACAACAGAAAGATTCATAACACTCATTAATCATCATCATGGTAATAACCTGATGAATCTGATGATTCCTCTTGTACCAGCAATAGCAAGTAAAGGCTCCCCTGTATCAGGATGGTAGGACCACGCACATGTGTAGAAACTCTCCTCTGGCTATGAGTTGTTAAAGGTTTATAACCATTATGACTAATGTAGATGGAGCACTTTTTGAACTCATAAATGTCTTAACAAACAGACTGGTTACCAGCTGAGAACAATATCTGGTAATCAGATAATTTGGTTTAATCAGATGAGTTGATAAATAAATGTAAATTGGCCACCGTGAAGAGTTTCAAAGCTCTCGAAACTCTTAACAGTGACCAATTTACAGTTATCAACTCAGTTGATAAAACCAAATTATCATATTATACTCCCCCACTGATGCAACATCACAGTTTCTTTAGAAACTTACACCCTTCATTCAATACATGGTAATTAGTCATATTAGACTGGCTAACCTCCTCTGACAGAACTGAAAATAAAGCTTGTCTTGTATACTTTGTAGGGCAGAGGGCGACTAAGAGTTCTCAAATTTAGATGAAAAAGATACATCGGCATCCATATATGCTTGAAGTAGCTTGATCACACCTTTTGCTTCACACTGGTAGATTGTCACCTGAGGACAAATCACATTGTTCAGAATTCACATTCTCTATCTTGTTTCCTCTTTACAAACTTGGTAAACCCCTTTGCATAATATGTTTTTATTGAGGTTCAAAATAAAATTCCACTTGTGACAAATACGGCACATCTTCCTCAACAAAGTGACTACCAGTCCCACTCTAAACCTTCCTAGACACCTCTGACATTGCTCCTCCTTGTATGAAGACTAGCTCCCCAAAAAGAGCTCTAAGGTTCATCTGGTAAAGTATCTGACAGGGAAAGTTGACTACTCTTGGTTTAAATCATCATGAGAGAGTTAGATTTTTCCTGATGCACAAAATTTTTCTTCAAAACCTATATATTACCCTGTTACTTCCAACTGTTGCAAACATGTTGAGATCATCTGTTCCTTCTGGTACATTGTGATTAAACTGCACAGCAAATATAGGCTGTTTGTGATCCTCCTGTTATATTCACACAAGAAAAAAAATCTAGTTGACAAAATCCATGTCTACATGTTATAAACTATAACAATGTAACAAGCCTTGCTGTTGCAACAAAGCAAATTGTGCAAGAAATCATGGAAGCAACTAGCATTTCCTGATGCCCTAAATTCAAATATAATTCAAATTTGATCAATTTAAATTACGCTCAACTATGACTAAAGTGACAACATGAAATAAACTTGTTTATAGGCACACAAGACTCTCTGAAATATACCCTGTCTTTTCAAGATGTGACTTTTCCTAGTCGACATATTTGTGGCCATACCATGTCATATCTTAACTTATTGTTCATTCACAGTCAGAAAACAGCAACAAATCACTTAATCCAAATCTGATAACACTTTTTCATCAGGTTCACTGATTGGAATACTACTCACTACTTGATGTATGTACCTTTTTACTCTCATGATACTAAGGGTATTTCTCCTTGCAAATAACCAGAACATTTCTCTGATGAAACCAGCAAATTCGTACTGAAAATTTTCTCGATTTTCACACATTGCCTACTTGACAGAATAGTACTACTGTGGGGAGAGTTTAGCTAATGATCACTAGCGAATTTAAGTTGATTAAGATGGCAGGCGAAGGGTAGAAACAAAGTCAGAATCTTAGCAGTAATTACTCGCAAGATTCCATCATATCTGCTTCATTTCTTTTCCTTGTATTTCTTAGAACAAAAACATGCGTTCTGTAAACTTAAAGCTTTCCAAGTTGAAAAGCGATGCACGTGGTTCCCAGCTCCAACAAAGATATTTTAAGTGCGCGGGAAACGTCAATAACCAAAACTTCAAATGTCATCATAAGAACTTTGAATAACTGGAAAAGATGTGAAAAATCCACTGTACCCTGAGAAAATTCGCGCATTTGAACGCTAAACTTTTCTTCTTTCTGCCTTTTCCACGAAATCCTCTCTTTCCAATTGTGGCTTGCGTTGAATTCGAATTGGAACTGCTGACGGTGGAATCATTGTCGCTGTCTTCTTCGTCAAGTTTTGCTTGTTTCCCTCCTCTTTCGAGTTCTACATCTGATCCTGTGCCTTCCATATCCACAGGATCATCTTGCTGAAGAGACGATGGTGTTTCTTCGGTCATTGCTAAAACCAAACTGGGATTAGAATTTATGTTTTGTTCCCAGTGAAAGGCGTTTAAAACTAGTCGGTACACTATCTGTCACATACATGACCAAACACTCGGTAAAATGTCACGCACTTTCTACCCAGTCCTCTCCTCCTGCTGCAAGGAAGTATATTTTTGAAAAGAGGTAAGCTGACAAAGAATGTTTACATTTTTATTTTCTTATTATTCTTCATTCCATAATAAAGCTGCTAAAGTGTAGCTTCCATTATCAGTATTGAAAAGTCACAGCCAATCTCATTTCTCTTAAATTAATCCCGGAAAACCAAGTCCTCTTTCCTCTTTCATAGAGAGGACTATTTTATCAGCCAGAAATTTTGTAGATTTCTGGTGACTGATATATTTTGGTTAGTAGTGTATGCAAGCAATAATTCATTTTAGCATCCACAAGAGAAGCGTTGACACGGAAACTGACCAATCACCGTACAACATGATTTTCTAGGAAACTTGACCATAAACAACGGATATCAGTATCTGGGAAACTGCCCACCTACCCCTCCCCTAAAACAACAACAGTCAATTGATAACAAGTCAGGGTTAATGTTGGGTTAGGGGAGGGGTAGGTGGGCAGTTGCTCAGATATTGATTTGGTCCGCGTTTTCTTAGAAAATACCAAATTTCGTGGAAGAAAAAATAAAACATGTTAGGACCTATACTTAACGCGATGACGGAAAAAGCACGGAAATTGCCTTTCATTTTGGGAAAGTTGAAGATGGTGCATAGTATCTCCTAGTAGATTTTTACATCCAATTTACGTCCATAATGGCGAGTGCCAGTGGGAAAACGAGTTTATCACATTCCCTTCTCAGCTCTCAGATTGAAGAAAAATTTTCGGCGAATCAACAAACACAGAAAATTTACGACCAGAAAGATACATGGCGGCAGGAAATGGAACTTATCATCCAAGAGCTGTACCCCAGCTGTTGCCTTGTGATGTGTGGTTCGTCTGCGAACGGATTTGGAACCATCGATAGCGACATTGATTTGACTCTAATGCTGGGCATCGAAGGCAGAACTGCCGTCACCAGTGAAACGTATACGCTCAGGAGAATCGAATCGCTTTTCAGTCGCAAGCCTCGCCGCTTTGAAACAGAGGTATCAGTGTTTGTTATTCCAATTGATAATTTAATTTGGTATCTCTTTTAGCTTGAGTTAATTACCACGCATAAATATCCGCATCGCCTGTTTGTTTTTTATATATCACGTTCTGGTATAATCCAGAAATACTCGTTCATGGAGGCTGTTTGGATCGAACGATATTTGGGCGGAAGATTGAAAGATCTCCTGGTGATCCAATTAGAAAAAAGAAGCAGTCTGAACCAGCTGCCCCTGTTAGTATATAGTAAACAAAATGCAATATACAATTTTTGCCTTGGTAGGGGGGGAAGAGAAGGTAAAAGTGCGTTGAAAGAACGAGAAAGTGTAATTCTGCATAATTGAACATGGCACATCTATAAAACGGCCATAGAACTAAGGCGTAGTTAACAGAGAGTAATTGTAACTACTTTCAGGTTGTTTCAAATGCCAAAGTCCCCATAGTTATCCTCAAGGATAAAGAGAACTCGTTTGAAACGGACATCACTTTGGAGAATTCGAGCAGCTTGACGAACGCCTTCCTATTAAAATGCTACTCTGAGTGTGACTTAAGAGTGAAGCCGTTGACAATTGTGATCAAACTATGGGCGAAAAGGGCTCAAATTATCGGAGCCAAGTTTAAGAGGCTTCCAGGTAATGTATCTAGAAGCATTTAACATTGTTGAAGGTCGGAAGAGAAGGATGAGAAGACTGTAAGCGAAGGGGGTATTGTGTTGTATCTTGGAGTAATTCAAACTATACTCTAACACTACCCGCGACTCCTGACAAGAACTTGAATTAACCTTTATCGCGAAAACTTGGAGACTTTTTAATTTTTGTTTGTTTTTTATAAGGACAGTAGTTGGGACTTATAACCTGATTGATACAAGTTTATTAGCATTGGGGGCCTATGTGTGAGGAGACATGTGGACTCAGTTAAGATCTCTCGTATAAACCTGTGACGCTTCTGGGATTCCCCCGCTTCGAATGTGTAGTTATGCTTACTGCATGTAACTGTGATGCTTTAATAAATTTAGCTGCTTGCCACTTTCCATCATGTCTAGGTTTTGCTATCGTTCTCATGGTCATCCACTTCCTACAAGCTGGTTGTTCTCCCCCAGTCCTGCCTGTACTGCATAAAGACTTCCCAGAACTTATCAAAGACACGTCAAAAAACGAAGTAATTTACCAACTAACCGATGAAATTCCACTTCAAATCCAGACGTACAAGTCAAAAAACGAGGAAAGTCTTGGAGAATTGTTAATCGCGTTTTTCCGGTATTATTCTGCTTTCCAGTGGGCAGAAACCATTTCTGTTCGTACGGGAAACACGGAACCCACCAAAATGCATTCTAAGGTTTGGCGGGGACCTAAAATCAGAATTGAGGATCCCACGGACGGAGGAAATGTAACCAGAGCCGTGTTTGACGAGTATGAAGCCAGGCGCATTAAACAGTCTTTCAAGACTGCGTCAAACAATTTGAATAGGAATTCGTCTTTGGAAAGTATTCTTTGATTTACATCTCATCAGATAAATAAGTATACTTTGAGATAAACCACTCAATCACACCGAAATCAATTTAGACTCGAAACATAATTGCTATTCATATTATTATAATTAATTCAATTGAAATTTTGTAATATATAGCAACAGTCTTGTTGCTTTATATTATATAATATATTCACATATGTTATTCATCTAGCACCCATTAATATACGCTTAGTCTTTTCGTTTTTTCACTACTGTTTTGCCTTATGTAAATCCTGCCGCCCTATATACTTCATGTTTCACGCCCCTTCTAGCAGTTTGTGTTTTTTTCCTTCTCTCTAAACCCCGATTGTGTCGTCCTTCCCGTATTTCCCTCATCATTTGGTAAGTTTTGTCTGGGCAATTCATTGTGGTGCAGCGCACAATTTGACTTTTGTTAATCTTAAATATCATAGTTAATAGGTTTGTAAACATTAAAAAAAAAGTCGTTTATCAAACACCAGACAGCAAACCAAACGATAATCAAAGTGAAGGTCTTGATTCAACTTTCGTTCTTTCAAATTTCGCAGCGCTAATTAAGAATGAAGAGTTCGAAACTGATTTTCTAATTCTCAGTAATAAACATTTTATCCAAGTAAGATTTAAATATTCGATGAAAGTTACAGTCGAACCTGTACTAAGCGGTTTCCTTAAGGGAACGGCCAGGGTGACCGTTTATTACAGGTTTACGGATTCAATACAAGTTGATCCGCAAATAGCTTGTGTGATGTTCGTGTGCGTCATTTGTCCTAACAGTCCATAGTAGAAAGATGACCTACAAAGTATTGAGGATACTTGAATTCACAGTGCTAGCATCGATTTCGGGAGATAAACATGGAATACTGACTTGACTCGAGAGATTAAAGTGAAAATTGACGTATTTAGAGGGGAAAAATTTCGGGACTTTGACAAGCGACCGCTTAATACAGATTCCACTATCTCTGATGACGGATGGAGTTGTTTAGAATGTCTAGTGTTATTCTTCCATGTAAAACTGTTCGCAATTGAGGATATGGTGACAGCCACAGCACGTTAAAACCACCAAAAAGGATGTCATATTTCCTCGTACTGTTTCAGACTCATTGACTGAATACTTTTAAAATTGATATTCCTAATCGTTATCTAAATTATTTTAATTATTTTGCTAATGTCAGAGCGGGTAAAGAACAATAACCTGAATTTATTGAGCATTTTCAGCAGGTGAGTTCGAGTAATGAATTAAACTCTAGAACACTCTGTAAACAGGATGTCAGAATTTACATAGTAATAGACCAATCACAATTAACAATGCGCGGAATTTCTGGGAATTTTATGGTTTACGGTTGATATTGCGTTTTCTTAGAAAACGTTTGAAACTTCGTCGAAGTAAACACAAATTCTCTAGTAAGCAACAACTTTGTGGTCACCCGAGGGCTTATTTTTCATTCATTTTCACTCAGATTTGGGTCGATAATTATGGCCAATGAAAACATTGATAGAGACGCTCAGTTGAGTTGTCAGATTCAAGAGAAATTTTCAGCAAACCAACAAACGCCAAAAATTTATGATCAAAAGGACTCATGGCGGCGGGAAATGGAGCTCATTATCCAAGAGCTTTATCCTAGCTGTCGCCTTGTGTTGTGCGGGTCTTCTGCAAACGGATTCGGAAGCACTGATAGCGACATCGATCTCATTTTGACTGCTAAAAGCAGGGAAGATGCAGAAGCTTACATGTTAAGAAGAATAGAATCGCTTTTCACCAGGACACCCAGACGCTTTGAAACAAGGGTAAGGTCTTTTCAATCTATTGAGTCAATATCACTGTCTCGCTGAGAAAGCCTTTTTGAAAAACGATTAATTATGCAAACTTTAATGAAATATTAATTAAAGTGAAGCTATGTGTAACGAAGTGTTTTAACATTTACGAAGGCTAACATAACTTTTGCAGGTGATCACCGACGCTAGAATTCCAATCATAAAACTCAAAGACAAGGAAAAGTCTTTTACATCTGACATCTCCGTCAACAACTGGGCAAATGTTCGCAACGCTTTCCTTTTGAAATGTTACTCCGAGTGCGATCCAAGAGTGAAACCTCTGGTTGTCATTATCAGACTGTGGGCTCAGAAGGCTGAGATTACCAACGCAAGATTACACCGACTTGCTGGTAATGCCTGAGAAAGATATTTTTCTATTCGTTATGCTTTTTACACCGATATAGATGAACTCGTATTCCTTGTTGGACAATTTATCGATTTACCTCTAAGAAACCACGAACGGCTTTATAATTTTCCTCGTAATAAGTTTATTTCTTTCTTCACCGACTACGTTTCTTACCAATTTCGTAAGTGCCCTTCTAGCACCAAGAAGAGGGCAGGGGGGAGGGTGAGGCTGCATCCTCATTTGGTAGGAAATGTACCTTTTACTGTGGAAGTCAGGATGAAGACTATTAAATTCCTGGTATTTTGCAATATTTTTTCATTAAAACTTGTACTTGATTTAATTATTCCATGGTAAAGGTTTAATATCTGACTATAGCTCAATTTTTTGGTCCACAGGTTTCGCAGTTGTGCTACTTGTCATTAATTATCTACAAGCCGGGTGTTCTCCCCCTGTCCTCCCCTCGATCCAAAAAGATTTCCCAGAGCTCTTCCGATCAACAGAAAATGATATCATATCAAAACTCACCGGCAGCACTCCTCCCCAAGTAAAGTCACACAAATCCAAGAACACGCAAAACGTTGGTGAGTTGTTGATCGGGTTTTTCAAGTACTACTCCTCTTTTGATTGGAAGAAAACCATATCTGTTCGAATGGGAAATACTCAGCCAACTTCACGGTATGGAAGAGTTTGGAGTGGGCCCTATATTAAGCTGGAAGATCCGACAGACGGAGGAAATGTCACAAGGGGCGTGTATAACTCGAGCGAATTCACACGCATAAAGAATGCCTTTCAATCTGCCTCAACTCAGCTGGAACAGAATGCATCTCTACAAGACATTTTTTAAGCTTAAACGATCGAATGCTAAAGTGAAGGGGATGAATGGTTTAAGTATTTAAAGTTATCTTTCAAAACTTAGTAGTTCAAACGTTACTTGTATGCCAGTAAAAGCTTTTGATACACGTAATAAAAAAAATAGCCGATAATTCAAGTCTTTGTGCGATTAACCAAGGGAGTGACAGCTGTATAAAACACAAGTATGCATTGCAGACCTATGTAACCTTTTTTGAGGGTGTTTTGTTTAAAATGTTATTCAGATAGTTTATTTAATTAAACCAATATACCAAATACTACGTATTTTCTTTACGTAAATTTTCAAATGTTTTAAAACTGAATGATCAATGAGATTTTCAAAAGAACGACCAAATGAAACAACAACTTAGTTCGGTTTTTCTTTTGTTAAGTTCTTCCAGAACTTTATGATTACACCTAAATTTTTTCATGATTTGTTAGCACTGTTTCCCCCGTCGGGGGAATACGCTTAACGACAAGGGTCTGTCTGTAATAGTTTACATAATACATGAACTGCTCCGTTTATTTCAACCGACTACGTTGATTGCAAACTTAGAATGATTACCACACACTGATGAAAATTTATTAATCCATTAACGATATCAACAATATGGATATGGATGAAAACAAAGATAATTTATTTGTTGATGCAAAAATTGGAATCAAAGTTTACATTTTGAAGGTCTCCAGACTTCTGTTAACGACGAAACAGCTTCTAGCTTTATATAAAGTCAATTACGAACTTGAACTCAGAACAGTAAAATCAAGTCAAGAAAAAGAATGAGCTTAACTCAGTTTACTCAGAAACAGTGTCTCGAAGGCCTTGTAAGTGGTAAAAGTGCTGCTCTTAAAATAAAAGGCAATCTATGACTGCATGTGCCTATTGTTGTATGGTTGTAGAGTATTGCGGTAAGAAAGAAATGAGGTGTAACATGCACCTCATGTTTAATGAACAGGTTAATGAACAGGTTAATGAACAGGTTAATGAACAGTTTAATGAACAGGTAAATGAACAGGTTATTGAAACAACTTTGGTCGATGCCAAAATTTGTCAAAAGGAGGACTTGGTTAGAACAGAGTTTGTATACTGGTCAATTCACGGGCTGGGGACAGGGCGGGAAATTCATAGAAAAGATCCATGTATAAAATGTGTATCAAATATATTTTGATACAATACTTATGTACGCTTTGCGTACCTAGCACAATAGATAGTAAGAGCGTACTCCTGTTAATTCCGAAGATCTATAGTTCGAGCCCCAGCAGCTTCAACTATTTCTCTATCGTTTTTTCTTCTCTTTTCTTTTCTTTTTCCATTTTTCCATTCAATTCACAATGTCATTCTCCCATATTATTCCTGTAAATGACATCTAAAGTTTTCACATTGTAACTCTAAGCAGTTTCAGTAACTATTTTTCTCTAGTTTTCTGAACACGAAAATGGCTCTAGTAAAGAACTTATTTAGCTTCTAATAGCAAAATTAGGGTTTTTTAGCGAGTTTTTACTGTGTAAGGCAAAAGTTGAAATTAGTTGGAACAATGTAGGGATCTACGTCAGTTTCTTCTTCGGATTCCTACAAGATTTCTTCCAAAGACGGATTGCTTCTCAACTTCGAGAGAGCGCTACTGAACGCACTCTTTATGCGTGAGAACTCGTAGGAATCATACACGGATCTGGTGACGTTACCCCCATCAGAGGGATCTTCCAGGCGAATGTAAGGTCCCCGCCATATCTTGTCGTACGTCGAAGTCGGTCGGGTATTTCCAGAACGAATCGACATGGTTCTACTCCAGTTAAAGGTGGAGAAGTACTGGAAGAAGCCAACCAGAAGCTCGCCAAGACTCTGCTTGTTATCGGAACTGAAGGCTTGAATTTCAGCAGGAATATCTGAGGTAAGCTTGTCGATGATCACACTGTTAGAAGCTTGGAAGACCGCAGGGAACATTTGTTGCAAGGCAGGCACAACAGCAGGGGAGCATCCTGCTTGAAGATAATGGATTACCAAAAGAACCACGGCGAAACCTAAATATTAAGAAGAATCGACATATTAAAGGAGATCCTAGCAGCTCAGAGGTAGACCAGTTTATACTTTTTTCCTGTTTAGTTTCTGTAAATTTTCATTTTTCTCTCTCTTACGCGTTTTGGTCTAAGTTACAAGCTTTACATGTCTGCCTGTCTTGTAAGAGTCAGTCATATGTTACTCGCATCGTGATATGTGAAAAGCTACATATAACTAAACTAAAATGAAGGGACTTTTTTTTTATTTGTATTATTGAGCTTGTAAACGAGTCAAACTAGTCAACCTTTCATCAGATCATGTGGTTTTATCAACTGCGTTGATAATGTAAATTGACCACCGTTAAGAGTTTAATAGCTGACGTTGCAAGCGTTAGCAAAAGAAACTCTTTACGGTGGCCAGTTTATAATGTCAACTCGGTTGATGACACCAAATTGTCTTGACAGATCCCCCCCACGCAGCACTAAATTTTCTCTAGAAATTAACCCCCTTTATTCAACCTCAAATCCGCCACTTTTTTAACAATCGGCAGATTTCGTACCTGCAAGTCTTTTGAGTCTTGCATCGGTGATTCCTGCCCGTTGAGCCCACAGTTTGATGACCATAACCAGCGGTCTCACCCTTGTGTCACACTCGGAGTAACATTTTAGAACGAAGGCGTTTCTCACGCTGGTCCAATTTTCCACACTGATATCAGTTTCAAATGATTTCTCCCTATCTTTGAGCTTGATGATAGGAACTCGTGCGTTTGGAATCACCTGGGGATTGTTCAAAATTCAAAGTTGACTTTAAAAAAATTTACTGCTGCATATCAAATGTTTACTTGTCTAGTTTTTTTTTTTCAATCAAAAATATCTCTCACTCGGCGCTGACACCATCTTGAAATTGGCTTTAATAAAAATTACAGCGTTTGCCGAGAGAACTTCAACTTTTGATATTCTCTTGCGTATGCCAATTAGGTTGAAGGTTAAAGCACAATCTAACCTCGGGATCGGTAGAAATCGAAGTGAAAGACACTTTGAGGAAGCTTCGAATTAAAAATTCTGATCAATATGACGAAAGAGAAGAACCAGTTTTTTTCTTTGATCTCCCCCCCGAGTCATTTTTGATGCTTTATAGAGGAAACCCACAAACAAAAAATTAAATCATAATCTAAAGTGTTTCAAAACGCGGGAAAAGACACGACATACTAGTTTGTCATGCATATCTTACGTAGGAATCTGATTGTCGTAGTCGCGGACATTCAAGCTGTGCTCAAATACTATTACATACTCTTCGACAGTTACACCATTTCACCAAATAAGGACCATAGAACCCGCAAAATATGCGATGGCACGGGGCAAAAATGCGGACTGAAAGCGGAGTAACAAAATGGCCCCCGGCTAAACGATTCAATCTTTTATTTGTTTCCGTGTTTTAGGCTCGAAATTTTGTGCATGGAGCTATTAGGGGCAACAGTTTCTTTTATAAGTCATCAAGAACTCTTAATGGTTTCGTTTGTGTTGCCTTCGTCTTTCGCACACGCGTTATGTGATCCATACAGTGCACAAGATTAGACCGTATGTATTTAAAAAAAACTGGAAGTCAAAATATTATAAAATGAAATGGCAGGGGAATAACAAGTCCCTTACCTCATGGTTTTAAGCATTATACGAGCGGATATTTTCCTCATTGCTCGTATTATTTATAAAAATTATGCAACTCACATAAGGTGTGGTACTACCTCTGTTTGAAAACGACGACGGTTACTCGCAAAAAGCGACTCTATTCTCCTCAACATGGAAGGTCCAGTCACTGCTGCCCCTTCAAAGCACAAAACCAGGTCGATATCACTATGAATGCTGCCAAACCCGTTTGTGGACGAGCCGGAAAGAACGAGTCGACACGACGGGTAAAGCGTCTTCACTAAGTCTTCAATTTCCTTTCTCCATCGATTCTTCCGATCAAATACTTCACTCGTTTGACGATTATCCTGAAACTTTTGCTGAATTTGTGCGCTTAGTTGATGATAATGATCATCTCTCGAGCTGAAGTTGAAACTAGCCATGAACGTTCAACCTGCTAATATCGTAAACCTTGCAGTGACGAAATTAGAGCTTAATGCGGCAGCCTGCCTAATTCCTTTAGTTGTTGACTTTCAACCAAACCAAATGTTAACTACTAACTACGCGAAACAGACGACAGATTTCTGAGAAAGTTTTCACTCTAGAGCGGAAAACAAGTTACATGACAGAATGACCTTACTGTGAAGCGATTAATCTGCAAGCTGATTGGTTATCGAGGTATATTAAACATTGACGTCAGTCAGGAGCCCATTACCAAAGTAACGGGCTCCTGCGTTACTCACGTTTCTAGGAAACTCAATCACATTCTCGGAATTTAGGATTCCGAGAAAGAGGCGATCTTTCATGAATTCTGATTGGGCTGTTTATGATACGTAAAATTTGCCAAGTAATCAAAATTCCTATACAAAGAAAGACTTTGATAATGTTTCTTATATCATGATTGTTAAAACCCTCGGCAGAACACAAGTTTGAAGTTATGATTTTTATTGGGTCTTGTATCGCCTTTGTACTAATAAAATAATTTGAGTTATCACAACAGAAACGATAACAAACACTCAACAGCATAACTACTCTTCGTGGTAAACGGAAACACTGTCTCTCATTCTTTATGAACCACTGAGACGTGCAAATCCTACAGAAGGACTTGTAGAACGGGCTTAAACTTTATCTTTGGTTCAAAATGCACTGTAGCCCTGACAGCAATCCATCAAATTTGGTATAATCTTCAACGCTAGAAGATGGCATATTTGTTGACGACGTAACTGAACGTTTCTTAAATCTATGAAAACATTCGCTCGAATAGAGTTTTAAACCTTGGCATGTGGATAAAAGACATTTTGCTCTTTATTCTCGCTCAACCAATTCAAGATCAACTCGTCTAGTTCTCGGACTTGCTCGTTGCTGACGTCACTTTCCAGAAACTTTGTTGTTGATGAACTGTTGAAAAACAAAAAATTTTTTGTTATTCATTTATCACTGTTTCTCGACCGACCCAGATTTTGCTGATATTTCAAGAGATGGTCAGATGTTTGTCCAAGATTCTTTGGATATTAAATTTTATTTGTCACACGGGGGTACTAGAGCTAGGCAACTAGAGGACTGGTTGCGAGCTAAAACGTCCCCAACGGCAAAAATTGAAGTTTGAAGTGATCGCCGATCATCACAGAAATCTGGGACGCGTCGGGAAAATAGTAACGTTCCCGATTTGTCGCCGACCATCCCAGACAATCGGGGATCTCTACGGTTTCGGAGTTTTCATTTGTCGGACAAATCTGAGACGGTCGTGAACCAGTGAAATCCTCGATCGTCTATGATTTGCCCAACACATGAAAACCAGTATTATCGACAATTCGTTTAAAGGAAAAACCTCTGTCCCATCTCTTCCTCTTAAACAATCAGTACACTACGCAACGGACTCACTCTTCAATTTCGTACCCTTGCTGGATAAAATAATCAAAGGATTCAGGAGCGAAAAGCTTACCGGAGTACTTTCCAAAGGGAATCCAGGTCCCCTTTGTGCGAGTGAAGAAGGACACCTCGGAATTGAAGCCAGTTGTGTGCTGCTTCTTTGTTTGAACCAAGCTTCAGGAGCAACCGCGTATGCTTATAAACTGTCTCAGGATGTTCTAACGAATTGAAAGAATAAGGAAAGTTGTAGTGTGGGAAAGTTAGAGCATTTTTCAATTGAGTTTTGAAAGAAATCCGTGATTGTATTGCTTTTCCTTTACTGCGCTCTGTGACTAATAAGGAAAAGTCGCGACCTTGTTTCTTGCAATTTCCCGCGGCCGTTTAAACGTATTTAGTCTACGTTCAAATTTTCCTTTCCTTTCAAAGGAAAGGAAGTTACTATGCTCTCTGTTCCATGCCGACACTCAATCGAATAGCGCTCTTATTGGGGTTGGTTAGCTGCAACCACAAAACACGCAATGAGGCGTTCATGTTCGAGACTCAGGGCCGTCTCTAGCCCAAGAACGAAATCAAAATCAAAATCAATCATGATTTTAACAGCCACGGAGAACCGTTTTAGCTTTACCAGGCCTCATCAGTATAGCAGACTTTCCCTCTCCAGCTCTGCAATATGCACTTAACTTTTCTTTTAAAGTACTGAACGTTTATAGCGGTTCAATATGGGGAAGTACGGTGCTCGTGAGACTCTGATCAGAGCTGACGCCATTTGTGAAGCCATTATTATTCACTCCATCAATGCCTATGTTTACCAAAGAGTGTTGATGGGCCACCCACATATTCTCATTACCGTTCGAGCAAAGGCCAAAAGTAAACACTTAACGTCACACCTGATGCTGGTTATACAAAATACCTGCTAAACACTCCAAACTGAGATGCAACTGATGCAAGGCATCATGGGTCTGACCCAGTTCATCTAGAATAGAAGCCTTCTGATTGTACGCTTGGACCTGAAAGGAAAGAAAACACACACAGTAACATAAAGACAGGCAGGCAGGCAGTAGGTCGATCGCACGTTCCAAATAGTGGCACTACATATCTGACACAAACATTTAAATTCTTTCATGATCTGGCATATTACCACGACAGATTCGTACAATATATTTTATGAGAAATGATGCAAACAAAAGCAATCAAAAGTAACGAGAAAAAACTAGAATAGGCGGGCAATAAGCGAACTCAAACATTCTAATTAACTTTGCTTTCCGCGAGTTTTTCATGCGCGTGTCAAGCATGCAGGCCTGTGCTATTGTGTATTCGAATTTCTGAAAGGCACCTTTAACAAACCATTATTTTGCCGTTTGTAGTTGTCCAGGGAGGCAAAGTCAATGTTAACCTAAATGACGCCAAATAGTTACCTTCTACGAATAAAGTTTGACTCACCTTGCTAAACAAATATTGTATACTCACCTTTACTCTAGCAGGCCTTCTTGAGTTGTCAGTTTCGCTTTGCTCCTCACACGAAACATCGTCTCCTTTTAAGAGATAAAAGAAAAAAAATTCAAAGGCTTAACAGAAAAGGTTTCGCTGAAAACTTAAGTAGGATCATATACATTCAACAGACTCAACAACTATCACTCTGTCGACCAACAGAGGTTCTTAGATTACTTCACACTCAACTGCACGTCAAACGTGAGATACATGAACGACTTCAGTTCAGTTGGCACTTACCGCGTCCCGTATTTTTGCAGCAAGTCTTATCAACTTACCGCAGTCGAGCTTTCTCCTTTTCCTCTGTTGTCCATCATTATCCCTGTGGCCTTGGATTCTTTCTTGATTTTTTACTAACTGGACATCTTCCAGTGCGACCAGTACCCTAAGATGATTTTGGCAAGTGTATTGCACAAGTTAGATGAGAAGCTTTTCTTTCTATGGCAGAGTTCTGTGATTGCTCCTAAGAATAAAATGCTTGTGGACCCTGTCTAACCCGTCAGGATAATTTTTGTTTTATCAGCAATTAATAACATCAGAAACTATTCGCAAACATCCAACACTTGTTACCAAAGGTTCTTCTAATTGGTTCATGACGTTCTTCGGCGCATCATCATGATAATCTGTCATACCGTATGTGGTTTTGAGAGTGCCTAAAGAATGGGCCTGGAGGCCTAGACAACGATTTAACGGTAGATGTCTCAACAGTTAAGAATATATGAAAGTCGTTTATTTGAACTACGGATAAAGACGTGAGTGAAAGTGATCCTCGTAATAATGTGCACTACTTGGGCAGTAGTGAAAATAGTGACTTTCATATATTCTTAACTGTTTATTCATCACTTCACGGGTTTATTTGGAACCAACATAATGACCAGCTCTCAGTTGGCTTGTTAGCTCAGTTGGTAGAGCGCTGCACCGGTATCGCAGAGGTCATGGGTTCAAATCCCGTACGGGCCTGAATTTTTTTCAGGCCTTACTTTCACTACTGCCCAAGTAGTGCACATTACTGCGAAGATCACTTTCACTCACGGTAGATGTCTCCCTTCAGTTCTTCTACTTAATGTAGTTCACGGTCACTAAAACTTGACTGTTTTCTCCAAGTACGCTGCATCGAAGCAAGACGAAATATAATTACGTCGCATACGTTTAAAGAAGAATTCACAATACCTGTTGAGAGACTGCAAGGCCTCTAGTGGTTTTTGAAGATGAACCAATGACTCTGATTTCAACATAAGCATTTGTATGTTGTTAGACACCGTTTCGCTATTGAAGGTGCTCAAATAATCTTCCCCGTCATCTGATCGCAGCCTTTTCTTAGGAGCTTTATCGTTGACTCTTATTTCATCGTTGTGACCTTTGAAGGCAAAAACAAAGTAGAGTCAATTCCTGGAGTAACCTGTGACGGACAAACTTTCATTCAGGGGTGGGGTTGGGGTGGAGTACAGGCTGGCAGTGCCTCTGATAGCTCCTAGAAGCAGACACTGGAATTAGAGGGGAGTAGACAAAGAAAGTTTTTACAAAGTACACACAGTTCGGGCTTAAAGCTGCTAGCTATCATAAATCGAAAATATGAGTCACTTCAAATAAACAAAACATTTTCTCTAGCCACAACTGGTCGGCGGAAGACCAGTTCGTTATTTTCAAAGTGCAGTGACGAAGATGAAATTATGTAGGCGAAAGATCTCCAAATACTGACATGGGTGCAGTTGGAAATGAAAATTGTAAAGGTAACACTTGTCATATTTGTCTGTCTCAGTAAACCTCTTTTGCAGAGAAAACCTATCACAAGCCCAATTCACCAATTACATACCTTTTTCAGTAGGTTCTCCAAGCTCGATAGAAGTAAGAACTTTATCACAAATTGTCACCGCGTCTTCATGTCTCCCAGCTTTAGACAGCGCAAATGCACATTTTTTATACAACTCGGTAGGACTGGGGAGATTTTGGACGTTCGGCCGCTAAGAATGAAGAAGTGTTACAATGATTGTTGATCGTATTTTTAACTAGAACTGGGCATGCCTAAATCTGAAAACACTGAAACATTTGCGAAATAAGGAGATGAGAACCGAGATTATACCATTTTTAAGAGCTTGAGGCTGAAAATGTGACGGAATAAATAAGCTGGTTTAAAACTGACGCATTTCAAACAAAAATATCAGTGAGAACGAGAAATTTATGACATTCTTACAAAGTTGGAGGTGCGCACTTCTACAATATTGACCAGCAACTCCAGAAAGTTCGTCGCTGCTTCCTCGAACCTAGCAAAAGATATGTATGTATTTAGATACTGTTGACCATAAAAACGCACGAGGAAGTTGCTTTCATACGAGGACTGTGGGTACGTTGGTGTTGATTAACCAAGTAAAACCGACAGATTGAGGTAAAGGTAAATTTTGCCGAGTGACGAGAAGTTGTCTGATGACTGTGAATTATGTCAAGTGACAGAAAATGTGTGCTGTCGATAAATGATTCCTAGTAAAGGTGAAGACGTCTAACGACGGTAAGTAACATGTAAAGACGGAAAATGACGTTGAGCGGCGATCGATAACATGAAGTAACAGTAAATGATGTTTAGCGAAGGCAAATAACGTGTAGTGTGGGTAAATAATGTCTAGAGACGGCACATGATGTCTACAAACGAAAAATGATAGGTACCGACGATTAATAATGTCTAGTGGCGGTACAGGATCGCAAACGATGATAAACAACGTATACTGACGGGAAATAACATGTAATGATCATTAATAATGTCAAGCGAAGGCAAATAACGTGTAGAGAAGGTAAAAATATTTAGTGACGATAAATGACGTCCAGCTACGGAAAATTATATCTAATAACGATAATGATATATTGTGACAATAAATGCCGTCTATAAACGAAAAATGAATTTCAGACTTCTTGGAAAATCAGATTATTTAGAAAATCCCTCAAACCTTCCTAATTCTGAATATCTTTTCGCTAGTATGTAAGTAACCAATTCTTTTGACATGCGAGCACTTGACTCCGAACTGCCCAAGGAAAATCTTGGAGGAACGGATAATTCCACATCTAGAGGAACAAAATTTCAAAAGAATTGTGTATTTAATGAACCAAAGAGTAGTAGGCTTAGTTAGTTGAATCATAGAAGACAGTAAGAAGAATAGATATTTAGATGTTTGGAGTGAAAGTACTAAAGCCCTTACCTAGGTTACCTTTACTGTGTTCTCTACTGTGATCTCGAGGACTTACTACAAGGTGTTGGCAAGTCTGTGGCTCACTCCCTCTAGCCTTGATGACCTAAAAATACAAACAAATATAGATAGAGAATACGCTTATAAATTTCCCTTCCACGATGGAGCAGTTTTCAATTAAGTGTCGAAAACCAAACCAAATCAAAACAAAGGTTAACTTTGTCACTGGCCATTGAGAACTCCATGTGTAAACAAGAAAACTTCTTAAGGCACAAGGAAACGCCAGTGACCAAGTCGCGATTATTTTTAGTTTTGCATCTGATTTGCTGAGATATAATTTGGTTCCATTGACTGAGTTGAAAATGTCATTTTACTACCGTTAAGATTTTATATTTAAACAAACATTTCTTCGTCGAAAAGTTTGAGGCCTTAAGAAGCAAAGCCAGCCAGGCGGCGAGAGGTTTGCAGATCTCCGGCAAAGCGAGTTCTCCCCGGCTTTTCACAGATCTTTCCGTAAGGCGGAGAAACACACGTCCTGCAGCGCTAAGAGCGAGGGCAGCTCGCAAGCTAGCTGTTTTAACACTTCACTCTCCAGTGCAGTTATGTCTGCTCTGGCATAAGGAAACACAAATAGTAAAATTTTTTTAAAATTTTAAACATACCTCTTTTAAAAGTTCAAGAGCTTTTATTTGCGCTTCAAACTTGTCCATCTTTTGATATTGAAGAGAAATGTTAAAAAGAGCCTCTAGCTGCTGGAAATCATGTTCCAGGGCATCCTTGAACTTCGCTACCGCAGTGTGATGTTTACCCTTTGAAAGATATAAAGATAACAATGAATTGTTAAACGACAACATCAGGGTAAGAGGAATCAAAATCTCACATTGGCTAGACGCCCTCACATCTTAGCTCAAAGGTGACACATGAAAATCTGGAGGTATTTTAATTCTTTCACTCCTAATATCTGATTAGTATAATTCTCCTGACTGTCTGCCATATGATTCTAATGATGTTAGTTCGAGAATTTGTTTTTCCGAAGAATGACATGACCAGGCCTTGGCCCCGGGAGCACTCCTTGTGGAGTCCAGCCCCTAAACCACCAGACTAAAGAGCGCATATTTCATGTCAATTCGATCTTTTACTTAAAACATCTACCTTGACTGCACAGCAGCACCCTAGCATATTCAAAGTCGCAGCTCTGTTCTGTTCTTGTGAGATAGATAAACACTCCTGAAAGCATGTCAGTGCACTGTCCACTTGATTTTGTTCATAGAGAATGTGTCCTGGAATCGTACATAACAACAAAATCACTAGTACTTAAGCCCCTGTGCTGTACTCTCCAATCATATGACGGTTATAGACAAGGAAAAGAGTCTTTCAACTGCCTAATACACATCTTTTTTTTTTTTTTAGTTAATTGCATTTTGACTTTAAATTAATACACCGAGACTCCAAACCTTTGAGATAGAGATCATGAAAACCAACATCATGAGTATTTTCTTTGCCCCTCAGTATTTCCAGTGCCTTTTCGTATTCCTTATTTGAAAAGAGGGCAAATGCCAACAGACTTGTCACCACCGACAGCAGACTCTGTATATCTGTTGAGGAATACAACCAGAAAGCACTACCTCAACTTTTGACATGTTTTCGTTTATGGCCACTGGGATTATTATGTAACGCATCTCTTACTCACATGTTCATTTGTGCAATACAAGCCCTAAATTATCATTATTATTACTATAATTATTACTAGCCAAAACAGTAACTAAAATAACAACTATAGGAATCTGAATATGCTATCTTGCCTGTCAAGTCTTTGGCTGAGAGGGTGGAGGAAGTGATTATACTATTAGAAATTGATGAGCTGTATTCTAAACTGAAGAGGCATACAGGAAGCCGATCAGCAGGTACCTAATGATCAATCAAACAGATAACAAATTTAAAATAAGTAAGAACTAGACAGTGTCTATTCTACCCAATTTTTTCTTCTGTAACATTTAAATCATCTCAGTTTATTTGGTGGCATTAGAGGAGATTATGGTGTTCAAGGGAAAGGCAATAGTGAAGTTGTCATCCCAAGTGTGCAGAAAAAAAGTGGTAAACTTAAAAACAATTTTTATAACTTTAGTTTCTTAGCAACTTCAATTCATAGATAGGCCAGATATGCTTCAAAACAAGATTTGATTCAAAATTGTTAGACAAAATATTTATATAGTAACTTTATTAAAATGCTGCAAAATGTTTTTGCCTCTTTCATGCTTATATACTTTAACAGTACCTATGTATAAATTTTGGTTCCCCTTTTGACAGAAAATGGAGAAAGGAAGTTTTAATTCTCCACTGCATATTAAGTAAAGGTTATAGGCATTATTACTTTTGGTCATTTCATTCTGTAAACAATGTGGAGGAATCTCAGATACCTTAGATACAACATAAAATGATGATTAATTTATTTAAGTTCATAACAGAGTACATCTAAGTGATCAACATGAGCTTTTATAAAATGTTTGCCAAATTGAATGCTGTTACAAACCTCATCAGTAAAATTCATGTTTAAATCCACAAGTTTCAACTGACTTTGCATCAGGTAAAGAAGTTTTACAGCCTGGTTCACTAAAGGAAAAAGGTATCAAATAGGCCTTGAATTTCCCTCACTGACAGAGAAATGATTCATGCTAGTTTGAAATTCTTTTACCCATTAGCTTTCTCTTAAAACTGTCACTGCATTTGTTTGGTGTATCATAAAATTTTCAAAATGATTTTCCTAATCTCATTTAAAAAAAAAAAAAAATATCGAATGATAAAATTTTTAAGTTATGGTTGCAGAGGTTTTCAGACAGACAGACAAACAAACCATCAGGCAGAAAGACCTACAGGTAGACATACATATATAGTTAGAGACACTGACTGACTGAGTCTCAAAGTTAAAGAGGCAAACAAACAGATAACACAGGCACAGCTAAGCACAGATGGATCAACTGATTATCAAAGAATACTCACCTTTCTCATCAATTAGCCACTGAAATGCTAAAAGGCAGCAACTCAGCACAAAGGGGCCACACCCAATAGATCTGTTGATCAATTCCTTAAACAATGCTGGTAGAAGTGTGTTTATAGTACACTCAATGTCTGCTGGACCAAAAAGGTGTATGTTGCTTAAGTCCTCTTCTCCTTGGTGACAAGGTTCTATTCTGAATGCTGCAAGTGCTGCACATGTTGAAGAAACAAATATGAACCAAATCTGGTTGGTGCAACAAAAAGTAAAGGAAGAGATTATGGAGGAAGGATGGGATCAAGAAAAAAATTAGCTTTGAAGTTATAAGCATATAAAATTCAAACTTGTTTAACCCCTGAAAAGAGACAGAAATTCAATTGATCTCACAAGGTGTTAATTCTGCAGGTGTAGAATAACAAAATACATATTTTTGAGTTTGCAAAATACTGTACATTCTGGTATGTGAACATACCTCTACAGATGCTTTGGTGGAGTATGGCAGCACTTTTGTGAATACCTCCAATGCTCACATTCATCTGGCCTTGTAACAGCAAGTGGCACAAATTATACACAACTGCTTGTTCATAGCAAATGAATGCCGTATTGGGTGGAAGGCCTATAAAAAGGTAAAAATAGTTTTACTTGTTGTAGGATAAGTCTGTGATTAACAGCCAGCATTTGGACTAGTTTGCCCTTTTTTTCTGTATGAAGGAATGGGGAATGGGGAATGGAGAATGATTGATTACAGTAAGAAGGAAATTGCTGCATAGCCCATTGACATCTTTCAGATTTTAGTAATAAACGCAGTTGTAGTACAAATTACTACAAAAAGGGGAAATTCAGTCACAAAATGTTCAGCATGGCTCAATAATAGGGCAATCCATTCTTGGGTGGAGAGACACTGAAATTTTCAGTACTTCAAAATAATGTCTTTCACAACACAAGGCAGGTGAATTGGGGCTTGAATCTACACTATGGCTCCAGAGTCCACCTCACCATTTGACCATTGCATCCTCCAGGACTCAGTAACAGATGAAGAATAAATCTGTGTTACCATTGGAAAAATGAACCCATCAAGCTCATAATAGGGAAATAACTTGGGAAATCTTATGAAATGGGAATACCTTTCAACAGAATAAAAAAAGTGATGTTTTGTTGCAGTAATAAATCAGATCTTGATAAATTTAAACCTCTCATATCTTAGCTAATACAAACATAGACTAGTTGGAAAATACTCACCTTGGACTCTTTCCAACAGAGAGGTGAAACTCTCCAGAACATTCTGAACTGATGCTTTACTGCCATCCTCCTTTTTGATTCAATGAGATGAAAAGCAACACTGACCAATCAAATGTTTAATTAAACACAGCTTTTATCCAACAAAGTTTGAACCATTACATAGTGTTACAAACCTTCCTGCAAGTTGCATACACAAGAGACCAATTCTCTAGCACTTTTTACAAAATTGGAACCTCCCTGCAAAGTGAGCTGAGCGAATTTTGTCAAATGATAATATATACCACAATAAGAAATACTCACTTTTAAGCGATTCACAAGAAGGTCATTTTCAATTACCCACTCCTTTATGTCAAGGTTCATAAAAGTTGCTGAAATAAAGTAAAACACTGGTAAAAAATGAAACATAGCAAAAAAGTTTAGACTATGATTATTCCATCATTAACTCTTACAAGCCATAGCAAGTGTGATAATCTAGCTGAGGCCTCATCTTGACCCTCTGACTCCCTGAAGTGATTAACAGGTAATGAGAATACTCAACCTTATCAGGAATAAGTTTTCATGATTTGACACCAAATTCTCATAACTAACTTACAAGGAAATGCGTAGCAGCTAGAGGGGAGAATTAACAATGAGATCTTGGGAGTTTAAGGGTTAAAGCACTCTTTCCAATTCAGGCTGCATAATCATTGAACATGTTAACACATATACGGAAAATTTCTTCAGCTTTTGGGTTGTGCATTCTGCTTGTTTGGACAAGATTTAAGTCCTAATCAGACTATTATTGTCAGTAGTGGTGGCTGGTGTTACAAGAACCTTGGTGGATGTCATCATTATAGTTAAGTGAGGAGTTATATGTCATTCAATTGTTATCAAGAACTCTGAAAACCGATTCATTAGTTTTGCTATGATATTATTGGCTTAAATATTCAAGCAGCACACATATTCTTCATGCTTGGGTCTACTTCAATTTTTTGGTATCACCTGAGGAGGTTCTCATAGATGAAACTAGTTTTAAGATCCCAGTTTTAGTTTAGTGTGTTGAAAGTAAACAAAAATAAGGATTTTCCTGTGCAAGGTGATATTAAGTAGTAATTTCTGGGCTTTGACATCTTTTGAATCTCCCAGAAATTTGCTGGTAAAATTGAGTTAAGAAGAATTCAGATAAACTGACTTATCTCAGCTGACTTACACTACTTGAATGTTAAAGCCAATAACATCACTTCAAAGCCGACCAAAACTTTAATTCAACTGACAAACAACTCCTCACCTGAGTCTGATCATGAATGATCAGAACATCATTCACTCCAACCAACAATGGTCCATTTCCAGACTACTCACACACAGACATCAAATTACATGATCACCTGTAACTCTAAGGCTTAAACCATATACAGTAGTGTTTTTCATTACCTTGTTTTAAAAGTTCCACATACTCTATGAGACGGTGACGTGAAGCTTCGAGAGAAAGGCTACCTCCACCTGACTGTTTTAAGCTCTATCAAAAGATAACTTGATTTTATAATTAGGTTTTAAGTTCATTAAATATCATATTTTATTCTCAAGTTTATATTAAGTAATATTATTGAGTGAGGTTGGGCATGATATCATGACTTATCAAAACTGAGGTCTGAGGTAAAACAGACTTGTTGTTTGATAAGTCATGATATCATGCCAAAACAGATCTCAATATTTGTTTCATTATGCATGACATTCAGCCATTTAAGGTTTCTCTGAGTTTCCAAAAGTTTGAGAACACTACATGGACAAGGGACTTGAAAACCATGCAGACTTTAAACTCTACATGATAAATGCAATATCTGCTGCAGATATTGGGTTTTGTTAAAAGCTGGATCATTGGATAATGCAATTCAAGAGCTTTCATTGGCTTAACTATCATAGGTTATGAGCCATTATACTGTGCACCTTCATTAGACAAGTTAAACCAAAAGTGATTTTGTATATTGTAGCATTCTATTTGTCATTAAAAAATAATGTTGTGAAGATTTATCTATATTTTTGGGCATTTTTAGTAAAACAATCATTCCACTTGCACTTGTTGGATATGAGATGATTATAGCCAACTGGGCTCTATATAGGCCTTGTTAACTATCTATCACCTCATACCCAATGAGGGTTCATGGAATAATTGTTAAATAATGTCAACTTCACATGCCATTGTATATTGATTGAATGCTCTAAACCAATCAGATTTTTCCTAATAATTCTGACGCATAATAAGTAGATTTCATGAAAACAATCAGCACCATGTCAGCAAAAACCCCTTCAACAATTACTCTGAATGCATGTATAACAAAAGTGCAGAAACTCCACAAAAATGAGGGGGAAGGGGTGAAAGTCTTCAAAGAGGATAGGCAAAGGTGAGACTGTCGGTTGATAGTAAAAAGGTATATATCTTCGTAATCGCAACTTAATTTCATCGTTCACAGCCCCTTGAATACAGTTCTTGAATAAAGAAAACAAAAGATTTCCTTAGAGACTAAAGCTTTGTTTTAGAATAATATCGGAGTAACCGAAATCTCTCCTCCATTCAATGAGCTGCAAATGTTACAATTTGCAGCTTAATTAATGAATAAGAGGAGATGGCATGCAGCCACCGATCGTAAATATCAAATACCATAGAATACCTGATGCTCAGCGTCCATTTTTTCGAACATCTTCTCCTCTAATCCTCTGAGCTCTTCTTTCAAAGCAAATTCTCCTTTGATCATGATAGCTCGCCGAATATTTAAAACTTTCACGCTCACAGTCTTTCAAGCCAAAACCTCCCGTCATTTGTTGACCTCTACGATACCCTTTGTGTGACTTATACGAAACCCTTTCGTTCCTACCCTCACTCCCCTCCCCGAGAAAAAAAAAGCCCGCCATTTGATTCATTGGTGGGAAGCAAATCACTTTTCTGCCTGCTTGTTTTTGAACTTCGAATTTTCCTCGAATTCGGCTTGTAACAGATCTAAATTTTACGAGCCTTGAGGAAAATAAATAGAGTGTCTGCATTTACATTCTAGTAGGATTGAAAAGTTATCTTTTCCCTCTTTCTTCTTACAATGGCGGGTGGTCGTGAGAGAGCTGTGGCAGAAAGAAGCCTCGTTTGTTTGTTACAAGCTGTGGAAGGTCATAGGACCATTGTGGAATTACGAAACGAGTCATCGGCTGAAGGACTGATTGAAAATGTTGATGGTTTTATGAATGTCAGAATGTCAGATGTCAAGTTTACTAAAGGAAACGGTGGTGATGTAGTGGACTTTCCGACTATGTTTATTCATGGAAGACAGATTCGATATGTTCAGATACCTGATTACATCGATATGAGGAAAGCCATCGAAGAACAGTTGGCCAAAATAGGAAGGACGAGGAAACCTCCCCCCAGAAGAATGAAAAAGGCGAGAGGAAAAACGTGAAGGTAACTTCACGTGGCCAAAGAGACCAGTTATAGAGAAATATTACAAGTAAGCTTGAGATCAATTGCAAAGAAGAAATTGTAAAGTGTAGTCAGTGGTTGATCTTGACTTGTGAAGTTTTTCTTTATTTTGTTTTGCCATACCCCTCTTTTTATTGTTTTATCAGTAAAACTTAACGGGTCGTTAATTTTTGATTGTGTCAAAAATCTTGTCAATGTATATATCGCGCAGTGTAAAATGGTTGAATTTAATTACCTCGAGAGTAAAAAGTGTTGGGGGGGGCAGCCCGAAACAAGTTAACTTAATTAAATCTGCTCTCCTGTGGTTTTTATTTCTAAAACTTTCATATTAAGTAGGCAGCTGCAAAAGATTATAATCAGAATATGTTTATTTATTTATTTACATTGTAAATACTTTAGGCGTGATATTTCAGAAATCAGAAATGTGATTTACAGTGTCCATAGCATGGAAAAAATCTTTTAATACTAGACTTGACTGTACTCCATTACAAAATGTTTTTACCGTTAAAAAATCAAAAAATATGTTTCCATGAAAACATTGTGGAGTTGAAAAATTGTTTTCAAATATTTATGATTTTATGTAGACATTTTTGAGAAACATTGACCCCCTCCCCTTTCACTAAATTTGCTTCTATAGTGTTGTTAATATGATGCACTAAGCTCTGGATAATATTCAAAACTAGTGCCCAGCGGCAAGACATTGGGTATGCGTGGATGGTATGTGGTATTTTTACTGATGGACGGCAGCTCAGGCCAGTCAAACTGAAGTGTTGTGGCGTGTTTTTCTCTAAACAGCCGTCTCTTCTGGGATCTTAATTCAACATCAATAGTTTCAGGATTCCTTTCTAGCTTACTCCACTCTTCATGGTCAATGTCTGAGTCATTGTAGATTCCTTTCATACGAAGCCTAGGTGAGAATAAGAAGCAGAAACAATTTTAAGGTTTAAAAATTTGGCTTTTCAAACAATCTACAAGATGCTAATTTTAAGTTCAGAGATGACCTATTCTACATTACATTTAAACCAAGGCCATGCATTTAATGAAAACAAACAGACCATTCAAAGCCTCTTATTTTGTAAAATTTTGTCACTTAAAAATTTTTTGAGTATGAGGAAACACTGAGTAAAAAGAGTGACACTCTTTTACTCAGCTTTGCTGTCACAGTGTTTTATATTCTTTATTAACCAACAGTCCACCAGTAAATGCAACTAAAAGAAGCATACAGTTTTCTCAATTCATAGTTGCACTCCCACAACCCACCAGCTATGATGTGAAAGTACTAAAACACAAATGGTTTGAATTTGACTTTTAAAACAACACCATAGTTATGTAAACACCATTGGTGAAGGAACAAGTTATTTCAATTTTTCATATAGAAGTGAAAATTTCAGAACCTTTTTTTTCAATTCTGCCCTCTGAATGGTGTTATCAAACTGGCTAAAATTTGTTGTATATCAATTTTGGGGAGATCATGTCATCTTGTGAATTAGTGCAGTAGTAAAGACTGACCCGCTTCTTCTCCTAACACCACTGTCGATATCATGTAATTGCATTCTTAGCCAAGTGTTACACTCAGTGCCATGCCGACCCAGAGGCACCAGTGGGGCTGAAGGGAGGTGGATCTCTTCTAGTTGTTTGTCACTCATTGTATCTCCTGTGATGCACCTCACCATTGTGCGGTCTTCCTCCAATCTTGTTGTTCCTTGAGATAATAGAGGGTCATCTAGTTTCTGTGTTATTGCCTGAAAACATCCATCAAATATCAGTTATTATAAGAGCCTTCATTAACCACTTAAGATACTTTAACTGTTGCCAACAGTAACTTATCGAAATGATTTGGATTTACAAAATAGTACAGACTGTTAGTTGATTAGACCTGTGTTTATTGTAGGTAATACAAATTGTACATTGCAGTATTAATGTCTAAATTGAGGTCTGTTTGTGTTACTCTGCATCACTTCATGAAACAATGTGTATACTTCTCAACAATTTGATGAAATTTTAAAGCTACTGTGTTAATTACTGGGTTACTGGTTACTTGTGTGTTTAACCCAAGACAACAAGGTGCATTAATTTTTTATAATTTCTGAATCTTTTCCTTTTAGGTATGAAAAGATGAGTGCTCAAAATGAAATACAAGAACAGGTACTGGGTGGTAGAGTGTCTCACTTTGAACCATCAAACAATAGGAAATGTTCAAATGTGAGTGGTCAGACTCTTTGAAAGAGCTTGGCTTGTCTACAAAGGCCAATTGAGCATCGTTGTTTTCTCTGTTGTCAGAAAGGTTCTCACCTTAAGTGGTGCAGGCCGGTTGGCATTAAGAACTAGTGGATTGTATTCCTCAGGAGACATCACATCTAGGAATACTACACCCTGAGTAAAAAGGAATCAATATCAAACTGTTAGTGATGGTAATGACATTTACATGTGTGCTCAGGAAATTTACTCAATTCTAGTGTATTTCATAATTTACCAAAACAGAGATCTGAGTGTTTCTATAATTGTCAGAGCTGCAGGAGATTAGTTTTGTGTAGTATATTCTTAATAAAATCGCTCTCTTTTGTTACCCTATACATCTGATACACATTGCTCAAAACATATTCATATGTTTCTATTCGATTGACCCTTCAATAACATAATTACAATAGAAAAACCAAGCTCATTTTTTTCATGATACCAATTTTTGGAATTAATGTGTTTTATTTATCTTAAGTTTGGAGAGACTGCAGGTAGCAATCCTGTCTTACACTATTTTAGCTATTCTTTCTTAGCTCTACAAAGTCTAATTTTCCTTTAAAAAAAATCATTGAAAATAAACAGTTATATATATATATATAGGAAGTCTGCAGGTCGATTTTTTTTTTATATATATATATAGGGACACACACACATATATGTATATTCTCACCTTTTTGTTACTATAATCGAGATATTTCTTGTAAATATTCCTTTTTCTTCTATCCAAGTGTCTGTAGTTTGGGCCATTCATTTCTTCATCTATTTTTTCCTGACAAAATATTTTAATTGATTATTTAATTGTGACATAACAGTCAAAATCAAAATCAAAACTTTAATGGGGCAATACAACTTTTGTCAGATGGTATTTACTGTAGTTATGATCTGATGTTGGTTTTCCAGGCAGCTACATTGTTTGTTTTCACTTAACAACTGAGTTAGAAATAATGTAGCTCAGTCCATCAAAATGTAGCTGGAGAACCTTGCACCATCACCAGAGAATTGCACAGTTGCCAGAGAATTCTGTGGTTTCTCATCTATTTAACACCCAGTGTTCTTGGGCAAAAGTCAAACTGTGTAAATCAGCTCAACAAGGCTTTGAGTTTGACCTCATACACACCTCCACAGGTTGTTTCATGGTTATGCTATCATCACCAGTTATTAGTTTTGTGCTTAAATGCATCTTGTACTTGCTCTCTTAACCATTCAAATGCAATATTTACAATGGGCTGCAAATGATAAAGCTTGAGCATCAGCTTTTAAATAATATGTATTTTACTTACCTTGACAGGACTGTACACTCGCTCACTCCATTTCTTGAAGAGCATTTGTTTCTTTCTTCTGTCAAGGGCTTCTTTGTGGTCAATAAAACTGTCAACATCCTGTTGAAAGCAAAAAGTAAATGAGCTAATGCATGAGTCAATTTTAAGATGGCCCAAAGAGTTGTTTGACAGCCACGACCCCAATGTGTAGGAATGGGAACAGGGGGAGAGGGAAAGGATTGAACAAAGGATAGGATTGAAAGCAGCCAGAGTGGTTGATGATTTTAATTACTCGCAAGTTTTGCATAATTGAGTACGAGCCAATCAGGATCAAGTAATTTGTTTAGATATGAGTTAAAACAATCATGGTTTCACTACTTCTTTAAGGGTGGTGGTTACACTATAGGTTAAGTTGTGACAATTTGCAAACAGACTTCACCTGTGTGAGTTCTTTGCTTCAGTAGGGCAACTCAAAGAGAACAAAATTGTAGAGGCAAGCGTCTATATGCAGTAGTTAGGTTTGTCAATATGTTGTTGATAAAGAACTTAGTTTGAGCAATCAAGAAAAATATAATTATTTTGATCAGGTCACTAAGTTTCTCGACACTTCCTAAGTGTGCATCCATATTTTATGCTGGTATATCTCTAGCGTTTTGCGGCAAAAAAAAAAAGCACTCTTCCCGTGACCGTTAGTTGAGCATAATAACGTTCCTAATGTCAACCAACACCACCTTTTAATTAAGGTATGCTAATTAACACCTTAAAAATAAATAATTACCGTTCTTAGTTGTCACTCTCTGCACAACTACTAAAGCCCTAACTTAATACCAGGATTATCTAACGGGACGGAAATTGCTACTTACTCACTTACAGACTTACCTTTACAAAAGTATTCTCGTTATCAAGGAGCGTCGTGTACATATTTTTAGTGGCTCGTGACTCAAAGTCGGTCCTTTCCTACAGAGGGAGGATAACCGATTCATCAAGATTAAAATTTAAAATACTGGAGAGTTCCTTTAGTATCCGCTTTGTTGATTTGCGCGGTTTGAAGGCCTCTGTGTATTTCGGCACTCATGCTGAGATGAGCTTTTGTCTGAGTCAATAATACAAATACGAGAAATTCTTTCGAAGTTAATTATTCTCTGAACAAACTTCTCCATCCCCTTTTTTTTATTATTTTTTTTAAAAGCCCTTCAATTTGAAATGAAATGGGGCAATATTTTAGGGCTAAACTTAAGGTTTACTTTTGGATCGAGTGTTTCAATGAGGGTTATAGGGACACAAGTTACTTTTAATTCCGGTGTATTTATAACTTAACTGATAACGATTACATGGGCTGGACTCAATGATAAGACTACCTGAATATTTCGAACGGATTTTTCATTCAACCAGGTCTGAATTCTGAAAGAATGGTCCGAAGGACAGGCTGACTTGGCACTGGAAGCTCTTACTTCCGAGTACGTTCCAAAAGGTTTTAGTCTCTCGACTGACGACGCCGATAAAGCTCGTCTGTGATTATCCTGCAATGAAGTTAACCATAAGAAGTCACACAGTATTGAGGTTTAACAGATTGAAAAAGGGTTGCTTTAACTTTTATCAGATATACGTAGATAATGTACTTAAATATTGAAAAATTACTTCGTCATCACCTTGGAGAGTTCATGTTTGCCATTGTCGTCCAATAGCTCGTCCACAATATCGTGAGTGTGAACAGAAATACGGCCGTTAACGGGTCGTTTTGGTCGAGACATCATTCTGTTCGTTTGCTGCCTCGTCCAGTTGGATTTTAGGCCTCACGAGGACAATTCTTTCATAAGCAGACTAGAGATCAATCACTAAAAAGTTACCAACAAAGTCACAAATATCACAGCTTGACTTGCTTGAGGACTTCACGTGTAAATTATGAACTGTTCCCTTGGCAACGAATCAGCTGTGTTTTGCAAACGTTCTTCTCCCTTGGGAGGGTAGGTGATTTTGGATACTTATTTTCATGAATTCAATCTTTTTGCAAAATCACTTTATCCTAGTATGCATTTATTCAAAATTTTTGGAGAACGATACGCAAAAGCCACATCTATTCGGTTTCATTTCTTTATTTTCCTTTGGAAAGAATGTTTAGAATCAGCAGCAGGTTATCTCTACCCTACCCCTGTTAGTATCATTTATGGAAATCGTCGACCAGTTGGTGGTCAGTGTCCAACTTCGCCTTTTCCTCGTAAAGATGTGAGAAGAACCAAGCTTTTCTAGTCATTTTAGTCACCATGTTGTAGAACTGACTTCATTTCCAGAATGAATCAGCTTCAAAGCCTTCTTCATGATTCTTTGATAGCAACGGGTCACGTTCAACATTGTGCTATAATTCGACGAAAGGACACTTCTCTCCGAGCCAGCACTGTCGGCTTTTCGGTAAGAATAGCGTACTTTTTGCAATGATTGTAGACTAAGAGAAAGACAAATTACTTTTAAATGTGTTATTATAACTGTTTTTAGATCCGATGTAAGGCTGTAATAGCCCTATATTAGTGGAAAACGATGTTTAAGAATTGCCGCCAATTTATTCTGTTTGCAAGAAAGTCAAACTCTTTGGCGTTTGTTGTGTGCAAGTGTAAGGCTCTTTCTTGCAAACACTGAAATTCCTTTATCAAAACGCGGAATTGGCATATTATTTTTCTTCATTATCATTGTCAGACACCTTTCTGCCCTCAGAAGGAGGAAAATTGAAAAGAAAGTGGCAGTCGATTTGACGGGGGCGAATTTCTCTATAGGGGGAGGTAAGAATTCTGTCAATTTCCCCCAACAGTTTGGCACTGCCTTTTTATTATCCGTTGTGAGGATTTCAGGTCAGTTTCCCCTAAGGGCAACACAAGCGACTTAGATGGAAGTTGAACCTGGGTCATTTGATTTGGAGTTTGGCTAATGCTATACATATGTATCTTACACTTTTGCTGTTTTGATTCTAAATATTTGTGTGTATGGTGTAAATATTTTGATTTTCAGCCATCTTTGGACAATATACATGCATTGGTTCATTCCTTTACAAACAGCGCTCACGCCAGAAAGGAGGGCCTTAAATTCCAGGACACAATTTATGAATGTGTCAGGGCTGATAGATTCTCTGTTTATGCAAAACACGTGAGTTCATTTCTAAAACTAAAATAAATAAAAACAAATGGCTATTGGGTACTAATGGGACACAATTTATGAATGTGTTAGGGCTGATAGATTCTCTGTTTATGCAAGAAATGTAAGTTCATATCTAAAAGTAAAATAATGAAAAACAAATGGCTACTGGGTACTAACATGCCTAAAGCTTCAAGTTATATGCAAATCCTCTAGCTGTACATGTAGAGTAGCAACCATTTCTAGTTGCAAAATAGAGCTCAGGTTCATAAATACCAATCTTTTTTTATTATTATTATCATTAGAACCCCACGTAAGCTTTGATATGTCAGTATATTCCCACTTGACTTGTGAAGGCAGCAGTTTTAGAAACATGCTTATAAATTTAAATTTCCTTGTTACATAATTCTCAACAGACACCTGCCAAACTTGTTTTTGAAGTTTGTTCCAAATGCCAAGCTTGTCCCAAAGTTATTCATGTTGAATTATGGCTTTGTATACCTATAGCTATGAATATGGAAGTAAAGCTGGCAAGTCTGGAAGAGTAGTCACTTGATAACATCACCATACATGCCATATTTTGTACCTTATTTATGACAAGTACTACTTAATTTATTTGAATCATTTGCTTTTAATAAAAGTTATTTAGAACAAAGATTGCATGAGTAAAAGCTTTTTCTCTTTGAAAGGAAAACAATGGAATAATCTTGGTGCGTACAGCTACTTTGCTGTTGGTGGGCACATATACACCAGAAATGAGTCCAAGTATTTGTGTTGAGGCAGTTGAAAAACTAGGTTAGTTTTACTACCTGTTTGCATGAAAAATGACAATTTAATTTTGTTTAGAGTACTTTGAAGAAATAGAGTCCCATACTTGCCTCTGGTTATCAAGATTGCCACCATACTAATGTTTTTTTTGTCTCTTTTTTACTCTGCAGCAGACTATTTCAGGGAAAAAGGGAAGTGATCAGTGCAACACAAATCACTATCCCATATGTTATAAGACAGAGTGTTCCAGGATTTTTTAGAATTGAAATTTATCGATTGATCCAGCACACATTTCTTGTAGAAACAAATATGTGATTCACATTTGAAACAATTTGTTAGAGCCGTGGGAGAGGAAAACAATCTGCAACCAATATTGACGGAAAGATAAAGTGTATTCAGCACAACCTATGCAAGAAAATATGGTAGTTTATTTATTTTAACTTGAAAACTTTTCAATTACCTTTTACAATTATAATAGAGTAATTTAATAGTGTAGCCTTCAACTTAAACAACATGTTTACACAATTCCTTGATGATGTACAGTGTGCTTTGTTGAAGAAAATCCTCGAAAACAGTGTTTATTATTATTTTTATCTTTAAGTTGTATTAATTCCTAGTGGTTAGTTATTTAGAAACTTTATTTGGAAACACCATTAATTTTACCATGGTGCAATTTTGAAACTTGAAATCTTCGGACAAATTTGGTTTTTCTTCACAAAAAAACAAAATTTTGGCCAACACTTTGAACAAAAAAAAAAAACTCCATCTAAAAGTTTGAATAAAGGAAATAATATAAACCATACTGATGTAACTTAAGGGAAAAAGAAAAACAAAAATTGTCAAGAATATATGACAATGAAACTATTTAAATTACAAGAAGATCTTAGGCATCATGAAATCTAAAGCCACTTGATGGGCACAGAGATGGACAGAAATAATTTTTGACTGAAAAAATGTGTGGAAAAAAGGCTTTAGTGATTTTGAGGTAACATCTACTTCTCCCATCTGTTTCACAAGAGACTACAAAACAATTTGGAAGGAGAATGTAGTCAATCAGAAGTCACTAAGGCTTTTTTTCATCTACTCTTTAATGTAACTTCAAGTAGACCTGCTTTCCCAGAGTAATCCATCATGTAAGTCAATACAAACCAAAAGAAACAGAATAATTCACTTCTACCATAAGCTAGCCATAAAATGCTCTCCCACATTTCCTCCTCCATAAAATTCCCTCAAAAAATACAAAATGGCAAACCAGCCAATAAAATATCATAGTTCACTGTCAGCATGAGCAGAGCCTTCCATAGCTCATCAGCTTGACTCACAAACTGTGATAGCTCTTATTCCTACCCTGCCACCACTTGAACACTAAAATAAAAATCACAGTCAAAAAAGCGCCCAAAATTATTCCTCCAACAAATGAGGCACCATCAAACTTTCTACTGCTTTCCTTTGTGCCAGGCTCAGAAGGGACAGGAGCTGATGTTGTTGTTGGGGTTGGTTTAGTTGAAGTGGAACTTGGGATGGGCGTTGTCGTTGTGGATGGTAGTATCCTTGTAGTTGTACTAGGTGTGGAAGTAGTACTTGAATTGCTTTTAGATTCTGCTGTGGTAGTTTGACCTGATATAGCTAAGAAGAAAAAAGTTTGCTTTGATCATTATTTTCATTTAGAAATAAAAATATGTCTGGTACAGACTGCCTTTCAAATTACAGCTAGCCACTAAATTTTCTTGTGACTCACTGATATTCAAGAGATCAAAATAATTTGAACTCAATTGCTTCATTCCTTACAGGGTCACAGGATTTATCTCTTGAAAAAAAAAAAGAAAAGGAAATTTCACATATTCATCTTACACAAACAAGTCCAATTTGTAAGTCATAATCATTATTATGCCACCTATCAGAGTGAATATGTGTAGGGATATCACATCTTGCTTTTTACAAGTTATGCTAACAGGTGTGGAAATCTGTTCCACCAATGAGAAAGAAAAATACATTTTTTTAACCTTTGGAAAGAGCAATACCACACAAAATTCACTTCCAACTGAAATAAATTTGTCAAATTTTTTTTGAAAGACAGCAGTAGATTAAACTTCACAAACACATGTTAGTGCAGGCAACTTGTGACAACCATTAAAAATTATGGTTAAATGAACATCATAGAAAAAATTGCAAAAGCCAGAATTAAACAAATTTAACAAGAACGGGATAGAGTTAAGACATATTGTGGAAAATCCCTTAAGAAGTTAGGCAAACTAAATTCTGGTAACCTTTGAGTTGACAAAAATTAAATATAGGAGGTCTGTGTTTGGATTTTTCTGTAGTACAGTGCTCAATACGTAGAAGTAGAGTGCGATATATATTGAGATAGGGGAAAAATAAAGAGACTATACTTTCCTCCCAACAAGCCTGTTTCATGACTGCTCACTCATGTGGGGATTTTATTGCCCAGAATGTTCGTAGCCATTATTTATATACTTTACAAATTTGTGGCATGGTAGTAAATTTGAATGCTTTGTTCAATTGTTATGCAGTAATGCTTTGTTTCTGTGGCAGCATGAGGACACAAGTTCATTATGTTTATTGAGTGATGATAATTCAGGTAGGCAGATGATAAGTAATTTTTCTTTGAGGCAGAGGTTGCATCTTTTGCTTATGCTGTTGTAGGGTGATCTTGATGAAAGGATGCGCCATGAAATTAAGTGGTTATTGTTATTTTCTTTAAGGGTCCAGATATGTTTGCTAGGATTGGTAGAGTTTCTGTGTTTTGCATGTCAGAATGATGCGATTTGGTTTCTGTATCTAGTCTTGAAGTTGTTTTCTGTAAGTCCAATGTATGTTTTAGTGGTGCTGTTGTCCTTATGTGTGACAGTGGCTTGCTAGATTAGTGATGATTGGAGGCAGTTTCTGTTAAGTGGGCATGGGTTCTGTCTGTGGTTGCAAGTTTTGCTGTCTTTTATGTTGGTGTTATATGTGGTGTCCTCAATGTGTTTGGATGAATTTAAAATACATTTGTTGTGGTTGTTGATAGTCTGTTTACTATTATTCATGCAGCTGTAACTGATCTTGATCGTATTACAATTAAAGATTTTTCTAAGTTTGTGGTCTTTAGGGGAGTGCTTGTCTACTAGGGCAAGGAATCTGTGTCTGATATTGGTGCTGATGCTTTTGCTGAATGGGGGGTTGTACCAGAGTATGTTGTTCCATTGTCTGTTTTTCCATTTGTTAGTTGTAGGTGGTGTGTAATGTAGAGTGCACTGGGATCAAATGTTTTGTTGTGGTTTCCACCCTGTCAGCAGCGATGATAAAAGAACGAACTTTTACAAACTAGAACTGTTAACATACAACAATCTACTAGAACAGATTGTCGACAACCACAACAAACGCATTTTAAATTCAACCACACACATCAATGACACTGCATATAACACCAACACAAAAGACAGCAAAACTTGCAACTGCTAACAGAAGAACATTCACTAATCTACCAAGCCACCATCACATGTAAGGACAGCAGCACCACTGAAACATAGCACAGAAACTCTACCAATCCCAGCAAACATATCTGGACCCTTAAAGAAAATAACATTAACCACTTTATTTCATGGTGCATCCTTTCATCAAGATCACCCTTCAACAGCACTAGCAAAAGATGCAACCTCTGACTCAAAGAAAAATTACCTATCATCTGCTGACCTGAATTATCATCATTAAATAAACGCAATGAACTTGTAAGTAATTTAGTGTTAACAACTGAGTTGAAAACATAAATTGGCCAGTGTAAAGAGTAAAAAAGCTGACCTTTTGAGCGTTAGCCCTCTGCCAATTGCTCTGATGAGGGGCTAATGCTTGAAACGTCAGCTTTTGTACTCTTTACAGTGGCCAGATAAGATTTTCAACTTGGTTGTTAATACTAAATTACCTGCTAAACTCTCCCACTGATGTAGCACCACATTTTCTTTAGAAACTTAACCCCTTTAGTAATGAACTTGTGTCCTCGTGCCGCCACAGAAACAACGCCTAACTGCACAACTGAATGATACATTTAAATTTACTGCCATGCCTATTATGCAAATTTGTTAAGTGTAGAAACAATGGTTATGAATATTCTTGACAATAAAATCCCCTGATGAGTGAGCAACCATGAAACAGGTTTGTAGAGATGAAAGTATAGTCTCTTTGTTTTTTCCCTATCTCAATATATATATATAAAATCAATATATATATATATATATATATATTTATAAATCCTTGAGAAACAAATTATAATAATTGATAAAAATTCAACTCAAAAAATTTGTATTATGCCTAAGATTTGTTCACATTTTTATTGGTCACGTTGGATCACTGTTAGCGGGTGTGAAACGAGATTAGTTCACCAATGACGTGGTAATGACACTTGCAAATATTTTTGGAATTATTCATAAACTGCTATGTTTGCTGACGCTTAGTGCTGATTAAAAATATTGAAAACTCACCTACTTCCTTTCGCATTTCAATAGATCTGTTAAGGATTTTGTTCACGCTCAGATTATCATTTTTATTCGTTTAAACATCACTTTGAGGAAAAAATGGTCCCCAGTAACAAGTATAGATTCCAAGAAGTTATTTGAATAACATGAAACTTCCAACATAGATACAGATGCATATACTCTGTTTCAAGAAAGCTACACTGAAATATTCTTTATACTTAACAGATATTAGGCCTACTTTGAGTGTACAAATAAATTTTCCTTTTCTTTCCGATCACTGCGGCTGTATGGAGTATATCGCTTTATGTCGACAGCCGCTTGTTGAAGCGAGCATAAAATTCGTACAGTAGTTACAGGTCGTGCTGTCGATTATTGATTCGTTTCGGACTATGAAGTCAATTGATCCGACTAAACTATGTTAATGGTTCATAACAAACTAATTTAAATGGTGATGATTTGAAAGAGATAGTCCGAATATTTTAATCCAGATTTCCTGATAATCAAATTTAGTTCACCGACACAGTAGACGTTGTCTATAGCAGTGAAGAGGACACATCGATTTGACAGAATACGTACATACCTGTTAAATGTATTAAATAAACTGCAATCACCAGATATCCCAAAACATGCATCCTCGTCCGCCGTAAAACACTGCTCAAGGCCATCTTAAGGAAACAGAAAAAAATCAGGACACACCAGACTGTCCCAACTAACAAACGCTAGCTCTCCCTTCCCTTAATGCTATCGGAATAGTATTAAATTTCCATTTGAAGAGAGGTTGAGGGTGGGGGGAGGGGAGGGGAATGACGAAAACAAAAGATCTGACGCTAATGCCAAAAATGTCCTTAAATATTGTCGTTTCGTAGTTTTATTGTCACTTGAATTTATTTAATTATGTCCAGTAGTTAATTTCTCACACAAAAGAAATATCATGTGTATTTTAAGGCTGAAAAAGTATTCATTTTTATTGAAAATTAAACATCCCCTGCCCAGTCGGGAGTGAATCGGTGTTGCTACGTATGCCGAAAGGTATTGAAACCGCTGGTCGTGGAACACTTCGTTAAAAACATCGACCCTCAGACTGAAATATACACAGTAGGTCAAAAGGAGTGGGAATGTTGGTTTTTCTTAGATCGAAAGGCTAGTTTTCGTAGCAGACCTGTACGACTTATCTAAGTTGAGATTCGACCAGATTTCGAGATTTGGATTTATGTCCCAAGATTGTTAAATTGTTTAGTTGAGGATTTGAATGTTTTATGAAATTGACGAGATCTTACCCACCTTCTGACTGGTCAAAAACCAATCTTGTTTTTGTACTAGTAAACTTGTGGCTATTTTAATGCATTAGGCTGTCCTTTTGTATTGGTTTACTGCGGTGATAGCCCACCTAGGTTGCTGGAGAAACACATACTTTTCTCTTCTTCTAAAAAACTTCTCCTAAAATCTTAGTAGATCTATAGTACAGCCTTGTTTCACCAAAAGATTAAAATAAACACAACCGGTTTTATATGATTATAAAACAGATGTGCACTACACAAGATGAAAAAAAATGCAATTACCCTGATAATACCAGATATGCTAAAGATGAAAACTGGAAAATTGGTGGCCTACAGTCCTGTAACTAATTATTCCTTTCAGTAAAACCCAAGAAGAAACTGGCACTCAATACACCTTCAGTGAACATTGAAAATAATTTCCCAGACTATTAGTTGTTTATCCCATCTTCTTGGCATTAGAAAGGTTAAAAGTAGTGGAGCAGAAGTGGGCAGTTGTTTGTGACCTGAGGCATTAAAGGGCTTTCTGGGAACAGAGCTGTGAAGCCAAATTGTGCTTGCCTTGGGTCTGGCCATATTTGTAAGAAGGGTTAAATATGTCATTTTTAGGTTTAGAGAAACAAACAAAACAAAGAAAAAGAAAGAGGTAAATATCCATCCATCTTGGTCAGGGAAGCTTGGTCATTACAGTGTTAGCGAACATAGCCTGCTCCATACAATACTTTTCTTTCAGCTAATTAATACTTTTAAATTTGAGCTTTTTTCTTTCAGTTACAACTACTTTTAAATTTGACCTTTGTATTTTTTGAGGGAAAAAAATTAAGTGTGCTTCCTCAAAAGGGGGGAGATACCTGCAAACAGCACATTGTCTCTTTCTCTGGTATCCAGTCAGAATTGACAACTGACACAGGATTTGCTTCATTTTGCCCACTTGGAAATACAATTCAGCATTAAGTCATTTAATATGAGAAGCTGTTTTAAACTATCAAAGATATTAACCTACAGTTAAACAATATTTGTACAGAGGCATGTATCTATATACGGCTCTTGGTATCTAGTACATCCTGTTATCTAAAATTCTAGGCCATGTTTGCACAGGATGGGCTCGCATCTCAAAATTATTTTTATGGGCTTGTTCTCCCAGGGATGCATTCCTATAACTGGGACCTGTTTCTTGAAACTCCTGGTAATTACCAGTTGTGAAAAGCTGACTGTTGATCTTGTTTACATTCAATATCAAGATATCAAAGACAGACTTCCTGTCAAGTGATAAGTCACCTGACGATGAGATAACCATTTTTAGGCTGCTTTTGAAATTTCTTAGCAAGTACTCTCATGTGCAACTATTTAACTCAGATTTGGTTGATAATAGACAGTTTAAGAAGCCATTTAAGGACAGAGCCTTGCTTTCATGTTGAGGGTCAGGTTGATGCAATTGCCTCCCAATATCTTCTTCCCTAACCACAAATAAATTGTAAAAAGTACCTCATTTTAAGGGTAGGCATTACTATGTAAGATTATGGCAGTAAACTTTTTCTGCGAGTTAGGTTGTGCATATTGCTATTTTTTGGAACTCTGTTATTCAACTATAACTTCATAAAAACACAAAATATTCTTACTACTGGTATCTTAACTTCATTCTTGATCAATAGTGCACATGTATTTGGCAAAAATATTTACACAATCAGTGAAAGATTTAATTTTATTGCATTATAAACCATTCTTGGTCTGCAGTTTTTGGGCAAGAGTTATAAAATATTCTCCAAATTTCATTTGAAATCAATTATCTCAGTCTTCTGGTCTATCCTATCTAATGTCTTCTAGAATCAAAAATTTGTGAGTTTACAAGGTAAATATATAATATGATTTAGAACATCACAAAGCAGTTTACTTTCACAGGAAAATTAAATTCTCCCCATCATGCACTCACCCTGGGTTTTGAAGATAATGGTTCTTTTGTTTCTGTGATTATGTAAACAGTGCTAAATGGTGCACAGAATAAGAGCATGACAAGGGACACAAATACAAGTTTAAACAAACCCAGGGTAACATTCCAATATGTTAGGTCATGCAACTGTGGCAACCAGATTGTAATAATACTAGCTGTCTCTCACTGGGAGCCAATAGTTAGTGATTGCCTTTAGACAGCCAACAAACTGCCCCCATTAAATCCCCAAAAAATTTATTGAAATTTAGCTGACCCATCTTTGTTGTAACTTACGCTCAAGATAGCTTAGAACTATTAATAGCAGCACAAGCCCTAACAAAAATGAAAACAATTGTTGGTGAGCCGCCACATCGGTATTCTTCTGTCACAATTGTTACCCATGCAGCAGGATTTGATTACAGGGAAATCACAAAGAAAATCTGACAGCGAAGACATAATATCGCAAACAATATTTAGCAAGGCATTGCTCGCCTGCCGTGACATGAAAACATCCAACCATATGAGCCAGATCATATTGATAAATCGTAAAAAACAATGATAACAATGGAGCCATGACGCCTCACCCGAAGAATCCCGTTCATGCCTAATCCTTCCGAGGGAGTGATAGTAAAAATTTTGGCGTCGAAGCAATAATTTAGAAACAAGAATCACAGTTAAATTAGTAAAATAAACAGTAAACTTGCCTCAATATGCGAGGTATTTCGAATATGACACACTACAGTACACGTTCAACCTCATTCTAGAAGGATTTTGCCTTAGCAACGAAGAAAAAAACACAGGCTCGCGTGTCCATCCCTGTTCATTGACGATCGCAATTCGCCCGAGACGAAAGGGCTTAAAAATTACGGCGGGAGAGGCTCGCCGCAACACCGCAGTACAAACAACAAATATGTGTCTTGTACAAACGCACGAATGAAAGAAAGCTACATTTTTATAGGAATTGAAAACTTAACGATTTGAATATTACGATAGAAAAAAATAAAATAAATGTAATCATTCCCCAGAGCAAAAATCTAGAATAGACTGCAAGAGGAAAATTCGGGACTCTAAATCTGCATTCGCTTAGCATTCAAATCACAAATACGTTGATGTAAATATCAAACTCGTAATAAAACACGTGTACACACACTGTTCTTTTGTATGTCGTTTACGAAGCTACTGGCTCACAAAAATCGGAAAAAATCCACACAAATTATGGTTAATACAGACCTAATTCCCAGTTCTTTTAAGACTACATTTATTACCGCTGTCTCTGCAAAAATCGATGATCATCAAGGCTTCTTTCGCCTCTGTAGTGGATTGGGAACCTTCATCCATCGAGACCAGGCATCTACTATCACTTCATCTGATGGCGAGGTTCTTGTGAACGCTTCGACATTGATATCTGGAGTTTCTCCTTCTTTGCCACTAGCTGCATCCAAGTACTTATGAATGCCTTCGAAATCTTCGGGAATATCAAAATCTTTGAAGACTTTGGCCACCACTTTGATGTGCAACAATTTGGGAAGCAAGATACAGTCGGGAAGACATAAATTTTCGCCACCGAGAAATCTCTGGGGCTTTTTCGAACGAAGAAAGGTATCGAGCGCTGCAAGTTCCTCTATAAGATTCGCTTTAAGCCTTTCATCTGTGTTTGGGTCTGTGTTCTTCGCCAGCTGATTGAACTTGTGGTAAACTCCACTACCAGCACCTTTAAACACAAGATGGTTTACTTCGTCGTTCGCGCTTCGCAATGGATGATCGGGAGAGATTTTTTCGATCAAGGCCTCGATTTCCGCGGGATCCTCCACAGGGTCGTTTTCAAATAGCTTCAAAGCTGGTAATTTTTTCATGTTTCTACTCTTAATCGCATCCACGAGGCGGATGTTGACCCGCACATCTTTCAAGACAAACATCATCATGAACCTCTGAGCAAAAACGTCCGCTCCGAACTCTGAATCATTGATGGTCGAGGCCTGTTGGACGACAAACGAAATGATCAGTGAACAAGCCATCACCAAAAAACTCAAAATATACACTCCAGAAGATGTGCAGTACCTTCACATACAGCGTTATATCCCCCTGATCAGCCATTTCGGAAACAAACAGCAAAATAGAGCGTACAAAAGTCTCGCAACCAACACAACTGCTCAACTCCACCGATGAGGATAGTAACTATTTGATTTCATGGCGCACCCATTCGCGTACCCAGGCCTACCTCGCCGTCCTGTATTTATTTTCAGGGAGGAGTATGTGGGGATTCTAATTTATGAGGCAGACTTGAAGAGTGATAGTTTAGCCATTATGACGTCATAATATACGTCATATGTAGTAAGCATGGCAGAGCGATTTATCTCTGTATTTCTATTTTTTTTGACTTAGTAGAGCTCGTCGAATCGTAATTTTAACAGCTCCACATCCCCAATGAAAAAAAATCCATTTACGAAAAATGAGGTTAGAGTCCAAACTCCGTAGAAAATGTGTATTAAACTTGTTGAATGAACCACAATATTTGTCTCAAATAAAGAACCCTTAAGCTTCTTAAAATTTCAAATAAAGGAGTAACAGATTCACGCGAATGAAAGCTAAAAAACAACTGACTAACGAAAAACAAAATAAAAGTACGCGAAAAATGTCCACGTCAGTTTCCCAATGTCAAGGTTAGAGTTCTTTGACGTATCGGCTAATTTGTGAAATCACGCGCGCTGCGTGTGAATATAAAAAGAATACGAAGGGGGGAGAGGAAGAGAAAAATTGTCAATTGAAAGAAATTTTCTACGCCCAAGAAAAAAATTCCAAAACAATAACGATTCTCACAACGAAACTTTTTAAAGCCGATGACCCATACGAAAATGAACTTTGAAACGTTATCACAGAAGACAATCGGAAGAAGTTTTCTGGAACCTTGACCATTTAACACTACGACACCATATATTTTTTTTTTAACTTTCGCTCCCAGAGCCACTCGTTTCCAGATGTTATACGAGGAATCTACGAACGAAAACCCTGAGGCTCTTTCTGATTCCGATATGGCCCCTGGAGGTCTGGCAAATCTTACCATTTTGATATTTTAAACGAACAGCGAAGAAAAGTCTTAATTCTCCATGTTTCCGAATGAACTAAAGTCTAAGTCATTTAAATTCTGAATCATTCACTTCGTTGATAAGTTTTTTCTGGCCTAGTCACAACTGAAACAAAAAACAACAACTATATACCATAGTGAACAAGCCAGAAGTGAAGTAATCCTTACAGGTAAAAGAGCCTTGAAATAATACCAGTAATAAAGTTGCCTATGCAGTTGTGGCCATGTCATCAGAATGGATAACAAAACGACCACAACGCACCAGGGAAGGCACTAATGTTGAGTGAGCTGGTAGTGAGCTAACGACATTAAGTCCCCTCTTAAATGCATTGGTTTTAGTGATCGCTAATTAAGAAAGAAAAGCAGACAACCGGCATTATGCACAGCACGTGTTAATTATTTATTTACCTTTTTTAATAGGAAGAGCATCGATGAATAAATAAGAACAGAACAAGCTATATTTGGAAACGACTTATTTTAAGACCTGTGTTACGAAAATGCAAATCCACATTTTACGTTCAGTGTAGTTATCAAGACCAAAAATATTTTTACGTGTAAATCAAGCAAATTTTAGCAACAGCACTGTGTACCTAGACAACTGAAGAGGTATTTACAGTCATTCTTCGATCTTCTCCTTCAGGTCTCTCGATCGACGAAGCAATGTAGGAGTGGCATAGGTGATAGACACGTCCATATATTTGAAGCTCACACTTATTATCCTATTTAGCGGTTAAGATTGTGTAATTACCAGAGCGACTGTTACGCAAGGCTAATGGTGCATAAACAACGGGCGATTATACAAACACTTTGAAATTTCAATAAATGGACCAATTGTTTTGAACTGCCAAAGCTCGATGTCGATTTTTCTATAAAAGAAGTAATAGAGCAATTTAGGAATATTTTTAAGCTTATCAGTGAAGCCAAATATGATTTTCCTTCGATAGAATAACCGTTATCACGGTAGTCTTTGTGTTTCAGCGCAGAGCCGTGTGTTAAGATAATTAATCAAAGCGAATCTACAGAGGATCACTATTATAGCTCCACGATACTTTATGACTTTGTTCGTAGGAACCTCTTTGCGTAAGATATAGAGAGGAAGCTTGGAAACGAGGGAGCATGCCATGAAGATAAGTAAGTCCAATTTATTGTACTGGTATCAAGTCTATCAAGCCTCATAGAAGACGCGACTCGCTTGTTCTTCTTGAAGCATTATATTAAAATGTTCGTTCCGCACTTAACTTGTGTTATCTAGCCGCTAACACTCTAAAGTTTTCTTTCGTAGCCCTCTAACAAAGGCACAGTTGCAAACTTCCTGGACCAATGCTCTTTGATTAGCTCATCTGACGGGCACGTGTCCCGGAACACCACTTGTTTCTCGCCAGCATGAATATAGTCCCAGACTCCTTCGAACTTCCCTGGTATCTCCAGGCCCTTCAATTCTTTAGCAGCCACGCGAACGAGGAGGAGCTTGGGTAACAAGCTACAGTCGGAGAATCTCAAAGAATCACTTTCCATAAAAGAACTATCACTGCTCAGCAGAAAGGAATTCAACTCCTCCAATTTCTTCAGCAGGGCTGTTTGAAGACCGGGATCTTTTGCGGGGTCATTATTTTTGATGAGGGCGCAAAATTTTTGGAAGATATTGCTACCAGCGACAATAGCCTCTCTGTTGTTGCTTCTGATTGGCGGGTTCGGGAACCTTTCCTCCAGATACTTGGCAATGAGTAGAGGATCATCAAGAACCAAGGCCTCGTCTGGATTAAGCTGATGAACAAGAACAGGGACTTTCCCAGTAGAATTGATTTCAAGAAACTCCTTGGACTTCTTTTGGATGTTGAAGGGCATGATTAATGGCTCGATGTTCTTCAGCTTGCAGATCATTCGAACCTGGTGGGTCAGCGGACAAGCCGCAACGGAAGATTCGTCCGCAGCAGCCTGAAAATGAATAGGTATCTGAGGTGAAATCTTTGCTGCGCTACAAAATGGAATGCATTGATGCATGAGGTGCACAGCGCTCCTTAAAGTAAGCAGATGATTGGACATATTTGCCTCTCAAAGTATGTCCGACTGCGAAAAGGAAAGAAGTGAGAACCTTGTGATGATTACCCCACCGCCCATGGTAAAAAGTGATTATTCTCCTAAACCCTCCCATGATTTGAAGATATAAGATTGTGGCCAGTAACAAGTATTCCGTTAGCTCTGCAAAAATACACTACCCCGATGACTTACAGTTGCGGCTTATAGAAATAATTATCATTGTCCTGAAAATTTCTATCATTGACTTATCACCTTTTCCCACATGCAAGTTTCGCTGTTAGAGATCTGCCCACATGGCTGTATGTTAGAAGCAGATATCCATGCTAATCTTCAATGGCGGCGAGTTCTGGGATATTCTCAATCTAAGAGTTGTTATGACTCCTTCAATAATCTCGATGAGAATTTCTACACCGAGTTAGTTCATGATCACCCAAGCTTTATCTAGAAAAGACTGGCGATATTAACGTGAAGTGTTTATAGCGATTGTTATTTTGTGTTTAATTAATACCTTATTTAGCGTGGGCATTATGTTTTATTTCCAGAGATTGCCTATATTGACGTCATCTTGGACTATACGTGCACAGAAACAATACAGCGCACTCAGATGGATAAATTTCCCACGAGGTCCTGGCTGATCGCATCAGTTGTCAAAATGCACTAATTTAAAGAGACAATTTTTCAATCTGATTGAAAAACTTTTTGCCGAAATTGGTTTTATCGACAGGTTTTTTTGCAATCAACCATGCATGTATCCCTATTACTTTGATACCATTTTGCTGAAGTGATTCTATCTTACATGGGACATTTTTGACAGTAATTAATGAAAAAATTACGTTAATTGCGATCCATTGTGTCACTCGAAAGGACTCAGGGTTTCATGCAGCGAGACAAACTCGAAACGGATTTTTACTGGTAATCGACACGTTGAAATGCATGATCAATGTTTGTTTCCATTTGATTCGCGCATGTTTTGTGGTACATGTGACTAATTTATTACTAGAAAGTACAAAGCTACTTCATAAGTTCTGAAATAACTTAATTGCTATCTACTCTTTCGGACCTACTTCTGGCTCGTCGAAAACTAATAGTTAAAGGTTTGAGAGGTATTTAAAACAAATAGTTGCATTCGTGTGCTCATTACGTGATAAGTATTCAGTTCTATATTTGTTTAACTAGCTTACATATTTCTTGTAATTTAATTGATCATCGAAAGTTCACTCACCCTTACGAGAAGATAAAACCCTGGTGTTGTTTCTGATCCGTTATACATGTCGATGTGTTGATCCTGAGTTAAAATAAGTTGATTGAATTGGTTTGAACGCAGATTCCTTGATATACTCCAGCTGTGATGAAAGACGCATTCAATGGTAAAGAAATAAGTTCAGAGAGAGTTTATTCATTAAGCGAGGCAAAATGAAGGTAATCGCCCGTAAAATTTATGCCTTTGTTAGAACTTTCACGAAAGACCAGGACCCAATTAAAATAGCTGATTGGAGTTACAGCAACAAACAACAACGCAAACAGTTCAACGAGAAGTCTCATTTCAAAATAAGTTGATCTACTAAGTCTAACGCCTGCTATTCACCCTTCTAAGCGGTCGAAGCGGTACATGCCAAACCGAGAAACCTCGTGTCATTTCACGACGGAACCTCCATTGTAACATTTAACGTACGTACTTTTTAACAAGATGAACGGTTATCTAAACCAATAATCATGGATCACTACTTCCTAGATATAGAAGTACTGCACTTTAATTTGAAAATAAGTTTATCATAAGTTTAGAGGTACTTGAGGACGAGTTTTCTTGACACGCAACTAACCAACATTCAGTTTGAAAAGAAATTCACTCAAGCGCTATTCCTATCGAGGAAAAGAGCTTTCTAGCAGATTACTGATTATCTTTTCAACTGAAACAGACACTTTGTTAACACCAGCGTTACCATGGTTATCGAAGACTAGGCTACAGAGCGTAAGAATTCAGCTTCCTTAAATTTTGCTGCATGGGATGGGAGGGAAAGTTTAATTCTCACCATAACAAAGGAAGATATTCAGTTTCGTTTAAATCTTGCGTGGACGCCATCTTTACAACTTGCGAGGGCTATTTTCTAGTGAAACTATTCTAAATCAAACAATTCTGTTCTTGAGGATGACCTACACTAAGGAAAACTTAACCAGCATAGACGTAGGTCAGTCCGGTCTTCGATGCCTCTCGAAGTGATGCCATCTTACCTGTAAAATTCGCAATTTTCAACTTTCAGGGTAAGAGCGCGGGCTCACATCGCCTCAAAGCGGATGGTTCGGCGAGTCTAAAGAGTCACCGAGCGGGCGGGAGACAAGATAATCTCGAATCCCTCGAGGTTCTTTGAAAGGTGTCAAATCGAGATTCACTGGTTCAATGTCTTTCATGACCGGCGACAATTTGCTTGGTGTGTTTCTCCAACACAGAGAGTTTTAATTTCCGTCACTCCTGCTCCGCCCGTGAGTTTCCCAATAGCCTTTCCCTGGCTTGACACGCCCTGATTCCACGTTGTGAACCTGTGCCAAGTCCTTCAGCCCGCAGGGATGCGAGCGAAAATTTCGAACACGCATTCAATAAAATGGCGGCCATGTTGGTGCATCAACTCAGTGCTGTGGGATTTGCACTTTTTCCTCATGTAAATTCTCTCTTTTTTTTTCCAAAAGGTTTGCGCATAGCTGGTAACCAATTAGATGAAAAACGATCCATAGGTATAATTAGCTTGAAACATAGTTGCTTTACGTCTCCTCCCACTTTTATAGATACTCGCTGACACGTATTTCTGTCCAAGAGTGATCTTTATTCGTAATCTTTCAAAACATAATTCTGCATCAGTTAAAATCATCTAGTTGGGTTACTATAATACAATACAAGTAAGAAAGACATCTTTCATTCCTCTCTGCAATTGAAACCTCTTAAAATGACCGTGAAAAAGTACAGGAAGATGAATTATAATAAAAGTTACAGTTTCGTAACAAAATTACATTTCCCTTTTTTCATACTCGCCTTTTGCAAACTATATGTACGCGCGGTTCCCTTTAAATAACTCACAATTTCACTTCAAAAATGTATATCAAGTACACAAATAATTAGAATCGATTGTTGTCGCATGATGTGTAATAATCTGTTGACTACGTTGTTTTCAGTCGACTTCTCGTTGAGTAATTTTGCCTAAAGTAATCCCTATAAACACGCAACAGAAAAAAAGGAAAAGATTCTGTGCAAGTCACTAACATTCCAAATTGCACATTAAGGTTTCCATAAGGTGCTAGGCTCGAATTTCATGAAAATTAAATATCACGTGTTCCTTTGCTTTCAAAATAATAACTCTGTTGGAAATTTTGTTGCACTAACAATCTCTGAACTAATGTAGCTATGTAATCTGTGCAGCTGCCTTTTTCTAGCAGCTGTAAGTGATTCAGAGTGAATTAAGGATTGCTTTGATTTCAAAGTAAATTATCTATCTAGAGGTGTCCCAAAGGCGTTCCACATCGAATATTCCACAATCCACAATTACACAGGTGGACTTGGGCCGTTCGTTGAACGTCTCTTGTTTTTCCAGTTCGTCAAGAACTCTTGTACCCTCAATTACTTGTCTACGAATAAGAGCGGCGGCCCAAAGTTAGTTTTACCTAGCTAACTTAAACTGTTCATTTTCATTTGACTTCTATCATTAGACATCCATGCAGACTTCTAGAGTTCAATTTATAGGATATCTAATACATAAAGCGCCCTCTCATTCGTTGATAGGTGTGGTTAGATAAGAGTCTAGTAACGCGGTTGCAAGGTCACGCTTTCATTTTTCTGATTTTTTTTTTAGAAATATTTAACAAAAGCAAAAGGGCAGTGATTTTCCATGTTTTAATACATAGAGCTGTGATTCTTACCCGAAAGCAACATATTTCGTGTCCATCCAAGGAGCGGGCTGTAACGTGATAAAGAACTGAGATCCATTTGTATGCCGGCCCCTGTTGGCCATACCCACAATACCTCTCTTTCCATGCGGTATGGAAAAGTCCTCATCTAGAAACGACAACAAATAAAGGAGGGCTATCAAAAAACAGAACTATGTACAGACAAGAATGTCTATAAGGCAGGGGTTTCACGACAAGACTGTTACCAGCGGTCCACCGCCGCCTATAAGACTTCTTACTGCCTTCTTCACAGCAAGCGAGCAGGCTCATATGTGTGGATTTTGCGTGTCCTTCCACACGAGTGAATTGGGAACCAGCGAGAGCCTCTCAAGGAGTGCCTCTTCACAAGAAATTGAATTTCGAATTTCCTGTGTGTATACACGAACGCAGCATTCTAACTGGCCGATTGACATTGCATGACGAGACAAACCTTTGTTAAGTGTAAGCGTATAGCCTGCGTTACACACTCCCCTTCCCTTCTTCGTCTTAAAGAAATCAATAAAATGGCTATTCTCACTAAGTTGTTAATGGGATAATCCGTTTTGATCATCCTCATTCTTACCCATCTTCGACCCTATTTGGTATATTCCATATTCTTTTATGTTTCTCCACCCCTAAAAACTTTTATTTTAGTCTTAATATGTTGTGAAAAAGTTTCCTACGTCACTAACACAACCCCCCTACAATTACCTTCAAAAAGGGGCCCATATATTGACTCTCCTCCGGTTCCTTTTCCTCCTTCTATATCTAGAACACAAAATAAATATTGTTATCTTTCCTCAACACTCCAACAGAATATGATTTTCAATTAGGTGCACAAACAATCTGAATGCTTTCAGACGTAAATAGAGGTTCTGGCCGTAGTTGCATTATGAATGGCCAAGAGAACCTTCGGGGAGCTGCGTTCTGGATCAAACGTTTTAAAACTTTCAGCCAGTGCTGAATAACTAATTGGTCTAACGCAATAATCTACAATGTGGTAGAACTTCAAACAGAATACCAAAGCCAGAAAGATTGGAGAAAGTTTCAAGGATTTGATGCAATAGGGTGCACGCAGGTGTGCCTGAGTTTTAAAATGCACAGAAAAGTTGAGAGCAATGGAAAATCAACTAAGGCACAAGCAATTTCTTGGAAAACTTTCTTCTTCAATAATCAGTTTAAGCTAGAGAAGTCTTGCAACCAACATCTATGCAAGTTGACTGGTCAGTTTCGCAAACTAGACAAGAAACATTTGACTGAAAGATAACTCTTCTCTTTATTTTGACGGCTTTTCCTAAGTCTGTCAATTCCTCAAAGTTCACAGTATTTGATCTTAAGTTACCACCTGATTCAGCCACTTACTCTCTAAAGCTTCTGCTCAACAGAAATTTCTATGCAAGCTTAGAGTTCACAGTTCATAAAAATAAACATAATTACATGGAATATTGCGATATACTAAAGAGCATCTCATTCTAGTACCTACTATTACCATCATACAATGTAAAATGTGCTCTATTGCAATTACCTCCACCTTGTATCCAGCCATTAGGAACTATTCTGTGTAATATTGAGTTCTTGTACCACAGCTTCAGAGGAGGATCATGCCGCACTGATTCGGTCTGACTTCCTACACACAACTCACGAAAATTGTCACATGTCCTAGGTAGTCTTTCAGAGAACAACTGTTGAAAAGGAACTGTACATTAGAATTAAGGGCTCATAATATGTCTTCGTTCCGCTTGTCCCTGTGTAAGCTGTGTCTGTACTTTATTCAACTCTCTCTCTCCCACAGGCACATCCTAATTAATAGCCCGCTTTTTCCTTTTGATAGATATGAGCTTAAGGGCTGGGCGACAACTTCTAAATTCTCAAATTAAGAAATACAAGAATATGTCTTACTCTGTTTCATTTGCTGATATCTTTATAGTTTAAATTTCAAAGCTATCCATATCTCAACCTTCAATGTAAACACTACAAACAAATATCTTCTTTTCAGAACCAGTAACTACATGTAATAGGACTTTTATGAAACAAGCTCCAGGTTATAAAGAAACTAATCTTCTTCCTGTGAGCAGCAAGTATACCTCCTTGCTGAGCATGTACGTGAAACTCTCTTGGACAGCAAAAACTTCAGACAAACAAAAAAATAGAAATCTGGATGATATATCTATGCAGATACCTCAATCAACAGTCGTCCAATCTTTTGGTGGCCCACTGCTATGTCCAAGTAAACAAACTGATGCTAAAAGAATACAGTCAAAGCAAAATTTCATGAGTAATTGAAGTTTTGAGTGATCAAAGCCTTAGATAAATATGCACAACGTTACCTTGGTGGCAAGTAGATGGTCCTTGTATGCTTCTTTAGCCATGGCATGCCATAAAGGAAGAGGCCTAGCAAAAAAAAAACAAAATAAATATCACACTGAAAAAATTCTTTCTTGCAGTAATTTGGCTAAATGTAAAAGTACATACAGTTACCCTTAAAATTAAATGAAAAGCAATACATTTTTGTTATCCCAGGTCTAGTTAAACCGAAGATTAATGACAGAATAAACACAAGGGATACCAACATATTTTCAAATAACAAACCTGAACTCTCTATATCCATGGGTATCCAAGGCCCATTTTATAAAATCGTCAGGTCCTCCAATCAACTCTTCATCGAAAAACACAATGACATTTTCTTGAAAGCCCCAAACTTCTTTTCTCATTTCCTAGCAAGAGAGACAGCAATTTCCATTTATCTTCCATTTGTAGAATTAATAATTTCTTATGCTAGAATGTAGATTGACCGGAGAGCATTACATCACAATGAAAAAAAAATAAATGAGTAGTTTTCAATTAAGCAATGAAAGAAACAGAGCAGATTCAGAAAAAGAGACCTACATTCAATTTGAGTGCCCCTGTATCGAGTGAAAGCAAGAAAAAAGGAAGCAAAAAGCACATGAGTTGTAAGAAGATATGGCTGGCTTTAGTTTTCTTTTTCTTTTTTAGTCAGTATATGAATTTTAGCTATGTTTAAGTATCATAAAGTAGGATATGGTTGTAAATTTGTAAATTTGTAAATTTTTATCAATAATGTATAATTTTGTATGATTGTAAAGTGCCTTGAGCAGAGAATACAAGCGCTATATAAATAAAGTTCTTATTATTGTATTATTATTGTTTCAGAAAGCTTATAATTTTCCATTTAAATACTTTAGACAGATTTAGGGGCCTTCTCAAACAAGATGCTTTATTTCTGAGATCCTAACTTCCACCATTTTCTTCAGCCCAAATACCATGATCTTCATTTTCAAATCAAGAGCATGGAACTTGAAAATGTTCTCATAATTTTATAAACAATCAAAACAGGTCAGCAGGAATAAAACCTTTACATTGTTGATCTTAAGCTGGGTTCAAATGATCATAATGTTTGATTATAGTTTCAACTATCATTCATTATCATTGACTATCATGTTTGCATTCAAACGATTCATGAAAGTTGATGCTAGTTGACAAAATCATGTAAATATGGCAAGCCCTGGTAGCATTTGAGATTTTACTCAAGAAGTTGCAAGTTAAAGATACTCAAGCCTACCAGGAGATAGTAAGAGTGAACTAGGAGACATTCTGCCAAGTGTTGATGGCTACTTTAATCATTGAAAAAATTTGCTGAACAAAAACCTACCAATTCACATCAATCCACTCAATCAAACAGCTAAAACTATCATCAACTATCATGTCAAATTTGAACTACATGATAGTTGACGATAGTTCATGTTCAAACGCACATTATAGTTGAAACTATCATCAACTAAAGCAACTGTTTGAACAGGGCTTTACACCCAAGCATCCCATATGAACAGTTAAAAGGGGATCCCTTTTGCTAACAGAACAGAAATGTCCAAATCAACAGTTTGAAAAATTTTTTCCTGCTAAAATACTGGTCTTGCATATAGAGTCCAAAAAAAATACTTGAAATATCAAACACCATAAAGAAGTAAATCAGTTACCATTTATGGAGAAAACAATCAATCCTGGGAAAACCTATTGAACTTTTTACATCTCTTATAAGATGAATCCTCCAATTGACAGGATTTATGATGTTTGGCTCTCTTTGTAACCTAAGCACAAACCTCATGATACATTATGTTTTCACCTAATTATATAAAAAATACACATATTTATCAAAACGAAAGGAAATGGTACAATTTAAATGGGAAAACTAAGCGATGGTATTTCCTATCATCTGAAACTTATGTTTCGGAATGAAATATGGAATTTTGCCTCTGCTTGTCTCAACTCTATCACGTGAATTTTGACCAGATGAAAACTTCTTTCAAATCAAACTCCGTTAACCAACCATAACATCTTATGGTTATCGCTTTTAAAAAAAATAATTGCTCTCTTTATCGTTTTTGTTCAAAGGAACTCATGAGTGACGAATGCCATGTGTTTGGAAAATGAATTGGAGAACCATTCATCAAAATCATTCGACCCAAAAATAAAAAATATTAACCAAACACGCCGGTTTATGCTTACATCAAGTAAGCTTTATGAATTGTACTTGGTTGGAACACGTTAAGTCTTATCACAAATGCAACAAACAATGTACTCTTGTACCTAACATGGTTATTCGAGATGCATAAAAAATCAACTAATATTGCAAGACTGGTTTCTTCCATAATACTTTCCAAACACTCAAGAGGTTTAAAATAAGGCACTAGCGTACCTGAAAGCTTCGAAATTTTGATTTATTTATAAACGACAGGTCACGCTGGAAATTTTTATAAGGTTAGCGTACTTTTCAATTGACGCCAAACAACAAGCTTACAAGAGAAATCAATTTTTTCTGACTGATCTCGGTGTCTTCCCTAGATCTTCAGTTCATTAATTTAAATAGATTCAAAATTGCTTCTTTCTATCCTACCTTCTTCTTATCTCGAATGAACGTATCCCAATCACACTCCAACAAACCCAGGACGTACGGCTCGGTGAAAACATCGGGTTCCCTCTGGCTAAGTTGCTGTTGTGATAAAATGAAAAAGTACATCAGACATGAGCATTATACTTTTATTATTGAAAACCTTCATAAAAATTCTCATTTAATCTCAATAATACCTCTGCAGCTCCTTTAATCATGTGAAATTCAGCATCTTTAAGGAGACCGACCACAGAAATCGTGTGTATGTCCGCCATTATCCTTGTTATTCCGAGATTCCCGGGCTGTTGTTGTCATAACAACAATGCTCTACGCATGCTCACGCTAGGTGGATCACGTTCGATCATGTGAAGCGTACGTGAAAAACAGGAACCACGTGGTACAAGGACAAAGTACAGCATTACCGACAAGTGACCTCGGAACCGCAGTTATAATGACCTACTCATCTAACGTAAGCTACGAATAATTTCACGACCAACTTTCCATCGTTTCGTTCTGATGTGATGCAGTTTTAGCAATTGAACAAATGCATAGCAGACGCTTGGTCAGAACATGAGTGAGACAAGAAAAACAATCGATAGAGAAAAAACACGTGATTCCTTAGTCACGCGGATAAAACTATAATGGCTGTCAGCGATGTGAGAACCGCAGCAGTTCCCTTTCCTTATTCGTTATCAAACGTAAGCGTTTGTTTGTGCTGACCTCATTTCAGGATTAGTAAAAAGATATATATATTGGAAAATATGCTCATTCCTCAAGCGCAGGTCACTCGTTTTACACAATAACATGCTGTAAAATTAAGTAATCAATTAGTCACTAATCGCATATATAACCGAATGAAGACACGCGGTCGCGTGTTCTCATTCAGCACAACTTTCACGACCGGAAATCCTTGAAACTGGCCCCCATTCAAACTGGGCCAATCCGCGCAAATAGTGCTAATAAATAAATAAATACCGGATGTGACGTCAGGCATGCTCAGCAATTAACAATTGGTTCATACGTCAGCGTGAAGCACGCGGGAAGTTTGGAGAGCACGAAAGATGCGTAAGAGTTGCTCTCGGCTACGCCTCGAGCAACTCTAGCTTCTTGAGTGCTCTTCAAACCTCCAAGTGCTTCATATCTCGATGAACGCACAGCTGACGTATGAACCAATTGTTTTATGACATTTTCAACCAGATGGAAATTTTCTTTTCGCGAGGGATTTGTTTGCTGACGTCATGAGCGTGCACAATAGGAATATGAAGCACGCTCGCGCAATTGAATTTGATTTTATAAATTTACTAGCTATGTTATAACACGCGTTAGCTACCACAAAGAACCTGCAAATTATTTTAAAACTGTAACCACATTCTTATTCAACGCCCTGGCTACAAGAATGACTCCTGGGAAATTAAGAGATGTGACCAGCCTATCGAATCATTCGAAAAGCGCCATTACATCGCCGACCACCATTTAAATGGAATCTTTCTGTCAGATAGTTGTTGAGCTTAGGCTGATGGCTGGGGGCCTTAAAAAGCCATTACTATCCAAAAGTTTCGATGGGGAAGAACTTTTTCCAAAGATATCTTACAGCCCGCTATCTGTATGCTCGAACCGATTGTACACTTTAAAGCTAAACTAACCACCATTTGCCTGAATTGCCTTGTAATGACGTAGTAAAGACTAGTTTCTACGAAGGAATCGAAATACCTAAGTGTGTCCAAGTGCCATTCAACATCGACAGAAGGTAAACTACGACTTATATTCGCAGATCAGATTTTAGAACAAGCTTCTAGTATCAAACTTTAAGGAAGTTTAATTGATATTCCCTTATCATGGCGTGATCGTATCGATTACGTCACAGGCGGCCCAAGCTCACGTCTCGAGAAAAAGCTAACGATTAATTCATGAACGCGTCACGCGTTGTGTGACTCGGTTGAAAATTTGAACACGTTATAAGGAATAGTATGGGGAACGAAATATGATCGATTTAAAACAATAAATATTTCGAAAAATCAATATCTTACAAGTAAAATCAATAAAACTTGCTTACATCTCGAGAGTTCGTTGTAGTTTCTGGCGATTTCTACCGTTTTAAGCTTGCTTTACCATCACTGTTATTTTGATATGAATAACACTGATGATAAAGCAAGCTTAAAACGGCAGAAATCGCCAGAAACTACAACGGATACACAGGGTATGAGTAAGTTTTATGGATTTTACTTGTAAAATATAAGAGGCCATAAGGGAGGGGGGGTTTACCGGGATAAAAAGTCTGCGAGATACTTTAGGAAAAAAGGAACAGAATACGGGTTATTTGAAATAGAGATTTCGGGATATCGTACTCGGGAATTATAAGGATACAAACCAAAGAAATTAATGGAAAACGGGATAATTGGGCCAAAAAGTAATAGGATATGGGATACTCTCCCACTACGCTTACTACCATTCCTCTAACAGGGAAAAAATCAAAATTATTCGTCTACAATTAGCTGGCAAAATGAAATTTGATTAGTGGAATACATTTCAAGCACGTGAAAATTGCCTTATGTTCACGCAGTGCGATGATTGGTTATGTTCTGATTGAACTTTGGACGTTTTTTTCGTGGTACGTGATGGAATATAAGTGGTTTGGTGAGTAGGGTGTGAGTAAGGGAGTGGTAAAACAGGTCTTAACTTAAAAATGAGACAAAATGTTAAATGCGAACCTTTCATATCCCGATAATCTCGACCTTAATTGACGAGACTCTCGCAAAGGCCACAAACCGTTACGCTTATCAGAAGAGCCCCAAATTCTTTGCGCACAGCCCCTGATTTCATGACATCATTTGAAAGAAAATAATACCCATACACTGTGATTGGTGCAAGATATCCAAATGCTGTGATATGATTGGTGGGAGATGCGTACCCTGATGCGGCGACCTGATTGGTGCGACCAAAGTACCACCCTACACGCTCACATAATTTTTTTTTTTTTTACATAAATAAAAAATAACTCAAAAAAAGCTAACTGCTTTAAATTTAAATTTAAGGTTGAAAATTGAGAGAGATGTTCGTGATCAGGAATCCATCAATCAATAACTTTGTAATTTTCATTGCGAAAAAGAAACTGAAATTAATGGTAATTAAGAAAAAAATAATTGGTGCGATGAAAGAAAGGCGTTCCCGAATCTAACACCTTTTAACCTTATTTGCCATTGTTTATTCCGTTATTGCTTAGAAACTGGAGTAAAACAAGACACAGAGCGAAAAGTCCACAGGCAAACCAAACTCAATGTACGAGATACAGTCCGATCTTCAAGTTATTACATAACAGTAAGAACATCAGCCAGATTGTATTAAAACATCCCTTGACTCGCTCTAATCTTGAGTTTCATTGTCTTCGGTGTAGTTTTTGGGTTGATTTCAAGCAATAGAAGGAGACTTAAGTTCGTCTGCTTTTACCTCTTCATACTTTTTACCCATTCAAATTTCTTAATTTCAACTGTTAGGTAAGAACAAACATTACAGCACAGTACGCTAGTGCGTATTCAGAGCATGGGCTACCTGTGGTGCGTCACAGTTTGTTTAGGAGACCGACATGAAATCGTCGAACGGGCAGACAACGTTGTTTGTCATCTAATATTTTTGTCACATTTGTCTAGAAACGAAAATAACGGCAATTAGACAAATCTTTTCCTGTTTGTAATGGCACCGTGCAATGCGATGCGAAAAAAAATCGAAATAAAAGGGAAATGTTCTTTAGTCGAGACCTTTTTCCAAATAGTTGATGTTCTCTAATCCTTGCTTCAGCTCATTTTTTACTTCAGTGGTCCTTATTTTTTTATTACTATTTCAGTATTTCGCCAAATGACTGAATTGAATGATAATAACAGGAGACAAAGAAAAGAAAAATATTTTTTTCCTATAACTGTCTGAAGCTGACGCCGACATCGTTAATTAGGCGGTTAAGCGAGTGTCCCACCACATCGTCATATGGTTATTATGTAACTATTCCATGCTCAGTTTGTCACAAATATGAAAGGCCGTCAAGAACTTCCTTCCATGCTTGAGTTATGCCAAACTTTCAAGAAGAGTAGAGAGGCCATGTGGGGTTTAACTGATCGTTCAGAATCATGCTACGACCTAAAGCAGACGAATTCCCCAACACAGGTTGACAATAAGGCTATGCTGCGTTTCTCGCGATATCATTGTCGTAATAATATTCTAGGAACGGCGCAAATTTCCTTTCCATGCAAGGATCAAATGCTTAACGGACCAACGTCTCCTGAAATGACTTCAAAACCTAAAGAAGAAAAAAGAATTTATAGAAACGTGGTGCCCCAAGAAAGGAAGGAACACGGAGGTTTCCTTCTCACACTATCAAGCGCGAGTCTATCTACATATGAAGCAGACAGATACCTCGGAGCGTTATTCAAATCGCCAGTTAAGTCAAGCACCCAGCACAAGTTACTCCTCCAGGGGCCAGTTTGATACGGGTGAGCTTAGGCAAGGCAGACGTCGAGTTGGAAAAGAGTATGTTTATGTGGAACTGAAAAAACCACAACACCAAGAAATGATCCCAACACCGAGAAAAGCGAAAGGGTCCCCCAGACAAACAAAGCTGACACCAATACAAGAGGGTGCCAGAGAAGCAGCGGTAAGCCTTCCCCGGCAGTTAAAAACGCTGAACGAAGATCAGTGTCCAGTTGTGCGGCCGGTAATGGTACGTCGACATGGGAAACAAGAGGCACGTGTAGAGAGAAACTCGCATCCCAAACGAAGGCATGGCATCAGCGAAGGAACTGATGCGGCTCGAAAAGATAGGACATTTGCTCGAGTTTTGAGAAAACGTTTTTGATTGTTATCAGTTCAAACAAAACCGTCGAGGAGTAAGGAATCGAGGCTGATCGTTAAGTTTCATATTGTCACTAAACAGCAGGCTCTTCAAGCTGATCTACTAATTGGCTTGTATCAGTAACTCAGTAAATCATACTTATATCGACGCACGACTTCCAGAAGTTCCAATACTTTTTCGACTTTCTTCACCCCCATGTTATTTCCCGAAGTGACACTTTGATTTTTATGCGCGGAAAGAAATCGCCTTTAAATCATTTAAGTGTGCGTGACCCATAGCTGACCTATCTTTGGGGCATCGTCTACTTTGCATGTAAAATCTCTTGAAGATTTTCTAATATAAATATTTGTAAATAAGTTACAGTTCACATGGGTGTCTACTCTCAAATAATTTTTTTTTCAAACTGTGTATTAAAGGTTTCTCAATTCAATGTCGAAAGTTCATCTGGATTGCTTTAGTATTGATTTTCCGCGTTCTGTGATTGGGCGCTTGACTATCTCGACCAATCAGATAAAAAGTCTGCCTATTCTTACTTTTGGTTCCTTGCGATAAGGTTCATGACACAGCCTGAAACTGAGCATATCACAAGTCCTCTTTCCCTGACTATTTCTGGGCAATCAGTACAATCAAAATACTAGAAATCGAACGCATTTTTCTAATAAATGATTATTACAAGTTAATAAAGGGAAAGAAATACAATTGGATGCAAAAATTGTACTGAGAAATAAAAAGACAAGTCAACGATGAACTCTCCTTAGTCACAGCGGAAACATTTCTGTCACGGGACATCACGTGATGCTTGCAAAAGCGATTGATCGGGGAAAGCTCATGGACTGAGAAAATTGGAGTTGTAGACTCTCCTTATGCCACCATCCCCCCACTCTGAATTCTTCGTACGCGTATTTTATCTAGTAGTAACCAAAATATCCAAATTATTCGAGCCTGGCCCTCTCAATGTAACACAGCATAAAGGTGAGCCGCGTGAAAAAGAGCGGGCGTCGCGTGACAAATCCAAGTGACATAGAACGCAACACAGCTTTACATCATCTACAAGTATAAAGTTTTCTCACCAAAGTTATAACGTTTCAAGGGTAACAAAGTGATTTGTATACCAAAATATTATTACCGTATTCTGATCACTCTCTTGTAAACGCAAGACCCAGCGAGGAAGTCATCATAAAATAGAAATTAAAACAAGCAGAGCCGAGGAAAAGAATTAGCATGCATCGTGATGTCTTCCTTGCACAGATCATCGCCTGCTCAGCTTTGCGATTAAAGGCTTGGAATTTCACTTTTCCTTCCGATACATGAACGAACCCAATTCCAGCCTGGTAATTCTGTAGAGCCATTCCTTGCAATTCTGTGACTGTCACTTCGTAAAGCGCGTTTAACTTCTGTTGCCCGTCGAGAACAGGCTGTGTCAAGACAATCCGAAGCGATTTTCTGTTGACAACCTCGTGCTGGCAGAAGATTCCAATGAAAATTGCGCAAACAAAGAAACAGTAAAATGGTGCACCCTTGTAATAACCTCCTTTGTCGGCCAAGGCACCAAGCCAAGACGCCCAAAACATCGCCCACGTTAACCACAAAAAGCATACGCAGTCGATGTAAGTCGGTAGCTGTCGTCGAAAGTACGGTCGGCTCTGCGTAATGAAGTGATTTGAATAAGCATACATTGTATTTCGAACTCTGACAGCCCGACCAACATCTTCTACTGCTATTCGAGTGTGTTGAATTCCCCTTGCTTCAGTAATTAAGCGATCGTTTTCCGACATCTCGAGCAATCTAATGGCGAAAAATACGAAAAAATACGATCTGTCAGTGTCACCCACAATGTGATGATTATATTTTATGATCCGAAACTGAAACACTAGTTCAAATACATTTTACCATAAATATCGGTCACCCCTACCTGAATATCGGAACCTCGAGTAAAGAGGAATTAGAATACCCAATATTTCGCGGCTCCTGAAAGTTGGTAGTTTTCGCGGAAAGGAAGTACTTTTTTAATCTAATATTTAGTTCTCAGGGCTCTCTCGGCTTGTCACGCAAGCATTATTCACGTAGGAGATTACTGTTAAGTGAACGCCAGAATAAACAGTTTTCTGACCCTTTTCGACAAGTGTACCAGTGTGATCGTCAAAGCGACTTGTTTTTTTAGCTGGTGATCATTGCCAATCACATAATCAATAAAGGAGAATCCAGTTGACATGATTTTCATTTACGAAGATTTCAATTTCGATGATTTACGAGCTGTTAGAAACAATTGTTTTTACAATTTTTTTGGAATGCTCTTACCAAAAATGGTTGCATTTGGTCACCTTCGCGTCGTGCCTTTACGAAATATAGTTCAGGCAGGAAACGCCGAGAATCGAAAACGTCAGTAAAAAAAAGGAATTTTTCGTAGAAATTTAGCGAATGGGTTGATGTGATAACCGTCTCCAACGGAACCAGACCCCAACTTCAGCATAAGATATATGCAGACAGCGTTTGGTTCCAGATAAAAATGGAAATAATTCGCCATCGATCAGGGTTCTCGATCTCGAACCACGCTAATTTTGGTGATTTTAGGATTTTAGTTTGCAGAGGACGACTAAGAATGCACAATCAAACCTGTATTGAGCGGTCACCCATGGGGAATGGCGGAATGACCGCTTACTACAGGTTGATGCTAAATACAGGTTCCACAGAATAGGGGTATTGCAAATAACGGTAAAAAAAACAATGATTTATGCCATAATATACCGCTCAACGTACAAAAACACGCTCAAAAATACTGCTAGCGTAGATTTCGGGAGATAAACATGGATTAAATATACTTCGGAAAGCTTGTTTTAGTTTTATTTGAGTGGTTCCGCCAGAACTGACCGTTCAATAGAGGTCCAAGACAATACAAACAGACCATGAGGACTCAGCAGAGGACAAGCACGACCGCTCAATAGAGGTGACTGATGAACATTACGTTGTTTAAGGGGAGATAATTTCGCCAAGAGCCCGCATAACATACAGAGTGACTGCTTAATACGGTGTCGCTCAAAACAGGTTCGACTGTCCATAATTTTTCCGTGTATTTATTTGCTACACTACAATGAAAATTAACAAGGAAGTATAATAAGCTAAATTAAACACGAAAATCTACAAGGCGAGGAAACCTGAATGAAACCACGAGGCTTGTAAAATTTACAATTTTTTTAAAACGCACGCGATGAACAGTTAATTTACTTTTCAAATCCTTTGAAAATTGATAAAGGTAGGTAAGCCAACATATTCGTCCTTTTCCATTGAAATGAAAAAGATTAGAAATACTGCATCAGGTTAACTTATTTAAACTACCATGCATTAAAACTGAAATGGATTTAAAATAAAGCATATTTATTGGAACAGTATTGGACGTGGTTGTCGCAGTAAAATTTACCTGATCCCACCAAAGAGAAATCATCCTCCTCACTGGTAGTTAATTCGCTGTAAACTTTCTAGAATCTTCCCTTTATACTCTGTTGGTAACGACTGATCCCCTCTGAGAATGTTCAGCCCCTTCCCCCCTTCGATGATAGATGACGACTGGTTTCTTAATATAAGTCTTTGCAGCCTGGCCTCTTACATTAATGCCGTAAGATAAATAATGGTATATCCAGGATCGATAAATTGTCAGATGAATTTTGGAACACCTACGTAATTTTTTGTCTCACTTGTTTGCTTATATTGCTAGAAAGTTTACTTTGAAAAATTGTGGTAGTGTAACTATCTTACTACATTTAATCAACGGATCTAATCTTTCCTACGTGAATTCCACATTAAAAACTAGCAAAATGACCCCAGTCGGATAGTCCATTAGTGTCACGCTCACTCTTATTAATTCTCAAATACCAACAGATTTATCACCATCTATAAAACTGTGTTTTTTAGTCAGCGTACTATTTGCCTCCGATCCAGAACTGAGTCGTATCACCCGAGTTTGAGGTGCAACGGAATTTGGGATTTGTAGAACTGTACATTCCAAAGTTGTCCTCGTCATTTATGGCCGACTTGCTTGCGTCGAAATCGCAGTACTGATGGGTAAAATAAGAGTCGACATGCAGAGAGTAAATGCCTTTTGTATACGCTGTGAATGCAGTGCAATTCACACACTCATTTCCCCGGATGTTGACATATTCGTAAGGTCGACAGGTGTCTACCACCGTGGGTACGTCTTTAATGATGTCAAAGTCTTCAAGCGAGGCTCTCAGGTAATCTGTGTATACGGTACCATCCGTGTTGTATCGGCAAGTAGCTCTCCAGTGAGTCGAGTGATCTCTGAGCCAAAGGAGGTAGGGTCGTTTGATGAGGTAAGCCTGCCAATTTGGGGCATCACCGCTGATGGCTTGGTAGTCATCGTAAAACACGATGTTCTCCTGTAGAGGAAGTAGAATTGATGAGGAAGTTAGATCGTTGTCAAAACTGTCGCTTATGAAACAAAACTCATGGAAGCAACAAAAGATTGAATGTATTTCACATTTTTCCGCTGAATGCGCTTTCGTCCTACGCTCATGTTCTAGATATTTATAGAAGATTAAGGAGAAAGTAAATACCTGAAAACGATCTTTGTTGGATAAACTAAAGGACTCAATCAGGTTCCAAGCGAACCCAGGCTCTGAGTCAAAATCACAGAACACCTGGAAGGTTTGATTATTGTTATCGTCAACTGTGTACGATCGTTGTCAAAACTGTCGCTTATGAAACAAAACTCATGGAAGCAACATGAGACTGAATGTATTTCACATTTTTCTGCTGAATGCGCTTTCGTCCTACGCTCATGTATTAGATATTTGTAGAGGATTTAAAGAGAAAGCAAATACCTGAAAACGATCTTTGTTGGATAAGCTAAACGACTCAATCAGGTTCCAAGCGAACCCAGGCTCTGAATCCAAATCACAGAACACCTGGAAGGTTTGATTATTGTCATTGTTAACTGTATACAATCCAGAGGCGGTGGACCCGGCTCCTTTGAAATCTTGACAGCTTCTTTTCTGCTGAATCTCGCAGTGCTTTCCAAAAAACGGTACAGGACAGGAACAATTGTACCGAACACTTGTGGGTTGACAGATCTCAGTACAGGTTCCTCTATTAAGACACGGATTGTTCTTACAGCAGCCATTGGTACACGTGAAGTCATCAGCACAAGGAACAATGTTGGTAGGAACCTAAAAATTTATATGGAAAAAATAACTACGCGTTTCTGATTGGCTGAGGGCATTCTCTTGTAACACGAGTGCAAAGTCAAAAAATGATCCACGCAGGTGAGAAGCTAAAGTATCTGCCAGGATTAATTCTGTGATTGAATTTTTCTTTCGTCCCTGAAATTCTATAATTTTTTTTTAAGTTTTTAACTTCGATTCCATTAAAAGAGGAAATCTCTCTACCTTCAATACCCGAATAAAAAAGGAACTTGAAGTGCAAACTTCAAAATCCGTCTGATGATCGCGTAAGCGTGAAACTCAGAGTCACAGAAAAGTTGTCTCATTGATGTGTCCAACTTTCAGATATATATATTTATAAATATACACACACACACACGCACGCACACACACATATATATATAATATGTATTTCTTTCAGTTCCATTTCCAGTTTTTGCTTTTTCGTAATAATCAATTAAAATTTCCCAAAGTTTCAGGTGGCAGCAGTTACGTTAAGTTTAAAAGATAAAAGAAAACAATTTATTTTAAACACTTTTAGGAGTAACATTACCATCCATTAGAAAGAAAAGTTTTGACGGGATGAAGAAGCATTTTACACTGCACAATAGTGCCTTTAATTGAAATGATTCAGATTTGTGTAATCTATCGTCAGGTAGAAGTTTCCTCAATATCAAATTAAAAGAAAAGAATGAACTTTTATGCCAAGATAAGGACTGAAAACCATTCGCGTTCAAAAAAACCTTATTACATAATAAAGTTTGGTACTTTAGTGGAGTATTCTCTCCGCAGTACGTAGTAAACGCTTCCGTGGATGTTTTTCAGAGAGTTCTTGTTGGTAAAATGGCTGCCTTCGTTCAACACGCAGTATTTTTTGTCGTTCTTGACCTTGTAGTTTATCGACAGACATCGACAGTCATTGATACACCACAGATAACACTGCTGTGGGTTTGAAGTCACAGAATTGTGGAAGACATGGCCGACAAGCTCTTTGTCATGATAGGCGTCTTGTTACTCATCAAATGAGATCTTTTCACATTTTCCAGTGGAGCAGAAGCCCTTTACTTGAAAAGCTGAAATGAGTATACAAAAAAACTTTGCAACCATCATTCTTATCGTTTTCACACCCCGCCTGGGGAACGATGTTTCTCATAATGTCGTTCTTGAGCAGATTACTTAGTTAAAATATCGCCCATCCCTATGTGTCAATCAACGTGTAAGAAACCAATCAAATGAGTCACAGAAAATAACTTCACAATACGAATATTCAAGGCTCGGAAAATTGACAAAAACAAGTGATAAAATGTATTTGTTTAATTATTGCGCACAAATAATAAGATGCAGATGTTCTGCTTAGTACCACCTCCCACGCATAAAGATATAACTTCAAATTTCTTCCTTCCAAAACTGCGAACGCGCTGTTTAAAACACATTTGAGATAACCTTGGCTAGTTTTTGCAGCAGATAGTGTTTATGCTCAATCTAACATGTTGAAGTGATCTGGCACATTTCCACACCCAACTCGAGCAAAACATGTTTCTCGTGTGTCCTTCTTGAGCTGCTTATTTATTCAAGATATCGCCTTCTCTATTTGGCAGTCAAATGCTGGCGGACAAAACAGGAAGTATTTTCAATTATTGATATCTTGACAATAGCCTTTACGTGCAAGTTCATCAGATTCAATGTCAGTTAATTTGTGAGCAGAATTTAGCCGTTTCAAAAATAAATCTTCCATTAGAGCAAGAAAGCCACTCTTAATATCTACCAGCGGGAATATGTAGAACAATATCAAACCCCAGCTGAGGGAACGATGTTTCTCAGAATGTCGTTAGACAATGGCTCATCCTTATGTATCAATCAACGTGTAAGAAACTAATTAAGTAAGCCACAGAAAATAACTTTACAATATAAATATTCAAGGCTCGGAAAACTAACAAAAACAAGTGATAAAATGGATGTCTCCAATTATGGCGCACAAATAACATGATGCAGATGTTTTATCTAACTGATTCAATGTCAGTTAATTTGTGAGCAGAATTTAGCCGTTTCAAAAATAAATCTTTCATTAGAGCAAGCAAGCCACTCTTAAAATCTACCAGCAGGACAATTATTGGCAAGGGGGACCCCCCACTTGGAACGAAAAGAAGTAAAGAACTAAATATGGTTGGTATTAGAAATATGAAGAGCCATGTGTTTTTCTATCTTTGCAATCAGATTATCTTACATTGTGTTAAAGATATACTTGAGGCAAAGCTAAATAGATTTTTACTGAAAAGTAACGTCAACGTATTTCATCTCAGTAAGGTGCTTTATTCAGTTAAAAAAAACCTGAATTTTTCAACGATTGATGTTCAATTACAGCTGCAAAATGACAAAAAATGTTAATTACGATCAGCGGTACAGAAAAAACATTTCACAACTTATGGTTTGCAGACAACCAGTTATCCATTATTACTTTGTTTTGTAGAAAATTACTTTGTTTTACAGTGAATAGAGAAATATAAGATTCGATCGGTTCCTAGACATGAAATTTTCACTCCGTGTTCGTGAAAAATATAGAAAATAATCCTCCCTGTGTTCAAGATAAAAACAAAGGAATAATTGATGATGTTTTACAGTTAGAATTCTCTTCGACAATGTCTCCTCACTGTGGCTGTCCCCTCTCCATGGTAACAGGCCTATTGCAAATAATAATCGCAATGGATTATATTATCAGTTTGTCAAACTAAGTACATAAAAACTGTCTGAGGGCTGCAAATGTTTGATTTTGATTATATTTTGGCACTAAACATACAAAAAGTTCTCAGTTTCACTCAAATAGCAGCTTTTTTCACATTTTGCCTTATATAACTCGATTTTCCGGTTCGGAAACTTCGTCAAACTCACATTTGACAGTAGTTATTTAAGTTCAAAGCACGTTCTATTTGGCTGTAGTAAACAACCCTTAGTGTTCTTACTCGCCATATCCCAGAAAATCTTCCGATTTTGCAGTCAAATGGCAACAAATGGAGTAGCGACACATATAATATGCGACAGATAAAATAGCCTTCAATCTTCGCTCCCCTTGCTGCCAACTTCATGTTTGTTTGATTTATTATCACAAGTAAAGGAAAACTTAACATAACTTTATATTGATGAAGGTAATGTCTCAGATAACTAGGTCAAAAAGATGCTCTTCAATTAACACTGTTTCAGTCAATGCCGAACGACGAAATTATACAGGCAACACGTATATATTTAACACTGATATCATGAAGAAGGCCGAGGAAGCTTCATGTTGTACTTGCTAAATAAAGATTAAACTCAATTTCAGAACATGATTAGTTCGGTGGCACTCGTTGAGTTTAACTTTGACAGTTTATAATAGTATTTCCCCTTTAAGCTGCAAGATCTTAAAGCAAGATCTTAAAAGGGTTGCCTGTTGTGGCATAAACAGGCAAGTTTGGTCTACAGTTCTCACAGAAGACAGAAGGTCTTCAGTACGATTAACTCTACTGAAACCAGCAAATTAAAACAAATGTTTCTATCTTTGGTTCAGTTTGCTAAAAAAACCAAGCTGATAGTAGTTGATTACTATATAGTTACATCCATCAGAGTGCTCGCCGCACGTATATGGCCTCGACCGCATAGCTATCTTCAGAGACAACAGTGCACTCTTCGTGGTTGATTCAATCTTTCATGATTTTAAAAGAAAGGTGAAGAGAGTATTGTACACCGCGGGAAACAGGAAGACGCCGAGCATGATGCGAGAGGTACGTTTGGCCTTATCAGATCAACATCAGTATCTGGGCAACTGCCCACCTACCCCTCCCCTAATCGAACAACAGTCAATTGATAACAAGTTAGGGTTAATGTTGGGTTAGGGGAGGGGTAGGTGGGCAGTTGCCCAGATATTGATATTGATCCGCCTTATCCATGATAAAAAAAGCTGCAGGATGAAAAACTTGGAAGTAGAGTCTCCCACTATTTGTTTTAAGGAAGCCAATTTTCATATCGTAATTGGAAAGAGCGATCATTTCGAGTTCTGCGACAGTCACCTCGTACAAAACGTTGAGCGTTTGCAGATCATTCTTCAACGGTTGTTTCTTGACAAGTGGAAGGGATTTTCTGTTGAACATTTCGTTTTGCAAGTAGAATGCAATAAATGGGAAACCAAATATCAGGAAAAATACGGTGTAAGGACACGAACAAGCGCCACCAAAACTCCACACAGCAACAATAATTGAAAACTACAAAGGTACACCGCGGTAAATAGATAGGTCTGCTTTAGGCATGAAGCGCCTGCTCTCTGTGGTGAAGATATTCGTGAAACGATGCATAGAGGCGTGAGAAATATTCACTTTACGGCCAACACTGTCTATTCTGGTTTGGCTGTAGCGAAGAAGTTCAGCCGCAAATGACACAGACATTGTCGCATCGATAAGAAACGTTCCCAAGCCAAGAAAAATGCGTCGTGTAACGATTCCATCCGCAAACAGGAGCCGATTTAGTTTTCTTCTGTCTCAGCAGCGATGACAATTCAAAACTGAAGAATGTGAACAAATGATGACGAAATTTTAAGAAGACTTTTGAAGAATCACAATTTATCGTGAAGCAAAACAATGATTAGTTATCTCGGTCTTTCTGGGAAAATTGTAACTCGAGCCAACCAATCTCAGGGATTATTCAAACTATCATGGGAACCTGTGGGCATACAGTTTCTCTGTTGGAATCGGATTCCAAAAAACGCATGGTATGATAACAGTGGAAAGGAATATGAATATCAGTTATTTGACATTTTTTCAGAGAGAAAGGTTACATTTAAAAACTGAGCATGGCGGCCGACTCGAAGATAACTAACCTAGTAAGCTCTCCATTCCCCTCAACACATACTCAGACTAAGGCAGCTCCCTATCTCCCCATCTTACCCCCTCCCCTCCCCCGCCACTCACTCGAACACTTAAAGGCTCATAATTTCGTAAGCTTTAAACCCTCTCTTTCCAGATATATATCCATGCAAACCAGCCCTGCTTATTATTGCTTATTATCATATAATTTGTTGTAAGTCCAAGGGGTCAGCACTTGGGTGGGTTGTCACGCAGTTTTCATTTTGGTTGATTTTAAGAAATAAAATTTAACCAATCCACTAAATTCTCTTTAACAAGAACTGAAATATATCTAATTGTTTTCGGATGTTACTGACAAATTCAGTTCTGAAAACTCACGAGCGTTTTCTCAGGTTGTGTTTCCAGAGAACTTAAGTTTTCAACGTAACACAGCAGGAATCCTTTGCTTTATTTCTGTGCCTATTTGTGTCTACAAATCAGGAATTACATCTGAACTCCATGATAACTACAGTTTAATTATCATCTGCATAAGATACTATTTGTCTGACGCTGACCCGGTCAGTCAACAAGCTGCCAAAAGTAGCAGTTGTAGACAGACGCCGCCATGAAAAGAAGTATCAATCGAAAATGACATTTGGCGTCGGACATGTGTTTCTTCGCGGTATCGTTGAATGCCTGAATTTTGATCTTTCCTTTTGAAAAATTGACAAAACCAATACCAGTTTGGAAAGACTAACAAAATTGCACGAGCTCGTAGGGCGAGTGCAATTTGTGGTCTTTGAAAACAATTAACAAGTGTTTGTTTATTTCAAATTGCACGGGAAAATCATGTGATTAAGTGTTATACATGGAAAAATACGAGATGGCTTATTAAGCATAAGCAAAGCGCGCGCATCGAGTGCAAAAATAATTTATTCCAACCGTGCGTTCGGTCAAAACAACTGCGTACGATCAAAACAATGATATGCAATGATATCTTCACATCTTCAAGGCACTAAAAAGTTCCAAGTCCGGCTAAACAATTCAAGGAATTGTTCAGTCTGTGTCCGGATCACTTTCGATGAAATGTAATCGTCGTTTCCGAGGTTTAACCATGTTTGTTTTTAATTTCGCAAAGTATTAAGCTGGGTCGGCTCATAATTTTCGATTTCCTTGGTAATTCCCTTCTCTAAACACCACTTTTTCCAAACCGACAACCGAAAAGTAGTGCTTTTTACAGTGTTTTCGTTGTTTGAGCTGTTTTTAAGCTGCGGTGGCGAAAGAAAACCTACTTAAAACGCCGGCCATTGTTTCGCTCGCAAGTTTTCAAATTTTCAAATTTTGTTGCGACATCCAAGGCTCGCATTTGATTGGCTATCTGTGAGTTTCTTTGATTATTGACCAATCAGAATGTCTGATTTGTTACTTTCTTTGCACTGAATTAACTCTCTTCTCCACTGAATTACCTGAAAACTGCATTTATCTTAACCAATCAGAACTGAGTTATTTTTCAAAGTATATTATTAGATACAAAACAACACTAGCCCTTCATTAAAAAAGCAAATTTAAAGCTTAATTACGCGGGTAGTAAGACTGTTAACCTTACAAAGTAAATCTAGAACTATTACATCAATGATAGGACCTATAAATAAGCAGATAATATATATACATTAAATTATTGATGTTAACGGCTGTGGAAAGTGTGGTTAAATAAAGCTACTTAATGCGTTCATTTGTTTTGAAAATTGATGAGGGTAGGTAAGCCAACGAATTCGTCCTCTTCCATTAAAACTCGAAAAAGTTGATTTGAAATATTTTTCATAAATACATACATTACTTTGATACTTTTCGTAGTTCTTGAGGGATGTTGTGTCATATTTTGGTCCCTAGTCCTGAAAACCACTTAATTTGTTAGTTAGACCTTGAATGTTTTACATAATAATTGCCGGCTGAAGAAAATCTTGTATGATAATTATATACCTCATTTCTAAAGATTAGAAATATTGCATTGGTTAACATACTAAAAATTCCATACATTAGAACTGAAACAATGGCTGAAATGGATTTAAAATAAAACATATTTACTGGAACAGTATTGGACGAGACAAAAAGAGGACTGGACCTTTAAGGTGCGAAGTATTTGAAACGAAGGGCAGACTTTCATAAAACCACAGAACTTAATTGGGGATAGGTCATTTTCTATTGCTGGAGGGGGGGGGGGGGGTGGGAGGCGTGGGAAGATTTTGGTTGTGTCACGGTAAAATTTACCTGATCCCACCAAAAAGAAATCCTATCATCCACCTCATTGGTCCTCACTTGGTTGTAAATTTTATAGAGTCCCCCTCTTTATACTCTGTTGGTAACGAATGATGATATGATAGATTATGACTGCTTCCTTAAGATAAGTCTTTGCAGCTTGGCCCCATAAATTAATGCCGTAAGATAAATAATGGTATATCAAGGATCGATAAATTGTCAGATGAATTTTGGAACACCTACGTAATTTTTGTCTCACTTGTTTGCTAACATTGCCAGAAAGTTTACCTTGGAAAAAAGTGTTAGTGTAACTATCTTACTACATTTAATCAACGGATCTAATCTTTCCTACGTGAGTTCCACATTAAAAACTAGCAAAATGACGCCAGCTTTGTCAGATGGTCCATTAGTTTCACGCTCAGTCTCATTAATTCTCAAATACCAACTGACAAATCATCATTGGATCCACAAAACTGTGTTGTTTAGTCAGCGTACTATTTGCCTCCGATCCAGAACTGAGTCGTATCACTCGAGTTTGAGGTACAACGGAATTTGGGATTTGTAGAATCGTACTTTCCAAAGTTGTCCTCGCTAAATATGGCCGTCTTGCTTGCGTCGAGATTGCAGGAAAAACGGGTTATATAAGAGTCGACATGCAGAGGATATCTGCCTTTTTTATACGCTGTGAATGCAGTGCAATTCACACACTCATTTCCCCGGATGTTGATATATTCGTAAGGTCGACAGGTGTATACCACCGTGGGTACGTCTTTAATGATGTCAAAGTCTTCAAGCGAGGCTCTCAGGTAATCTGTGTATACGGTGCCATCTGTGTTGTACCGGCAAGTAGCTCTCCAGTGAGTCGAGTGATCTCTGAGCCAAAGGAGGTAGGGTCGTTTGATGAGGTAGGCCTGCCAATTTGGGGCATCACCGCTGATGGCTTGGTAGTCATCGTAAAACACCTCCTGTAGAGGAAGTAGAATTGATAAGGAAGTTATGATCATCGTCAAAACTGTCGCTTATGAAACAAAACTCATGGAAGCAACAAAAGATTGAATGTATTTCACATCTTTCCGCTGAATGTGCTTTCGTCCTACGCTCATTTATTAGATATTTATAGAAGATTTAAAGAGAAAGCAAATACCTGAAAACGATCTTTGTTGGATAGGTTAAACGACTCAATCAGGTTCCAAGCAAACCCAGGCTCTGAGTCAAAATCACAGAACACCTGGAAGGTTTGATTATTGTTATCATTAACTTTGTACAATCCGGAGGCGGTGGACCCGGCTGCTTTGTAATCCTGACAGCTTCCTTTTAGCTGAATCTCGCAGTGTTTTCCTACAAACTGTACAGGACAGGAACAGTTGTACCGAACACTTGTGGGTTGACAGATCTCAGTACAGGTTCCTCTATTAAGACACGGATTGTTCTTGCAGCAGCCATTGGTACACGTAAAGTCATCAGCACAAGGAACAATGTTGGTAGGAGCCTAAAATGTATATGAAAAAAAGATTAGACGCTTCTGACGGGCTGAAAACGCGAGCGCAAAGCTAAAAAATAGGCTCACAATGCGTACTTGTGTCAAATAAACGTTGATGCGGTTTGGATTGGCTTTACAGTAAATGTAATGCATTTTGTCATGTCATCGCGATAAATGTCGAGTAAAAATTCCATGTATTGACTCCCAAGCTGCAGACGAGAAAACAGCTAGGGGAAACATGTTTGGACGTCTAGTTTCGAGGAAATTATGGGTGCTTACCATTTGACAGAATAAAATGGTTAAGATGACTGGTAAATAAAGGTAACAGTTTTAACAGCAAACCAGCCGAGCGAGATGGATCATTTGACGTCAGTTCCATTTGACTTTCAACCGACATTTCCGGATTTTTTGCTAAATGGTAAGCACCCTAACTCTCTTAGGGCGCGGTTACACAGGACTTTTTTTATCGCGGTAGGTGACCCTTTTACAATACAATACAATACAATATTTATTTTGCCATATACAGCATTTAAAGATGGAAAAAAAAAAATTAAGAAAATTGATGACAGAGAATAAATGGCGAGAAAACCTGAAAGAAACCACGAGGCTTATAACAAGTCAGGCTTTCTCACTTAAAATAACTAATCTTATATTAGAATTTCAATATGGACTTATGGTAATTAACTTTGACCGCGCACACGTACACACACACGCACGCACACACATATTAAGTAAGATAGTTAAGAATTACTGCCTTACAGAAGTTAATACCTAGAGAGAAGTTCCTTAAGCTTTCTTTTAAAAGAAGCGGAGGAGGGAGAACTAGTTATGTCAGAATTTAGCGAATTATAAAAGTTTGGACCTTGAAAGTAAATTGAAAACTTCCTGGTGTTCGTTCTGCACAGTGGCAAGCGGAAGGACTAAGCATTCCTAGTATTATAATTGTGGATTTGACTATTCAGTAAAAAAAAGTTATTGAATTTGGAAGGGAGTGTAGAGTTCACGAATGAAAACATAAAAGTACCTAATTGAAACGAATGGATATCATGAAATTTTAAGAGTTTAAGTTCCTTAAAAATAGGGCCAGTATGGGCAATGTATGTAGAATTTTACAACGGGAAACTGCATTTAGTGAGTGGTTCCAATATTTCCCCGCAGTAAATTTCCCGTGATAAATATTTATGGCCTACGTGATTGACAGAGTAAAGAGTCACTGAAGTAAACATTTTGCAGGTTAGGGCTTGGCGCATATTCCAATAGAGTGCATTTGAGCATATGAGGTTCTCAGCCACCGAATGCTTCGCACAATTAACTGTCAAAATGTGTTCGAGTCAACACGCTTCAGGCATTTACACACTACTTCAGAGACTCATGAAATATTTGCGTTCGACAAAAAGGTAACTGCCGTGTACTTTTATTCATCAGCGGAATTATTGGAATCAGTCGCTAGTAGCAGAGTAGAATTTGTTTACGATAAACCTGGATAAACCAGCAAGTAACTGCAAATGTTAGCTAATAGTATTCGAGCTTCTAGCGTAGAACACTGTACGTAAACTATACTTTTACAAATTAGTTTTTCTGTTTTAACATGATCGGTGAAATGTGAAAATTTTTGGCAGGAGGTTTGAAGGCATTAGTTTTTACCTCTTTCATGCTGAAAGCAAAAGTCAAAATTAATTTCGATGAAGCTCAGAAACTCACGTGGAAAGGAATAAAATGTTTGTATGGTTCAATAAAAATAAAACCCTAAATTACATTTCCGAAGTTCTAAAAATGTAACTTAAATCGAGAAGCTGAAATGTTCACACCTAGGGGACCCGTAGCGGGCTCATTTCAACACACGCTGTGATCACGCGGAATAGCATCAGAGGCAGCCATATTGGTAAGCCGGCATTTGCATTCGTCTTCAGTTGGTGTAAAGTAATCATTGCTCTTTCATTGCGCTTTTCCTCGGAAGCTCCTCAACATACAGTCCACACAGCGGCCAAGATAGTCGCACTAAATTTTTTTTCGAGGTCCAATACTCTGGTCTGGACTTAAGGCTCGCTCGAACAAAAACAGCAATACCAATCCGGTCAGTACAAAATGCAGACTGCAGACTGCAGACCGGGTACAAAATGCAGACTAGATACAAATGCAGACTGCAGACTGGGTACAAAATGCAGACTCAGAATTTATACTATTTTTTCGTCTGATACGTGATAACATGTCATCCTACAAGTTACCGAGTGTCACACAATCGCTTTTCTGTGATCATCTTTGACGATTATTTGTACCACTGTAGAATATTCCTTGCCCTTTTCTTGATCACAACCGTTCTTAAGCCTTCATATAGTCTTCTCACTTTGCGCGTGAGTTGGTTGGTGTGATGTCTGTACAGAATATACCAACTTGATAAAGGTAGATGTAGATGTAGATGTAGATGTAAATGAGATGTCACCATTGAATAGTTAACACGCGCAATATTCGAGAAACAATTGACGGCTTCGCATTTGCACCGTCACGCAATGTATCAACAAATCGTAGTTAAAAGAGAGAACCTCAAATTGCTAATCGTAAATCCACAGGATAATACTGGACTTTGTCATTATGTTATATCTGTCCGTAAAACTTCGGTTATTAGTAGCAGTAAACGGGAGTTGAAAGTAACGAAATCATTCAAGTATAAATTTTCTTCTGCATGGCGCGACACCATCTACTATAATTTTATTTTTTGCGCAAATTTTGGATTTCCATAGGATCGACGCAATTTTTGACATACTTTCAATATGCAAATGCCGGCAGTTCCGTCTGAGAACTGGAATTTGGTACGATTGTTCCTTATTCATCCAAGAATGTTTTGCATATACAAACAGAAAGCGAATATTTACGCACTAAGATAAATACCCGACAGCGCGTGGCTCAAAATTAGGTCTTAAGACCTAATTGCTCCCTTCGAACCTCCAAAACGAAGAACTACGACAAATCCTGAATAACTAGACATAAATTGACAGTTTGATCTGTGAAAGCTCACAAGAAATGTAAGTTGAAGGGTTGTAAAACTTACTAAGTAACATATTTTAAAACTTAACTAGTTTTGTGTGAGAGTAGCAAAAACTCGAATTCGAAGTGTTTACATGTACTTCACTCAACTTTCTTCGTTTATTACTGTAGTGGTTAACAATTGCCTTAATTAAGTGTGGGGAAATCCCACACAAACATGATCCTCGCAGGTGAGAAGCTAATGTACCTGCCAGGATTAATTCTTGAATGAATTTTTCTTTCGTCTCCGAAATTCTATGAAATTCGTTGAAGTTTTTACCTTCGACTCCATTTTCATATTCCATCATTCGATACGCCCATCTCCTTTCATAGGAATTTAAAAGAGAAAATCTCTCTACCTTCCGAATACCCAAATAAAAGAGGAACTTGAAATGCAGACTTAATATAAATAAAATATATATTTCTGTCAGTTCAGTTTTTAGTTTTTGGTTTTTCCCAATAATCAATTTAAATTGATAGTCTCATTGGCAGCAGGCACGTTAAGTTTTAAAGAAAAAAATTAATCTTAAACACTTTTTGGAAAGACATTACCATCCATTAGAAAGAAAATTTTTGACGGGGTTACGAAGCATATTACATTACAAAATAATGCCTCTAATTGAAATGATTATTTGTACTATCTATCGTCAGGTAGAAGCTTCCTCGATGTCAAATCAAAAAAGAGAGAATGGACTGTTATACCAGGATGAAGACTGAAAACCATTCGCGTTCAAATACCTTATTACATGATAAAGTTTGGTACCTTAGTGGAGTATTCTCTCCGCAGTACGTAGTAAACGCTTCCGTGGATGTTTTTCAGAGAGTTATTTTCGGTAAAATGGCTGCCTTCGTTCAACTCGCAGTATTTGATGTCGTTCTGGACCTTGTAGTTTATCGACAGACATCGACAGTCGTTGATACACCACAGATAGCACTGCTGTGAGTTTGAAGTGACAAAACTGTGGAAGACATGGCCGACAAACTCTTTGTCATGATAGGCGTCTTGTTGCTCATCAAAAGAGATCTTTTCACATTTTCTAGCGGAGAAGAAGCCTTTCACTTGAAAAGCTGAAATAAGTATACAAAAAAACTTTGCAACCATCATTTTTATCGTTTTCACATCCCGCCTGGGGAACGATGTTTCTCATAATGTCCTTCTTGAGCAGATTACGAGGTTAAGGTATCGCCCATCCCTATGTGTCAATCAACGTGAAAGAAACCAATCACTTGGGTCACAGAAAATAACTTCACAATATAAATATTCAAGGGTCGGAAAATTAACAAAAACAAGTGGTAAAATGAATGTGTTCAATTATGGCGAACAAATAACATGATGCAGATGTTCTACTAAAGACCACCTCTTACGCATAAAGACATAACTTCAAATTTCTTTCTTCCAAAACTGCGAACGTGTTTAAAACTCATGTGGGATAACCTTGGCTAGTTTTTCTGGGTTTTTGCAGATAGTGTCTATGCTTTAATCTAACACATTGTGGTGATCTAGCACGTTTCCACACCCAACTCGAGAAAAACATGTTTCTCATAATGTCCTTCTTGAACTGATTATTTATTCAAGATATCGCCTTCTCTATTTGGCAGTCAAATGCAGACAGACAAAACCGGAAGTATTTTTAATTATTGATATCTTGACAATAGCCTTTACCGTGTAAGTTCATCAGATTAAATGTCAGTTAATCTGCGAGTAGAATTTAGCCGTTTCATTGATAAATCTTTCATTAGAGCAAGCAAGCCACTCTTAATATTCTTAATATCTACCAGCAGGAATATGCAGGACAATATCACAGATTCTGAAATAATTTCCTCATTTTTATCAGTGATTAAAAACCGTTTCAATGCAACATGCAGGACAACTATTTGCAAGGGACCTCCCCCTGGAGAACGAAACGAAGTAAAGATCTGTAATAGATTTTTAACGAAAAGTAACGTCAACTTATTTTATTTCAGTTAAGTGCATTATTCAGTACAAAAAAGCCTGAATTTTTCAACGATTGATGTCCGATTACAGCTGCCAAATGACAAACAAGTGATAGTGTTAATTTCGATCAGCGGTACAGAAAAAACATTTAGTGACTTATGGTTTGTCGACACCCAGTCATCCATCATTACTTTGTTTTGTCGAAAATTACTTTGTTTTCTAGTTAATAATATACATGGAAAAATTACTCAGTTCTGATTGGTTAAGATAAATGCAGTTTTCAGGTAATTCAGTGCAGAAGAGAGTTAATTCAGTGCAAAGAAAGAAACAAATCAGACAGTCTGATTGGTCAATAATCAAAGAAACTCACATATAGCCAATCAAATGCTAGCCTTGGATGTCGCAATAAAATTTGAAAATTTGAAAATTTGCGAGCGAAACAATGGCCGGCGTTTTAAGTAGGTTTTCTTTCGCCACCGCAGCTGAAAAACAGCTTAAACAATGAAAACACTGTAAAAGGCGCTGCTTTTTGGTTGTCGGTTTGGAAAAAGTGGTGTTTAGAGAAGGGTATTGCCAAGGAAATCGAAAATTACGAGCCGACCCGGCTTAACACTCTGCTCGAGCGATCCAACGCCGAAATTAAAAACAAACATGGTTAAAACTTGGAAACGACGATTCCATTTCATCAAAAGTGATTCGGACACAGACTGAACAATTCCTTGAACTGTTTAGCCGGACTTTGAACTTTTTTGCACCTTAAAGATGCGAAGATATCATTGCATATTATTGTTTTGATCGTACGCGGTTGTTTTGACCGAACGCACGGTTTGAATAAATTATTTATTGCACTTGATGCGCGCGCTTTGCTCATGTTTAATTATGATAGACCATCTCGTATTTTTCCATGTATATTATTAACAGGTAATCACATGATTTTTCTCAAGCAATTTGGAATAAACAAGCACTTGTTAATTTTTTCAAAGACCACAAATTGCACTCGCCCTACGGGCCCGTGCAATTTTGTTAGTCTTTGAAAAAATTTACTCGTGCTTATTTATTCCAAATTGCACTCGAAATCATGTGATTACCTATACGAATAAAGAAATTTTCATTTCGTGTTCGTGAAAAATATAGAAAATGTTTCTTGTATTCAAGCTAAAGAACCAAGAAATAATTGATGATGTTTACAGTTAGAATTCTCTTCGACAATGTCTCCTCACTGTGGCTGTCCCCTCTCCATGGTAACAGGCCTATTGTAAATAACAATGGCAATGGATTATATCATCAGTTTGTCAAACTAAGTATAAAAAAATACAAAAAGTATCTGGAGGCTGCAAACTTTTTATTTTTATCTTATTTTAGCACTAAGCATACAAAAAGCTCTCAGTTTCATTCAAATACCAGTAGCTTTTTACACATTTGGCCATATATAACTCGATTTTCCGGCTCGGAAGCTTCGTCAAACTCACATTTGACAGTGGTTGTTTAAATTCAAAGCACGTTCTATTTGGCTGTAGAAAACAACCCTTAGTGAGCTTACTTGCCATATCGCCAAAATATCCTCCGATTTGGCGGTCAAATGGAGTAGCGATGAATATTATATGCGACAGATAAAATAGCCGTCAATCTTCGTTCGCCGTGCTGCCAACTTTATGTTTGTATGATTTATTATCACAAGTAAAGGAAAACTTAACATAACTATTTATTGATGAAGATAATGTGTCAAATAACTAAGTTAAAAAAAATGCTCTTCCACTAACACTGTTTCAGTCAATGCCGAACAACGAAATTATACCGGCAACATGTATATATTTATTACTAATATCATAAAGAAGGCCGAGAAAGCTTCATGTTGTACTTGCGACATAAAGATTAAATTCAACCACAGAACATGATTTGTTCGATGGTACTCGATGAGTTTAACTTTGTCAGTTTATAATAGCATTTCCTCTTTAAGCTGCAAGATGTTAAGAGGCCGTGACTGTAAATATCGAGAATCGTTGGCCAGGCTAAAAAAATCGAAAATTCTGATAATTTGCCTGGAAAACCCTTTTTAGAGAGATACATTCAAAAAAAATTATTTTAAAGTTTGAAAAATCAAATGTGTCCGAGGAAATGGGGAAAAACGAAAATTCGGGTTTTACCTTATTAATTATATTAAAAAATACAGTAAAATTAACCAACTTTAGTGTGCGAGTACTGAAGGAGGATGTTTGGTAAGAAATCGGGGGTGTTTTTACTTCAAAGTATAATTCATTTGATTTTTATTTGTGGCATTTTAAGGAGCTTTGGTTTAATTTTTAAATTCACATGACTTTTTAACAAAGTGCTGTCAAACGCTTGTTGCAAAAAGCGAAAAATCGAGCAACTTCAAGCCTTCAAAACGCGTCTTGGTATGTGTGACATCATATCAAACTACATGCTGGCACAAAGTTTGGTCCTTATACTAACACAATATGAAAATCTGGGTAATTCAGAAACGTGCTGGCAAAACATAAAGGTTTGCGACGCACTGTGGCCAGAGGTCACGAGTTTGCATGATGCAAATCAGTTGTAGAAATCGTACCGCCTAACGGTTCTGGTGTAGGAAAGGCTCTTTTGACGGCTACAACATGAAATTTACAAGAATAATGACCAGCATTTAATGGCATTTAATTCGTTTTTTAAGCCAATGAGTTTTTTGTTTCATTTCTCGTAACTGTCTTGACGAAAAGCAAAATGTTTCAATTGCGTGACAATTGTCACGTTGGATCAAAGGTTAAGTTGCCGAGTAAAGCGGACACAATCCTTTTTTCGTCAAAACTCCATTCTAAAGCATCCAGTCCTATGTATCTCGTTTTATATTACTGGTATAAATTCTTTTATGAGTCTATATCGAACAACATCCAGCCGGCCTGATCCTGTCTGATTGCCAAGTGCGGTTCGAAGGGGACTTTTTCATTTCCGGTTTGCGCCTCTAATACGGGGACCGCGGAGCTATGGGGTTGAGTGGGCTGTAGCCCCACCAAGAACAATTTGTTATCATTATTATTTATTTAATCTTTGAATTAAAAATTTGACAAATTTTTCTTTGGATTGAAACGCGTTTCCGGTGATTTCAGAAGCTCTAGATTTCAAAATTTGCCGGGGGAGCATACCCCAGGATACCCTGTCAGCAGTCTTTCTGTACTAAGAAAGGCGTACTAAGAAACAGACAAAAGGAGGCCCTCCTCGGAGGGGAGGCCCCAGGGCCCTCATAGATAATTATAAGTTGGTGCCAATGAGCTCACACTACGTGGGAACTGCAATAGCTCCTCCGATCCAAAATATGCTCCACGGCCCCCGTTTTATATCACCGTTCATATAAAACTCAAATTTTTGAAGCAGCCTTTTGCCATTTGCCTTTTAAACTTCACTGCAAGAGCAGCATCTAACAAGGTCTTCGAGCAGAGCGACGTAAGATGTCTTTTTTCTATGATCAACCCCAGGTGGTAATGCAAGATTGAAACTCTCGCAAAGGAGTTTTAAGACTGCGAGTTCGAGATTTTTGAGTGTGTTATTCTCGACCATGAAACAGTTGTACTGTTGGTAATGAATAGAATGAGTTACATTTAACTGCTCAAAAATAGACTCCTTAGCATTTGACAAATTAAACTCTTCCTCCATAGCAACGAGATCTTGCTCAGTTACAGCTTGTGCGCAGGGGGCTGTCTGCTGTTTCACTTTTGCTGCCATTCTGGAAAAAAAATGAAGCTACTTGTTAAGTAAAAAAAACTCAGAGACACTGAACAAGCGTTCCCCGTTCAATTCCTTTGCTCTTCTCATTTCTGTTGCAACAATTTCCGCGTCGACCTTCTTGCCGCTTTCTTGTCCGATGGTAAGTCAGGTACTCTCATTGCTTTTCGTTAAACCGGTAAACTTTCTTTACTTGTTTTAAAGCGAAGCCTTCAGGCAGTGTTACATGTCCAGTGCTACGAGGACAGGTTTCAGGAGGTAGAGGAATAGTTGGCACGGAACTTGAACCTTCCTCGAGCCTTGCCGCATATTTAACCTTCGCTTTATCAAGAAGTGTCTCCCTTTCAACCGTCTTTGTGCATGTTCTGAACGCGAGATGCTTTTCTAGAGAAGAGTGCCGATGGAAACTATGCGTGCAGCCCTCCTTTGGACATGGAAACACTTGATCCCTAGTACAGTCTTTCAATTCGACAAAGTCAGCCATGTTTGGATTTTCAGAACTTGCACCACAAGCCCCCCCAAGAAGAAAAGGAAAGCTACAGAATGACATCGTTTTTTGTTTATGCTCTATGAAAAACCTCGCACGTGTTTACCTTTAAGAAAAAGACCGTGTTTGCATCATAGAGAATTATCGCCCGGACTGCAACACGGTACAATTGCTATCGTGACATAAGTCCTTTTTATCAAGTTTTATGACAGAAATGTGGCCATTTTTCCCAAAAAGATAAGAGTAAATAGCATAAAAAGTTGGGCTGTTATCTTGAGGTGAAAAACTTCACAGCAGAAGCTTGCGGTGTTGCGTGACTTTGTTTACTCACATAACTTTTTCCAAGATATCCAAGATATTTCAAACTTTAAAATATTTTTTTTGAATACATCTCCCTAAAAGGGTTTTCCAGACAAATTATCAGAATTTTCGATTTTTTTAGCCTGGCCAGCGATTCTCGATATTTACAGTCATGGACTCTTAAAGCGTTGCCTGTTGAGGCGTAAACGGCAAGTTTGGCTACAGTTCTCATAGAAGACAGAAGGTCTACAATACGATTCTACTGAAACCAGCAAATTAAAACAAATGTTCCTATCTTTGGATCAGTTTGCTAAAAAAACCAAGCTGGTAGTTGTTGATGATTATATAGAGTGCTTGCTGTAAGTTCATGTCCTCGACCGCATAGCTATCTTCGGAGATAACAGCACACTCTTCGTGGTTGATTCAATCTTTCATGATTTTAAAAGAATACAGAAAAGTGATGATAGTGTTGTACACCGCGAGAAATAGGAAGACGCCGAGAATGATGCGAGAGGTACGTTTAGCCTCATCCATGATACGAAAAGCTGCAGGGTGAAAAACTTGGAAGTAGTCTCTTCCAGAATTTGTCTTAAGGAGGCCAATTTTCATCTCGTAACTGGAAAGAGCGATCATTTCGAGTTTAGCGACAGTCACCTCGTACAAAACGTTGAGCGTTAGCAGACCATTCTTCAACGGTTGTTTCCTGACAAGTGGAAGAGATTTTCTGTTGACCATTTCGCTTTGCAAGTAGAGAGCAATAAATGGGAAACCAAATATCAGGAAAATTACGGCGTAAGGGAACGAACTAGCGCCACCAAAACTCAACACAGCCACAATAATTGAAAAGCACGAAGGGACACCGCGGTAAATAGGTAGGTCTACTTGAGGCATGTAGCGCCTGGTCTCTTCTCGGCTCCTGGCCGATTTAGTTTTCTTCTGTCGTGACAACGAGGACAATGGATTGTTATACTCGTCTAGCGAGCTATGCCTTTAGCGTTTTACTGCTTATAAAGCTGAAGAATGTAACAAATGATGACAAATTCTAGGAAGACTTTGGAAGAATCCCAATTTATGGTGAAGCAAAACAATGATTAGTTATCTCGGTCATTCTGGGAAAATTGTAGCTCGAGCCAACCAATTACAATCTCAAGGATTATTCAAACTGTCATGGGAACCTGTGGGCTTAAATTTTCCCCTGCTGGAATCGGATTCCAAAAACGAAAGGTATGATAACCGTGGAAAGGAATATGGATGCCAGCTATTTGACTTTTCTCAGAATGAAATGTTATATTTCAAAATCCAACATGGCGGCCGAAGATAGCTAACTTACTAAGCTCTCCATTCCCTCGACATATACTGAGACTGAGGCAGCTCCTTATCTCCCCTCCGCCCCCTCCCCCCCCCCCCCCCACTACTCACTCGAAAAACACTCAAAGGTTCAATAATTTCGTAAGCTTGAAACTCACTCTCTCCAAATAGATATCCATGGAAACCAGCCCTGCTTATTATTGCTTATTATGACATAATTTTTGTAAGTCTAAGAGGTGAGTACACGAAAATTGCTTGTGTTGTCACGCAATTTTTATGTTGGATGATTCTAATTGTTTTCGGATGTTACTTACAAATTCAGTTCTGAAAACTCACGAGCGTGGGGGGATTTTTTGGTTGTGTCATGATAAAATTTACCTGATCCCACCAAAAAGAAATCCTATCATCCCCCTCATTGGTAGTTAATTGGCTGTAAATTTTCCAGAGTCCCCCTCTTTATACTCTGTTGGTAACGACTGATCCCCTCTGAGAATGCTCAACCCTCCCTTCCCTTCGATGATAGATAGTAACTGGTTCCTTAATATACGTCTTTGCAGCTTGGCCCCATACATTAATGCCATAAGATAAGTAATGGTATATCCAGGTTCGATAAATTGTCAGCAGAATTTTGGAACACCTACGTAATTTTTGTCTCACTTGTTTGCTAATTTGCCAGAAAGTATACCTTGAAAAAATGTGTTGTGTAACTATCTTACTACACTTAATCAACGGATCTAATCTTTCCTACGTGAGTTCCACATTGAAAACTAGCAAAAAGACACCAGCTTTGTCAGATGGTCCATTAGTTTCATGCGCAGTCTTATTAATTCTCAAATACCAACTGATAAATCACCGTTGGATCTACAAAACTGTGTTGTTTAGTCAGCGAACTATTTGCCTCCGATCCAGAACTGAGTCGTATCACTCGAGTCTGAGGTACAACGGAATTTGGGATTTGTAGAATCGTAGTGTCCAAAGTTGTCCTCGCTAGGTACGGCCGTCTTGCTTGCGTCGAGATTGCAGGACAAACTGATATAATAAGAGTCGACATGCAGAGGGTAAATGCCTTTTTTATACGCTGTGAATGCAGTGCAATTCACACACTCATTTCCCCGGATGTTGACGTATTCGTAAGGTCGACAGGCGTCTACCGCGGTAGGTGCGTCTGTAATGATGTCAAAGTCTTCAAGCGAGGCTCTCAGGTAATCTGTGTATACGGTACCGTCTGTGTTGTATCGGCAAGTAGCTCTCCAGTGAGTCGAGTGATCTCTGAGCCAAAGGAGGTAGGGTCGTTTGATGAGGTAGGCCTGCTAATTTGGGGCATCACCGCTGATGGCTTGGTAGTCATCGTAAAACACGATGTCCTTCTGTAGAGGAAGTAGAATTGATGAGGAAGTGATGATCATTGTCAAAACTGTCGCTTATGAAAACAAAACTCATGGAAGCAACATGAGATTGAATGTATTTCACATTTTTCCACTGAGGAAGCTTTCGTCCTACGCTCTTCTAATGTATATTTACAAAATATTTAAAGAGAAAGTAAATACCTGAAAACGACGTTTGTTGGATAAACTAAAGGACTCAATCAGGTTCCAAGCGAACCCAGGCTCTGAGTCAAAATCACAGAACACCTGGAAGGTTTGATTATTGTCATTGTCAACTGTGTACAATCCAGAGGCGGTGGACCCGGCTGCTTTGTAATCTTGACAGCTTCTTCTCAGCTGAATCTGGCAGTGTTTTCCAACAAACGGTACAGGACAGGAACAGTCGTGCCGAACACTTGTGGGTTGACAGATCTCAGTACAGGTTCCTCTATTAAGACACGGATTGTTCTTGCAGCAGCCATCGGTACACGTGAAGTCATTAGCACAAGGAACAATGTGGCTAGGAGCCTAAAAATGTGTATAATATAAAAATTAGGCGCTTCAGAGTGGCTGAAAACGAGTGCATTCTCTTGTGACACGAGTGCAAAGTTAAAAATGATCCTCGCAAGTTAGAAGCTAATGTAATTGTCAGGATTAATTCTTTGATTGAATTTTTTTGTCGTCTCTTAAATTCTATGAAATTTTTTGAAGTTTTTAACTTCGATTCCATTTTCGTATTCCATTATTCATGAGAATTTAAAAGAGGAAATCTTTCTACCTTCATGACCCGAATAAAAGAGGAACTTGAAATGCACACTTCGAAAAATATATATTTTTTAGTTCAATTTCCTAGTTTTTGGTTTTTCCCAATAATCAACTGAAATTTTTCAAATTTTCAGTTGGCAGCAGTTACATTAATTTTAAAAGAAAACGATTAATCTTAAACACTTTTAGAGATAACCTTACCATCCATTAGAAGGTAAAGTTTTGACGGGGTTTAGAGGCATATTACATTGCAAGCGAATGCCTTTAAATGACATGATTCGGATTGTATAGTCTATCGTCAGGTAGAAGCTTCCTCGATATCAAGTTAAGAAAAAAAAATGAGCTGTTATGCCAAGATGAAGACTGAAACCATTTGCGTTCAAAACACCTTATTACATAGTAAAGTTTGGTACCTCATTGGAGTATTCTCTACGCAGTACATAGTAAACGCTTCCGTGGATGTTTTTCAGAGAGTTCTTTTCGGTAAAATGGCTGCCTTCGTTCAACTGGCAGTATTCGATGTTGTTCTTGACCTTGTAGTTTATCGACAGACATCGACAGTCGTTGATACACCACAGATAGCACTGTTGTGGGTTTGAACTCACAGAATTGTGGAGGACATGGCCGACAAGCTCTTTGTCATGATAGGCGTCTTGTTGCTCATCAAAAGAGATCTTTTCGCATTTTCCAGTGGAGCAGTAGCCCTTTACTTGAAAAGCTGAAATGAGTATACAAAAAAACTTTGCAACCATCATTCTGATCGTTTTCACTCCCCAGCTGGAGAAACGATGTTTCTCATAATGTCCTTCTTGAGCAGAATACTTAGTTAAGATATCGCCCATCTCTATGTGTCAATCAACTCAATCAACGTGAAAGAAACCAATCAAATGAGTCACAGAAAATAACTTCACAATATGAATATTGAAGGGCCAGAAAGGATTTGCTTGATGTTTTCCAATTATGGCGCACAAATAACACGATGCAGATGTTCTACTTAAGATTACCTCCCACGCATAAAGATACAACTTCAAATCTCTTCCTTCAAGCTGCGAACGTG